AAAAGATTTTCGATGTTTGTACCAAGAAAAGATTCTCCATGTCGTCTGCAAAGTAATCAAAAAGAGAGTGACGGGAAAGCTCAACGGGAAAGTCAAGAAAGCCATTAGTATTTTGTAGTCAATCCTTGGCATTCCTCTCATTCCCGATCCGATTTCAACTCTCCGCTAATTTCTTTCCTCGTTTTTTCCCGAAAGACAAGGTGTTTCCAAAAGAAAAAGTTAGCTAATTATCGGGAAAATCGGTGCCTATTCAAGGTGGGGGTATTTTAAGAAAGCAAAAAAAAAATGTTTATTTGATGAAATATCAGCTTTATTTTGAATTCAATTAGATTTTTGCAGGTATTAGTCAACTTTTAAAGACTTTCAAATGATATTCTTTAGTAGTTACGGTAGTTATGAAGAGTTCTAAAGATTCTAAATAGTTCAATTGATTCTAAAGATTCTAAATAGTTCAATTTCAAGTGTTTCTAAAAATAGGCATTTCAAAACTTTACCATAACCTTTCCTTAATCTATAAAAAGGTAAAAGATCTAAAAATCTAGAATTCTAAAATTTGAATAGCTGAAAGAAAGGTTACAGTAGTTTTTTTTTTGTGTAAATTGTTCTTTTTATTTTGAATTTTATATCTAAATATATCTTGAAATAAGAAAAATCTCTGAGAACGTGTGGCTGACTGGTTAAGTGTCTTTTATCTTAATCGGAAGGTCGAGGGTTCGAACCCCACATGCGACATGGTCACCCCCTTCGTATTTCCTTTCCCTTCGGGTTGAGAGGTTTTCTGGAGGGCAGTCTGGTGGTTGTGGCCCCAGTTCTTTAAAGTGACAAGCCACTCCTTCATCGTCATCTTCCCTTCACCATCAAAAAAGCTATTTAGTTCCCCATTGAGCTTAGGGTTAGGGAGCCGTCTGTCATGACGTGGGTTAAGTTAAGATATAGCCTGGTATTGTGTGTGTCGTTGTATTGTGATTGATATATTTCGTGTATGCGATAAATTCACCACTGGTAGCCCCAGTCGGTATTTTTTTTTTTTAGAACCTCTGAAATAGTGTTTTTATACCAAAAAAAAGTTCTATTTTTATATGTAAAATGAAAAATTCAATGATTTTTTAGCAAAAGTACAACAGATTTCGAATGATTTTCGTAAAATCTTTTGATTTTTCACGTGCTGACTGGGTTATTTTTAAGAATTCTCTTCAAAAACTCAGCCATAGTCCTCTCAGATGTCCAGAAAGTTTTCTAAAAGAAAAAAAGCAATTCCCTATGGAAATATCTGATCTTTTTCTCCTCTTTTTCCCTTTTTACAAGCACCATTTCTCTGTGATGAGCTGAAAATTGGGTGCAAGGGGAAAAAGAGAAAGAGGAAGCGAAAGAGAAAGAAAGATCTGAGGAATAGTAAGATAAGTTTTTTTGAAAGCTTTTTTTTTGTTAATCATTGAAAATCTAAGGGTTATAAAGTCAGTTTTTAAAGTTTTCAAACTAAATCTCAAAAACTTGCGCGCATTTGAATCAAATGTTTTTGTAGATCAAAGGTTAACACCTTTGATCAAAGGTTTTCAGCTCAAAATTATTAGCGAGACTCTAGCTTGCTTAAAACATTTAATATCGATCATTTTTCTTTCTCTAAATGCAAATTTTCAAGGAAAAATTGAAGATGAAGAGCGGAATCTATGAATTATTGTTTGATTGAGAAAGCTTCGAGAAAGCTTCGAGAAAGCTCTGAGAAGGCTTCGAGAAAGCTCTGAGAAGGCTTCGAGAAAGCTTCGAGAAAGCTCTGAGAAGGCTCTGAGAAAGCTCTGAGAAAGCTCTGAGAGAGCTCTGAGAAAGCTCTGAGAAGCTTTTCATCTGGGAAATACTCTTCAGACTTTCAGCTTTTTTTAATCTTCGATTTTTTGAAAGAGGAAAGGTGGCTGGCTAAAGAAATACTGCGGCTAGCTATGAGAAAATCAAAATAACAATACTTGACTATATTAAATACTTGACTTAATCAACTAATAGTGATTTTTCAAGAAATTTATTAGTTATAGCCGGTTATAGCTATCGTGTTTGAACATTTTTCCACAATCTCTAATTTTTGTTTTTAGTTTAGGATTAAGAGTAAGAGATAGAGTGAGAGTTGACAGTTTTCGACTTTAACTCATCAATAGTGATTTATCTTTAACGATTCCAGGCTAGTCAAGCTAAAGAGAAAGCCAAAGCCAAGCGAATTGTTGGCTTAGCTTTGAAAGCCAAACATTTCCGATTTTGTTTTGGTTTTTTCAATGACTTCCAAAAAGCTAAGTCAAGGTAAAACCTTGACATTGGCTTTCTAGAACAGTTCTAGTAGCTAGCTAGCTAGCTAGAGCTTCTAGAGCTTTACTAGAGCCAGATTTAAGCCTCAAAACTTACTACATATTAATCCCCTTTTCTACTTCAACTCTTTCACCAAATCTTACCATTCCTATAACGTCTGTACTGTATTTCCCCTAATAGTAGTGCACCCTGAGCGTCGTCTAAATTGGTCGAAATCTCGAGAACCGCTTATCAGAACCTATCGATGTGGGGTCGGAAAATGTAGCTGACGATGAGATCTAGTGGGGGATTTGAGTGTTGAGCTTCTGTGAAAACTTTGAAACCGTAAAATAGTCACCAACTCGGCTCGCCGTGGTGCACTACTATTAGAGAAAATACGGTATACTAGATTTTTATCGAAAAACCCCAAAAATCAGCCATCAAATGCCTATACTTGAGTCAAATCACTACGAAGAAAAAGCCATGAAAGAAAGGAATCGCAAAAAAAAGGCAATATCCGGTGGTCATTTGATTTGATTGGATTGTACCTTTCTCCATTGTCTTTCTCCAATTCAGTGTCCATTTCAATCCAAAAAAAAGAACATTTCCTTCCAACATTTCCTTCTAAACGATTTCCAAATGAACATTTCAAGTAAGCAATTTGTTTAACGGAGCACGAGGCGAAGAAATTCTATAAACAATTCTGAGAAAAAAACAGAAAAAGAACTGAACAAATGAAAAAGCCGGGAGCTTTTTTCAACCATATGGCTTTAATCTCAGAAAGAAAGTCATGGAAAAACGCCGAAACGAAAACGAACGTTTTCTTTCGGACTTGTTTTCCCTCAACCATTTCAGTTTTGAGAATTTGATTTGAAACGAAAAATCTTCACCTCTCAAAGCTTAATCTTAGCTAAATGTTAGCTTAATCAAATGCTTAATCAAAGCTTAATCAAAGCTTAATCAAAGCTTAATCAAAGCTTAATCAAAGCTTAATCAAAGCTTAATCAAAGCTTAATCAAAATTGACTGTCAGCTTCATCTCGTCCAGGTAATCAATCTTAACATTAAACTAAATGCTAACATTTAGTTTAATCTTAAGATTGATTACCTGGACGAGATGAGGCTGACATCGCAAGCTGACTCCCATACCTAAGACGCAAGACTTAAGCTCCCATAACTTTCCCCATAGGAAAGATTTTTCAAATCTTATTTCAGATTCGGAAACTACGTTTAATTTTGCGTCGATTAATACTAATTTTATCGAATTTTGTCAAATCAATCTTTTTATATAAAGCCATCATTGAAAAGTTGCGTTTTTTTTCGAGAGAAAAGTAGGGTTTGGAATAAGCTCCCGTCTGGTATCTTCTCGTCTGTAGGAAAATTGAAATTATCTGTGAACGAATCAGATCTTATTGTCATGTCAAATCTGCCCTATATTTAATCTTTTTGTATCTGTGTTTCCTAACTGTACTATCTTTAGTTTTCTCTCTTTTTTCGGTGAGAGTATTGTAGCGAGTATTGTAGCGTGTTATATGCAGTTATGATTATCTGAATCGCTTCTATTCGCCCCATAAATAAAGCATATATATAAAATACTGTTAACTCGAAAATTTTCTAAAAATTACTTGATTAAACAAGATAAATTTGTTTCTATTAATAATATTAATATTAAAATTACTCGTAGATTTTAAATCTGAAATCATATTGAAAAAAATCTTTGCTTTAGGGAGACAAAATCACTTTCAGCTGTCATAGCTTTCAGTTATGACAGCTGAAAGTGATTTTGTGCGGTGAGCCGTCTCTTGGAAATTGAATCAAAGTAAAAAAAATGTTTTGGCATCCGATTTGGTACTTTCTTTCGTACCCAATAAAGATCATTATCGAAAATTGAATTTAAACTTTCTTCCTACCTTCAAAAATCATTTTTTCTCAAACTCTCTGAAGTCTAAAGTTGAGTTAGGTTAAAGTTAAATTCATTTCATTAAATCCATAAATAGTTAAAGTTAAAGTTGAAACCGTAAAGCTAAATCCCTTAAGCTAAATCCCTTCAGCTAAATCCCTTAAGCTAAATCCCTTAAGCTAAATCCCTTAAGCTAAATCCCTTCAGCTAAATCCCTTCAGCTAAATCCCTTCAGCTAAATCCCTTCAGCTAAATCCCTTAACTTAAATCCCTTAAGCTAAATCCCTTAAGTTACATCCCTTAACTTAAATCCCTTAAGTTAAATCCCTTAAGCTAAATCCCTTAAATTAAACCCCTTAAGCTAAATCCCTTCAGCTAAATCCCTTCAGCTAAATCCCTTAACTTAAATCCCTTAAGCTAAATCCCTTAAATTAAATCCCTTCAGCTAAATCCCTTAAATTAAATCCCTTCAGCTAAAACCCTTAAACTAAATCCCTTCAGCTAAATCCCTTCAGCTAAATCCCTTAACTTAAATCCCTTAAGCTAAATCCCTTAAATTAAATCCCTTCAGCTAAAACCCTTAAACTAAATCCCTTAAGCTAAATCCCTTCAGCTAAATCCCTTAACTTAAATCCCTAAACATCTCCATTCCAATTTTTCAATGAAAAATTCATTTCTTAAATAAAAATTATCAAATTTTAAACAAAATTAGAAATATTTCACTAGATTTTATGACTTTTTTTTATTTTTTTAAATTGCCAACAATTGCCTCTTTTTCTATAGTTTAGTTTTCTATAGTTTTCTATAGATCGAAAACATTTTTCAGATGTAAAATGAGTGACGATTTACGGTATTTCTATTCGATTGAAGCAAGCACTTCACACGAAAGCGCATTCGATGAACGCACACCTTCCGAGATTTCTCTTCAGACTGATGACGGGGAAACATGTCATCTCGAGGTTTTCTCAACTACAGGTTTCTTTGAAAGACTTTTCTGCTTATCTATTATCACAATTCACTTTAAATACTACTTTCTACTATATTGATGGCTACTATATGGCTTTGGGTCAAAAAATTCGACAAAAAATTGTCGAAAACAAGGTGAAAGCTTTAGCTTTAGCTCTAGCTTTAGCTCTAGCTTTAGCTCTAGCTTTAGCTCTAGCTTTAGCTCTAGCTTTAGCTCTAGCTTTAGCTCTAGCTTTAGCTCTAGCTTTAGCTCTAGCTTTAGCTCTAGCTTTAGCTCTAGCTTTAGCTCTAGCTTTAGCTCTAGCTTTAGCTCTAGCTTTAGCTCTAGCTTTAGCTCTAGCTTTAGCTCTAGCTTTAGCTCTAGCTTTAGCTCTAGCTTTAGCTTTATCGAAAATCGAAAACTTTAGCGTTTACTCATTGAAAAGCTCAGTTAACGGAAGAAAAAATTGTAACTACTAACTCAAACTAGGCTTATCTGATTAGCTGCTTACCAAGAATAAGCTTGTCCCTCTTGCGCCATCCCGTCTCTTCCTCTTGTCACAAATTTTTCCCTCAATAAAGTCGAGTAGCATTTCGTGGACATCAAAATTACTGAAAAGTGGTAGACTTAGAACATTTGATTAGCTTTGAATCTTATCAAATTTCTTTCTCGAATCAATCGCTCTTGTAAAAATGAAATGCTAGCTAAAGATCTAAAATGACGAAGTGAATGGATTACTGTTGTCGAGGAGTGTTTGGCTTTCTTGGAAGGAAGAGTTCGCTAGGAAGAGTTCGCTGAAAAGTTGAAAAACTAAAAAGCCACAAAATCTTCCCTAAAAACCATTTCTTTCTTCTTTTTCCAAAGAAAAACAATTCCTTTTCAGATGCCATTCGCATGTTGCTCAACTCGGGTTTGGGTAGCGTCATTTGTTTCACCGGTGCCTAGCCGTTTATCTACAAAAAAAAAACTTCTGAAATTCCAGGCATCACTTTCAACATGATCCTCTTGGTGATGTTCTCTCGACTTTCTTTTCACAACACAAACTACCTCTATCTCTATATTTTAGCCTTTTTCGACATCATCGTCGAAGTGTGTTTTATCGTGAGTTCGATACTTTTAAACAATCAACCCTTTTCTTTTTATAGATGATCTTTTCCGCAGCCACCTATTACGAATATTTCTACAATTATGAACTCTACGTCGCTTGGCACAATTATATTAGACTTTTCTCAACAGTAGGACAAGTGAGAAATTGTTTGAATTGTTCAAGATAAACTTACTGGTAATGGATACAATATGCTCCCTTACAGTATCCCTACAGTATCCCTACAGTATCCCTACAGCATTCCCTATAGTATCCCTACAGCATTCCCTACAGCATCCCTACAGCATTCCCTACAGCATCCCTACAGCATCCCTACAGCATCCCTACAGCATCCCTACAGCATCCCTACAGCATCCCTACAGCATTCCCTACAGCATTCCCTAAGCATTCCCTATCATATTCTACAGTACCTCTACGGTATCCGATAAAGTATTTCATTGTCACATATTACAGTATCCCATATAGTATTCGATTTGAATACAGTCCCCCGAAAATTTCAGGTTCTAATCATCGCCTCATCAGTCTTAATCGTGTTGGCTTCGTTTGAGCGTTATATGTGTTCCTCATCGAAATCTCCTGGTTTCGATCCGCGCACCCGAACACTTCTCATATTTTTCGTCATTTTATACGCTTTTATTGTAAAGGTACGTGAAAAAGGGAAGATTTTCAGTCAAAAAAAAAAAAATCTTTCTAGGGTACAGTTTGGGCGGAACTTCGCCTCATTCACGCTCCAGAATGTGCGAAATTTTCTGATTGGCACATCACGCAGAGTTCGCTCGCCGATCAAAAGTTCATTTTTGTCGAGATTTAGGAAATAGCATAAATCGAATTGATTGTTATCGGTTTTAAACTTTGTCACAGCCAATTTTCAGCAGTTTCTACTACACGATGTGGATGGTGCACGGGCGGAATGTCCTCTGCGTTTTCCTCCCATTCTCGCTGCTTTGTGTGCTCAATTTTCTTACCTTTCGCAACATCAATCGAAAGAGTAAACACTTCGAGGCAATGCTTTTAGAGGTAAGAGATTTTTGGAGAGATACAATGTCATAAAAAAAACAACTAATCGACGATCAACTGTTTTTCTAGATAATGAAAACCCAGGTTTGTTCCAGTTCACATTATTATTAAGTTCTCTGTGGCCCATCTCAAAAAGTATACTGTCTCTCGAAAAAAGGGTTTTTTAAAAGGTGTACTCGAGAAAAAGCTACCGTACTCCGGCGGTAGCCGGGTTACGGTACCTTTTTTGAAGTGCACCTTTTAGAAAACTCTTTAATCGATATGATCACAGTCTACTCAAAAGAGCCTTTGTTGCTATGTGTCCCTGTGATATTTTATGTGAAGAAAATGGAGATTTGTATAGAGAAAAATGATTGAGTTCTTTCATTTGTGCGTCATCAAAAGCCGGCTAAATTGTCACAGATGTTTTGTCGAAAATTTAAAAGCCTTGTCTCAAAGCGAAATATTTAGGGTCCAACAATGTTATTACCACAAGATGCACAACAAGCTCTTGCGGCAAGAGATCGAAAAAGGGATGCCACATATACGCTTTTCGCTTTAGTATCGGTAGAAAAACAATGACTGATTATAATAGATACAAAATAAATTCCAGGTGTACCTTTTTTCCAACCTTATCAATACATGGTTGACTTTTTGGGAGTACATCGACAAAGATGGACTCGCCTCGATTGGAGACGGTTGGCCTTATAGGTAAAGACCGCTTTTGGTCAAGATATCTTTACATCCAATCCAACCCAGATACCTTGCTGATGTATCATCTCTCACGTCAATCGCAGCAACCGCTTTTCGATTGCCGATTTATTGGGGCTGTAATCGAGAACTCAAAATCCATTTATCAACCTTTTTCAATGATTTCACAAACAAGAAACTCGAAAAATTTGCTCTGAAACATGAAGTCATCGTATGATTGTTTCATTCCTTACCGTAGTCATCACATATTCAAATTCACTACATATCCAAGTTATTTGAAATGTTCCAAATGCTCAATTTTAATAAAGTTCTATTGAAAAACAACAACCTTTATTGAGAACAACGCATGGTTTAAAAAACTTCAATTAGGTAACATTTGCAGCAAACAATAAACAATAACCGGTACTTTCAACAAAAACTTAAAATACGAAATTACCACTCAAAATAGATAGATCCGTGGAAATTGAATTTATGGAATAAGATTACCAAGAATAAGAGAGATCAATAGTTTCCATTCGGCATCAGAATTCCTGCTGGGCGCATGCTATCTGGGAATAAGTCGTGATATGACTGGACGGGCACATAGTTTGCAGTGATAACCTAAAAACCAAAAATAAATGAAACTTTTCTAAGTCTTTGCAAAATACCTTTCCAGAGAAAAAACGACCATGAAGAGCGACAACACATTTGTGAGCAATGGCCACCGAGTTGCACTTGACATAAACGTTTCCTTCTGCAGATCCAGAATCCACATAGGCATGTGTTGCACCTTAACATCTGCTGGTTTTCATAATTTATATGGTTACTTACCGCCCCATCGGAAACACTCCTCAATAACATCTTCGCGCACATCGTTTTGCCATCCAGGCTCAGTTTCCTAAAAATGTTGTGAACAAGCCATCAATTCAATCTTTACCTTTGCTGGATCAAACATATTCGAGAGCATAAAGCATTGAGTGGCAATAGATGGAATATCGGAACTTCGTTGTTCTGGTGGAGCTGTTGGTCCAGAACCAGGCAGATCGATTCCCTTTTCTTAAAAAAAGCTTTTAAAGAGAATAAGGATTGCACACAAACCTTTAGCTAGATGTTGCATAACGTGGAAACGGCCTGCTTTCCCGAGAGACACACCCTCCACTCCTTCGCTGTTCAAAATTTTTTCCAAACGGTCGTCATCAGTCGATTCAGAGACCAGCACCTAAACGAAGATTAAGTTGAATGAGACTTTCCAAGAAAGCGTACCTTCATAGCTTTTCCAGCCACTTCGAAACCATTTAACTGTTCGACCGCCTTTGTCGCATCTTCAGCATATTTGAACTAAAAGCGCATATTGAAATGATTGGAAAGAAGGGTCCTACCGTAACGTTTGCAATTCCAGTACTATTTCCAGAGGCATCACGAACGATCTAAATTTAAATTTAAGTTTAAGAAAGAAATCGTCGAGTCAAAGAAAGAACGATCTCACCTCGAGACTGTCAATACGCCCAAATGGATCGAAGATTCCGGACAGCATACTTTCATCAATATGTGGATGTAATTGAGAGACATTGAGCTTCATTGGGCCCTAAATGTATTCTCAATGTGTCTACAAATTAAATCATACCTTTGAGTTCACTCCGAAACCAAGCGCACCTCCGACAGTAGCTGAAGCGGCTGCTGCTCGATTCCGTTCGGCACAAGTTCGTTGAATAACAAGTGGGGCACCTAAAAGATATTTGAAAGTCGCTGAAGACAAAAGATTCTACCAATGAGTTTTTGCCCGTTTAATGCCAGAGCCAGTGGTACAGCCTCTTCTTCCCAAAATTCGACATACCCGATTCCCTGTAACAATGTGATATTTATTGTTAAAAAATTGAACTTACCTTACTACGCCCTGTACGACTGTCAGTAATAATTCTGACATCACGAACATGCCCAACCGATGAGAAGAATTCTTCAAGATCTCTTGGGCGAGTCGTTCTTGCAATCTGTAGAATAAAAACGGTACGATGATCCCTAAAATCAATAAATAAAAGCAGACACTAATGAATTTACCTTTCTTCGGCGGAAATATTACGATCAACATTTGGAGGAGGGCTGTGTCTCGGCTCAAACGGCATCACGTCTCGACGCTCTGGCCCTGGCAGTCGTCGAGGAGGACTTCTAAACACCAAAATATTCTTTAATAAGTAAATTCACAGCTTACCGTCGGAGTGGCGAACTGCGTCGATGGTCAATTATGCGGGGCCTCATTGGGGAGCGACTACGGCGTTTTGGAGATCCTCGCCTACCACGTGAACGACTACGGCGACGATCACGGCTGCGTGATCGTTTTCTATCGCGAGAACGAGAGCTTAAATAAAAATACAAAACAAAAAATAATTGAAAATACCGTTTACGGCTCCTTGAGCGGCTTCGCTTCTTCCTGTCCCGTGAACGGCTCTTTTTACGGTCTCGAGAACGGGAACGCTTGCGAGACCTTGACCGTGATCTAAAAACAAAGAACTTTCAATTTTCTTCTTAACCTTTATATTAAAGAGAACAACATAATAACTTCTACACACCTCTTTTTCCGATCTCGATCACGGCTCGTGCTACGCTTTCTCTTCTTCTCCTTCTCCTTTTCTTTTTCTTTTTCTTTTTCTTTTGACTTGGATCGCGAGCTAAAAATAAGTTTGTTTATGGTTTATAACATATTAAAATATTAAAATTTAATTAAACCATATTTTGATACACCCAACCCATTCACAGGAGGCCTGAAAAAGGACATGTTTTTGATGGATATGGGGTTGATAAATGGGTGGGGTATCAGGGGTGGGCCGTCGAGTATCGTGTCGTCAACGCCACTTAGCCACACGTCAAGCCTATAACACCACGCGCCCCATCGAGTCACTACCATAGATAGTTTTGAAAGCGTAACTGGCGCAACATTTTTTAGAAACTTGATGGGACGCGCAAAATGGCTCGAAACGTGGACACTGTGGCGTACCTCGGTGAAGGTTGTTTCAAAAACAGCGTGCTTGTCACCAATACGAGACACAGGAAACGTCGCCCGGGCGAACTCATGTAATGGGTGTGTGGGTATGTCTACAAAAGGACCGAAAACGTCGCAATGAAAAGGAAGACAAAGCAAACGACAAGAAAACGAACCGGCTCCGTTCCTCCTGTTTCACCTTATCGTCAACTCCATTCTCCTTTTCCACCGAAGTCTAAATTTAACGATTGACCAAACAAAATTAAGAAAACTTCGGACTTTTTGTCCGAAACAAACCTCGGACTTTTTGAGCGCATCGTCGAGCATTTCATCGACGTCCATCGTCTGATTTTTGGCCGTGTTCGCAGCAAGGGTGCCCTGAAAGTAAAAAATCAAATTCAATTTTTTTCATTGTTAAATTTCCGAAAAAGAAGTCGTTGGGTAATCAGTTTTGTTTCAAAAATGGAGCGCATAGAAAGTTTTGATTAGTTGCGAAAGGAACGCAATACGTGACGCAACGGGAGGCGCACATTTTAGGATTTCAACATTGTTACGATTTTTAAAAAAGAAAATATCTTTAACTCTGATTATGAGAAGCGTAGAACACAAATCAAAGTTTTGCCGCTCAAGTAAAAAATAAAATTTTATTTTTGAAGTTTTTTATTTTATTTGGAATTAAAAATTTGAAAATATTCAGTTATTCAGTCAAAGCTTTACTATCTTTGCCGCTTATATAATTGAACTCTTGCTCGAGAAAAAGTCTTTAAAGTGCTAACTCTAATTTTCTTTCTAAACACAAACTTTACTTTAGATGAGCGTCCGCTGGGCCTCGACACTTCCGCGGATCAAAGCGACAATTGGCCACATTCCGCAACGACTCAAGGATGGTTCGATTCCAACAACTAGCAGAGCCAGGTTTGTTTTAAGATGCTTTTTCCATAGTAATACATCGATCTTTTGTTTAAGATACTTAAGACTCAAAAGCACCTTATCTATTTAAATCTTTTAGATTAGAAATCTTACGGCAGATTGTGACACGTTTGGTGCGAGAAGAGCGAATAGAACTAAAATGGAATCGAGCTGTTGAGGCGAGGCCGTACATGGAGAGAGTTTGTTGGTTTTAACGACTTTGTTATTTTAAGAGAATTTAGCTAATTCAAATGTCCCTGCTACATCCCGATGACGAATACACACAGAAAATGCTCGATTGGTGGCTGTTGGATCACGATTTGAAAGATAAAATGGCCAAGGTACTTTTTAAATTCGAACTTGTTTGAATGTTATTTTTAAAATCCTACCATGTTTTTCAGTCTGCTTATTTAGGTGATTACTCCCCGTTTTGTTAATGCTGAAGGGCCATACACCTCGATTTACCGAATACCGGACCAATTGCTTACATCAAGATTACGTGGTGGAAAACCCGTCGCTCACCGCTACCAGATTGCAGTTCTGGAAATAGATGGTTTTTATAATTTTTATATAAAAAAGAACAATGTTTTAGGTAACCCATTTCCGTCTGTATTTGGCCCCATGTCTGAACATAGTAAAGTCGACTCATACGTGGACAACTTCCTGGAACAAGCCTTAAAGAATCGTTTAAAAGAAATTGAAAGAAAATAGTCTTTTGTATTGTTTGTGCTTATTTTGTTGTTTAGTTAGGAATAAATAGTTATAATTATCTTTTCAAAATTACTATATGTTCAGTGCAGAAAATTCCCTTTGGTCCTATTCAAGAACTCTTGTGATAAATATTTTTGTAGAGTATGGATCCTTTCATACCCGGGACCGGGAGAAGTGCCAGTACATCAGCTGAAGACGCGCAAAAGGCGTATCTCGCTGAACTACGAGCAAAAATCACTGTCGGTTGGTTTGCCGGTCCGTTTGATGCCAATCCGAAATTTGATAAAGCCGTAGGTTTTTTTTATTCAAATCAATATTTTCATGTTTTTAAGATTGCGACATACAGTCAACGATTCGGATTTGGGTCGTATAACTTCGTGTGCTATCCGATAGGTGGCGCAAAACGAGGATTTTGGAAATATGATAGGTAAAAGTTTCTTCGTTTTACTCAACTTTGGATACTTAGTGCAACCGAGATGCCTCCAATTGACTTGCCAGATCTTCAATTACAAAACTCACTTTGGGAAACGTATAAACTTTGTGTAGATTTTGATTATCTAATTTTTAGATATGTAAACGGGCAAATCAGCACTTGGATTGATTGTGATTCGCATGACGAACAGCTTGCCTTGTTAAGTGAAAGCGAGATTTCAAAAGTAAGTTTATGTTACCTTTTTGCTAAAACATTCGGTTAATTTTTAGGAACTGAATTATGCTTGTTATCTCGGCTTAAGAAATGTGACAGTTCACTTAAAACATGCATCTTCACCTCGACTTGCTGCAATTTTACGAAAGTGGTTGTGGACAAAAAATGCGCATTTAACGTTAGTTTTTGGTATTTGACAACTAAACCCCAAACTGAAAGTGTAGTAATGCTTTAATTAAGGATTTGGGTTTTTGTTCCAACAACACTCGAAGTTCTTGAAAGAAATCACGACGATCCGGATGAAATTTGGACGATAGTATGTTTACTTTGTTTGTTTGGAACAGAAATTTGTAAATTTTTTACTAACAGATAAATTTTAGTGGGCAAATTTTCGCCGACTTTGCAATGATTTCTTCTGCAAGAAACTTTTGGTTGGGCTACACCTGCAATCAAATATCGATGATGAATTTGTCGATGAAAAGCTTTCTTCGAGGTGGAGAGGAGAGCCGGTTTTTTATTTTAAGTTTGCAAAAATGTTTATCAAACGATTTAGTTGCTTCCGTTTTGCATTGATTATGATATCTTTATGAATGCAACGGATAATCCTGTCCCAATGTTATCAAGGTGCTTACAAATTTACCTTATCAGTTAGCTATTCGCATTGTTTAGAGCGCACGCCGATCTTCTGTCGAAATTATGGATGAAAGAAATATCCCGCGTGGTTATTCGCGGCCCTTTGGACAAAGAGGTGTGTCGTTGTATTTGGCTCATTGTCTTCAACGGTCTCATTTAGGTCCCACAAGAGACGCTTATCAATATGGCCACTTCCATACGAAAAGTTGTAGACAACTGCTCATTTATGGCTGAAGGATTTACGGACACAGGCTTTTTGTCTTGCGGAACCATTGATTATATGGATGTCTTGCAGGTAATTGGGTTCTCAACTAAACCTAAATTTTGGAGTTTCAGATGCCCTTGCAGCCACTTTCTGACAACTTGGATTCAGGAGTTTACAACACTTTTGAGCAAGATCCGGTCAAATATAAAAAGTAATTAATCTAACTTTTACATAGAAATAGTTACTGCTTTAGATATCAAGAGGCCGTGAACAAGGCTGTTGATGATTTGGGAGAAAGCCCAGGTTGTGAAAACATTGTGCTGTATGTGCTTGGAGCTGGGCGAGGTCCTTTGGTATCGAAAATTTTTCTTACCTTATTTAAGTAATAATTACAGGTAACGGCAAGTATAGAAGCAATACGAGAATACAACAAAACCAAGCGCACAAAACACAATCAACTCGAGAGTAAGATTGTTGTTGTGGAGAAGAATCCGAATGCTGTTGTGACTCTCAGATATTGCAATGAGAAAGCGTCAGTTATTATTAACTCTTTGTATCACAGTTTCACATTTAAGCAAATATGCAAAAATTTTAGGTGGAAGAATAAGTGCACAATAGTTGAAAGTGACATGAGAACACTGGAAGAAAAAGTCAACAAGTTGAATTTACCAAAGCCGGATATTATTGTAGGAGTTTATCATCTTATTGCTTTCAATTTTATTTTTAGGTTTCTGAGCTTCTCGGTTCTTTTGGAGATAACGAGCTCTCGCCAGAATGTTTAGATGGGGTGACATCAGTGCTCAAGCCAACTACGATTTCTATTCCCCAATCTTACACGAATTATATTGGTATTTTGATCTTTTTTGCGGTACTTTAAAAAATTGTTTTAGCTCCGATTCACTCGACGTTTATGCATCAATCGGTGATTAATGGAGCTACACCCTACTGGTGTTCAGGAATGGGTTTCCATGGTAGAAGTCTTCCAGAGGAGCAAGATGATGGAAGTTGGAAAATAATCGACAGGTAGAAAACGGCAGCAGCTCTTTTAATGTATTTACCTACTGTTTTAGAAAAGGCCCAGAGATTACAAACATGGACCAAGTTTACGTTGTGTTTTTACGGTCGTATTTTCTTCTCGCGAAACCTGTGCCGGTATTCAAGTTCGATCATCCGAATTTCAAAAGCTCATCAAACGAGCGCAATGGTCGTGTGAAATTTACCATGGAAATCAACTCTGATGTATTTTTTCTCAGCAGTACTAATATATGTTCGCTTTAGATAATGGGTTTTGCTGGTTATTTTCACATGACCCTCTACAAAGATGTGGTATTATCCATCGAACCATCAACTCATTCACCAGGTTTAATTAGTTGGTTTCCAGCTTTGATCCCACTGCGGAAGATGCATCGTTTGAAAAGTGGAGATCAGGTAATAAATTTTTATGCTTAACTTATTGGTGCTTTATTTAGGTGACTTTTTGCATTGATCGAAAAATTGATGATACCGGTGTCTGGTACGAATGGTTCATTGAATATGAGGTTGGATTTGGCGTCTTATCAAAAATTTTAATGATCGGTGTTTAGGAAAATGGTCTACTCAAGCAGAGCCCTCTACAGAATGAAAATGGTGAAAGTTATTACATGAGATTGTGAGTGAGTTGTTAAATTTTATGTTGTTTATTTTTGTTATTTTGTTAATTTTTTTTGTTTTAAAGGTTTATTAGAATGAAGGTTTATTGACAAAAACAAACGACAGACAGAAACCAGTGATTGAATTTTTTTTGAAGTGGATCCTCTTAAATGCCAGCCTAAAGAAAAAATTTTTAAAACCTCATCGAGTATACGATACGCGTTTTCAGCTTGACTTGCACTTTTCCCTCCTTTAGATGCCGATCGTCCAGATACGATCTTCTTTTTCGGCTCACTAAAAGTTGCAAACTGATATACGCAAAAAAATATTACTCGTCCCAGATCATATCCACATCCTCGGCCGTCTTGTTTTCGGCTTATTTGACCACCACATTTCGTTTGGAGATCTTGCGCTGTAAAAAGTCAAAGTAAAAAATGTTTGGCTTTCCACACCTCTCTTTCGTCCAATTCAAATTTGTGTGACCAAAATGAGATTTCTCTTTTTGTGCATGATCCTTTACAGCATTTTTTCTAAAGAATACATCAAAGAGAATTCAGTTTGGGTAATCTGTTTCTGCAACCACAACCAAAAAAATGTCTACTTCCACGCTCTCGTCGATCTTTCTTTTATTTTCCCGCACATTACAATTCCCATTCTGCCAATGAGAAGACTGATCATTGATAAGTAATAAATTATTTAAAACATTGACACTTTCCACAAACAAACGAATTTGGGTGAAGAAAACAAACTTACTTCAATGCTCAGCTTTCACTCGAAAACAGCAAATACTTGTAGCAAAAAATAACAAAATCCGGATTCATTTCTTTATTTTCAAAGTAACCTTCCATATGCAAAGCATTTATATGTAAATGTACATGGTCTAATTTAAACAGCAACAATGGCAATGAATAAAGATTTTAAAGATTGTGTCCGGCGAGCATATTTGGAACGCTAAGTTGCCCTGCGTCGGCCAACGATCCGATCATCTGGGTCGTGTCTCTGCCCCTAAAAATTTGTTAAACGTTAGAACATTACAATTGCTTTTTACTTCATGAATGCCCGTGATGCGATCGTATGTGGAACGGTTGTCGATAGAAGTTTCTTCGGGATTTCTGGTGGTGCCGAAAGCGGGTCTAGCAACAGTCGAATCAACGATTGCCAGTGTCGATCAATTAATTGATTCACTAAAATAAGAGAATCAACAAATTGATTAAATGCTAAACGAACCCTCGAAATCGTCATCATCTTCGCCAAATGGGTTCTCGATGACCTGAGATAATCATATTATAGCATAGATGCCATAGGTTTTACCTGAAAACTTTTCACCCAGCCCACGTAAATCATCATTTGAAAAGTTGTGTAGAAAAGGCCCACAAATGAACTAAAATAGTAAAGTATTTTAGCTGATCCGGATTAACAACACCTGAATTCGAAGAAATTTCCCAACTGAAATCCATTGTGCACTGCTTGAAACATTTGGGTGATTGCACACGTTATGATCACCAGAGTCATCACCTAAACAGCAAAGTTCTGCTACTCAAAATCAATTAATAAACCTGTGTTAGTGCAAGTGGCATCGGGACCCAATCAAATGAAAGAATATCGCCCAAATGTCCACGTAATTTGAACAACTAAACATATTTTATCGATAATGGTTAAGCTGAACGCTACCGTTGTAACAAATTCCGTATAGTGTTTTTCGCTCATAATCGATTGCTTTTTCTTGATTTTTCGAGCTTTTCCTGTGATGAATCCCTCTTTTTGTTCGGGTCTAAAAATTGAAGTTATATCGATTATGAATGCTCACGAGCTAACCATTTTATCCCTTTACAAAGCGCTTGCTGAATGATTATCAATGCCAACTTTAAATTGGCAAAACTCACATATAATATTTCTTGACGACAGTGACGATCCATTCAAACGGAATCCAATAATGCGGATTTTCGGGTCCAATCCTACCAATATCCAAAAGCTCTTTCTCTTCTCTAAAGCAATCAATAATTCAAATATTTCCAAAAGCACTCACCCAGTTATGATTCCTCCATAATGGGTCAAATGTTCGAGTGTGGGAAATCTAAAGATGAAACATTAACCAGTAAATTAACAAATTAACATCAATTAACAACCTTTTGCGAATTTTCACGGACACATCGCGCAGCAAAAGAATGTAGCCAAAGATGAGGTAACGGGCCACACAACTACGCAATTTCAACATCTCGGCAGGAGGCAACTAAAAATACGTTAACTCAATTGAATATGAATATCAAAATGTCTCTCACAGCAGAGTCATTGACGGTTGCGTTAAACGAATGAGCCACATCATCAGGCCAATGCAAAAGGCCATACATGTCGATCCTAAAAAAATAAAAATAGCTCTATCAAACATGAGATGTACAAGTGATATGTCGTCGCCTGCAACCTCAACTCACCAACGATTGAAGCAATAAGCGGAAGAAAACGCGAGAATGAAAGCCATCGCCACTTTGAGGTCATTTCGTGTGACATAATCCGCAAATCGCTTGAAATCTTTCTCGATTGGATGACCCTAAAAATATGATTGAAAAAGAAAAAAACATAAAGACCCAACCACGACAGCGAAATGAAAAGTAAACATGAGAATGAGTGTGCAAATCAGCCACACCAACGTCTCCCACAAAACTAGCTTCCAGATTGAGCCTAAACATTTATAATAAAGAGGATTTACAATTAAAACGAGCTGTAAATTGAAGAATCTCTAAAGATATGCATCGCAAAACGAGTTAAGAGTAAACAAGTCAAAAGTAAATTGGAAAACTTATCAAAAACTGATCCTGATGTGTGATAGCGTAGTTTTTAATGTCAGCTAGTATCCATTTTGCCAGCTAGTAGCCATTTTTATCCCACCTTTCCATTTGAGTCCAAGTTTGAAGATGAGATTCCATTTTGCAGTCGCTGTTTCGAGTGAGTAGTTGACCGTCATTTACCGCGCATCGATAGTTTATGAATTTTTTCTCTTTTACGACAACCTTTCAATAATTAGCATATTTGTCGTAATTTGCATATTCAGTCGGTTCAGTGAATATGCAAATTTGGACAAATATGCTAATTATTGAAAGGTTGTCGTAAAAGAGAAAAAAGCGGGAGTGGGACAAATGCTACCTTTTTTTTTGCGCACCCGGACATTCGCGCACCTTTTTTTCCGCACTTAGCTCATTAGCGCACCTTAAAAAAGCTCTAAAAAGCTAATATTAACCAATTTCTATTCCAAAAGTTGTTTTTCTAGGTAATTTGAGGGAGTCGAATTCAAATTTTGACATAACAGAGCATGTGGAACCAATTTGAAAGACAAAACGGCTAGATCAAATTACAGAAAATTGTTGATTTTTCTCTTTGTATAACTCCGTCCGTTTGTTTCCACAAGCTCTGATATGCCAAAATTTCGATTCTACGCCCTAAAATTACCTAGAAAAACAACTTTTGGAATAGAAATTGGTTAATATTAGCTTTTTAGAGCTTTTTAAAACGCGAAAAAAGGTGCGCTAATGGGCAAGGTGCGGAAAAAAAGGTGCGCAAATGTCCGGGTGCGCAAAAAGAAGGTCGCATTTGTCCCACTCCCAAAAAAATTGATAAACTCGTTGCTCTTCGCCCTTTTCCCATTTCATTCTTATTTCTTCTTTTTATTTATTTATACGTTTGTTTTTTTTTTTGCTTTCCTTCTCAAGTTCTTATTTAGAGTAACTCATTTAATGTGGCATTTCATGTTGATTTTCCTCTATGTGCTCTTCTTAGCTTCTCGTGAGTTTTTGCTTGTAACACTTTTTCTCTTGTCTAGATTCTAAAACTTTATGCTATTCTCTAAAAATTTGCTTATTTTAGTGGTTCTCGTTGGATGTGGGAAATCAAAGGATCCTGAAACGGCCGAAAAGGCACAACGGCCAGTCGTCTATGTAAGTTTTTGCCTACATTATGTTCATGCCGTAGTTCTTTTCTTTGAATAGCTTATAATTCTATTGTTCAGAGTGTCATTTTATTGAAAGGTGTCACTCCAATAGAAAAGTTACGGTAACTTAAGGCGTAGAAAGTTGAAAATTCTATAGAAAATTTTCAATTGAGACGCCAGTGTGTATCAGACGAAACATTAAACGATATGGTTTCATGTAAACACATTCATTTTAGGCAAAAACCACACCACCAACAAGAGTGATTCTCCCAGCTCCTTCATCCGGATCTGAAACCGAAAAGGAACTGGAAAATGCAGAGAAAAAAGCTGAGGTATATTTGTTTTCAAATTCATTTTTCTTAGTCAGTATTTTAGGAAAAATATAGCAAGACGCCATTAAAAGCACAGAATGGAAAGGGCAAAAGTGTGAGCGGAGAATCGTCGGAGAAGCTCGAGCCGAAGGTAATCCCAAGGACACAAAAGGCGGTGAGGTTTTAAGATTGGCGGGTATGTTGACTTTAAAACAGTAACGTCGCCTAAAGACTACGATTGCGTATTGTTGCATTTAAAGTTTTAAAAATTAGTCGATAGGAGATTGTGTTTCTTCCAGGATCTACGAATTGTTCAAAAATGTTTTCATTTCAGAAGTGGATAGCAAACACGAAAGTTACCCGAAAGAAGAACGATTATCCAACCGTCGACGATGTGCCTAGCGATTGGGGAGATGACGTTAAGTATAGTTTTCGAGTGTCCCCCTCTCTGAATTTTCAATTTTTAGTCCATTTCTCAAAAACTAGTAGATAGTTCTGAGAGTTTAAAATACCATTTGATAGCAAATTTTTTTTGCGCATCTTTGGAAGTATAAGCCATTGCGAATGGATTATTGGGTAGCGAGAAAATATACAAAGTATAAAGGGGGAGAGTACTCTCCCTAAAGTGTCCCCCTGCGAAAACTGAAAATTCAGAGAGGGTGACTCTCAACAAATATACAGTAAAGTGAGTGCAACGTTTAGAGCTTTTTAATTATTCCTTTTCTTTAGAGTCAGAAGAAAAACAAAGGCAACAAAGTTAGGGTTGTTATTTGTTTGTGATAAAATATTATTGTTCTTGGTGCTAAATATAACGTTTCTTTCTAGCCAATGACAGAACAAAAGAAACAATAACGACGAGAAATTACCGCAAAAACTATCGATTTTTCATACGCTTCATATGATTGTTTTGATATGATTGATATGCTTCATATGATTGTTTTGATATGATTCATATGCTTCATATGATTGTTTTGATATGATTCGTATGCTTCATATGATTGTTTTGCTATGATTGATATGCTTCATATGATTGTTTTGATATGATTCGTATGCTTCATATGATTGTTTTGATTGCCGTTTAATAAAGCTCTATTTGTCGAAAATTTGTAATTTTCTAAACAGCTATTGGGCTTTTTGTAATTTTTGTGCCAATCAGGGTTTTTTGCATTCACATTCAACTCCAAGAATGTTTTTAAAGTCATATCCGAAGGTTGTCATTCCCATAATGCAAAAAGCGTTAAATGACGATCAAAATCTAATCCTAACCAATTTTCAACAAATTTGACCGTAGAAAAGGTCAAAGTCCCCAATCATAAACTGTTTTCCCTACCACATATCTCAAATTAGCCACAATTTTCTCGTTTGCCTTTTCTTGACTCGTCTTGTGATTTCTCGAAATGTTTACAAATTTTCTTCAATATCTTTTCCTTTGCAATAAGTTTTTGAAAGTTTAACCTCCCGAAAAGCCAATTGAAACGAACTTGTTTTGTCTTCTGATCATCCGCCAAAAATAAACAGTTCTTCAATGCCTCAAAGAAAAAAATAAACACTCCTCTCGATCTCCCAGTTTTTAGCATCATTTACCCTTTGTTTATTTTTGATCAGTTTGAAAATCTGTTTTTCTAACGGAAAATCTGTTTTTCTAAACTATAGCTTGCTTAAAATTTGACCAAATTTAGAAATAACACTATTCAATGTATTTTTCGGATAGAACTCTTTAAAAAGATTGTCAAATTTCAGATGTTCGCTAAGGTCTCTCTCGTTTTCGCTTCGTTTTTGACGCTTTTTATGATCTCGGCTCATATGATGCCACCGGAGATGCCGAAGAGAGAAAAAACGTAGTTTTGAGTTGCATTTGCTTAAATAAATAAAGCTGTTTGTTAGAATGTTACTAGATATATGCAAATTTTCCATCCATTTCTAGGGTCTCACGAAAATTCAAACGGCCGTCACAAGCCCCGAGCGCACCTTTGATCTCACTGAAGAGATGAAAAATGTATGAACGATAAGATGTAACTTTAAAAAATCTAATCTAGATCTTTTCATAAGGATTTTCATAAAACGAGCACCAAAAGATACGTAAATATCCGTTTCAGACAAACCGAATGAATGTGACCGGGACGGCCGTCTGTAAGGATAGCCAGGTTTGGATTTTAAGATTTTAAGAAGTCTTAGGATAGACAATATTAATAATAACAGTTCAACATCTACATATTTCTGCAGATTGCCGGTTTCTTGAACTATGCCATGTCTTACTACATTCACAATATGGACGGCCTCAGCAGTTATGTTCTTGATCAGGTACTAAACTCAATATTTCCATAAGTTCTATGTGTTACCAAGCTTCTTTTCAAATTCCTTTTTAGATTCAACGCGCTCGCAAACCCGGGAAATGGCTGGTCCATTCGCAGATCATTGCTACAGGTCGTCAGGTGAGAAATGAAGTTATCGGACATCAGGGAAAAGGGGTGGAGCGCCCCTTTTCCCTGATGTCCATTGATAATCTAACTTTGAGCTCAAATATCTTTGTGTTGGGCTTGTCTAATTTAAATATTCTTTGTATCATTAAATGCGCCAAGTCTTTCTCTATCGATTGGTAGAAAAAACTATTTAAATTGAACAGCTCAACATCAAGATATTTGAGCTAAAGTTAGATTGCCAATGGCAAATGGCCAATGGCAAATGGCGGGGCGTGTATCAAATGTCCAAATGAGAAATTGGGGAAATGATGGCAATCTCTTGTCTTGTATTGCACTCATCAAAAGTATTTTTTAGCTTAAGAGAAGAGACATCAATTCTACATCAATTCAAATCAATTTCAGGGTCCCGATTGGCAGACGAAAACCAACGGCGACGTGTTCAGCCAGCCGCCAAACAACTGGTAAACTTTCGATCAATCCCATGAGGCTTGAGTTTTACCTAGAGACCGCATAGTGAAGTTCAACTACATAGTGAAGAGCTCAAAAGTTCAACCATTCAATTTCTTGAAGCTTCTTTTATTACAGTTTACCAGCAGTAATATCTACAGTTCTGAAAATGGGCAATTTTGTAAATGCAAATTAAATCTTAATGTCCTGGCTAATAAACTAATCAGTTAGCGCAAAATCGAAATGCTGTTTGAGGTACGCTTGCTACTACCACGACACGCAAACCTACATTCTCGTTCTTCGACTTTATTGATGATGAAATTGATGTAAACCAAACGTCTTTTTCTGAGACTTTCAATAAACATTTTATTCGTAAAGGCAAAACCCGTCAGAAATGAGATATGAGATCATTTTTTTTTAAAGAATCCAGCTTTTTAGCTTTTTAGCTTCACCACCACGAATTCCGAAATCGATTTCCCCGGAATCCTCGGCTGGAATGGTTTCTTTTAATTCAACAACTTACAAGATGTGCATTGTCATTTAAACAAAAAAAAAAACGATTCTTGACTCACTTGATAATCGTCTCGATTGATGGTCGTGCTCGTTGTGGAAAAGCGATTCCATTCTCGTCAAATATGTATGATTCCACGCCCACATTTGACTCGAATCTTCCGGGATAGATCTAATAAACGAAAAATACTTTTGGCTTTGAGTAGATCAAATTCTGTCTATGATCAGTTCGATCGTTTATCTTTTTTAGGCTCATTTCCTTTTCATTTCGATTCTTACCGGTTCTCCAGCGATACTCCCAATCGGTCGCACGAAATCTCGACTCGCCCACGGCTGTCCTTCTTTTCTCATCGAATCATCGAGATCTTTTCGAATTCGAAACATTTCCGAAAAAGTTCTCATCGAGTCATAAGAGGCACCTAAGAATTTCTCGATATTTAAGAAAAATTGATGTTTCTGTTCCTCACCTTCTAAAAAAACAAATGAAGAGGCAAAGGAAATGAGCACAATAAACGAGTTTCGCATGTTTCTCACAATAAACAGTTAAAATGAAAGGGGAGAAAGTGGCGAGTTGATTTTCGATTTCATTTATAACCGTTTTCACGAGAAGGCGGTATCTCATCACTCATATGAAAGATAGAATGGTAAAGATGAGAAAATTACGGAAATTTCGACACGCCTTAGCACTACAGTTGACTCTAGCATTGGGCGATTTGCAAGCTGGCATCAAAATAACCCTCAACTTATGGACCATAAACTCGTCGTTGATATTGCGAAATTCTCAGTTCAAATGTTAAAACATAATCTTAACACAGAAAATAGATTTTCTTGGTTTCAATTACAATACAAATTACAGACAAAGGTATCAAGTTTTTAGTTTAGATGTCATTAGAATCCAGTTTTTTTTTGAACTTCAAAGCTCTTGTTTATAAAATTTCCCGATTAATTGATCTTAGAGAACAACCGACTGTGTCGTCATTTGCACACAAAGAGCAATATCTTCTCATATGCACAGGAAATCATGATTGATACGATCATTTTTGAAAAGGCTCACGGCTTTTTGTCGTTCTGCAAGAGAGTCCGATTTTAAAAGATCTCCCAACTTATTTGGAGGAAATTGAAAATGTCTCAGATTTCAAAGCATTTTATTTCAAAACAAAACACAAGTACAACAATTTATTCAAGTTTTCTAAAATGAGATTGGCATTGGGGTCAGTTGGCGAGGTCAGCATTCTGAAGTCGAGTCGAGGTTCAAAGATGGTGCCGAGAAAGATCCCTAAAAAGAAAAAATAAATACGTATGTTATAAACAAAAAAAATCCCCAACCTTAGCTTTGAAGTTTTTCGCATCGATGTCGTTGCAGGTCTTTGATGGCGTTTTGCGAAAAGCCGTTGCCACTTCACGAAGACTTGTCTAAAGGAAAAACCATTACATACCAAAATCCAAAGACATACCTTCAAAGAGCTGCGGAGGGATTTGAGAAAAGCCATCTTTGGAAGTGAGTTCTTCTTGGCGGCTGGTGTAAATGAGCCCCTAGTGACGGATGATGGAGAAGCTGTAGTTGCCGTTGTAGATGAAGGACTGGTGATGGCACGTTGAACCTAAAAGGAAATCTAGACAAGTTCCAAGAAAAGATGATCAAGAAAAAGAGATAAGCCAACCTTAAAGACGACTTTTTGTGAGTTGACAAAGTTCTTCGAGGCTTCAGCGTCCAAGAAGTGTACGTAGACTTTGTGCATTGCATAATAGCCTTGTGCGAGTTGTTCGGTCGAAAAAGCGCTCTCATCATGCGTGTCAATCTTGAACTCCCACTTGAGACTAAAACAAGAAATAAAATCTCGCCAAAATCAACAATCAATTACCCGTCCTCTTCTGGCATCGAAACCAAGGCTCGTCCATTGTTGTCCGTATTGTAGAATAAGACGAATGGCACCTTGGGGATACCAATTGGACGGTAATGAATGTAGAGGAACGAGCGACCAGGATAGGCAATCTAAAAATCAACAAATTACCGACCAAATAAGAATAAGCTTATTCTTATTTGGTCGGTAAGCCTTTACCTTGTATGAGCCGCTAAAGGTAGCCGAGATGAAGTGTACGTCTTGGATGCGCTCTTTTTGTGGGATGGCCAAGTTCTCATCCAGCGCCTCGACTCGCAGCGATTTGATCGACAACATCACACGACCTCGTTGGATTTTGACAGGAGGAAGAGGAGCCCTAAAATAAAAGTTAAGATAGTTTTTTTAGACTCAATAAAATAAGATGCGATAAACTAAATTTACCGAGCAACATGAGTGACAGGGATGAAATCAGCATAAGAGTCGACTGCTTCTTGATCCTCCTCAAGCATTACCGCAACCACAAAGATGATACAGACAACGAAGAAAGTGACAAAGAAGCAATCAAACGAGTACCTAAAATTAAAAAATTATGGTACGTGGTTAAGAACAAAAACTAAATTTAAAAAAACAAAAGATTACCTCTCTGTTGGAATTGGAAGAGCCGTTGAAATTTCACACAGTTCAGCTGGAAAAAAAGGCAATGAGATGATCGACGTGAGCAAGAAGGATGCATTTTGATTCGAAAGACCATCATCACCATCACAAGTTGGAAGGAGAGCGACCGATGACCAATTCGCCCAATTTGCCGATGCGCCAACGAGTAGAACTAAAAGAAGGAATAAAGTGCAATACAAAAACGACTTGTCTATAAAAGTTATAGCTTAAAGTGCAATCAATTGTCTGTCAAAAGACGCTAAAAACGTTGCAGCATAAACACAGGTCAAATGGGCAACAAGAAATAAAAAGTATCAAAAACCATGGTACTTTGGTGGTTGGGAGGGGCCACTTTTATCCCGGCATAGTTGGATCTAATGTTTTGAGTGGTTGTATTGATACATTTTCTCTACCTATTCTAGGGTAATCAAATATGCCTGTACTTTTAAAGCATTTACAACATTTTCCAAGTTTCATACTGCCGCTTTTATTTGATTTTCAAGTGTAAGCAGCTTTGGGGTAGCGCTTGGTGGTTAAAATACATGAGATTAGGCTAGAATTGTCAAAAACTTGCTAGAATCGTCACCAATCTATTAATCATATTTGATTACCTTAGATTAGACAAAAGGTATCAATACAACCACTCAAAACATTAGATCCAACTAAGCAAGGATAAAAGTGGCCCCCTCCCAACCATCAAAGTAACAAAACCATACCATTGTAGCATAAAAACAAATGGGCAACAACATGATAAATCAAAGGCCAAATGGGCAACAAGAAATCAAAAGTGTAAATCATACCAAGTAGAGTCAGTTGTTGAAATTGAAGAACCATTGTGCAAGCAGAAGTGTCAGAAACAAATGATAGCCAACAAAGCAATTCGACTTTCTTTTATTTGAGGCTTAAATGCAAATTTGTCACTTTTCAGACACTTTCGCGCCAAACATGCAAAATTTTCAACGTGACGGTTTTTTTAATTTCATTGTTGACGGATTTCATTGTTGAATTTAAATTGAGTCACCGGATCGAGTGAAACGGTTGGCTGCAGCTATTGTAATCATTGTGCCATTGCAATCATTGTGCAGCCATTGCAATCATTGTGCCAATTGAAACCATTTTTTTAAGACTAAGAGAACTTTACTCTATCTTTAGAAGTAAAAGAGCTAGAGAAGATCAGATTTTGAGCGACCAAACAATCTTTAGAGAACTCTAGCCAATAGACAATAGTTATCGGATTAGCAGAGTACGTTTTTTTCCCCTTTTTTTATTTTTCCTTTTGTAGTTTTCACCTCAAAAACAAGCCTAGCGTTTCAAATTTCAATCTGTAATTCATAAATAGCAATTACCAGCGCATTTTTCTTTCTCATCTATAGGAGAACAAAATTTTTGAGCAAAAATGTCTCTGAACTTTTATCCCTAATGATTGAAAACGAATTTGACGAAAAAATGTACGAGAACAGGTGTTTTTTTTCTTGACACGAGACAGGATCAAGATTTTGTGGGGGATTTTTTATTCTTTAGCATTTATTCTTGGTTTCTCATTACAAATTCAATTATTAATGTCATAAAATAATGATCGTAAAAGATTTCAGACTTTTGATTGCAGAAAACGAAAAAGTAGACCACGGATTTTCTACTCAGTCAGCGTGAGAGTGTTTTTGAACTTTTTGAAGGCTTTTTTTCTTTTTTCTCTTAAATAGTACGTTTTCTAAAACCAGCACCTTTCAAAAGCTATCGTAATCTTGACTACTTTTTATTCAATCTACCGTAAATACTGTAATGGTACCCCACCCCCATAATGACGGTGCGGAGTGTTGCGTAGTCTAGCTTTGAACGCGTTTTTCTCGACACTGGTTTATGCTACAATGCGCGCTTAGGTATCAAAAAATAGCTGAAATTCAGGGCTATTTTTTGATACCAAAGACGCATTTTTTGAAAGTACGAGCGCTTTGAAAAAAATGAAATTGCTAAAAAGCTTTTGCGACTACGCGATTGTACGAGGGGGATGGGGTACTTACGGTACTATTACACGTACTACTATGGTACTATTACAGTATTTACGGTATCTACTTTTGAAAGCCGGTAACTTTCACGAAAGCTCACCGAATCAGATCCAGATTGAACAAAAACTTTACGTAAGCTTTTGTAAGATTACGATAGATTAAAGTTACGCTTAACAAGTTTATGGTAGCTTCAAAAAGTTGACACTTTTTAGAAAATGTATTATTTCAGAAGCACCACTTACTATTCATGCAATCAGAGTTGACTTTTGCACAGCACCAAAAATTGCAAAGTTGCTCGGACCACGCAAAGCAGCAAAGATCGCGAGAGCGGCTATTAAATTTTGTTTTCCAAACCCCTTATTAGACCTCATTCATTAAAAAATCACAACTTTTTCTACAAAAAAAAGCTTCCTCTTTGTTCTAGAATTGAATTTTGCGTATTTTTTATGCTCTTCTCTTCTTTCAAGAATGTAAATCCCAAATAAAATCCCTATTTACCCAGGAATGTTGTTGGTTGAGTATCTTCACTACATCGTCGCTTTTCCCACCATTTCTCTCAATTTACTGTTGATATTGTTGATCGTTTTCTCAACGGGAAAAGCCTTTCGCTCGTACGCCATTTTGCTGTTAGCGAACGCGGTGGCCGATATGTTGTACACAATTTTTGAGACATTAGCAATGACAAGGTATTTTGAGAATCTCAGTACTTTCGATCCAACAACCGAAAAGGTTAAATGTAAATTTTCTAAGGTAAAAACGCTAGAAAATGTTATAAATGGCCTTATCAGCTTAAATCTATTCTAAACATGATAAAATTCAATGATTAAGTAAGGGTCAAAGATCAATTTGCTTTTCAAAAGTTTTCAAAAGTTCGATCCAGTATCCAGTTCGCAGCTATTGGGTTGGTGAATTGAAAACTGCGGGACTTTGAACTAAAATTTATTGAACATAAAACCATAAATTCATTCCAAATAATTACCATTATTATTGACGACTTCTGCCCATTTTACAGGCAATTTGCGGATTCCTCTTTCGTAGTAGGATTTTGGCTTTGTGTGTGAGACAAGTGTGAGACTCAAAAATGGAGGACTGGAGATCTCCAGATGTCCCAGTTTGAGCACTTTCTTCAAAAGAAACCCATTTTGGTGTCAATAGAAAAGTTGTAGAGAATCAAAAATTAGGCTTATAGCCAAATTTCCAAAAAGATACACTTAGTAGTTTCGCTTCAAATGCAAGTTGAAAATTCGTAAATTTGGCATTTCTTGAAAACCAGTTTTTGAATCGTTCTGACAATTTGGATATAAGCTTTATTTTTGATTCTCTACAACTTTTCCATTGAAACCAAAATGGGTTTCTTTTGAAGAAAGTGCTCAAACTGTCACATATGACAATAGCCCGCAGTCTTCGATTCACCAACCCAATAGATTGAGATCAGCCTTGATTTGGGAGTAGTGAATGTCGAATTTGAGGATTCGGAAACGGTCAGAAGAGATTGGCGAGCAGAGAGGGAAGGGGGTTATGTAAAAGCCCTGCGCCAGACGACGAGCGATTACGCGGTCGCACATAGAAAACACCAATTTTAAGCGAAACTACGAAGTGCAATCTAAAACTCTAAAACAATAGATATCTAAAACTAGTTTCATATTTATTACGATAGCCACAATATGATAGCTGACACCAAAATGGGTTTCTTTTGAAGAAAGTGCTCAAATTGTCACATATGACAATAGCCCGCAGTCTTCAATTCACCAACCCAATAAATATGATAAAATTCAAGGATTAAGTAAGCGTCAAAGATCAATTTGCATATTGACTTATTGGCTAAGTAAACCTAGAATTGAAATCGATTCAGAGTGATCCCGATCGACAACAATTTGGCCCTTGTCTTCCATGGTGTTTGCAAGTTCATCAACTGGAAAGTCTGCTTTGACGGTGAGCTCTTTGCATTCAATTCCTCAATTGCAACTCTTTCAGCTCACGCAATCTCTATCCATCTCGTCACTTTTACCCTCACTCTGTTGCCAATATCATTTTGGTAAACAAATTTAGTTATTCATAACATTCACTACCAGGTATCGCTATCGAGTCACCCAGAAAACCCAGCCACCACCTCGAAAGATCATTCTGCTTATTCTAATCGCCTATCTACCATCACTTTTGACCATGGTTTGAAGTTAAACAACATTTCTATATAGAAAAGCTCTTTAAATGAATCCAATTGATTGAGATATCCAGAACAAGCGAAACATTATAACTTTAGTAGATTGAAATCTTTTTAATCAATCCTTTCAATCATTTCAATCATTTCAATCATTTCATTCAGATTCCATTCACTTTCGCTGGTGTAACTCCAGAGAGAATGTTAGCCATATTGGCGGAAACGAATCACAGTTTTCAAGCACTGAATCTCGGTGATTCAGCGATTTCCGGACTAGAACCTGTGTGGAATGTCAAGTTGGTGAAAGTTTACGACAGCTTTTTAACTTGTACTCTAATTGACGAGAAAAATTGTTGCATATCCAAGGTTTCATTTGCAGAGCGATCTCCTTCGATGTTTGGCTTTGCTGCCCATGTTTTCCCGTTTATTCATTGGCTTTCTTATATCGAAAGAAGTTTATCTCAGCTCTCCGCGGGTCCACATTGTCTCATCGAACGAAAAGTCTACAAGAAAATTGTGTGAGAGTAAGTGAAAATGGGTTAAAACCAAAAATTCAACCGATAGTTCCCCATGCTGCCGTGGCCGAGTGGTTAGCGGTCATGTATTCTAGTCGAGAGGTCAGGGGTTCGGTTCCAGCAACTGACTTTTTCTCCGATACATGGATCTTTAGGGTTATTAGGGATTGTATGTTTGCTTTTAGCCTCATTTTTTAAATGAATATATACTTTAAATATTTTCTAGGCATTGACGATTCAAGCGTGTTTTCCGATTGTTTTCATGGCTTTTTCGTCTACTTATATGTATCGACAATTTCGATTACCGTAAGTTTTCTTAAGCAGGCTACTGTATTTATCTTATCCAAAGCTTTCCAAAGAATCTAGGGTCTTGACTGAATATCTAATATCTGAATATCTAAATACTAAACAAACTAAAATCCAAAATTGCGAATTTCCAGTGGCTACCTGTCACTTCCCTACTCGGACGAGTTGATCTTCCTCTCATTTTCCGTTCTTTCCGGCTTGTCCCCAATCGTTTCCCTCTATTTTATCCTTCCCTACCGTAATCGTCTCCTTGAACTTGTCCACATTCGTCATCGTCCATCATATCGTGTTTCCACCGTTCACAACAGTGTCACCAGGAAAAGTCAAATCTATTAGAAAACGAGGAAAAGATTATACATGTCGTAGCCGATTATGAATGAAATTTTTTGGCAAATCTTTCTAGTAGAGCAACCCTTTAATGTATGAGGACAATATTATAGCATCTTGTAGCGAATTCAATTCTGCGTCGATTGGTACCAAATTTGTGAGTTTAGGTTAAAAATTACCGGCGCTACAACGTTTCATTCAAAATCGGCGGGACCCCCGTAGCCGATTATGAATTTCAGCCGATTATGAATGAGTGGGTCTAGGAGCGTCCAACCATCAAGTATTTGGTATCATTCAACGCAGAATCATTAGTAATTATGTTAAATTTTTAAAATTAGAAAGATTTGATAAAAAGAAAAAAAATTAGAGCAAAAAAACTGTTTGTTCAAGAGGAAACTTTGAGGCCCCATAATTTTTTTTCTTTTTATCCAATCTTTCTAATTTTAAAAATTTAACATAATTATTAATGATTCTGCGTTGAATGATACCAAATACTTGATGGTTGGACGCTCCTAGACCCACTCATTCATAATCGGCTGAAATTCATAATCGGCTGAAATTCATAATCGGCTACGACATATAGATCAATAAACTAGTGCTACAAGAGAATAAAATAATCAAAAAAGATGCAACGTACTGTTGTTTTTTTTACTTGCACTTAAGCTCTTGATTCGAATCAAATCTTGAGACGAGACACGAGACAGCGATGGCACATCGTTTTTGATTTAAAAACAAATAAACATTGACTGCCACACTTTTTCTCGTCTTAAAGTAATGAATATGTGTATATTAGCTTGAAAACTTCTGAAGACCTATTAAAGGAAGGTCAGAATTTGGATCGATTCTCACTAAAACCGATTTATTGGCAGGTAGATTTCGTGATTTTTTGATCAAGTTTCATGTAGGAAAGATTAAAGTGAATCAGCTCACCATTTATTAAAAGATGAAATTGCCTATACAAAACAGCATTGGTAGCAAAAATTCAACCAAATTTACGGCAGGAATTTGTCGCAAGAGTCTCGGCATAGTGAAGCCCGAAATGACGAAGTTGGCTCAGTCGCTAACCATCCTGTTCGCTTTACGGAACCGAAAAGGGAGCACCTATCTATCGGGGCGATTTGCCAGATGGTGAGCGATTATCCGGCCGCACAAAGAACACCTCATTTACAGGAGTTTTGTTTTGTATTGTAAATGGTTTCAAAACGAATATTCAGATAGCTGTAAATTTGTATCCCGGGATTTTCAGGATCATAGAGTCCATTGGCGGAGTTTATTTTAGTTCTTTGTCCCAAGAAAAGTCTTAAAAGGATCGAATTGGCTTTGGGTTTTGCATATGAATGAAAAGACCTTTTCACAATGAAAAGACCCGAATTTGCCAAAGAGAACCGAAATCAATTCCCATTTTATTTTATATTAACAAAGTCGATAATAAGAAGCCAAAATTAGATTTTGTTTTTTTTTTGTTTTATTTGTTTGTTATTGTTTTATTTCCTCGGATTCCTCAAATTGTGGACTCTTGATCGCTCGGATGGTTGCAAGAGGGATGGCTTTAAACTGAAAATTTCCCTTGCTTTCCCTAATATTTTCTTTTGTTTACTCTCACCAAACAGTGATCAACGTGGAGATCGGTTTCACGCCATTCCAAAGAATCCAAATGAATGTGTTCTAAAGATTTTCAGAAAATCTCATTGATCAATGAAAGAACAATGAAAGAATGATGAAAGAATGATGAAAGAATAATGAAAGAACAATGAAATCAATGAAAGATCAATGAAAGATCAATGAAAGAACAATGAAATCAATGAAATCAATGAAAGATCAATGAAATCAATGAACGATCAATGAAATCAATGAAAGAGCAATGAAAGAATGAAATCAATGAAAGATCAATGAAAGAACAATGAAAGAGCAATGAAAGAACAATGAAATCAATGAAAGATCAATGAAAGATCAATGAAATCAATGAAATCAATGAAATCAATGAAATCAATGAAAACAAATACCTTGAAATACTTGATCCATAAATTGTCCATCGGATACGTGAAATACGTCCACATACAGTAAGAAAAGAAAGCAAAAAGCCAGAAAAAGAGCATCTATGAAAGTTTTCATTGAGTTTTATTCAAATTTCACAACCTGTAAGAATATGTAGATTTCTTTAGATTTAATTGGTAGACGTCTCATTTTCTAAACGGATTTCATTGGGTAAAATGTCAATTTTAAAGGTAAAACAAGTTTTAAATCATGATTTACAAGTCTAAACATTGTCAAAAAGTGTTAAAAAGTCTTCGTTCTCTAAGCGCAGCCCACTATCATTGAAAGAAAAGAAAGCAGGTCTACCAGGAAACCCTTGCTCTTGTCAAAAGAACTCAAACAATTACAGTAATCCCAGTGTTTTTCGGTAGCTAGAATAATCCTCCAGTAATACAAATGTTCTTAAAACTCAACGAAAGCACTTTTCCCAACAAACCCGTCGATAAATCAGTATCCCAATGATGCCGATATAAAACGGAAAGCTGAGAAAGACGATAGAAAAATTCGCTATCTGATTTAGATAAATGAAAGTTTTGCAGCTGAATGAAAGATTTCGATCGATCGACCAAATCCCTTGATCAAGACGATAATACAAATTAAACACTTTGACACTTCCTAACATGTGCAGAAACCAATAAAATCCAGTAAATCCAACAAAAATCTAAATAATTCCCTTATTATTGCCAAATTTACAGTAATACTATAGCCAACAGATTAAAGATTCGATAGAATATAAGCTATTAAGCTTTCGAGAAATGACATCTTTTAAAGAAAGGCATTTTTTTTCAAGACAAAACGTGTTACAGTATTCTTTCACCTTGTTGACGATTGGCGTCAAGATTCTATCGGCTTTGAACGGTATCGAAACGTACAAAAATCGATGAACAGCGAAATAGATCAAATACATGACGGCAACAATCCATCCACCAGTCAAAAGTCCACCAAATATCTTGAAAAGCTCAAGTGATCAAAATTCCCGCATTCAAACTCACAAAATACAAGGGTAATCGCTTTTCGGGGAACAAAAGTTGAAAGCCGGAAAAGAAATGGGCGGATAGTTGAGAAATGTCGAGAAGGGCGATGATAATCAACAGAACGGGCACAAAATCGACACCCCATCCAAGGCGACTTCTCGAAACGATAAGCTGAATTTGGGTGGGAACTGATAGTGTTAGTCATTATGATACCCGGATGTACCAAATTTGTAGGCAAAAGAATATTGCGGAGAGGATGATATTCAAAAAACCGATCACCCAATTGAAGGCCCTCATCCTTTTCAGAGAAATCTATGGAAATTTTCGAGAATCTTCGAATGGAATCATTCAAGCGTACGCGTATTTTTAATCGGCTTCTGGAATTAGATTTGAGCCTTTTTGAAATGTTTGTTTTCTGAAAAATTGTTCTTGAACGCATTTTTATAAATCACCACATTATTAAAACAATCGACTTCAGTGAAAAAATAAAACTAGATATTTTATAATGAACAACGATATGGGAGGATTGCCCAACTAAGCCAATCACTAAAAGCTAAAACTGGAAAATTGCCACACATGGAAAGAGTAAAACAAAAAAGAGAGGGTAGACAAAACAAAGAGCCAATGTCAAAAGAAAGGCATTCTGAGGCATTATAGATTTGGCGTAAAGTCACCACCCAATTTTTAAGAATGAGAACAAAAGGAATCAAACGAGTACACTGTAGCTGATACGAAAATATGCAACTCCAACAATGTTTGTATACATGACTATTGTTCAAAAAAAGAAAAGATATTTTGGAAGTACTTTTCGAAATTTAAGAAATATAGCTACCTGGAATTAAGACTCATGAAAGTAAATAATGGGCAACAGAAAAACGTAAAAAGGGCCGTGCTTTAACTTTAGCGATCTTTCCTTTCCCGGGATGCTGATGGAGCGGCTCGACGTGCTGACGCGGCAGCATTCTAAAAAGAGTCGATAATTTTGAAGCGATTTTTGTTCTTAAATACTTTCAGTTACATATTAATTAAAATCAAAGTTAAAACAAGTAACTAATTTCTGTAAATAGTTTTTAAATGTCACCGCATATGTGGGCCGTTCAAGCAACGAGCTTCAGGGCCTGTCATTAGCGAATTTTAATTTTCCTCCAAGGATAGCTTTTCTTCGCAATTTTTGCGAACAAAAGACAACAAATGGAGGGTTTAAGGGCGACCTACTACCTAACTTGTTCAGTCTGGCTAAACAAATTCACAAAATGCATAATTCAGTTATCTAATAACATAATAACATCGAGATTTTTAAAAAATTTCTACCTGTAATTGATCTCCGAGCTGAACGGCACCTCCAAGAGCACCCATATGGTGGGCATTTGGTGAAATAAACTCCTTCCAAACCCAGTTCACAGAATCGTCAATCTAAATATACAATAGTTGCATTTACAAAACTCGACTAACATATCCTGCCGGCTCTCGCAAGTTTCCAGAGTAGCGTGAATAAGCCCACACTGACAAAGTGCAAACAATGACGAGGAAGACCGATGAGAAAATACCTGAAGGAAATACAAGTAATGTAAAACAAAACTATCTCACCCGCAATTGAATTCATACCAAGAAGTTGACAAAACTCTTGCAAAACATAATCGGCAATCATGATTGCAATGAGCACAGCCGGTGTGCGCATTGATTTGAAGAGATTCTTTCCTTCGTTTGACTTCTTGAAACTTTCATAGCTTTCCTGAAAGAATGAGTTGGTTGAAAAATTCGCTTAAAAACAAACATTTATGTCCGTTTCAAGTCGTTCCAGAAAAGTTATGCTAAAGTCAGCGCCACCCATCTTCTTGGCATTTCTAAAATACAAAATGACTAATGGTAAGGTACCATTAAAATATCAAAGGCAATTCCAAAGCTAAAGATAAACCTGAATTCACGAATGGCTTCACTGCGACAACGTTCATGTTCATTTGCTAATTCGGCCGTTTGCATGTATGGCTTTTCTCCACCACATATCTAAAAACCGAATTGAACTGATTCAATTTGGTTACAATTTTACTTCTTCCATGTTTTTGATGTATAGAGCGCGAGCGCTCGAAACGGCAGCCAAATTGTTTGCCTCTGCAGTTGCCTAAAAGAATTGTGTTCGGATTAGCAATATTTCAACTTACAATGAGCATAGACTTTGGCTCGGGAAGCTCTTGACCTTGGAAGATTTTCATGTAAGCCTAAATTCATCATCAGATTAGTAATAAAAAAAATCACACACCTTGAAATATTCGACAAGTTCACGACAAGTGACTTTATGACCAGCGATATCCTTTATCACGAGATGAGCCCCATCAAGAAGACGAGGAATCATCGCCTGCAAGGCTTGTTGAAATTCGAGTTGAATATCTAAATCAGAATCAGTACTAAGGCCTTTTAAACAAGTAACAACTCTTTAACTTTAAACATTCTGCAATTAAGAAAGAATCATTCTTTAATTTAAAGAAAGGCAAACCTGTGAGCTTTCCGTCAAAATTTGGATTTGTCGCCACTTTGAGTCCAGGATGCGGCATCAAAAAGCACTCAATTTTGTCAAAACACGAACGGATGTGCTTGCGCAATTGTTGCAACTCTGGATGTTGTTTGTCTGACAACTAAAACTCAGAAATTAAATAAAATTATGAATATATGCTACCTGCAAGCGCTTGTCAAGCGTGCGTTGTCCACCCTGAAAGCCGTACTCAGCCTCGTAGGGGAAACTCCAATCACGGACAAGAAAGATGAGACTCTAAAACATATGGGCATAGGTATTAAAAGAATGATGAAATACCTGGAAAGGCTTAGTAGTTGAACCCTCCAATGCAAGTCGGCCATACTCGGTGAAAAGTTGCAAATGCTGAAGGTCGTCTTCTTGAATATTTTGCGTCAAGTTGTATATCTAAACTTTTATTGATAAAACAAAAGCATTTAAGTATGTCTTACCTGAATAGAGCTGATCATCGTGGACAAAGCAAAAATCGTGGCACAATCTTTGACCGTTGATTGCGAGTCAAAAGCCCCTTGAGTGTCCATAAGGAGAACGGCTATCTAAAGCGCACTTACTTTATTGTGTTTCATTTAAACCACTAACCTCTTCACCGTTTTGATCTCGGATCAAGAAGGGCCGCTCCCAGATGAGAATTCCGTTCGTTTCTCGCTCACTGCCGCCACGCCACGAGAAACCTTTCAGCGGGGCATCAGGTTGAAGCCATTCATGATCTAAATTCACACAATTAAAAGCTTGAAAGCTTTATTCAAACCTTTGTTCTGCTCGAGCGCTTGCAAATAACGAAGGAAGAAGTTGAGCAAGAATGATTTTCCTTTACGATAAGCACCAGCCACCCCAATAACGGCTACCTAAAAAAACAAAAGTTGTACATTGCTTTCAAATATAAAACAAACCTTTTTATCGGCATATTTTCTGTCCAAGAGAACCTTTTCAAGAGCAGCCTCATTTAACGTGAAGGCGTGCTCAGGATCCTCATCACTCACTTCAACAATGCGAACAGCTTCAGAAACTAAAGGAAAACATTTAAAACATACATATTTAAGCACATACTTTTATCCACCTAAATCTATGCTCCAGCTAAAGAATAAAAAGGTACTTTATAGATAAGCTGAGTGGCAAACGGCACAGATATACTAATACTCTATTATCTCTATTATCTACTCTATTATCAGCAAAGTATCAACAAAAGTTAAATCGTGCCTTGAATTCGCGGTGGATGAGACTCATCCTCTGTGCGGAGGTCGGAAATTCGTTCTGGAAAGTCCACCATCTGAAAAAATAAAAATCAACATCATGTAAAAAATATGGGAAAGGTGCAAGATTGAAGGGTTGAGTCTATGCTTTCAAAAGTGACAATGATGAAATTTGAACTGCAAAATTTGAACGGTTTAAAAGCGAATGGGAGACAGGGCACAGAATTTGTAGCGAGAGAGAAACGAATGGAGGGGTTCCGCTGATAAATCGCGCCGCGTTGTTTTTCGCCACCTTGTCGAGGAAAAGGAAAATGGAGAGAAAAAACACAGCAGCGCACAGAAATAAGCCTTGCCGATCGACGAGGAAAATTTATTCTGCAAATAGCGTGTTGTGTGTCAATGTGCGTAGTTGCTTGTCTCGAGATTTCTCTCTCATTTTCCTCTTCTCATGTTACACACAGTTTAATACGATTGCCTCTCGCAAAAAATGCGATAAATTGCAAGGTCTGTTGATTTTGTTTGAAGATAAGTAGGTAATTGAAGATTGAAGGAAGATTTTACATGAAGATTGAATGAAATTCTAGAGTTGGTGAGAGAAACATTGTTGACTGAATATCTGTAATAAAATGAATGACTGTAAAAAAAAATTTTTCTTTCTTCACTCTTCTGTAGTTTCTGTGTATTCCAGGTATTGCGGTAATCTGTAACCATTAGTTAACTTGAGAAAACTATTTTATCACCAAATTTCTGTTTCAAAAAGCAAATACACGCTAGAGAAGATGAATTTACAATAAAAAAAATGTTTATCGAGTCAACATGATGAGACGACCTGCAGCGACGACCGTTAAAACTGCATACGCTCCGCAAGCGATCCAGGCATTGTACGCGTTTTGGTGGTATTTGTCCTGGAATTCGGTTTTTCTTGAGAAATTTCCGGTGCTATAGCAGCTAGTATAGCATGCTATACTAATTGGGGGCCTAGCGGGCCTAATTTTGCCGTTGGCAATGTCTGATTTTATCAATTACACTGAATCCGATTTTGATGAAAATTTGCCCATTTACCTATACTGATTTTTTGTTTTTTTTTATTTTGCTTTGACACAAAATTATTGACTTCCTAATCGACTTCTTTAAGATATAGATTAGCTGTTGCTGCTAGATTAGTTGCCAAGAAGTATCCTTTAAATTAATTATCTTTGTTACATTTTGTTGTTATTGTTGTTGTTCTATTGATAAATTTTTTGCTAAACTTCTGTAAAGAAAATTTTCATCAAAATCGGATTCAGCGTAATTGATAAAATGAGACATTGCCAACGGTAAAATTAAGCCCTCTATACTAGTTGGGGGGGCCCCACTGGGTCCCCCAACTAGTATAGAACCAAATTTTCTTTTTTACTTTCTTTTTTTTACTAAAGAAACTCTCTTTTTACAATTTACTTTTTACTAGTGCTGTTTTCAAAGGCTGAAGGCTTTTATTGAACTTGCACTCGTTTTAAACAAGTCATAAAGTCCAGATTCAATATTGTAAGCATGTAAGCACTGGGAATGGAGTGATCCGAACTTCTTCTATCATTAAGAACCCTTTACGGTAAGTTTACCATGTGATGTAGTGGGGCTTTTTCAAGCTATATGGAGATATTAAATATTAAAATGTGCTCTTTCAAACCGCTATTTGCACTTTTAGACCGCTTTTAGGTGCTGAGGTGATACCTACGAGGAGTTTAACCTCTACGCCTGTAAGAGACGCTCAACAATCGATCATGATCAGAAGCTTTCTTACAGCTAACCTTGATTTTCGTTATCCTTTCTGACCAATCCATGTGCTCGATATCGTCTTTCGATTCTTCTGGCAGATCATCCAACAAACCGATTGACTCGTTGTAGTAAAGACCACCAAGGATTCCCTGAATATCGTGATTAAAAGTTTTGAACGAAGAGGATTGGGCAAGGGGATTTTTGACAAAATATTAGATTTCTTTTTGACTTCTATTACTATATAATTGTAAGTACCTAATTGCCAGAGTTGAATACAGTTTAAATTTAAAAATTCGGTAAAAACTGATAGAATTAATAACATGTCGAGTTCTTGTAATATTATAGAAATGGTTGTAGTTCTTGTCTAAGTAGTTTTACATTTAGCACACATTTGCATTTACACATAGACACGTAGCAAAGAACATTAGTATTAACATTAGTATTAAAGAACAATATTCAAAAAAAAGTATAATAGTAAGTTTATTTCTTCTACAAGCCTCACCAAGAACACCGTTCCCCACAAGGAAAGACCCAAAACGAAGCCGCACAGCTTGGGACCGCACATAACTGAAAAATGTTAGAAAGTTATCGTTTGAAACAAAGTTAATATTTGAAAAAACGAAGAGAACCGTTCAAGAATTGATTATTCAATCTTTCATCTTGGCCTCTGTGGAAAAGAATTTGGTGATAAGCCGGAGACAGGACAAGAATTCATGACAGACTGGCAGAGAACTACTGAAATGGAGAAAACTATATTGATTATGATTTGAAAAGGTTTACACAGAAATTGTCTAAGCATTAGCAACATAGAAACAAAGTTAGCAAGAAAGTCAGACTTTGCGAAGACAATATTATTGTTTTTAGAAAGATGGAATGCTATAATTGATAAAGCGATATTCAATTGTGAAAAAGGTTTATGATTGAAATTGTTAGCCGGACAGTATTTAATGACAGCAATGTGTAGCATAATACAGTCTGCTATATTGCTATATTGTTGACTAGACTCAGTACTTCAATACCAATCACGATCTGACTTGAATCACTTTCAGTTTTTCAATTTTCAAGGCACCGGCTGTGATGAGCTGTGATCAAGATTGACCGTTCATCTCTATCTTTCTTCATTCTGTAAGTAATAAACAGCTTTTGTTAGTTCTATTGCAATGCAAATCGTTGGCAACTCTTTATATTCCTATTGACGTGCGGTTTTAAGGAACTGGGGCAAAAGCCATGCATCGCGTTTTCTAAAGAGTGGATGCGCTACCGTACCCCGCACCAAAATTTCCCTTTTGCCATTACTTTCCATTTTCTTTCATTCCATAATGGAATCGGAAACTTTGTCCGGCTTTTATAAGTCTCACTAAGCTTCCTTCCTCCTTCGTAAAATTTATTATGTTTATGTTTATGTTTATGTTTATTATGTATATTACGTAAAAGTTTTTGTAGCGCGTTTTTAAAGTACTCTCTCCCCTTGTTCGTTCCCTCCTTTTTATATTATTTGCCCATAGTTTTTTATTTAAAATTCTAATACGGTTTTGTTTCGTTTGCTTTTCGGCTCCTTTCACTCCATTTTTTTTTGAATCCGTTCACACATACCGTATAAACTCAACTTAACCAATTTGTGAAAACTAGACAATTCTTGTCGCGCTTGTCGCTTGTCTAGAGTACACAAACTTCTGAAGTAAATTGGTTTTCCAGAAATCTTTTCCTAATGTTTTAATTCAACTACCAGTTCTGGCTGTGCCCGGCTTGCTTTCCTAATATCGTTTGAATCAAACTCTCTTGCCCTTTCCCACAAACCAATACTCACATCGAGAAATGAATGATGGATCTCTTTTCCGGGGAATCAATTCCCCAACCCACCGTTCCAAAGACAAAACCCAAGAAAGAAAAGAAAAATCTCTAAAAATTCTTATCGTTTCCTTTTCTCTTTTCCCTTTATTCAGTCATTACTTCTTTTCTTCGCGGATTTTCCTTTTTTCGAGATTCGATTTTCGATTGAACTTTTGCGCGAATCTAGCTCTGACTTTTTCCTAATCTTTTTTGTGTATATTTCTAAAATGACCATCCTTCATGCCTCAAAAACGGCTGAAGAGACGCCAATGTTGGAAAGCTCGGAAAAAGGTAAGCAATTTGCATAGAAAATCGTTTTTTCATTGCCGTATTTTAGATCAAAACTCACCTTCGGCAATGAGTAATCCCGAGAAAGCTTTGTACAATGAGAATGGAATTTCGTTTGTATTAAAATACTTTTAAAATTAAGAAAAATTTTAGCGGTAAAATGACGTACATAAATTTCATTCGTGGCATGGTTGGGCCGGGGTGTTTCTCGATTCCGTTATCTCTGAAATTTGCCGGATTTGGGGTTAGTATTAGAATACAGTCGAACTTCGATACAACGAGTTTGAAATTCTAAAACGTGCTCAAACATAGCTTTCTACGTAGCTGCCCCAGCCAAATGCAATCAGTGACCGTCCAGGGCAGCTATGCAGAAAATTTGAGACACGTTTTAGGTTCGTTATATCGAAGCGATTCGTTATATCGAAGTTCGACTGTATTTTTTTTACATTGCTTTATCAGTTTTTTCAATGATGAACGGATCCAATCATTGAGCATTTATTCATTTTTACAGGTTACAAAACAGGTTCAATATTGAAATAAAAAAGGGTTTAGTGACATTTTTACGTTTGTAATTGAAATGATTTATTCTTAGCATCTGAATACTTTTTGATTCTGGAGTACTGTTAGAGATAAGAAACTTCTAGTTCTCTAACTCTTACAGTATGCCAGAGCTGATGCGTATTTCTGTTCTACAAGTAGATCTTTAAGATGTGTCTAATTATAAGTTTAAGCTGAAACTGTAGCCTTATAAAGATTTCTTACCCGAATTTCTCCAGACTGGCATCACTTTGTTGTGCATCATTGGCTATGTGGCCACGTTGAATATGGGGAAGCTCGTGAGAACCTCTCAATATCTAACTGTTATGTGAGTGGTTTTTGATCTCTGGCTTTAGAAAGCTGCAAAAGATATGTAATCTCATCTATTTACTTTCAGAACCGGTAGCAAAGCGCTGAACTACGGGAACATGGTGGGAAAAGCCTTCGAACAAGGCCCAAGATCTCTACGGAAACACTCGTCAAAAGCAAAGTCAGTGCAAGAACTTATATTCAAGACTTATTAAGGAACTTACTAACTTCATAAAGTTCATCTTTCAGATTCCTCGTCAACTCCTGCCTGTGCGCTCTTCAGCTCGGCGTCTGCGCAGTTGGGTATATCTTCACCACCGAGCATTTGAAAGATGTAAGGACAACTAAGATCGTCTAAGAATAGCAGAATTGATCTTAAATTTATTATAGACAACAAATTCAGGTACTTGATGTATTGCTCACACCAAATTCTTCAATATTGACTCAAGCAGTGACGAATCAAGGTTGGCTCTTTAACACATTCGGCCCACCGATGGACCGTACGTCGATTTTAACACTTTTTTTTTGAGGCTGAAAATTTGCACCAGGGGGTTTCAGAGTCAGTCAGTCAAGGAATTTGAATCCGTACTTAGTTTTTAAAGAAAGCTGCTCTATTTTTGGATATTTCATTCAGTTTAATTGTCCAATTTTTAAAGAGTTTTGTGATGACCGTATTCGCTTGGAAATTAAAGTTGCTCTAACTTCTAGATAAGAAAAGTATAGGATTTTATGGATATGTACTTGTTAAACTGATTAACCTTTTTTGATTCCAAATTTTCGAATAACAATCTGAGTTCTTGGTTCACTAGTTCTAGCTCTAGTTCAGCTCTAGTTTAGTTCCAATTTTTAACAACTTCAACTCTAGTAACTGTTCAATTCAGAATAGAGTATTCTTATAACAAATTTTAATGTTTAGTCCAAAAATTTTTCAGCTCGATCCCCAGGCTTCTCGATGCCTCTGCTCATCCTCCAAATGTCTATTCCATTCTCCCTCCTCGTCTCAATTCGTTCTTTCAAAATCCTCTCTTATGTTTCTCTATTCGGAAATGTTCTAATGTTAGCTGCTCTCGCAATCATCTTTCAGGTATTTTTGCTTTCAGTTACAAATTTCACTATTTTCCCTTTTCGGGGTCTTCTTCGCACCTCGCCCACCTTCGAATCTCTTCCCAATTTCACTTCATTCTCCGGGCTCATTCTTGCCACCGGATCAATTCTTTATGCGTATGAGGGGCATGCTGTGGTGAGTATTTTATCTAATAGTTAAATGATTCGTCATTATTGATTAACTGCTAGCAATCTAGTTTAACCAAAATCTATCAATTCTGTGCTTAAAACTTGTCCTTACTAGGATCCTGTCAAAGCTCGATGAAAATGCCTAGAAGTGAAATTAAAGCCTGAGACTTACAGTACCTTTAACAGTGCTTTTTTTGTATTTACTTTGAATATCAAGTTCAACTTGAACACCAAATGAGTCACACGTTTTCGATTATTAATTTATCTCTAACACAAAATTCAGGTGTTACCACTAGAGAATCAACTTCGCGATCGTCGCCAAATGAACGGCCTCCTCGGTGTGCTTTCTCTTGGAATGTCCACCACCACTTTCATCTATGCGTTTTGTGGGATCACTGGGTATTTCAGAAAATAGCAAAACTTCTACTTTAACAATTTTTCAGCTATCGAGTCTACGGGAGCTCGGTGAGAGGGAGTATCACTTTAAATATGCCCGATACTAGGTGAGTACCGCAATTCTACTGTACTTTTGACTTGTACGATAAGTACGGTACGCTACAATATCCTTTAGTACTTACCGCACTCATTAGTCTTGCTAAAGAGTACTGTAGCGTACCGTACTTATTACGAAAGATAATACACTACAACTACATCTTGCTACAGTATGACGAGTTGTAAAGACATTAAGTCATCAAGACTGAGTATCTTTATCTTCAATTGAAGAAAGATATCCAGTCTTGATATCTGAATAGCTTTGTGTAGTGTAGTGAAACAAAGACGTAGTACGTACAGTGCCTTTTAGTACGTACACGTAGTACGTACAGTACTTTTTAGTACTCAATCCCATTTATCTAATTTTATCCATCAAACCTTTACAGCCTATACTTTTTCGTGAAAATCCTCTTGACAATCGTGATTTTCACCGGCTTTTTGATACAACATTTCGTCCTCCTTGACATGTATTTTCCAGAGGTTTGACAAACAAAAAACGATTTCCCCAAACAGAGATTTAGATGAAAGCGATGATGAAAAAAAGGAAATGGTCTGATTCAAGAATTTTGCTCGTCGAGTACGCGAATCGTTATGCGATCGTTCTATTCACAAGTATTTTTACATCAAGAAGCTTCTTTATCATCCTTTCAGTGATCCTCTCATTGCTGGTGCCGAATCTCGCGGCGATCATTCCGCTTGTTGGGGCGTCGTGTGGAATGCTGCTCGCTATGATCATTCCACCGATTATTGAGGTAAATAGCAATACATAGAAGACACAGAAATCTTTTTTGTTCTTTCTGTTCACCTTTTGAAAAGCTATTTGTTACTTTTGTATCTTTCATTTCTGTCATCATCCGCATCTACTCCTAGCCATTAACCTCCGAAATCTATATAAAGCTTTATAATAGTCTACTTACTGTAATGATCAAACTAGATGAACAGAAAACATATCTAACACTGTGAATTTTACTATTAGTAGAGTGATATTGCTCCAGCAATGGCGGAAAAACTACGGATGATGTAAATTAGCATTTATCTTTTGAAGTGACAGAGGAAAGATACGGAAGTATCGTCTATTTTAAGAAAATTATATCTCATTTTTCTTGATCAATCAATCAATCAATCTAGAATACATTTTAGACAGTAGCCTTCTATCCACGATGGTTGAGTGATGGACATGGAGTGGGGACAACAAGCCGTTTAATCATCAACGCTTCCATAGCCACTTTCGGGTTGATCTTCATGATTTTGGGAGTGAAATCGAATCTCGACACACCGATGGTACATTGAGTGTTTTTTTGGATTTGAAAACAAATAAACATCGACTCCCACACTTTGTCTCGTCTTACCGTAATGACCATGTGCATATTAGCTTAAAATCTTCTGAATATCATATTAAAAAAATGTCATTTAAATTAAATGACGTTTACTAAATATAGAATTGGGATTTTATTTATTTACTCAACATCGAGGGCCTCGACTCTCTGTCAAATATTAATCTTATTCAATGTTTGGCAGTAGAGTTCGAAGGCCCCCGTCATTGAGTTTTACGGAAAGGGATTATAAAATAAACTCGATTATATTAAACGAATATTAGCAATTAGATGAATAGACAAAATGGTGGATAAACTGAAAAGTGACCGTAATCTTCTCTCTTAGACTTTACCCGTTTAAAGCTATGATCATTGAAGTCATGGTTTGATTCCTCATCTGAAATGAAGATTATGGTAGCTTCCGAATTATTCACCTTTCAGAAAAGGCAATATTTAAAGCTTTTTTTTGTCATTACAACAATACAACAAAATAACCACACAGTACAACAAATACAAGAAAAAGCTTTATTTGAAAAGAGGAAATTTGGTCTCTAGAAAGAACCTCTACAAACCGGGCGAGAATCATTCACAGCACATATGAAAAAGAAAGCCAATTGATATTCACAAAAAAATAACACTACAGACAAATGATTAGATTAGATTAGACAAAAATGGTTATTTTATTTAGCAAGATATCTATTTTTGAAAACCATCGTAATTCACTGTCAGTTTACGAATGTAATCAACTCAATTTCATTGTTCATTGACTGAGTCTTGTGCTTTCTAAGCCAGTCTTGTGCTTTTTAAGACATCAAAAATGAGCTAATTACAATCGTTTTAAAAAAAATAAATGACTTTGAGAAAAGCATTAATCAATAAAAAAAAAATTCGAATTTGAATTCAATATCCCAACTCATGCATTTGTTTTTTCATTTGAGCGTTGTCTTTGCCCGAATCGGTGACGCGTTGCCCTTCCAACCAATACGTTGTACAAGCGCCTTTACCCTTGAAAAAGTTTGGATAATAGTCATGATAGAAATAAATGTTTTTCATACAGATGATATAGATTGGATTCCTAGACACATCTGTGTCATCGAGGAATCCTATCTGTATCATCTACAGACACATCTAGGAATCCTATCTGTATCATCTACAGACACATCTAGGAATCCTATCTGTATCATCTACAGACACATCTAGGAATCCTATCTGTATCATCTACAGACACATCTAGGAATCCTATCTGTATCATCTACAGACACATCTAGGAATCCTATCTGTATCATCTACAGACACATCTAGGAATCCTATCTGTATCATCTACAGACGCATCTAGGAATCCTATCTGTATCATCTACGCTACTAAATTATTAAATAATAATTTTGATTTTAGTGAGAATTAAATTGTGATGATTGTATTGGCTCGGAAATTAAAGTTGCTCTTTAATTCTGTTGTCGTAGCCGATGATACTCCGATGGCCGGGCTGGGGCGCTCGGAGGGGAACCCACAAAAGTCGAACCCACGACTATCCCGCGCCGACCTTGCTTAACTTGACAGATCGGACGGGATAGACCGCAGGCCCTTCCTCTTCTTTAATTCTGACTCCTTTAAGCCTTTAGAAATTTAGAAACCTTTATCTCGACGGTTCCCCTCAATGTGCAATTGTACTCGGGATAGTACTTCTTCAGAAGCTCTTGAGAGATCTGAAATTGAGTTTTTTCGTATAATATAACAAATAGCAAAACGATTTTATGATTAAAAACAATAAGAAACCTCAGAGATTTGTATCATCTCCGGCATTCCGGTGCTTTCCATTCGAGATGCCATGTTTACCTGAGAAAAACTTTTTTTTAAAATTAACTATTTACTTTTTTTAATTAACAAACCACTAGACACCATTTACTTTTGTTGTTTAAATTTCATTTAAATAACAAAAGTAAATTGAGTTTAGTGGGTTTAACTTTTTGGAATTGAATGATTTTTACCGTATCTCCGAATAGACAATATCGAGGCGCGGTCAAGCCGACTACTCCAGCAGCCACTGGTCCAGAGTGAATGCCCAAACGAATCCGGATTCGCTGGTTCTTTCGATGGGGCACCTCATAGCTGCGCAACATCTGAGATTCGCATTTTTCTTGCTTTCATTTTCTCAACACCAAAGTCTAGTGTAGTTTCTTAGGATAATATGCTTTCTACAATGTGATCTGATGAAGTTAAACATTTCTATTAAAACAATATTGTGAAATACTTCGATATCTTAAATTTTCATTCATTTTCGACCTACAAATCTCAAAAATTTCAATACTTTTTCGATATTTTCTCTATTATTTCTATTATTTCTTTTATTTCTATTATTTCTTTTATTTCTTTCAATTCTTTCAATTCTCTTTTCAAATTCCATCGCTTACATCCATCATTTCGAGTCCAGTGTCAGCAATCAAAGCAATATGACGATTCCCGTTCTCCTCCGGGATCCCCGAGACAACCATGTACGCGTCACCGATTGTTTCCACCTAAAAAATCAAATGAAACTTAGAAAGCTAATCAATCATCAATAAATCATCAATAAATCATCAATCAATCATCAATCAATCATCAATCAATCATCAATCAATCATCAATCAATCATCAATCAATCATCAATCAATCATCAATCATCAATCAATCAATCATCAATCAATCATCAACAGAAAAGCGAATGAAATCTTCTTTCACCTTATACGCTTCGTGTTTATTGATAACATCGTCGAATCCCGAATACAATCCATTCAACATGTTCACCACCTCCAACGGAGTCGAACTCGAGCAGATTGTCGTAAAACCGACAATGTCACTGAAATACTGATTATCATAGAAAAGAAAGTTACGGTAGCTACGGCTTACCGCTTACGGTAGCTTTTTTTAAATCTATTAGAATACAGTAACAAAATGGTGATCAAATTTCCCCACCTGAACATCACCGTAGCCGAGTTGAAAAGCTTTGGCGCCACACCGCGTCCCAATTTCAATTCACTGGCCACATATCTAACAATAAAACAATTTCAAACGATTGAATTAAAAGAATTAATAGAATTAATAGAATTAAATGAATTAATAGAATGGGGGTGGGACAAATACGACCTTTTTTTTGCTGGAAAAGGCCTTAGGAAAGGTCGTAGAGCTTCGAAAATGTTTCCATATTGGGGAATCGGATGCGTAGATTCCGAATTTCGACAAATCAAAGCAAATCAGACCTCGCTGACACGTCAAATTTGGGCTAAAAGGCAAAAACTACGCAACTTAACGCTTTTCCGCAGTTTTTGCCTTTTAGCCCAAATTTGACGTGTCAGCGAGGTGTGATTTGTCGAAATTCGGAATCTACGCATATGATACCCTTCTATGGAAACATTTTTGAAGCTCTACGACCTTTCCTAAGGCCTTTGCCAGCAAAAAAAAAGGTGCGCAAATGTCCAGGTGCGCAAAAAAACGGTCGCATTTGTCCCACCCCCAATAGAATTAATAGAATTAAAAGAATTAAATGAATTAATGGAATTAAATGAATTCAACATTTTAGACATACTTGGGCAAAAGCTGAGAAAGTAAACGATCGGCTCTTTTGTTCGCTTCTTCCAACATCCCCGTTCGCTCTTTGACCAGCTTCTCGAGATTGTTCGCATACTGTTCCATCATTCGCATCATTTGATCGACTAGAGAGCCTTTTCTAAAAAGAAAAATCAATATCTAGATATAGAAATATTATCGATATTATCGATATTATCGAAATCTTCATACACTTTCAAATAGATTTCCGTGTTGAGGCGAACGCGACGAATTGACGGTCGCACTTCCGGGTTCTCACTCCAGCAATCCTAAACAAAGAACAAGATTGATTCTTCTTAAAATTGATTCTTCTTAACATTGATTCTTCTTAAAATTGTTTCTTCTTAAAATTGATATTCTAAAGATATCCTAAAGAAGTTTCTATCAAATAGCTCAAGGCAGAAGATTAAATTTAAATCGACTAACAGAAATCTGATGCTAGATTTTGTCAGTATCAGAGCCAATATTACTTTTACATTGAAATGAGATTTTTTTGCCACCCAAAGATCCTTCGAGCATGAAACCCCCGCAAGCCTTTTTAACACGTTGACGACATTGTCACCTGATGCTGTCTGACACATATTCGTTCGCCTGGGACGACATTGTCACCTGATTTTCGTTCTTTTCTTCACCTGATCTTCGTTCTGATCTTCGTTCGCCTGGGACATTGTCGCCTGATGTCAGGTGACAGTACCAAAATTGATTTTTTTTGTGCATATTTATGTTTGCTGATGATGGATATTAAATAAGCAAGTAGGGTAGTATCTATATTATTCTATATATTCGACTTGGTCCCGGAAAATGTCGATTTAACCGTTGATTATTAAAATTCTAATTTTCTAGGTGACAATTTCAGGTGACATTTTTTGTCGAAAAAAAACGACAAAAAAACAACGTTGTCCCATGCGATTGTTTGTGCAAAAACGTCATTGTCGTCAACGTGTTAACGTCAACGTCAACGTCAACGTCAACGTCAACGGCTTGTTCCCCCGCAAGCCCTTATTCTAGGCTCCATTCTCATACTAAACATGACTAGATTCTGTTTTGTTTTTCTTTAGATTTCGATCAATCTTTCTTCTTAAAATTGATATTCTAAAGAAGTTTCTATAAAATAGCTTAAAGCAGAAGATTGATTTAAATCGACTAACAGGAAACGGATGCTAGCTTTGGCAGTATCAGAGCCAATATTACTTTTACATTGAAATGAAAATCTCGTCCTGATTCAGGTAGAATAAAATAACCCCTAGCACCAGCTTTACACAAAGTTTTACATTAAATCAAACTTACAATTAGTATATTCGAGTACCCGGCTAAAAAAAAATCAACACTATCATGTTTAACCGTGCATCTTTTGTTTAGCCATACTAGACGATTGAATCTAGTGTCGGATCGAATTTAATATTAATTTTAATTCCATAAAAACCGACTAAATCTAGTGCCAAATATAACCCAAAAACCTAATCAAATTTTTGTTTCTGATTAGTCAAAAACGTCACAAATGATTAAGAAATTGAAAAGAAAGTTAACTTTTGAGCAGCTCTTGCAGCAGGTCAAAGAGCTAACCATATAAAAAGCTAACCATATATAAAAGAGCTATGGACTTGATTTAAAGATAAAGAGCTAACCATATAAAAAAAGCTGAGCTATGGACTTGATTTTCATTTGAATGAAGTTTAGTTGCATAGCTTTCGTCAGTCATTTCGTTTTAGTCAAAGGTTAGGAACATTTGGATGAAGTTTCGAGCTGTAGAACCTTTGAATAACTATAGTATTCAAGTTAACCTGTAAAAGAGCACAAAGATCCGGATGGATTTCTTGTTTATCTTGAATGCTCGGTTTGTACGATTTCGAGCCATCACGCACGAAATCGCAGAGTTCTAAAAACGATTTTAAATCGATAAGCTTATCTTTCTCTAGATAAGCTTCTCTTTTCTATAGAATAAGCTTCTCTTTCTATAGAATAAGCTTCGCTTTCTATAGAATAAGCTTCTCTTTCTCTAGATAAGCTTCTCTTTCCTATAGCTTATCTTTTCTATAGAATAAGCTTCTCTTTCTCTAGATAAGCATATCTTTTCCCTGTATTTACCTTGGACATTGGTTTCTTGTGGAAACGGGAGACTTCTATACAAAATCTCATACATCACCATTCCAAAAGCATAGATATCAGAGGATTGTCTTCTCAGCTAGAAGATTAAATAAGATTTAGTTAATAGATAATAATAATACGATATTCTATTTTTCATTATATAACCCGAACCGTCGACTGTTTAAGCCAATTCTGATCCATGCCTCGTCGCCGATTCACTTCTTGATTTCGGAGCATTTCGGGCGGATTGTAGAGCACACCTACACAAAATTTATACAGTAATCAGTGAAATATTGTATAAGATTATTCAAAATTCAAATTCAAAAGAAAAAAAATTCAATTCCAAACTTGTTCTCTGTATGGCTCCACTTTTGTCAGATCCCTCTTTGAGTGTTTCTGTCGCGATCGCTCCTTGTTTGTCCCAACGCTCTAACGCATTGGCGATGCCTAGTAAATCATTCATTTAATTAAAAATCATTTAAAACTGAGTACTCAGGTGTACTGTAGTTAAGGGAAAATATTGTATAAAAAAGCCTGAGCCTGAGCCTGAGCCTGAGCCTAAGCCTAAGCCTAAGCCTAAGCCTAAGCCTAAGCCTAAGCCTGAGCCTGAGCCTAAGCCTAAGCGCCACTTTACCGTAATCCGTCAATTTCACCATCCAATTTCTATCAATCAGGCACGACCACGGGGTGAGCGATCCATGATATCCAATCACCGATGCATGAAGGTATTCAAGTCCCTGGAAATATTCGCTTTTCAATCTCATTCAAAATCGATTTCCTCAACCAGAGTGATATCTCGGATGAAAGCTGCGTGAAATTTCGAATCCATTGACACGTCATCGTTGTAAATTATATCCTATAAATGTAATTCTATAAAACAAAGCTATTTATTATGCTAAATATTAAGTAAAAGCTATTTATATTTATATTTATTTATATTCTATTTATATTTATTTATATTCTATTTATATTTATTTATATTCTATTTATTAGGTTGTCCAATAAGTAATGCGTGTTACTTATTTCGAAACTATTGCGAAATCGCTTCGAGCAAATATATGCTCTTTTTAATCATCAGCATCTTGTGTTTATTTTTATATATTATTTTATTCATTTGCCTTTGTTTTATAATAGATATGTTGTTTTGCAGATGAAAGGCAAAAAGTTTGTTGTCCGCGCATCAATGCTGTATGATTTCAAACGAGGTAAAACTGCAGCAGATTGCCATCGAACTATCTGTGCCGCATTTGGAGAGGATTCAATTTCAATCAGCCAGTGCCAGCGCTGGTTTAAACGATTTGCGGACGGAAACGAGTCAAAAGTGTTGACGAGGTGCAAAAATGGCTCGACGATTTCTTCTCATCGAAACCAGCTTCATGCTATTATGACGGACTTCACTCTTTGCTCGGACGATGGAGAAATGTTGTTGATTTTTGTGGAGAATATATCGATTAATAAAGTTCTCTTTTGTTAATTTTGTGATATTTTGAAAATCGTGTCAAAACACGCATTACTTATTGGACAACCTAATATATTCGAGAGTCCAATAGTCTCGAAACCTTTAAATTATCTGTAGATGATCTTGATCTTCAAGCTCTAGTGGATCCTTGACGTTATCTGTGCTACCCACATTTTACATATATTATATCGTGTTTCTTTTTATCGGCCCTTTTCGTGTGATGTGTATGAATTGATGTGTTTTAATCTTAAATCTAGCGCACTTTATCTCAGGTCCTGAATAAAGTATCTATCTATTTATATTCTATTTATATTCTATTTATATTCTATTTATATTCTATTTATATTCTATTTATATTCTATTTATCTATTTATTTATTTATTTATTTATTTATTTATCTATTTATTTATCTATTTATTTATCTATTTATTTATCTATTTATTTATTTATTTATTTATCTATTTATTTATTTATTTATCTATTTATTTATCTATTTATCTATTTATTTATCTATTTATTTATATACAAAGCTATTTATTATGCTAAATATTAAGTAAAACGTATTTCTTCTATTCATCAACCCAATATTAATTAAATATTGATTAGCTTTAAATAAAACTATTTCTTCTATTTCTTCTATTCACCTGAATCGTTCCTCGAGAACAGAATTTCCACAAAATGACCATTTCCTCTTTTTCGTTGAATGACATACCGAGGAATGGGTTGATGTTATCATGAACAGCTTGTTTCATCTGAAAGAGAGCTATTAAAGACCAGCCGAGTTTTCAGTGCTTTGCGAGTGCCTGGGTATCTTTTTGAAGGGATAACCTTTTCATGGGGTATCCTGCATACCCCATAGCTTCTTATGGGGTATCGTCGGGATGCCCCACGCTTTCTATCCCCGTGGCGCAGTCAGGAGGGGGCTTGTCTACAACCCGCATGATACTGGTTCGACCCCCGGTAGTGCCAGTGATATGTAATAGAAGGCTTCTTTTTCAGAAAAAGAAGTCTTCTATTACAAAGTCTTCTATTACAAAATCTTCTATTACAAAGTCTTCTATTACTTTTTCAAATTTTTCTCACCATTGTCAACAAAAGTTGATCTTGTCTTGTGAAAGTGATCGGTCTCCGTTGTGGATACAAATGAAATGACGCATGGGTGTTTGTCTAGAATGAAAGTTGTTTGTCTAGTTTGAAAGTACAGGGATTGTTAGCAGATTGTTAGGATCTACTAACAATCCCTGTACTTAGATTCTTATTCACTGATCTTTCTGGCTGGATTATGGCTTTCAAACAAACCCCAACAATCGCATGATGCTTTGCAAAAGTCGACATATTTGAGAGTTTTGTTTTTGTCGATCCAATCGAAAGCTGAAGAGTTTAGAGAAATAAAAACAATTCTTTTAAAAGATAATAATTAATGTATTTATTTATTTATTTATTTATTTATTTATTTATTTATAAACGCTTGCTTTAAAATTGTTAAAGGCATTCATCCCGACCCCCTTTTTTCTGGTCTCTTTGAATTCGGCTCTCTACGGGGCGCCTCCAGAATAATGTTACTCTGATTACTACTCCAGAAGCCTCCAGAAGCCTCCAGAAGCCTCCAGAAGCCTCCAGAAGCCTCCAGAAGCCTCCAGAAGGCCTTTTCTTATACGCCAACCTTCCGTTTCCTCTAAAAGCCCCCACAGTTTCTTTTTTAATCGAGTTATTAAATTCTGGAACATTTTACCCCCTCATGTTCGTGATATTCCCACCTTGGCTAGATTTAAAGCCGCAATTTCGGCAATTGATTTGACTGCTCTGTGATTCTTTCTCAAGGTATCTATTTATCTTTTGGGTGTGTTTTGAGTGGTGTCCTGGGTAATTATTGTCATTTTGTTTTGTCGCTATTCAACTGAATAAAGCATATATATGTTGTGTCCGATTTAGATTTCCGTCCGATTTAGATTCAATCTAAATCGGACGTCCGATTTAGATTGAACTTATCGCGGACGTCCGATTTAGATTACAGTCTATATCGGACGTCTTATATAGATTGAACAATAATATAAACATGTTTAGTATATGTTCTTAAGCGTTTTCTGTAGTTTTCTGCATTTTCAAAGGTCTTTTATTGATTATTTCATAGTTGGGTTTTCTTTTCAGAAAAAGACAGTAACAGACCTTTGAAAAATGCAGAAAACTACAGAAAACGCTTAAGAACATATATTAAACATGTTTATATTATTGTTCAATCTATATAAGACGTCCGATTTAGATTGAGTCTAAATCGGACGTCCAATATAGACCGTAATCTAAATCGGACGGAAATCTAAATCGGACACAACATATATATATATATATAAACGTTTTTCTACCATTGATTTCATTTCTTCTTCGTTTACAATCCGAAAATCGTCCCGATAAAGTCGCCACGGTGTTCTAGCGAGAGCTTGATTTTGACTGAAATGAAAGGGATCAAAATGACAGGAGAATTTAACTACCGTATTCTCTTTAATAGTAGTGCACTCTTTAATAGTATTGCGGTCCAGGAGGGGGTTGAAAAAATAGTAGTGCGCACTACTATTAGAGAGAATACGGTATTCATTTATATGCTATTGTACTATGATGTTCAAATAATTATCTAGAAAAAAAATCTATTTATCATCGAAAAAAACTCACCAAACTCTGACCAAAATAGCGCCAGCAATTGTCGCCGCCAAAACGAGCATCACAAACGTGCCTCCAAGAATGAGAAAAGTGTAGTCACACTGAGAATTTAGAGTTAAATCATAAAAGATATTCAGTTAATCGAATTAAAATGATTATTTTTAAAATGATTATTGATAAATGACCCTTTCATTTCGATATCCACAAATCGGTTCATCTAGCGGGAGTTTCCCGTCAGCTGACGGCCAAAAGCCAGTCACCAAGTCGCTCATCGTCTAGAAAATCATTCATTTATATTGAAATCATAATATCTCAAATCATATCTCTGATAATCTTGATCTTCTCACCAAATCATAGCATCCAGATCTTGTCTTGAAGCCATCACAAGCGGCGATAAATCTCGGCTCCATCTCTAGCACTTTAATCACCGTATCACGATTTGGGGCGACGAAAAAAGCTGCAAAAACATTAAAAATATCTAATTTAGATAATCATAAATGTATTTTACTTAAATACTGATAGAGATTTTTGTTATATTTACCGTCTTTTCTCTAAACAAACCCACCAGCGTATCTAGGCGCTCTCTCACCGAGATCATCCATAAGTACGGTACCCGACGAGACACCCGCAGAGCTCATTAGACCTGGATTTTGTTAGATAAGTGTTATGTAAGTAGTAGCTGGAAGTACTGTAAGTACTGGAAGCACTGTAAGTACTGGAAGTACTAGAAGTACTGGAAGTACTGGAAGCACTGGAAGTACTGGAAGTACTGGAAGTACTGGAAGTACTGGAAGCACTAGAAGTACTGGAAGCACTGGAAGTACTGGAAGTACTGAGTACTGTAAGCACTGGAAGTTCTGGAAGCACTGCAAGTACTGCAAGTATCTTAGATCTTAAATCTAGCTCTATCATTTTACTTTCTCAAACCTGGAAAAGTCATTCGTCTCATTTTTTGCCAAACAAGGCGCCCATCTTGAACACTTTTCGGATCCTAAAATTTCGATAAAATAGCCGAAGAAACCAGACAGATTACGGTAGCTTTTAAGAAAAAACAAAAACAAATCCTTTTCACTAACACTCGACTCGTTTAAGGCCATCCGTGCCGCGCTCGCGTACAACTTGAGCGCATCGTACAAATGAATGTAAGCATAGATGTTTTTCTGAAAAGAAACTAATTTGATATGGTCTAAATGATTTAAATGATTTAAATGATCTAAATGATCTACATGATGTAAATGATCTAAACGATCTAAATGATCTGAATGATCTGAATGATCTGAATGATCTAAATGATCTAAATGATCTAATTGATCTGAATGATCTAAACGATCTACATGATCTACATGATCTAAATTATCTAAATGATCTAAGTGATCTAAATGATCTACATGATGTAAATGATCTAGTTGATCTAAATGATCTGAATGATCTAAACGATCTACATGATCTAAATGATCTAAATGATCTAATTGATCTAAACGATCTAAACACATCCTTCAATCAAATCCCTCTCCACACAAACCATTTCCAAATCATCCGTGGTCATCCCATTGCTCTCGACTCTTTCCTTGAATGGAGTCATCATCGTGTCGTCGAAACCGTTCACATCGTCCACCTGACAATTATAATAAAGAGACTGTAGATATTTTTAGATACAATAGATGTAGATACAATAAATAGTATATTATTTTTAAAGCTTTACTTACAATCAACGCATTTGCATAGTGATCTTTGATATTTTGAAGCATTTGTCCATCAGCTCCAATCCAAGGCGAAGCGTCCTTTGATTCACTCTGAATTTTGGAGCTGTCAAAAAATCTTGCGAAGTTTTTTTTGGAGTTTAACTTCAACTAAATGATTAGGGAAAGATTGACTTAAGGTTTAAAAGCAGGATTTGCAAGTTTCAAGGCAAGCCTAAGCTTAAGCCAAGCTTCAGCCAAGCCTAAACCAAGCCTAAACCAAGCCTAATTCAAGCCAAATCCAAGCCTAAGTCAAGCCTAAGCCAAGCTTAAGCCAAGCCAAATCCAAGCCTAAGCCAAGCTTAAGCCAAGTCTAAACCAAGCCTAAGCCAAGCTTCAGCCAAGCCTAAGCCAAGCCTAAGCCAAGCTAAAGCCAAACTTCAGCCAAGCCAAATCCAAACCAAATCCAAGCCAATTCCAAGCCAAATCCAAGCCAAATCCAAGCCTAATCCAAGCCTAATCCAAGCCTAAATCCAAGCCAAATCCAAGCCAAATCCAAGCCAAATCCAAGCCTAATCCAAGCCTAATCCAAGCCTAAACCAAGCCAAATCCAAGCCAAATCCAAGCCAAATCCAAGCCAAATCAGCCAAATCAGCCAAATCAGCCAAATAAGCCAATTCAAACCTGTAGCCACGGCAAGATGTAGACAAAATCGTGCGTATTCATCTGAATTCCAAATCTCACACGTATTTCTCTGATACAAACCTGATTGATAATCGTCGCTTGCATGAATTCTCGGGAAAGCTCTCGTGTCGACGAGAACATACAGATCACAACTTAAAACAAAGTTACAGCAAACAATTTACAGTATGACTCATGCAATCTTTCATCTTAGTTCATCTTACTTCTAGCCGAGTTGCGCAAATCGTTTAGCAGTCCGCTTTCAGCCATGTTTTTCGAGTTTGCCGACTCGTCAAAGATTATCTAAATCAGAAAAATAATAGAATATCTATACTAGATACTATTTAGCATAATAAAAATACTGTACAAAGGAGTACAAATGAGTACAAATGAGTACAAAGGAGTACAGAGGAGTACAAAGGGGTACAAAGGAGTACAGAGGAGTATAGAGGAGTACAGAGGAGTACAGAGGAGTACAAAGGGGTACAAAGGAGTACAGAGGAGTACAGAGGAGTACAGAGGAGTACAAAGTCGTACAAAGTCGTACAAAGCCATCCTAAACTCACTTTTTTCACGACTTGTATTTGTCTTTTATGGAAAACTTCCTCGAAACCAGCCACTCGCTCAAAAGCCACCGTTCCCGTGTTTGTCACAATGGCCACCTAAATTTGAAAAGGATTTCATTTAGCTTCTAGTAATCCAATTCCAGTAATCCAATAATCCAGTAATGTTTTTTAAAACCTTTTTCCATCCATAATGTTTAAGCATTGCTGAAACGGACTCAGCTAGCGAATTCGTCGTTCGAAGTGAAACTCGAGCCAAAGTTTTATAGATTGTCTAAAGTAAATCTTTAAGATTGACTCGATAAGATAATTCATTAATTCATTTTCATTTTCAAGTCACCTTATCAGCGAATTGATTCGACGAGGCCATATAGCCGATGATCGGGATATTCCAGAAAGTTGCCATTTTTGCGACCGCATCCAACTCTGAATGGAAATTGAAGGGAATTTGGAGATTTCTTGATCTTCAGCATTGATTATTTCGATATTTCTTGATCGTCAGCTTCAAATTCACATACCAGCATTACAGTAGGGACCAATGAAAGCCCGGACACCCTGCACGTGATACATATCCGCCCCGACGGCCACCCCTTCAAACGCTTCTCCACAACCCATCGCTGTCACGATTCTGAGACAAGCTTTAGTATTGGATTGTAAACGAAGAACTGTGCAACTTCTGTACAATTTCTGTACAAGAGGTACTATTTGTACTCAGCGTACGGTAATCAGTACCATGTCTTTCTAAAGGATAACGAAAGGAATTCATTTAGCAAAGAAGAGAGAACGGTCAGATTTCGCAAGATTCAAACCAGCTATATAGCTGACTTCCGCAGACACGAGCAACACGATAGCGTTTCTAGTTTTTGCCTTAAACGCTCTAGATTTCTGTAAAAATACATTTGAAATTTGACCTCGAACTGAGCGACTTATGAGTCTGTAATGGCTATCGTCGCTCCCCGATCAAGTGACTCGGTGGCGCAGTGGTAGTGCTCCTGATTCTAATTTGATCATCCGGGTCTACAGCTCTCAGTTCAATCCCCCTATATCATTTTACATTTTTCAATGTTTTAAAGTAAACTTCTATTGTTGTAAATTTCGTCAATTAGTAATTTCGAGTATCTTGAATTTGCATTCCAGTTAAGATCAAATTTCCGGTCCATGCTAGAGCCTGGGTCAAGCGAAGCTGCTTTCCGGCATACTGTAGCCGTCAAGAAACTGATACTCAAGCTTTAAATCAAGAGAATTTCTTATAGGAAGACTGTGAAATCAGGTTTTACTGTCTTTTTCCTGCATCACTTACTCGACATCAAAATCATCAGCGAGAATTCCCTCTTTGATCAACTCCTTTCTCGATATCTCCAATATTTTATCCCCATTTTGCATTGTGCCCACGGCTCCAATATGACCGACTTTTACCTGAAAATTCGAGAATTTTTTTGGCGTTAAAGGCTCAATTCTTACTTTGACCAAGTCGACTTGACGAGAGAAAAGGAGAAGGAAAAGCAGAACATCGATCAACCACATTCTGAATGATTTTGAAGAAATGATGAATGATAAATGATACAAAATACAATTACACAGTTTCATGAATCATGAAAGTTCGAAATGAGAAATTCAGGGTGGGGCAGACTCCCCAAACTTTAAAGACACTTTTTGCACGCATAAAGCCTTCTTTAAATATACGTTTTCTTTCATCAAAAGGATCCACTATTTCTCTACAAAATGACTTTTGAGAGATTCCACAAAGCTTTTCTTTCGTGGATTTTATGAACTTCCAAACACAGCTGATCAAAATGGCAAAGAGTCCGACTCATCGTTTGAACAGTTTCTTGCACATAAACCTTCTTTGGTGTCTGTGTAAAAAAGATAGAGTACACTCAATTACCTAAGTTGCCGAATTTGCAGGAAGAGCCCTTCAGCCGTTTTTTCTAGATGACGCTTTGTAGTTTTTGTGAAAATGGCTTTTTCTTGAGCGGAGGCGCTGTTTGAATTTTCTTTTAAATGTCATTTTGTAGAGAATTAGCTAACTTTTCTACTGATATCAAGGGCGTATTATTTGACGAAGTCTGCTAGAGGTTTCAGAAATTTTTTTGATTTTCGGCGCCGAGTCATAGTCCCCAACCCAATAGCTAAATATACTTAAAGCTTTGTCTTAAACGATAACAAGGCCCAGTTCCGAACTGTCTAGATGTCTAGATGTCTAGATCAGACCTTTCCTAATAGCGTTTACTAATCGTAAGCAGTAAACGTAAAGTTAAATTAGAATCATCATAGAAACAAAGCAGTTCAAGCCATGAGCAAGATTGGCAAAGCCAAAGACGTTAACCAACTGTCTAGATGCCAAGCAAAGCCAAGCCAGGCCAAAGCCAATCACTTTCAGGCCTGGAATTTCAATGTTACTGTTGGATTTCACCTAAAACCACTTGGTTTTGAATTTACGAGAAATTGAGCAAAAGAATCATTGGCTTAACCAATCCTGTGGGCTTGGCCTGATTTGGCTTAGAAATTTGGCCTAAAAACTAGGTCTTCTGCTAGGACTTTAAGTCTAAATAAGTCCTAGAAGAACTTTGTAACATTCAAAAGGGTTACTGTAGTCATATGAAGTGAAAGAGTGAGTCTGTAAATGATTTCTCTCTTCATAACGAGGTGTGGACCAATCGTTGATGAGATAAGAAGAGGATTTGAAGAGGGAAAGAGGGGGGATAATCGGGGAGAGGCTTATGACGGACCTTCTTAGTACCCTCCAATAATCATCATATTTGCATTAGATGACATTTCTTTCATAATTATCAAATCTTTCCTATTCTGTGGTCCACTTTAAGTAATTAATCGTTGTAGTTGTAGCCTTGAAGGAAATCTTTGGCTTTGCCAATCTTGCTCATGGCTTTAACTGCTTTTTTTCTATGATGATTCTAATTTAACTTTACATTTACTGCTTACTATTAGTAAAAGCTATTAGGAAAGGAAAGATCTAGGCATCTAGACATCTAGACATTTCGGAACTGAGCCTTGTTATCGGTTTAAGACAAAGCTCGTTTTTAATAACGGTTGGTGGATTGAAAACTGCCGGCTATTGTCATATGTGACAGTTTGAGCACTTTCTTCAAAAGAAACCCATTTTGGTGTCAATGGAAAAGTTGTAGAGAATCGAAAATAAAGCTTATATCCAAATTTTCAGAACGATTCAAAAACTGGTTTTCAAGAAATGCCAAATTTATGAATTTTCACAAAACTTGCATTTTAAGCGAAACTACCAAGTGTATCTTTATGGAAATTTGGCTATAAGCCTAATTTTTGATTCTCTACAGCTTTTCTATTGACACCAAAATGGGTTTCTTTTGAAGAAAGTGCTCAAACTAAACATTGGAGATCTCCAGTCCTCGATTTTTGAGTCTCACACTTGTCTCGCACACAAACCAAGATCCTACCACGAAAGAGGAATTCGCAAATTGCCTGTAAAATGGGCAAAAGTCGTCAATAATAATGGAAATTATTTGGAATCAATTTATGGTTTTATGTTCAATAAATTTTAGTTCAAAGTCCCGCCGTTTTCAGTTCACCAACCTAATAGTAAACGCTGAAAGGGCTGATCTAGACATCTAGACATCTAGACATCTAGATCTAGCCATCTAGACAGTTCGGAACTGGGCCTTGTTATCGGTTTAAGACAAAGCTCATTTTTAATAACGGCTAAATAACTAGAAATTTGTCATTAAACCTGGAAAATCTTTCCTTTACCGTACTCACCTTTTTCTTTTGAATTATTCGTTCGTTCAAACGAATAATTCAAATGAACGAATTAAAATTATTCGTTCGTTCGTTCGTTTGAATTATTCGTTTTTTTTTTAAATTACAATAAAATCTTGAGGTATAAATTTGTAATTTGTAAATTCATTCGACATTTATTCAAGTTTTAAAATGATTACAATGATTTAAAATGTTTAAAATCGATTTTCCAAGAATACTATAGAAAATTTACAATTCATTTTACATTCATTGTTTCGATATTCCGAGAAAAGCGCCAAATTGTGATGCCGGTTTATCGGAGACTCGCTCAGTCGGCGCACGGTAGAGGAAATGAGTTGTGTCTCGGCTACCCTCCAACCAATACGTTGTGCACATTCCTTTACCCTAAAATCGAGAAATTATTGGATCAGCTCTTGTTTAGCAATAAAAACTAGAGCTTGATCTTGTACCTAAACTTGGTAAGAACTACCGTAAATACTGTAATAGTACCCCACCCCTCTCGTACAGTCGCATAGTCGCTAAAGTTTTTTAGTATTTCATTTTTTTACTACGCAACACTGCGCACCGTCATTATAGGGAAGCGTAGTCGCAAAAGTTAGGTCCAATTCTTGGCACTGGTTTTGATTTACTTTTGATTTACTTTTGATTTACTTTTGATTTACTTTTGATTTACTTTTGATTTACTTTTGATTTACTTTTGATTTAGTTTTGCCCCCGTTCAACCACAGAAATTTGGCCTAAAAACTAGGTCTTCTGCTAGGACTTTAAGTCTAAATAAGTCCTAGAAGAACTTTGTAACATTCAAAAGGGTTACTGTAGTCATATGAAGTGAAAGAGTGAGTCTGAAAATGATTTCTCTCTTCATAACGAGATTGACTGGGTGCTTCTCCTTGTATCCCTTTTTTCTTCGCTCCCAACCAGATACCAAATAGCGCAGTGGTTAGAGCGTCTGCCTGGAGAGCGAGAAAGGTCAAGGGTTCAATCCCCTCCCTGGTGATCTTTCTTTTTTCCTAGGTTGATTGATTGCCATGTTGGCCTTACTGTAAAAAAGTCTATTTATTCGACACGAATAATGAATTACAACAAAACGGAGGCGATTTTTACCCTTCGTTACCCCTAATTACTCAAATGTTGTTAAGAAAAATGATAATGATACGAAGGAACCAATTTTTCTGGTCATACGGTTTAAAATTCGAATTGAATCGTCAGCTTTGATTTTCAATTATTCAAGCACAGTTCAAGAGATTTAAACTCTTTAATTTCTATACACTACTGGACAATGAAATATGATATTTGAAAAAAGATCATCACTTTCGCGCGTCTGTAACTCCCTTGTCTTTGAGTTTAAACTATTAGTGTTATACATTTTCTGAAAGCTCTTTTCAAGGGCTACACAATGGTAATATTAATATTTAGAAATACGGCAAAGACAAAGGAGTTACAGACGCGCGAAAGTGACGATCGGTTTTCAAATATGGTATTTCATTGTCCAGTAGTGTAGTTTCAAACGATATCAATCAATCATCAATCGGCCATTAAACCTTCCGTACCTTGATATGCACTTGTCCCCTTTCAACACACTCAAATTCTGGGTAATGATTGTTCAACAATTGCTTGGCAGCCTCTGAGATCTGTGTCTTCTCCGGTTCTCCCGTGCTCTCCATTCTTGATGCCATATTAACCTAAATAAAAATTGTATTAGAGAACGAAGTTTTTCCTTTTTTTTTCTTCATACAGTATCTCCAAATAGACAATATCTTGGAGCATTGAGGCCAACAACTGCAGCAGCGACAGGTCCGGTCGCAAATCCGAGTCGACACCGCACTCGCATATCCTCGTGATGTGGAGGGCAATACTCGGAGAGGAACTATGTGCATCGTTGATTCATTCAATATCATTTTGATATTCAATGAATCAACAACAGGAACAGGAGCTATGGATTGTTGATTCATTCAATATCATTTTATTCCCTCACTTTGTGTATATCTAAAGCAATCGTGGCGATTTCTCGAATATGGCGGAATCCGTTTTCTTCAGGGACTCCAGAAACGACCATATAAGCGTCACCAATCGTTTCTACCTTAAAATTCGAATTGAATCGTCAGCTTTGATTTACAATTATTCAAGCACAGTTCAAGAGCCTCTATGGATAAGTAGGATGGGCTCAAATTCCTCTGGAATCGTCCAGGATCTGTAAATCTGAACCTGCTCATTGCCGTGTCATTTGCATTTAAAATGAAGTTACAGTATTGGCTCTTCCTGTGTTCTAGTTAACGATTTTTTCATAAAGATTACTTTATACGCTTCATGTCTTGCGATAAACTCGTCAAAGCCGTTGAACACCGAGTTCAGCACGGTCACCACCTCCAATGGGGTCGCGTTCGAGCACATATCCGTGAAACCGACAATGTCACTAAATTATTGAGGTCAGAATCGGCTGTAATCGACTTTAGCTATCAGCTTATGTGTTACCTGAACATGACAGTCGCTCCAGAGAAAGTCTTCGGCGGCACAGAGCGCCCGAGTTTCAATTCGTTCGCCACGTAACTGAATGGGTAACATTTCGGCACTTGTCTGCTATCCAATTTATTAGGTAATAGCTTCTCAGTGGGTTTTTCACGCTATATGTGTCCGGGTGGCCTTTTGTCCTTATAGCAAAGTCGGGAGTGCGCTTGTCTACAACCCACACGATCCGGGTTCGACCCCCCATAGTGCCATTGAATTTCGATCTTTAAAATTTTTGATTTTAAATGATACAATTAATGATATTTTAAGACTTTTTAAAGAAATTTCAGTTTTTTTTAGTTTAAAGAAGGCTGATAAAAAGCCTGAAAAAGGGACAAATGAGAAAAAATGGACCGACAAAATAAGAAAGTTTAACAAGGTTTTAATGGATAAAACACAGACACTGCTCTTCATATAGACTTTAGTAGATTTAGATTTTATATAGATCATTTTCTAGATTACGGTAGTTTACAATAGCTTACAATAGCTTACAACCACTTACAATATAGGTATTAATCTAAAAGAACGCTTACGCTGGCAATAGCTGTGATAATAATCGATCAGCTCTCGCATTCGCCTCTTCCAACATCCCAGTTCGCTCTTGCACCAGTTTCTCGAGGTTGTTCGCGTACTGAAAGTTTAAAAAAAAACGTTTAAACAACAAAATAAGAAAGTTTAACAAGGTTTAAATGGATAAATGGATAAATGCAAATTTGAAGAGAATGAAAATCGAATAAAAAATTAGGCATCACTTGAATGAAATTGGATTAAGTATCAAATTTTAATAACTTCTACCTGTTCCATCATTCGCATCATTTGATCGACAAGGGATCCTTTTCTAAAAGTGATTCTATCATTTGATCGACAAGGGATCCTTTTCTAAAAGTGATTCTATCATTTGATCGACAAGGGATCCTTTTCTAAAAGTGATTCTATCATTTGATCGACAAGGGATCCTTTTCCAAAAGTGATTCTATCATTTGATCGACAAGGGATCCTTTTCTAAAAGTGATTCTATCGTTTGATCGACAAGGGATCCTTGTCTAAAAGTGATTCTATTCAATGAGTCGATTTGCATTTAAAGACTCATCGTTTTTCATTTCATTTCATATCAATTTCAAAATTTTTCCCCTTTTTCTTACACTTTTAAATAAGTCTCAACGTTGAGCTTGATCCGTCGCACTGAAGGTCGCATTTCGGGAGTGCCATTCCAGCAATCAGTGATCAAATTCGCGAGATCGTAGTGCAAAATCTAGATTGAATTTTCGAAAAAACAAAGCTCAACTTTTTAATATTCTAAAATTAAATAGAAAATTTGATACTTATGGGAGTTTTTTTGAATCCTTGACCTTTCTCGCTCTCCAGGCAGATTTTTATTGTAAAAATAGATCAAGTTTAGTAAATTTATTTATTTAGATTTGTTTAGATTCATTTATTTATTTATATAAAATCATTTGAAACTATGTTTAAATTATTTTTCGAAGGTCTGTTTGAAAATTGATACTTTTTGTCGCATACGAGCACGTGTGGCTGACTGGTTAAGTGTCTTTTATCTTAATCGGAAGGTCGAGGGTTCGAACCCCACATGCGACATGGTCACCCCCTTCGGATTTCCTTTCCCTTCGGGTTGAGAGGTTTTCTGGAGGGCAGTCTGGTGGTTGTGGCCCCAGTTCTTTAAAGTGACAAGCCACTCCTTCATCGTCATCTTCCCTTCACCACCAAAAAAGCTATTTAGTTCCCCATTGAGCTTAGGGTTAGGGAGCCGTCTGTCATGACGTGGGTTAAGTTAAGATATAGCCTAGTATTGTGTGTGTCGTTGTATTGTGATTGATATATTTCGTGTATGCGATAAATTCACCACTGGTAGCCCCAGTCGGTATTTTTAATACGTTTTTTGATCTGTTAACAATCGTTTGGTGACATGAGGAATTTTCATGAAATCGAACAACTTGGTTATCACAAGGCAACAAATCGACAGGCACTTAAATACATCCCGTAAATACTGTAATAGAACCCCACCCCCCTCGTACAGTCGCGTAGTCGCAAAAGTTTTTTAGAGTTTTTTTTTAAAAAAAATTTCATTTTTTTCAAAGCGCCGCCCGTACTTTCAAAAAATGTGTCTTTGGTATCAAAAAATAGCCCTGAATTTCAGCTATTTTTTGATGCCTAAGCGCGCATTCTAGCATAAAGAAGTGGCAAGAAAGACGGGCTAGACTACGCAACGCTCCGCACCGTCATTATAGGTAAGCGTAGTCGCAAAGGTTTTTTAGTATTTAATTTTTTGCAAAGCGCCCGTACTTTCAAAAAATACGTCTTTGGTATCAAAAAATAGCTGAAATTCAGGGCTATTTTTTGATACCTAAGCGCGCATTGTAGCATAAACCAGTGTCGAGAAAAACTCGTTCAAAGCTAGACTACGCAACGCTCCGCACCGTCATTATGGGGGTGGGGGTACTATTACAGTATTTACGGTATGTTTAAATTAGACTTTTAGATTCAATTATAGTAGATAAAGGTTAAGCTAAGCTAGCCTTAAGCTAAACTAAAAAAACGCCATAGTTATAACCCTTTGTTTAGCTAAGTATCGAAAATTTCACCCAAAATACCCCCTTTACAGTATGGATATGCGCCAGCTCTCGGGACTCAGAGATCCAGTGGAAGTGATTGAGAGAAAAAGACTCAGATGGGCCGGCCAAGTAGCCAGAAGAACAGATGGACGATACGGATCACAGAGTGGCTACCACGAGACCAGAAGAGGCCCATCGGAAGACCAGCAACGAGGTGGAGCACAAGAGTGGCAGAGACGGTCAGAGAAAGGATGGCTAGAGTGCAACCACCACCAGCACAAGCAAGTCAAAGACTTCGAACCAGGAACAATCAAGATAGGAAACACTGGATGACAATAGCAAGGGATAGAGAAATGTGGAAGCGGGTTGTGATCTGCGCAAATAGGAACACCTGAGTGCGAAGACAGATCAAAAAAAAATACCTTTTCGTTTTGGATTCCCGGTTTCACTACACGCTCGCCGGCTCTAATTTGATCGACCAATGCTGAAAGAAACTTTAACTTTTAACTTTAACTTTAACTTTAAGAAACTAAACTTTTTAAGAAAGAAACTATTAACATTCAGATTGCTCATAAAAATTACCATTGATATCAGTGTTTTCAGGGAAAGGTAATGCTCGAAACATGATCTCGTAGAAGATCATCCCGAAAGCATAAATGTCACCGAATTGACGACGAGCCTGGAAACATTAAGTTTTTTTTTGCCGAAAAGGAATCGAACTTGAGCCAAAGACATGCACTATTCTTTTTGGATGCAAGCGTCTTATCCACTATACCATTAAGTTATGTTTACACTACATTACAATTCACAGCTTAACTCTTTTTGTAAAATTTGTAAAAAATCAGTAAAACAGTGCTTTCACAAAAGAAAAAAGATCCTGGCAGTGAGCAGGTTCGAACCAGAGACAGCTAGGAGCCAGGGCTGCACGAGGGGCGAGCACAGTATCCGCTAGACCATCCGGACGGCCTGATCGGTCAATTAATTTGCTCACATACCGCGGCCTTTCCCCTTTTTCCCAAACTTTAAAAGCATTTTTCTCGAAAACTGGATGCTATGGAGTAACATCTTTTCATTTTCATTTTCATTTTTATTTTCAAACCTGTGTCTGTCGATTCCAATCCTGATCCATTCGTCGCTGCTTATTCTTCTCGCGCATCTTCAACATCTCCGGCGCGTCGTAGAGAGCGGCTAAAGTTTGAGCATTCAATTACTGAACCAAATTGAGATTTTTCATTTCTCGGTTCAACCAAAAACAAACGAAACCGAAAAAGTGACACTTTCTATTCAATTGAACGAAACCGAAAAGTTAATCCAATACTAAAGCTATTTGGCTGTTCAGAAAGTCTTTTCTTTCCTTTTCAGACTTCCATTTAAAACCAATAAATTCACCAATTAACTTATAATTTATTTCAGTAGAAAGGCAAATTATTCCGCTGCATTAACAATTAACAACGCTAATTAACAACGCTAACAACGCTAATTAACATTAAAACCGGTTTTCAATTGCTTATATCTAAGCTCTTGGGATTTCTGGATTTTTTTTTCGCCAAAAAGGAATCGAACTCGAGCAAAAAGCCGTACCGCTGGTTTGTATGCAAGTCTCTTATCCACTATACCATTAAGTCATGTTGTCAGCCCATGTGAGAATCCTTATAAGGCATCCTTTCGGCTTCAAATTTTCGCATTTTCACTAACTTAAAGCACGTATAACATAAAAAGCTATTTGACAAAAATAAAAAGCAGATTCAGAATCGGCGTGCAATTCTGCAATTCTGTGTTGAATGCTTTATGGGGCATCTCATTTGTTTACATTCTACTGTTGTTTTTCCCTTGTAAACCCCGAAAGCTAAGAGCAAAATCTGATACGGATTCATTGATTTTGACAAGACACAGCAGTCATCAACTCTCAATTTCCCTCTTCAAAACAATGACACTCTTTATACTCGTAAGATAAATGCATAAGTTGTATTTGAACTCACAAGTCTTTTGCGTCGCTTGGCTCCGATCTTCATCGTTTTTCAAGTCATCTTTCGAGATCGATTGGGCCTTTTCCCAGCGTTCCAACGGCTCAGCGATCCCTAGAAGAATAGGGAAATGATTGGAAAATGATCGGAAATCGATAATATCTCTTTTATACCATAATCTGTCAATTTAACCATCCAATTTCTATCAATCAGACACGACCACGGGGTGAGCGATCCATGATAACCAATCGGGCTCGCATGCAAGTATTCAAGACCCTAAAATATTGAACTAAATTTGGAAGAATGAGAATTGAAAGAAAGATTTTCGAACTCTTTCTCACCCCAACGATATCGCGAACAAAAGCTCCATGAAATCTAAAAAAAGAAAATTGTTGTTGTTGATTTTAAAAGTTTTCAAACTTTGCATCCAAAGTGATTGACTCGTTGTAAATGATGTCTTGAAGAGAACCTCTGAAATTTGAAATTAAAAAAGTAATTTGAAATTAAAAGTAATTTTAAAAGTAATTTTAAAAGAAATTTTAAAAGAAATTTTAAAAAGTAATTTAAAAAGTAACTTAAAAAGTAACTTAAAAAGTAATTTAAAAAGTAACTTAAAAAGTAATTTAAAAGCTATTTACAACTAGTTCAGAGATTTCTATCACTTTTATTTGTTAAAGCTATCACTTTTATTGTCAATAGATCTATAACGGAAAAACAAAAAGCTAGTTCAGAGATTTCTCGACTAAGCTTTCCCACTTAGCTTTTCCACTTTTCCACTTCCACGCTTCGAAAGTTCTACTTTCAAATGCTAATTGTTGTTGTTGAAATGAATAAATCTCGTTTTTTTTTCCGCTGTACACCTATTGACAATTAGGCTAACAAATGAATAGGTTTATTAAAAATCTCATTGACCAGCACCTCGAGCAAAATTTCCAGACCAAAAGCACCTCTTCTCTTTCGTTGAAACAGATTCCCATAAAAGTGTTTATATTGTCGTGGACGGCTTGTTTCATCTAGAAAGTCTAGAAATTTGATAAACTTGGAGTCGTAGCTTTGATCTTTGATCTGATCTCTTAATTCATTAGGTATTTAGATCAATTTTCTATCTTCAACTCGACTAGCATTCACCCAAAGGAGCAGGGATTTGTCGACTCGACTGAAGAGAATAGGGCGGCGTTGAACGTATCTAAACAATTTCGATTCAATTTTAGTACAATTTTCATACAATTCTCATATTAATATTTATGAAAATCTCACCTATGAAAGACACAATGCGTATTTAGGCCCAATATCGCGTGATTCTTTTGCGAGCTGTATTGCATATTGCTCAGCTTTGTCTTCGTACTGCCCAAAGAAAGCTGAAAAGGAAGATCGAATTTATTGAGCTAATTTACTTAAGATTTTCCGTTTTACAAATGAATTTCTTAAAGATCAGCACACCGTAGTCTGTCTAGGAATAGATAGGAATGTCGATGAACGAGTACGCGTACATTCTCCCATGGTTACAGGTGTCTTTTTCTTTATCTCTTTATCCGTTCTCTGGTACTGTAGCCTGGTTTGGTACTGTAGTCTAGCCTGGTACTGTAGTCTAGCATCATACTGTAGTCTAGCATGGTACTGTAGCCTAGTTTGGTACTGTAGTTGGTAGGTCGATGGGAATGTCGATGAACGAGTACGCGTACATTCAGGTGTCTTTATCTTTATCAGTTACAGGTGTCTCTCTTTATCCGTTCTCTGGTACTGTAGTCTAGCCTGGTACTGTAGCCTAGCATGGTACTGTAGCCTATTTTGGTACTGTAGCCTAGTTTGGTACTGTAGTTGGTACGTCGATGGGAATGTCGATGAACGAGTACGCGTACATTCAGGTGTCTTTATCCCATCGACGAGCCAACTACAGTACCAAACTAGGCTACAGTACCATGCTAGGCTACAGTACCAAACCAGGCTACATCTTTATCAGTTACAGGTGTCTTTATCTTTATCTCTTTATCCGTTCAAAAGACCACTTCAATGAGTCATTTTCGTCACTCTTTACATATAAGGTTTACTGTATTTCACAAAGATTACAGTAAGATTACGATAGATTACGGTAGATTCCAATAGCCAATACAATTCCAAGTTTTCCCCTTACCATACTCTTGACTTGTTCCTCGTCGATCAGCTGAAGATCGTCACGGAAAATTCGAAACGGTAAAAGATTCAGTGATCGGCGTTCACTGAAATGTTTTTTAGCTTATAACTTTAAATCTTCTTCTCCATATTCTTTCTTCAAACCCACCAAAAGTCATGTAGAAGATACGCAGTGACAATCGAGACGATCATCAGAAAAACAATTGCCGAACCTGAAATCATGAGGATTTCTTGGAAAAAATCCGAGTACAGATTAACAGATTAACTGATAAATCTTGTAAACTTTTGTAAAGTTTTTAGAGATTAACTGTAAACTTATCTTATTTTAGAATGGATAAATAGCTTGATAAACTAGATTTATCTAGATTTATCTAGATTAACTAGATAAACTAGATAAACTGGATTTAGCTTGATAAACTAGATAAACTAGATTTATCTAGATAAACTAGATTTATCTAGATTAACTAGATTTATCTAGATTAACTAGATAAACTAGATAAACTAGATTTAGCTTGATAAACTAGATAAGCTAGATTTATCAACCTCTTTATCCATATTCAAAAACTCGTACCAATAATGATGAGTGTGTAATCGCATCGCTCTCCGCGATATCCACAACGCGGCTCGTCTAACGGCATCTAAATCCAAAAAAAACTTGACTTTTTTCATCTCGCAATCCCTACCAGATTATCAGCTGTTGGCCAGAAATTTCGCATCATATCGGTGACCACCTAAAAAGAACAATTCTAAAGAAAATATTGATTTCACTCACCACTTCAAAGCACCCCGTCCCATTCACAAGATAGTCGCAATTCGAGAGAAACAACGGCTCCATGTGAACCATCGGCATTACCTTCAAGTAATTATTGCATTTGTTTAAAAGAGAAACATTTATTCACACAAAGAATGCGATATAAACAATATAGAAGCACGCTAAAGAAGAAAGACCTAGGATCTAAGAAGAAAGACCTAGATCTAGATCTAGAAAACTCATCTCTTGATCACCAAAAATCTTCACGGGATTGAACCCTTGACCTTCCGACTGAGATAAATCACTCTTAGCCAGTCGGCCATCGAGACCTTGTTTGGATGAAATCAAAAAGAGCATTTCAATCGACTTTCTAATGACTGGTTAGACTGGTTTATCGATATTATCGGCAAGCTCTTGTTTAACCGTTCAGATCTCGGTTTCTAGAACAGCTATTAATCTGCAAATTATTCCATTGGAAAGCCAAGAATGTCAGCTTTTGATTTTCTAGAAACTCTTTTACTTGATCTTGATTCGGCGAAATGAAAAACCCTCGATAGAGCGGCGCTCTCTCGGCTCGATCATCCATTGTCACTTTGCCTGACGCGATTCCCGATGTGCCAACCATTCCTAAAGTTTCTCTTTAGATAAGCTGAGAGTTTTCAAAAAGAAAGTTTTATCAAACCAAGAAAACTGATCCTCCTCATCTTGTTCCACATCAAACGACCATCCAAAAGTGAATCCGGATTTCCAGTCTCGTTCATCACAGCTCGTGCCGTCATCGCGTACAACTTCAACGCGTCAAAGAGATACAAATACCCGTAAACATTTCCCTAAAAAGTTAAAAGTTAATAGTTAACCGAAACCTTGAACCAAGTCAACGTCTTGTTGTTTCAAGCCGACATCTTTAATCTTCTCGAGAAAAGGTTGAACGATCGAGTTGTCGAAGCCGTTCACGTCATCGATCTCAAGGTTTACTTTTAAAAAGCTATTCTAATATGTATTTTAGTTATAAAAGCTTTAATAGATCTAATAGAATCAAATAATATTCTCAATTTCTCTCCATACAATGATAGCATTTGCGTATTGATCTTTCACATTTTGCAGCATCTCTCCATCGGCTCCCGTCCACGGTGATGAGTCTTTAGAGCCATCCTGAAGTCAAATTTTTGAGCATCTTCAGTTAGGCTTTGCTTCAAGTTAATATAATAATATTTTTACTCACCTGTAACCACGGGAGAATGTACGCGTACTCGTTCATCGACATTCCCATCGACGTAGCTGCTGTCATGAATTCTTTCGATTGTTCGCGGGTGTTTGAGAAAACCATAATGATAACTGAAATTTGGAAGATACAGTAAGACTTACATTTAGGCTACAGTACCAGGCCAGGCTACAGTACCAGGCCAGGCTCCAGTACCAGGTTAGGCTCCAGTACCAGGCTAGACTACAGTACCAGGCCAGGCTACAGTATCAGGCTAGACTACAGTACCAGGCTTGACTACAGTATCAGGCTAGACTACAGTACCAGGCCAGGCTACAGTATCAGGCTAGACTACAGTACCAGGCTTGACTACAGTATCAGGCTAGACTACAGTACCAGGCCAGGCTACAGTATCAGGCTAGACTACAGTACCAGGCTTGACTACAGTATCAGGCTAGACTACAGTACCAGGCTAGACTACAGTACCCTTGCCAAACTTGTCTGATGCAATACTTATTAACCAACGCTTTTCACAGTACAGTACCTATTCTTTTACAGCTACAACACTCTACTAGATTCTCAAATCCTTCTTCCACCCACTTCTTGCACTATTCTTGAGATCTTGCATCAATCCACTGCTGTACATGTCTTTCGCTTTCGCGTACTCATCGAACATCACCTGAACAAAGTCGGCTAAAATCGAAAAACGACTGTAAAGCTTTCCCAATCACTAACAAGAATCAAAATTAGCCACAACAATCATTTCTAGAGTTTTGAAAGTGAATCGCTCACTTTTTTGATGACTTGAACTCCTCTTAATCGAAAAACTTCCTCGAAAGCCGTCGTTCTCTCATAAGCAACAGCTCCCACATTGCTTACAAGAGCCACCTGTGATTTGATAATTTTGGAATGTTTTTCCAAGCTTACTCGATTCCATTTGTAGTGTCTGAGGAGAGCACAAGTCGCTTCAGCAATCGAGGTTGTTGATCTGGAAATGGGTTTGATTGATTGCTTAGAGGATTGCTTAGAGGATTGCTTAGAGGATTGCTTAGAGGATTGCTTAGAGGATTGCTTAGAGGATTGCTTAGAGGATTGCTTAGAGGATTGCTTAGAGGATTGCTTAGCTTTATCTGCTTAGCTTTATCTGCTTAGCTTTATCTGCTTAGCTTTATCTGCTTAGCTTTATCTGCTTAGCTTTAGCTTTATCTGCTTAGCTTTAGCTTTCTACTATTTAAAACAGTTCTAAATTTCTAATAAGTACATTCCTTTAATAAAGAAGTAAATTCCTTTACCTCATCGAAATCCTCGCCATTGTTCGATATTGATTTTTATCGGTGAGTGTCGCCGAAGCTGCCATGTAGCCAATGATTGGGATATTCCAAAAAGAGGCCATTCGAGCGACGGCATCGATTTCTGTTATCGGAAATTTCACCCTTATTCACAAAACAACTCACCAGCTGAGCAATAGGGTCCAATGAAGGCTTTCACTTTCTGGAAAGATTTGATTAGAGTCAGATCTTAGCCACTTACTTGCAAATGGTACATGTCTGCCGCCACAGCGACTCCCTCGTACGATTCGCCGCAACCGTTTTGCGAGACCAGTCTGCGGAATGGATTTTTCCTTTAGAACATTTTTCAGCTCACTTACTCGATGTCAAAATCATCGTCAAGAATCCCTTCGCTGTGCAAAGATTTTCGAGAGGCTGCCAAGATCACCTAGAAAGGATTCGATCAACAAAGATCGTTAAACGAGGGGATTTTCAAAAGACTCCATTCTTGAGGGAAAAAGGCTGGTTTTAATTTTGAAAATTTCACATTTTACCTCATCATTTCGCAAAGCGTTCAGCGCTCCAATGTGCCCGACTCGGATTCGAATTCGTCCTAGGAAAGAAAGCTTTTGAGATTTCAAAACTGCTTCTAGATAGATGTGTTTTTTAAAACAATAGCTACCATATTCTAAAAAAACAACGATATCTACCCTACCCCAGCTAATCTATCGTGATGATATAGCTGATGATACAGTTACCGTACCCCAGATCTAGCTACCGTACCCTAGCTGATCTATCGTGATGATATAGCTGCTGATATAGCCGATGATATAGCCACCGTACCCCAAGTATAACTACGTACTCCAAAGAAACGATACCTACCGTACCCCAGCTAATCTATCGTGATGATATAGCTGCTGATATAGTTACCGAACCCCAGCTGATCTATCGTGATGATATAGCTGATGATATAGCTGATGATATAGCTGATGATATAGCCACCGTGCCCCAAATATAACTACGTACTCCAAAGAAACGATAGCTATCGTACCGTAGCTGATCTATCGTGATGATATAGCTGCTGATATAGCTGATGATATAGCCACCGTGCCCCAAATATAAATACCGTACTCCAAAGAGACGATAGTTACCGTACCGTAGCTGATCTATCGTATTCCAGATGATCTAGCTACCGTTTACCGTTGATCTTTCAAATTTAAGCCAAAAGTCACGATTCTCCTTGATGAATAGCTCGAAATGAGACTCATGATTATTTTAAAAGATTACTGTAACTTTTCTCAAGCGCACCATTTCCAAACAAAGGCATCCAGTCTACATTTCATTGTTGTACCTTTGTTATCAACTAATGCCTGTCCGGCACCCTCTTTATCCGTGTAGATCGAGGTGACCGTCGAGGAATCCGTTTTTCGATTCACCTGCAAACCAATAGGCTAAACGATTTGATTTTGTTGCTTATTTTTTCCCTACTTTTCAAATACCTCTTCTTCAGTTCTTTTCCAACGTTTATCAAAAAAAAAAAAGTATCAAAAAATAGCTGCTGAAGGTGGATATTTAAAAAATATCTTTTCACAGTGAGACAAAGTCTACAAAATCGTTCAACAATAATTCACCGATTCAAGGAAAGAATCGAGTCGAGCGGACTCCTCTTCATTTCCCGAAACAAAGCAGAACAGTGACAACAAAAGCATTTGTTGTATACCCATTCTAAAAGCATATAAAATCATAAATCTTTTGAATAAATGTTCAAAAAGAAGTCCACAAAATGTTTTCTAAGATGTGACGAAGTGAAGGAAAAGAGGTGAAGGAAAAGAAGTGAAGGAAAAGAGGTGAAGCAAAAATTTCCCTTTTACAGTATCCCAGAAAGAAAGTCGATCGGATTTCGGTGAAAGATTAGCGGATTTGATTCGCCTAGAGAGCTTTATCGTCGCCGAAATCCCCTCGGGAATTTCCGAGCCGATTTGATCCGAATATAGAAACTACCGTATTCTATATAAGCATCGGATTCGACAATATAGCTCCCGGCAAAAAAAGGCATTTTCTCGCTAAATAGGGGATTTTGCATGAGAATTCAAGGAATACACACGGCGGAAATTAATTATCGAAATTGAGGCTTACAGCGCGGCTAGAGAGGATTACTCACGAGAATCCCACATTGAGATTAATTCCCATATATTCATTTTCACTTTTCCACGATGACAATGATGAATCACTGGAAATTTTTTTGTGTGAATTGATGGGTAAATTGAGTTATTGGCGGGATCGTCACTTGCAAACAAATCTCCATCGCAAACCACCGGTAATTTCCCATAAAAGACAGGCCATACTGGTATGGCCTGTCCGTTTGAAAAAGAGACTTTTCTAAAACTTTGATTTTGCCGAAGAGCCGAGATTTGCATCAGCACATTTATTTAGCTGTAACGCGAACTAAACGATTTCTAGAAACTTTCGCACTCAAAACCAATCATTTTATTTCTCAATTTTTCTTGCTATGTACATACCAAGCTGGAATTCTTAAATCTATTCGTCACTTGCAAACAAATCTCCATCGCAAACCGCCGGTAATTTCTCATAAAATTCTCGTTAAAGTGATAACAAAAGCTGGGACAAATTGTGGGCGACATTGATTGGAAAACTCTGAAATGTTCAGATTGCTCTGAAATTGGAGAGATGCTCTATTTCTCTCAAATCATCCTGATATTTCTTTTATTCAGTGTTAGCCACTCTTATGTGATCCGTAATACAACTGCAAGTAAGTAGCCCTAAAATAGTAGTCGTTAAATTTTTCAGCAATTGTGTGTCCCAACGAACGTCTTCGTGCCTTGGTTCTTGATTCCACAAACAAAGTTCTCAATGAAGACGATCACTCTATCAATGTCGAATCAGCTTTGGTTGAAATAAAGGTTCGAACAAACATTTTGAAATAGTTTTTTTTTCATTTCAGGAGTCACTCCATGCTTTTGCACCAAATGTTCATTGGTTCACATCCATCGCCAGGTTTACTCGCTTCAATGGCGAAAATTCAAAAGACGTGGCCGACTTGGATTCTTTTTGCGCAATTTACTACTCAACCTACCATATTACGGTTCTTCGGGTCGCGTAAGCAGTGCTTTTTGTTGCGAGAGATAAAATGATTTTTTATTCTAACATCTCACTCGAAAAATGCGCAATCTACAAAACATGGCAATGACCACTACTCATGGCACAAGAAATAAATCACAATTACAGGAAGTTCAAGGCTCAATAGTAAAATTCGATTTCCCGTTGATGCATCGGAGCTCGTCGATTCCATCAGCGCAGTCGGCTACACCATCACAGATTTGTGATGCCATAATGCAAGTTCCCTCTTTGTCTTGACAAAGCACTCTGCCGCTTCCCGAGCATGCTACACAATCACAACCCTAAATCTTGATTGTAAACTTGAACAAGATACCAAAAATACCTTTTCATCGGATCCATCGGAACAATCTATCTTTCCGTCACAGCGTTGGGCACTTGCTATGCATTTTTCATCTGCTTCGCAAAACTAAAAAAAATATAAAACACTCGAAAGCTCGAACCTACCATAGCTCCCTTGGCGCATTCAGTGCATCCTTCTTCGTCGTGTCCATTTGAACAATCCTTGACACCGTCGCATCTGACATTCATGGGAAGGCATTTCTGCAGACCTCTGTTGTTGGAGCCGGGACACACGAATTCGGTTTCCATGCATGTTTTCTCTGAATAAAAATACTTGAAAGTATTAAAATTAAACTTACTGCAAAAGTTGCTTTCGTCCCAACCATCTGGACAATGGTTTACTCCGTCACAAATCGATTCCGGCGTCAAACAAATCCTTTGCAAAGCGGCTTTTGAGCGTTGTTGATCCGGGCGCGGTGGGCACGCGTAGTTTGTGATGCAACCTGAAAATCAAAATATAGCTTTGTTTAAAAATCAATATTACTTGCACAGAATTTCTCGTCCGAGCTATCTCCACAGTCAGGCACGCCATCACAACGTTGACTTTTGCCAACAAATTCATCCTAAAAAATATTTTGCAAAAGTAACATGATAAAGCAAACCGGTCGAGACATGCACGAGAAACCAAAGCCTGGACATTTGTCCACATTAGTTGTCGAAAACTCAACAAGCGTGTCATCATTCTTTTCAGCGAGGAGAGGCCATGTGATATCCGAGATAACCATCTAAAGAATTACATATTACGAGAATAAAAGAATACTGCTAACTTCAGCTTCAGAGCCTCCGAGAACCAATGGTAATGTTTGTGTTCCTGGCAGCGCAAAGATGAGGATGAGAATTGCCGCAGTGATGATGATTCCCAAAAAGACCAAGAAGAAGAGAAGTAGGAGGGGACCAGGCACATCTCGACACCAGCCGCAAGTCTTCTTCATGCGTTCTAGTAAATCTTCAAACCTCTCAGCGATTGTCCTAAATCAAAATACTTTGAATGATGTTTATTTAGTTTTCCGGCTTTTGCTGTATTAAATTTTGCACGAGCTCTCATGATCAATCATCAACATATTTCCAGCACAACTTTTCATAATCTATGAAAGCGCAATTTTACTTCAAGCATTGAGATTAGAAAGCTTTTAGACGTGATTCACAAAGCATCAGTACGTAGCTTAAATGGTTTGCGCGTAACGTTCTTTTAGAAGATACGCCCTTTTAATTCACGACTTTTAGTGAAGGCATTATGTATTCAAAATAATAAAACCGAACCTTGGAGGACTGGTAATTGGTCGATAGACGGGATCAATTGGCTCGGAAGCAGAACTGATGAGATGCGTCGAGGCAGTGTGATGTGGCGACCAAAGTGATTCACCGCGCACAATCTCAACCGGGCTCGGGTCGTAGCGTCCTTTCGGGCCAGAGGTGCTTACATCGATTGGCATCGCCATACTCCTAAAGCTCAAACTGTATTTATAGAAAATAAAGGAAAACAAAAAGAAAAATTGAGCTACCAAAAGACTCTACAGTTCTAAAAGAAATTTTGTGGAGTTTCGTTCAATTAACTTTGATTTTGATAAGTTCAGGTAACAAAAACTTGATAACTTTTAACTTTAGAAACAAAAAATTGAAGTTGAAAAGCGAAAGCTTGAAACAAAAAAAACAAAACTTCCAAAACCAAAGCGGAACAGCGCAAAAAGCGCAATTTTTTTTTCCGCAAAGGGGCATTTTCGCAACTTCTGATATCTTGACAACTCGTGGTTAGATCTTAATGTTTTTGGTACCATTTTATTGTTCTCGTCAAGTAAAACAAATCAGTACCCAAAAACATAAAAATCTGCCCATAGGTTATCGATTTATGTCGAGTTTTGGAAAGTTGTGAAAATGCCCCGTTACGAAAAAATAGGCAGCTTTTGGTGAGCCCTCCCCCAAAAGCTATTACTGTATTTTCCGACAATTCCGCGACGCTTCGTAGATACGGTCTTGTGTCGTGATGATCTCGTGATCGAGACCACCACGGATTGAAATGGCCAGCCATTTGCTTTGCGAAAACCTTTGCGGACGAACGCCTATTGTGCGAGATTTAATATACGTCGCTATCCGTTCAACTCCATTGTGTCCAAGGCGAGACCAACGCCAAAGTTCTGTATAAAAGCAATGTGAACGAGCTGCTGAGGTGTGCCATGGAGTCGTCTCTACTCTCCCAATCCCAAACCACTGAATCAACCATTATTGTTGTAATAAATATTATATCTAAACCACCAATAATCACTACATTGTTCAAAATATCCAAATACGTTTCACTATCTTCGGTGACTAATTGGTGTTCACATTTATGTGTGCATAGACGAAATGCCTCCAGCCGTGCCCTCCCTCGGCGGCTCGTTTAGTGAGTGAGCAATCACACAAAGCGAATTCCGGATTTTGCGCCTCCTCTCTGGAATTTGTGGCGTTATTCGATCATCGCCATCATCTCTCACGTGAATTGATCACTTTTAAAATTTCCCTAATGCTGATCTTTCTTTTTCTTTTTGATTTCGGATCAACCTATTCTCTGCGTTCTAAACGAGAGTTCATGTATGTGAACGACATAAATCCATCGGACTCGAGTTGTTTTACGGTTTGTTGTGAAAAATGTTTGTCGTAAAGTTAGGCCTTAATGAATTCGATTTCAGCAAATCATTTCAGAAATGCAATAATAAGTTTATCACCGATTTCGAGTTCAGTTTCAACATATCCGCAAGTGATTTCTACGATTTTCCACTGCATCCACTGGTAAGCAAAAAGAAAAACTCGATCATAAGCTCTTAAAACTTTCCAGATTTTAGAACACTCATCGTATCTATTATTTTGCAAATTAGCCACTGAAAAAACAAGATGTTATATCGATAAGTGCAATGATAAGGTATGTCACTGCTTTGATAAAAGTACAAAAAGAAACTTCAGTCAGCTGATGCCGTTTTCTCACCATCGAATTTCATCTGCGATTTCAGAAGATCTTTATATCAGGAAGTATTTGGAAAGCTGTATTTTCTTATTTATTTTCTTTTTGAAACAGGCACGCCCATGTCTAGCCGAAGCGGAGCCGATCACTTTTTTGAAATGCGATCAGCAATGTCACGATTCGCTGCGAAATCGACGAACGATTGGGAACAATTCTCTGTATAAGGTTTGTATTGAGAAATGTAGCAAGATATCTTGCTACATTTTGTGCTTATAGATGGGTGAAGTAGAGAGATACGAGGAGGCTCTATCGACTCTTTGTGCTTTTCAATCGTGTTATCTTGATTGTTCTTTGCCGCTCATATCAGAGGTTGGGCTAGGGAAAGTGAAGTTGTCTAACTACGCCTAAAACTGTTGATGATGTATGCCTAAAAATCTTTAGCATACAGTATCAACACAAGAAGCGTTGGCTTTTACAACTTGATTTTACAATTTGACTTCATGTTCATAGATTTAGGTCTGTTCATCAAATGGTGCGACCCGGGCAAGTAATTTATTATCGACTTTTGTACAATGGCATGCAAATGATATCTATGAATGGTGAGTAAAAAAATGATAGATAATTACAATTCATACAGTGATTGTGTAGAGCTTTTAATTGGCGTAAACTTTCAGCACCTAGTGCACTAATTTAATCCTCAACCAGAATGGAAGGAACGAGTTATCCTTTAGTTATCTTTTACAACAATTCTCATAGTTTAAGTTATTCAGGCAGGTAGTCTCTGATCGTCTTTAATTATCTTTTAGCTCAACAACAATTCTCATAGTTTAAGTTATTCAGGCACGTAGTCTCTGATCGCCTTCAACGTCTTCCCCTCAGTTGTGCTCGTCTTTCCGATAATAAAGCTGAATCGATCGTCCAAATCATGCAAAATGTCAAGAAAGTTTGATTTGTTTCACAGAAAAACGTCGAAATCTTTCCCTGTCGATGTCTTTTTCATCTCATTTCATAAAAATCTTCATTTTTGGCAGTCATTATTCAATAAAACATGAAAGAATTGAAAAAATATTGCAAGATCTCTTGAATTGCAAGATCTCTTGAATTGTAAGATCTCAAATGGGCAAGATCTCTTGAAATCACTCAAAAGATCAAAAAGATTAGAGAAATCGGTACTGGAGAACTAAAGGAACGAAAGGAACAAAAGAAACATTCAATTAATACAATAAACTTTAAAGCTGTTGATTTGTAGATGAAAAGATCTCCAAAAAAAAACGGAAAACATAAAAAAATACCCATCACAGGTTTTCGGCTCACTGAAAAAAAAATAAATGAAACAAGTCTATCGTATAAAAAAAATAGCAAGCTCAAAAATAGATTATATTTTAGATAAATTTGGGTACAGATTTTGTGTCTAAAAAGATAAATCAAAGTCGACTTTGGGATTGGATTGGATTGGATTGGATTGGATTGGGATTGGGATTGGATTGGGTTGGGATTGGATTGGATTCGATAAAAATCGTTCATTAAACTCAATTTGAAACTCGATTTTGGTCTTGTTTTATTACCAAATTCAGCCTAGGAGCCTACATTTATTGCGCCAATTCCTGCTTTGATACAAAAACGCACAATCAGCAGTGACTTTAAAACCAAACCCAAACCATCTAATAGAGAGTTGAAGTCAAAGAAATTAATCAATTTCAATCGCAAATATATACGAACAGATCAATATTGAAAGAAACTCAATGAAAGAGATGAAGTGGATGTGGTGGATGTGGGTGAATGGGCGAATGATCTCACTTATCAATCAATGAATCAATCAATGAATCAATGAATCAATGAATCAATGAATCAATCAATGAATCAATCAATGAATCAATCAATCAATCAATCAATCAATCAATGAATCAATCAATGAATCAATGAATCAATGAATCAATCAATGAATCAATCAATCAATCAATCAATGAATCAATGAATCAATCAATGAATCAATGAATCAATGAATCAATGAATCAATCAATCAATGAATCAATGAATCAATGAATCAATCAATGAATCAATCAATCAATGAATGAATGAATGAATGAATGAATCAATCAATCAATCAATCAATCGGTCCAGGTGTCTTTCTCGATCCAAGAATCACCGGCACAACCACATCGAAATGCTCGAGATCGAGCTTGAAGAAATAGCTGCATGTGACGAGGCCGTTTGCCTGAATAGCTCTTAGTTTACTTAACATAAAAGTACTGTAACTGTAAATCTGAACAGTGAAAAGAAGTGAACAGAAAGATACTGTAAAGCCCAGTCTTTTTCTCATTTACAGTAGCCTATATAAAAGCATTAAGGCTGAGTATCTTTAAATAAAGACTGAGTAAATTTCAATTTCAATTTCGTGAAGAACTCCGGCTTTCTCAGGAATACTGTAATGAGATGACTAGAGATTTTGCAGTAAGCACTCCTAAATATCGAAAAAAAGAATGAATACACAACAAAGGATATTTCTGGGTGTATGGCTTGTAGAAGGAAAGCTACAGTACCCTAAAATTCTTATCAACTTATTCATTCACTTGAATATCTTCATATTCTTAAGAACTAAAGTCAGGTGTCTTTCTAAAAACCTCAGCGTACTGTAACTTTCCCTCAAAAAAGCCCGTGTACATGCTAAAGAAAGAATCTGGGAAAGAAAAAGGGTATCACTCAGATTTTTTTTTACCTTATCCAACACATCTGTGCTTATAGCCTAAAGATATTATACCAATATGATTCCAATATGATTCCAATATTATACCAATATTATACCAATATTATACTAATATTATACAAATATTATACAAATATTATACTAATATTATACTAATATTATACAAATATTATACTAATATTATACTAATATTATACTAATATTATACCAATATTATACTAATATTATACCAATATTATACTAATATTATACCAATATTATACCAATATTATACTAATATTATACCAATATTATACCAATATGATACCAAATATGATACCAATATTATACCAATATTATACCAATACTATACCAATATTATACCAATATGTAACTTTTTGTAAACAAGGTGTTTTCTACTACCTGAATACTCGTAGGGGGGAGGTCACTGGGTATCGTGAAGTCGATCACTTTTGTTTGTGGACCTTTGCCGGGTGCCGCTTTGCACGTACCCTTAATTTGAATAGATTTTGAGAGAATTGTAGCTACCGTATAAGCTAACTAGTGAACTTACCGTAGAACGTAATTATTTACTTTAACAGGAGAGACTTTTGAAATACCGTAAACGATGCTGTATACGGTATCCGTATCAACTCTAAAGCTTATTTCCAAACCAGGATCTGAACTAGTCCAATCTCTAGACCTCATCAAATAAAAGCCAGGGCTTAGGCTTACGATTCAAAGGCCATGCTGGATTCTTTAGAACCTTTAGAAATTTAAGAAACCTTTAAAAACCTTTAGAACTTAGTTATTATATTTAAAATGGCTATAAAAACTGGCTTAATTTAAACTTAAAATGGCCCACCCTCTGGCTGAGATAGATCACGAGCTAGTTTTAAATGGGAGAGACATTATGGGAGAGCTATGGCTCTAATCTTACATTTCCTTGAGTTTCACTGGACATTTCTGACCTAAGCTGTAGACCAGTCAAAACCAGTCAAAACCAGTTAAAACTGGAGTCTAAACCTGGCTTAGAATCCTAGGACCCGACTCGATTCAACCACTTCTGATCACAATTTCAATTGTCAGGTCGAATAAATTCTACAAATCAAATCTACAGATCTTTAAAACGTTTTCATTTTCTTAGTAAATCCAATGAATTTTTTGAAAAAATGAATCAATTTTTCAACTCACATGCGTTTCCACCGCAATTGTGATTGATCTTCGATCGGAGAGATGAGACTCATATCGATTTCGGGCCTAAAAATTGCAAAATCTCTTGATTATTCTTTATTTTTTTGTGTTTCATTAGAAAAAAATACCACAAAATCGATTTGTTGACATAAAGAAACAAGCACGCATTCTTTGTTGCTGTCCTAAAATATTTAGAAGTGAAATTTTCAACTCTTATAAGCTACCCTTTTCCGCCATCGTTTTGGCTTTGTTCGGTTCTCGAGAGTGAGCGTGAGGCGAGTTGTTTCACCTAGAAAAAAAAGCTGTCAACGATCGGAATACTAACTTTTTGTCGCGTCCGTTTCCTTCCTATTTGCGTTGCTATTTTGCAATTATTCGCGTCGCATTTTTCGGCCTTTTCTCCCTTCCCGAAGTTGTTTTTTTTTTGATCTGCGGGTTTTTGCCTTCCCTCTTGGGGAACTTTTGTTGTTTCATTTTTGATGCGCATGCTGTTTTTGTAATGGTTATTGTTGCATTTCGGTTCTGTACTAATAAACAGTAACATTATAAATTCACTTTGCTTTATGGCTACCCTTCAGGTTTTAAATCCTGCTTAGATAACTGGTTTTACTAACATTTGTGTCACCATCGACGTAGTATCAATCTCCGATCCGTACTCTTCTCAAGAGTATTAATCTATTGTTGGATACTACGTGTTCTTGTTACGTTATAAGCGCTTTTGGGGAAACCCTTTTTAACCTTTTGTGCTATTCGGCCATTCTTAAGCAGAATCATCCTCGTGGATAAGGTTAAAGCGGGTCGCACTCCAAACTTTTTAACAATTGTCAGACATTGTCAGACATTGTAAGACATTGTCAGCCATCAGCTTACCAGCTTTTGAAAACATTGAACTATTCAATTCAATAATTAACCTGGTAGGAGTCCTATCTCTGCCACTTGCATTGTAGCCATGAGCATCCCTTTGCTACTTCCACAACAGCCGTGCAGCTGAAAAAGAAAAAAAAACGATAAAGTTTTTATGGTTACTGTAACAGTAATGCAATAATGCATATATTGTATCATTATTTCCTATTGCTTTTCTACAGCACTGGACAATGAAATATGATATTTGAAAAAAGATCGTCACTTTCGCGCGTCTGTAACTCCCTTGTCTTTGAGTTTAAACTATTAGTGTTATACATTTTCTGAAAGCTCTTTTCAACGGCTACACAATGGTAATATTGATATTTAGAAATACGGTAAAGACAAGGGAGTTACAGATGCGCGAAAGTGACGATCTTTTTTCAAATATCATATTTCATTGTCCAGTAGTGTATTTGCCCACCTCTTCTTCTTCAGTGACCGACGTCGATTCCCTGAGATAAGGCGCGTCCAAATTGAGCAATGACCACACTTTGAAAGTTTTCTCTGAAAAAAAACGTTGAACATGATTGAATATTGGGTTTGTGATGACTTTAATGAGCTAAAATTGAGACTGTTGACTAATGTTCAGTCTCAGTTCTCACAGTAACGAGGCGGTTTTCACTGAAAATTTCTCTCCAAAGAGCTTCAAAAATTGGAATGGTTTTATCACATAGATTCTAGTTTTTCATTTTCTTTAAAACCTGATATGAACTCGCTTCCGCCATCCTCAGGTAGATGAAGAATGGCAGAACCTGAAAGAAAGAAATTAATGACAAAGGAAAGAAGAAAGGAAGAAAGGAAGAAAGAAGGGAAGAAAGGAAGAAAGAAAGAAAAGAAGGGAAGAAAGAAAGAAAGAAAGAAAGAAATAGGAAGAAAGAAAGAAAGAAAGTGATATTTTATCATTAAGTCTAGTAATTTTTCTTATTTGGATTTAGAAATTGACATCTACTTGTAACAGAATAACGAGTTAGTTCTACTAATAAAGAACAATGAGAAAGAAAGACTTTTAGCGTTAGATCAAGTTATTCTTATTGGATTTTAAGCAATACAGATAGAAGATAAGAACAAATTCTGCTCTTCAACGATCTCAATTCAGCCAACTCACATGTGTATCGCACGCTCCCGAAACCCTCTCTTTCCACGGATGAGACCACGTCAAGTGGTAGCTGAAATTGCTTTTAAATTTCTTTTTTTCAATCTTTATCTTCTTATCTTATCTTAAAAGCTAAATTTAATCTAAATTTTCAATAATTACACAGAATTCATCTAAAATTAGCATTTAAAATTCGCATTTAAAATTCAAACGTGGGTTTCAAACGAGATCTTGTGCAGTCCGTCGTGGAGCTCGTACTCGGGATTGCAATGCTCGAAAATCTCGCTGTAAATGAGTTCTTTTACAAGTAAAATAGGCTCTCAAATATGTTTCGAATATATCAATGTTTTTCGTAATCACAATTTCTACAAATTTCTCTACAAATTGTCCCCACTTACACGGTGAGATCGATCGGCTCATCGAGAACAGTCTCTCGACTCTCAAAAACCACGTCCGTGTTCTTATTATACCAACCCTAAAATGAAAAATAGTTGATTATTTTGATTAATTGAATATTTCAAACCGTTTCAGCTAATCCAAAGAGTCGAACGTGAAGCCCGGCCACTTTGACGGGACGGGTCGCGTGGATTGTGATCTCGCCCTGGAAATGCTTCAGTTAAGGAGATATGCTTCAGTTTTTGATTGGATTCGAAAGTTAATTGATTCGTGAAATAATAGGATTTACTTTGGTAATTGCATTTGAACAAAGGATTCTAAAGCAAAAAGAGATTCAGCTATGAATTTGTGGGGTTTTCGGGGGTCGACGAATCGACGGTCGATCGACGACGATTTGATTTGATTCCTATTTGATTCCTATTTAGTTCTTTGTAGTTCCTGTTTGGTTCCTGTTCGGTTCCTGTTCGGTTTCTATTAGGTTCCTATTTAGCTCTTTGTAGTTCCTGTTTGGTTCCCATTATTGAAGCTATTCATTTTATTCAGTCTATCAAATGAAACTCGGATTTAGTTGGTTAGTTAGTTCTTTTTTGTTCACTTTTTATGTACAATATTTATAAAAGCCTTTGAAAGATGAAATCTGAATGCAAACCTTGACAATATCGCCTCCTACATAGGGCGTGTCGAGATTTCTGTCGAGGACGAGGTCGAAATGCTCGATACGCATGCCAGCCTGATGATCATTTCCGCCCCTTCCCACACATCACCTAGATTACAAAGAAAATGGTAAATGTTTTGATTGCTGGTTATAAAATAGTTAATATTGTATTGTAAAAAGTTTAAAACTTATAGTCATGCTGGATGCGGGTTTTTAAACGTTTAAAGTTTAAAGTTTAAAGTTTTTAAACGGCATCGATTTGGAGATTGAATTTGAATAAATTTGAATAAATTTGAATAAATTTGAATAAACTTAAAGCCAACTTTAAACTTCAAACAAGAAAAAGTGCTAAAGTTTACATAAAATAAACTTTGAACACTGGTTATTTAAGTTGATTGTCTCTTTGTTGAAATCTTTTGTTTCTTTTTGTTGAAGTCTTTTGACTCACCCATGCACGCAGAAATGCCCGGTGGCTTCACGCTTTTCCACCTGAATTCGTCTTTGAAAAAAACGAGCTGAGAAATATAACAACTTTTACAAATTTTCAAAAGGCATTTTTTTCGAATGGCATTGAACAATGGGGTGCTGAAGTGAGAAAGAAAGAATTTTTGAATTGTGTATTGGAAAGCTCGCGAAATTTCGAGTTTTTGAAAGCTTATGAAAAGAAAAGCTTTGTCAGATTGAAAATATGGGGTAGGCTAATTTCCGCAATTTTTTTTGCGCAACTGAGATCAACTGCGCAACTTGCCATAACTTTCTTCTAAGTCAGCCAATCTTTATGATTTTGATTTCATTTTGTAGATCTCAATAAGTGCAACAAAATGACACCAAAATCATCGGTTAAAGACCGGCTCACTTCGAAGAAAGTTATGACGAGTTGCGCAAAGTTATGACGAGTTATGACGAGTTATGACGAGTTATGACGAGTTGCGCAGATGATCCTGTTGCGCGAATAAAATGGCGGAAATTAGCCTACTCCCATTACTATTTTAAATGTGATGGGAAAAGAATCTCTATTTTATGCAGTTAGATTGTAATGAAATTTCCCTCATCGGTGTGATTTTGTTGCACTTATTGAGATCTACAAAATGAAACCAAAATCATAAAGACTGGTCCACTTAGAAGAAAGTTATGGAGAAGAAAGTTGCGCAAAAAAAAAATTGCGGAAATTAGCCTACCCCAATCTTTCTTTTCAAAACTAAATTTTCCGTTATGATCTTTGCCATTAATCTTAGCCAGGCTTTCAGGCGAAAAATTGAATATCTTTTAATGTTAAAAGAATAAGTCAACAAATGGGGCACCAATTTTTTTCCGTTTTTTTTCGTCGCAGTGAGTAACTGCCCTATTTGTTTAGTTTTGTTTTGAAAAAAAGAAAAAAGAAATTAAATTTTCCGCTTTTTTTCCGCTTACAAGCCTTTTCTTGATGAAATCAATGAATAATCAAGAAATATTTGGGATTAAAGTATTCAAGGACGAAAGGAAGAGGTCAAGAAAGAGATCAAGGACAAGAATATTGTAAGATCAATCTCTAAAAGACATAAAATTTCAAACTGGCTGGCTTGAATTTGAAATTTTGCATAGTTTTGAAGCCAGAAAAGTCCAGCCGAATGTTCTAGGACTTATGTTTTGGAATTCAAGGCTGATTTGAGATTTGAGAGCTTGGATATCAGAGAATTTGCATAACTTTAGTTCCAAGAGCTTGCCATGTTTTGAAGAAAAAGCAATGATTGAAGAAAACTCTACGAACCAAGCCTTTTTTTCCCTTCTCAATCTTAAATACCCCATGGGAAGTCAATGGAAATCCGATTTTCGTCCCTTTTCTTTCTCCCAAAAAGGAACCAAGCCAAAATGCTCTTGCTCAATAGAAAACAAGCTGGTACTGAAGGGTAAATTTTCGAAAGGAATTCAATTGAAGCTATTTATTGAAAGCATTGAAAGCAAAAAAGTTTGATTATGGTTCATGGCACGGATTTGGGACAAGTTTACGAGAATTTGATAAAAAATGGAATAGAATAAGATTGGAAAAAAATGAGCAAGATTCTAGAATAGATTAAAGATTGATGTTGTTTGAAAAAGATTTAGAAAGCATTAGAATTGATTAATTTGCTTTTGAAAAGATGAAAAATTGAAATTTTCTAATTACAGTATTGACCAAGTATTGAAAATGCAAAATTTCGAAAAAGGAAAATATTTTTTGGCAATAAAGTTTGAATAATCAATAAAACGTGAGCTAAAAGATAAAGACAAATTAAAAGACATTTTGATCTAATACGGTTCCGATACGGTTCCTATTTTGATCTAATACGGTTCCAATGCGGTTCCTATTTTGATCCAATACGGTTCCAATACGGTTCTTTTTTTGATCTAATACAGTTCCAATACGGTTCCTATTTTGATCTAATACGGTTCTTTTTTTGATCTAATACAGTTCCAATACGGTTCCAATACGGTTCCTATTTTGATCCAATACGGTTCTTTTTTTGATCTAATACGGTTCCAATACGGCTCTTTTTTGATCTATTACGGTTCCAATACGGTTCCAATACAGTTCCTATTTTGATCCAATACGGTTCCAATACGGTTCTTTTTCGGTTCCAATAAGACAAAGTTTGGCGTTCTTTTCTTGGATTCATTCAAAAAAATGCATTGGATAGACTCTGAGCATGATTGAATTGAGTAATCAAATCGATCCGAAAACTTGATTTTGCTAGAAAAAGCATGGAAACTTTTCAGTAACACATTTAAAAGAAAAGAAACATCAATTTCTGCCATTTCTCGAAAAGAGGCCTAATGTCAATGGTAATAAAAAAGCGTCAAAATGTTGTAAAGTGGCCAGATAATTGCTGTCATTCACAATTGCAAAAAAAACCTCAACAAAGAAAAAAGATCTGGCAACTGTTCGATCGCTATAGAAAAAAGAAACTTAAAAATGAGAAAAATTAGATCAAAGTTGAAGAGCTCATTGTTGTTAAAAGCAAGCAATCGTTTCTAAATTTTGTAGAAAATAGGAAATGATTAGTGTACTTCTTTTCGGGAATCGATTTTACTATTGAAGATTGATTGCTGTAAGCATACCAGAGTTGACATAGGTTAGACTTTTGTGGTTCAATCTTGGTTTGCTTAACACGCTGTAAGCAATCAATCTTCTTCTAGCCTTCAAGCCGTTAAAGTTAATCAGATATCTCTTTCCTGGAGTTGCTAAAAGACATGGTGCTAAAAGATTCAATTACCAAGTATAAATTAAAACTTCCAACGAAGCAAAACCAAGATTGAACCACAAAAGTCTAACCTATGTCCAGTAAAAGAAGTTCTTTGATCCCAGAAGCTTTATCGAAGGGAATAAATGCTTGTATAGCAAATCTTGACGTATTGTAGAAAAGAAAGAGTAGATACCAGAGTTGTGCAATGATAGCGACAAGTAGAGTGTGGCATTTTAGAACGTACAGTCTCTAGCGTCTCTAGCGATAAGATTGCCTCACTTGAATGTTTTTAAGAGCTGATAAAAGTAACATTTGTTGCTGGAAAGTTTAAAAAAAACCATTATGGCTATGGAAAATACATGAAACTCTTTCAATTCTCACAATCAATAAACACCAACACACTAAAAGAGATATCTAAATGAAATCTAGAAGAAAGGAGTGCGAAAGAGAAGAAGGAGAGGTCGATCCGACAAGTGGCTTCAGAAAGTGTGTGTTGTGTGTGTCAAAAAGAGAAACACAAGGGAAAAAAAAGTTCGTTTGCGGTGGGGGAAATAAGTTCAGGAGCAATTATGGAGAAGGGATGCACCACTACCGGAGAAGAGGAGGGGAGAGGGGAAACTCGAGACTCTCGTCATCAGAGACTCTATCCCTAGCTTCTGGGATGAGTATTTAGAGAATTGGAAAGGGAAAGAAAGGAAGAAAGGAAAGAAAGGAAAGAAAGGAAGAAAGGAAGAAAATGCCAGAAATAGGAACCACCCTCTGAGCATCTCTAAATTTGGGCTCCGGTCTTTCGGTTCTTCTCGGAAATCAGGACCAATTCTTAGAAAAAGATTTAGCTAGATTTAGCTACAGAAGTTTTAAATAGATTAAAACTCTAGCTTTAATCAAAGCCATGAATCGGCCTACTCTGGTTACTTGAGGTGGCTTTCGGTTGAGTCTGCAACATTCCTTTCTGTCCCAAATGTTTATTGACAAGTTCCCTCTCTTGACAAAGATCTTCCCGAGTTTTGGTAGTGTATGAGAATGAAGTGAAGAAGAGTAAAAAAAGATTGACTTCAAAAGGGTGGTGGATAAATACCAAGAAAGGAGAGGTGTCCCCCGAGGGATTCTCCCATAGAAAGGACCTCCAAACAAGACAAGTCTCTTCGTTACTCTTCCCCCATCTATCCATTCTCTCGTTGATTTCCTTCTCGTTTAACTTCTAGTATCTACGTAGTAAATACTTGGCCCAAAGGGATTCTCCCTGAAATTGGATTCAAATTGACCGAGTTTGGTCTTTGCTCGACTAAGAGTAGAGAAAGGGAAACAATCCAAGAGTTGGAGATTTTCATGTAACATTCAAAATCCAGGAGAAATCCATGATTTTAGTCTTTTAGTGGGCTAGTGGAGTATGATAAAATGGCACTGAAAAAAAGAACGTTCGGGAGACGTTCTCAAAAAAAGTTCTTTTGATCAAAGATTTCTGGGAAGTCATCCCAGAAAGTCATTTCTGGGAGAGGAATACTTGTATGAAATCCTAGTTTTTAAGATGTTATTCTTGAGAGCTTTTTGAATTATCTAGTCAAACAGGTACTCAAACCTGTAGTGCTTAAGTGCTTAAGTAGTAGTATAGGCGCTTAAGTATCAAAATGAGATGTAAAAGTAAATCAGTGCAATTATTTCTAAAAGTCTTAACTTTTTAGGTCATTCTAGGTTTATCAAAGTTTTTCTCTTCTTGAGATAAAGATTGCCTGGAAAATTGGTGTGAAGCCTGGAAAATTGGCGTGATTTAATAGCTACCAATTAAGGTAAGTCATGGTAAACTATTTTTGGGAAAATCCTTTGCCTTTGAAAAAAAGAGTAAAGAAAGAACTTCAACTTTTTTGGTGATTGTCACCGTCAATGACGTGAAATGCGAAGACCGAATCTTTGCGACAAAAAGCGAGTCACTCATGCGAGAAGAAAACCCCCAAAGAAGAAGCTCGGTTTATCGTGGTGCGAATCCAAAAATGGATAAAGCCTGAGACAAGGACCGGCAGTCAGGCAGGAAAAGGGGAAAAACGGCTGCTTGAGCTAAGGAGGACGGCCAGGCTTTTCTGCTCCAAACAAGAGATAGAAAAGGAGAAAGGAGAGAATGGGGGAGATGGCTGACTGAAGGAAGGGGAAGGCCGTGATACGCGGTATTGACTGCGATGGTCCCGAGGGAGCCGACCGCAGAGCATCCCCCACCACCAAACACAACCACAGATTCGGGCTCACATATCCGCTAAATATTCACACCATCACCGTGTTGAGAAAAAACAAGGTAAACAGGATGGTGTACCAAGTGGATCTCTTTAAAGTCGAGAAGCGACGGAAAAATGAAGTCCATGGCTGGATTTATGAAAACTCTAGCATTGTCGAAGCCCTTGCATTGATAGGGTTTGGGAAATTTGGGAAAGAAATCGCAAATGACATGGTTGCTCTGATTCCAAAGGTTTTTTAGGATTTTAAACCATTTTCCCTTCTAGAATTGCACAATACGTCACTGCTTTAGTTGTTTACTTTTATGAGAACACGCATAGATAAAACACTTTCACTAGAATCAGTTGCAACGAGCGCCCCATTGAAGTAACGATGGAGAGAGAGAGAGGGAAGAGCCCGATGGTGGCGGTGTCCATTGAAAGTCGCGATTGACATGCCTGATAGGACTTCAAGCACATGGCCCTTCCCAATAAGGGTCCCGGCCGACCCAATTCTTCTCCAAATTTGGCAAGATTTCTGCGGGAAATCCTTCAGTCAGTTAATCGGGGAGAAACAAAAACATTTTTAAAGTTAATTTGAGAAGGCTTGCAAAGAAAGGGGAGCTGGTCAAAACAGCGCCGGCCAAAAGAATGCGTTTGCGGTTAAGTCTTATTTTCATTTCTTCAGTATTTCTTATTTAAATTGGATGTAGAAAAAAAAATTAGCTATCTGCTGAATTTTTCGGAGCCGTTTAGAACAAATCTGGGATGCGAAAATGTCAAAAAAAGCGAAAGGAGGCTCAAAAAGAGGTTAACTGAGCTTTTCTCGACACCAATTTTGTTTTAAATGATCTCAAAGTAGGCAAAATGTAGATAATCTTATTCTACATCCAATAAGAATAAGAAACGCATAAAAATTTAACCCCAGAGGGGATATTTTTGCCGTGGCGCTTTTTCTACACGGTACTGTTTCGACCAACTCCCAACGATAAACCAACAAAAGCAAGTGTGCCTAGCGCGAAAAAAAGATAACTTTCAAACATCAAGTCACTGCGGGGGTGGGACAAATGCTACCTTTTTTTTTGCTGGAAAAGGCCTTAGGCAAGGCCGTAGAGCTTCGAAAATATTTCCGTATAAGGGAATCGTATGCGTAGATTCCGAATTTCGACAAATCAGACCTCGCTGACACGTCAAATTTGGGCTAAAAGGCAAAAACTACGCAACTTAACGCTTTTCCGCAGTTTTTGCCTTTTAGCCCAAATTTGACGTGTCAGCGAGGTCTGATTTATCGAAATTCGGAATCTACGCATACGATTCCCTTGTCTGAAAACATTTTTGAAGCTCTACGACCTTTCCTAAGGCCTTTTCCAGCAAAAAAAGGTGCGCAAATGTCCAGGTGCGCAAAAAAAAAGGTCGCATTTGTCCCACTCCCGTCACTGCCATTTTCAGATTTTAAGTACTCTCCGTAAAGGCTCAATTAAAGGATTGAACATCTCTTTCTTATTGCAATTACAGTAAGACTTGACGGAGTTTGGCGTATAAAACGACCTTCTTGCACAAAAAAACCATTTCTGTTTCGTAACATTTCACACGATCTTGCCTAAATTCCCACAATTAACACGCATCCCAGTAATTTCTTTTGTTCTTTTGTTCTCTCCAAATCTCCCAGACATTTCGAAATCACCTGACACTTTTTTGGCGCCCAACCTGTGCCGTTTTCGACTGAACACCGCAATCCAAAGGACAAAAATTGTGTACACCCAAAGAGCTTTTTGAACATATCGCGCAAAATTCTAACTACAGATTCGAAATAAACGAAATAGACTGGCTTTTCTTGGAATTTTCTTTTTTTTACTATTATCTTTGTTTTTTATGAAATTTTAAATTTAGAATGGCTGACGGTATTCCGACTTTCAAACTTGTGCTTGTCGGTGAGTTGTTTTAAACTTTAGATAGTTTTGACGTTAGTAAATTGCCAAGTGAAGAATCGAAACATTCAGTTGATAGATCGGATTGGTCTATCTTTATGTATTATTTTTTTAAGGCGACGGAGGAACTGGAAAGACTACGTTTGTCAAACGGCATCTGACTGGAGAATTCGAGAAGAAGTACGTGGCTACGCTCGGAGTTGAGGTTCATCCACTTGTCTTTCACACAAACCGAGGACAAATTCGCTTCAACGTTTGGGACACTGCTGGACAAGAGAAATTTGGTGGACTTCGTGATGGATATTACATTCAAGGTAGAAATAACACCTTTGTGGATGTCTAAATTCTTTTTTAGGTCAATGCGCTATAATCGTTTTCGATGTGACTGCTCGTGTGACCTACAAGAACGTTCCAAATTGGCATCGGGATCTTGTTCGAGTCTGTGAAAACATTCCAATTGTGCTTGCTGGCAACAAAGTCGATGTGAAGGACCGCAAAGTCAGTTGCTTGTGGATACTAGACTGTTTAAATAATGTGTGTTGTGGTAAATTGAAAATTTTAGGTTAAAGCCAAGACGATCACCTTCCATCGCAAGAAGAATCTCCAGTACTACGACATCTCAGCCAAATCCAATTACAATTTCGAGAAGCCTTTCTTATGGCTTGCAAGAAAGCTTCTTGGAGACCCAAATCTCGAGTTCGTTGCAATGCCTGCACTTGCTCCACCAGAGGTAAGTATTGCGATAATTTTCCTGGCTTTACCTGAATTGTTGGTCGAATATTGAATTGATCATTATTGCTTTAGGTTCAAATGGACCCAGACATGATTCAACAATACGAGCGGGATCTCAAGGAGGCTGCTGATGCAAATCTGTAAGTTAGAGTTAAAAAAAAGAAGAGCACTGATTTAATTTGCCCACATAATTTTCTTTGTTTTTAGGCCTGATGATGACGACGATTTGTGAATGGCTTCTTCGAGAGAACGATGACACCATAAGAATTTTCAAATTACTGTTAAATTTAATATTTATGATTTAATTTTGTTATTTTAAAATTCAACTATGTCCAAGCAGTTCGGTGAAATAAAGAATTTTTACATTTGTTTGATTAAAATCTCAAGTTTGCATGACAATTTACTGATTACACTTAATTTTACCGAACCAATAGGTAGTGCTAGAGCTGATTTTGATGGCGATAAAATGTTGTGATAGCGCAGTATTTCTTAATTTAGTTAACAGAATGGATGACTTTGGCCTACCGTGGGTTGAGAAATACCGGCCTCAAACATTAGCTGATGTGGTTGGAAATGAGTCGACAGTTCAGCGTCTCAAAGTCTTTGCTGTTGAGGGAAACGTACCCCATATAGTCATCTCTGGACCACCAGGCTGCGGGAAAACGACATCGATTTGGGCAATGGCTCGGGAAATGCTTGGCCCAAAGCTCAAAGAGGCTTGCTTGGAGCTCAACGCATCAGATGATCGAGGAATTGAGGTTGTGCGCAACAAAATCAAAGGATTCGCTCAGACCAAAGTTACACTTCCTCATGGAAAGCACAAAATCATCATTCTTGACGAAGCCGACTCAATGACAGAGGGGGCTCAGCAAGCGCTTCGTCGAATCATGGAAATCTACAGCAAGACTACCCGGTTTGCTCTTGCTTGCAACCAATCCGAGAAGATTATTGAACCCATTCAATCACGGTGCGCAATCATTCGTTATTCGAAGTTGACTGATGCTCAAATGCTGATGAGGCTTCAAGACGTTTGCCAGGCGGAACATGTTTCCTACAATGATGAAGGATTGGCTGCAATTCTCTTCACGGCGCAAGGCGATATGAGACAAGCTCTGAATAACTTACAGTGCACGGTCTCTGGTTATGGAAATGTAAATGCGGAAAACGTTTTCAAGGTCTGCGATGAACCTCATCCTCAACTGATGCTTGAAATGTTAAACTATTGTGTTGAAGGACGACTTCTTCTAGCTGCCTCTATAATTCACGATCTTTACAAACTTGGATATTCACCCGATGACATTATTTCGAATCTTTTTCGTGTATGCAAAGCCGCCGAGATTCCACAATATCTAAAAATGGAGTTTGTAAAGGAGATTGCCGAGGCTCACTTGCGAGTTGTCGACGGGCTGGCTACGATCACCCAACTCTCTGGCCTCGTAGCGAAATTGTGTAATGTTCGACAGCGACTCCAATAAATTGTGCTGCTATGTGTGTCATTATAATTTTGTATTTTGTTACGATCTCTACTTTTGTACTTTAGATGTAATTCATTCCGGGACTTGTGTTTCACTTTTGTTATCAAGTTGCGTAAATAAATGATTTAGTATGGAAACAAGACGTCGCTCAGCACGGTTGCAAGGAGCTCAACAAAAACTTTCGAAGGATGACGACTCTCCTAAAGGTTTCATATCATCTCACAACTAACATGTCTAAGTTAATTTAGAGAACCCGAAGAAAGTGACGTCTGCAGTTGCAAAAAAAAGGAAATCTACACAAGTGACTGGGAAATCGATTTCCGAACCTCTCCAGGTTGGTGATAGTTATATTCTATTTACCTATTTAAGTTTTTCAGACCATCAATAAGGTCGAAAATGAAGGTGCTTCGCCCCCCAAACGTCCAAGAAAAGTCCAAGAACCGTCGTCAAGTCAAGTTGGTGTATTTTTAAAAACATCAACCGGTCATCATAGGCGGCACTAAAAGAACTGATAGAAATGAAACATTTCGCAAACACTTCTGACTCGGAGGTAAACTTATCATTTTGGTTTTGTATTAGTTGATTTTTCAGGAAGAAATCCCCGAAGGGAAAAAGAATGTTAAACGTAATAAGGCGACAGGTGACGCGAAAAACACGTACTTGTTTGTCTTTTGAAAGCATTTGAAAGTTATTTATAGCAATTCTCACGAGTCGAAATCTACAAAAAAGAGACTTGAGACAAGATCTGAGGTAAGGATGGGATGGCACATTTATATATTCGTAAATTAGGTACTTCAATCTCCACAAGCAAAACCTTCTACGGCAAGGCCGCGGAGGAGAACTGCACAAGTAACCAAGAAATACATTGCGAAGTATATACCCATTGGAAACTTTCTTAATAAAAGTTTTTAGTGATGGTTCGGAAGAAAGTGATTTATCAAGCGTTGAAAGCGTAAGCTGTAGCTCGTTTGAGGAAACATCAATTAAGCTCAAAAACAAAGTAAGAATGTTACGGATACATAAAAAAAGTTCTTTTAGGGAATGAAGCAAGTTTCAACTAAACCGTCCAGTAGCTCTTCTGATAGCCTTCCTGACAGTAACATCAGTGATGAAGAAGTTGAGGCAAAGAGGAAGGGCAAAAACAAGAAAACGACGGTGTGGGTTTTTGAATCTTAAAATTAGATCCAATATTCAATTTTAGCAGAAGGCGTGCGGCACTTATTGATTACCGTGCAGAGGATGACGGTGATACAAAAGATGATGATGGAGAAACAAAGAAGCAGCGTCCTGAAAGGTTTTATAGACGAAAATAGCAAAACAAATACCAATTATAATTAGGTGCTTCATGTCTAAGAGATGGAAAGCCTGGCACACAGATCCAGAGCACAAACCTTCGGGAGACATTGCTGAAGAACCGGTATGGCTGCAGAAGTTTATCGAGAAGCTATGACTTTTTCTTTTCAGGCTGTTCGTAATGCGGGGGAAAACACCATTGTTGCTGGAGATAGAAACGATTCAAAGGAACAACCAAAATGGGTTACCGATTGTTTAAGGTAAATTTTGTATTTTTCATCAAAACCATATAAGTTTAGCATTGCTGCTTCCTTGGCTAGACATCGCACTGAAGAGGTTACTTTGGATGAAACAGCTCATATAATGTATATTTTGAAGATGAGAGAAAAAGTAAATTATTTAAACCAGGTCTCAATCATTATTAATTTAGGAACAAACTTTGGGCGAGATTGCTTCGGACATTCAAAGCAACAAAGGAGATTTTCTAAAGGTTTTACATAAATTAAATTAAGTTTTACATATTCCATTTAGAAAGGAACTATAGCGGATTATCACTCTTCAAGTGAAGACGAGTGGGAAGAAATGGAAGCTGTCGAAGAAAAGCCGGAGACATCCACAAACAAAAAGGTAATATTATTTTTTACATTTGAATATTGTTTTAGCTTGAAATCACCCTCGACAAGAAAAAGGTTGAAATCGATTGGTCAGTCAAATGGCTCCGTCAGGAGATTAACAAATGTGTCAGGGCCAAATATGAGAATGCCCACAAGGTAAAGAAGCTGAATTTGAAGTTTGCTAGTAAACATACCTATTTAGCTTCACATTCTTTTCTGGATTAGCTACTTGCATCGTTACGTAAAGCGAGCGCTTGATGAAAATCTTGCGACATCATTGGCACTTTCTCAAATACCATCTGGGTACTCTTAACAGAATAGTAAAGAACACCTTAGAATTTAGATACGCCAAACTTGTTGATAATTCTAAGCCGCCGATGGAGAGCCTCAAAAAGTTTGCCAAATGGATTCATTCTGCTTTCAAGGTACCTTTCTTTATATAAAATTTCACAAAAGAATTTTAGCAGGATTCAAACTTCACGGCTTCCATGGAAGAGTGGGGTTGCCGCTTTCAAGAAACAGCAGATTCCGCTACTTCAATCAGAGAGAAATCTTTTGCTAATGATATACAGCGAGCGATTGTGAGCGCTTTACTTTATATTTACGTAAATAATGTTTAGGCTTATCTTGTTTGTTTTCGAGCTCTAAATTTATCAGTTCGTCTTGTTGCCAACTGTCAAGTATTAGCTCGCAAGAAGGAAGTGGACGAAAATGTGCCCAAGGTTTTGTATTAAATTTAATTTTATGCTTGCTACATCTTAGAAAGGCACAAAAATAAAAGGAAAGAACGCAAAAAGCAAAAGAGTATTGGCATCGCCGAAGGTCGACGACGAGCTTGCTTTAGACTCGAAGAGGAATTTTTGGATTGAATGGTGGTCTATCGAAGAAAAACGTTGGATTTGTACGTTTAATAGATGGTACAATACACTTTGTCCATTAAGGTATCGATCCGTTGACGGGTGAAGCCGACATTGCAAATGAGTTTGAGCCTAATTTGACATCACCGGCTGTTTATATTTTCGCTTGTGATCAGAGTATTTTTAGTTTGGACATTTAATGAAAGGCCCTGTTATTTAGAAGGTTGTATGCGTGATGTTGGAGCACGTTATCTTTCGACGTTTGGTACACCAATCTATCGCCGACAACGTGCAGAACAGTCTTGGCTCAATAAAGTTTTCAATAGCAAGGCAAGTTTTTAATTTTTTGTTAACGATTGAAACGTCGTTGCCTTTATAGATTATTCTTGCGGATAAATCTCAGGCGCAGTTAGAAAATATGTGTTTCCAAAATGATCTCGCTTCTCGACCATTGCCAAAAACAGTAGCAGATTACAAAGACCATCCATTGTAAGTTGTGATCTTAGTTTAAAACCAAAAAAGATGTTATAGGTACGTTCTTGAAAAGGATCTTCTGAAATTTCAAGGGATGTATCCTCCACCTTCAAAACAAAAGCCGATTGGTGAAATACGTGGCCAGAAAATTTATCCACGATCGACAGTCTATCACCTTCAAGGAGACTTAAATTGGGTCAAGATAGCAAGATCAGTAAAGGTTAGTTTCATGACTCTACATTTAATATAACACTTAATTTAAGGAAAATGAGAAACCATATAAAGTTGTCAAAGCTCGTCCAAATATGCGTGTGCCTGCAGAGAAGAGAGGCGAGCCAAAAGATCTACCACTTTATGGCTTTTGGCAGACTGAACCGTATCGAGTCCCAATTGTAACTAATGTAAGTCCTTTTGATTTATTCTTTATTAACCGTATATTTAGGGTGTCATTCCACGAAATCAATACGGTAATATTTATGTATACCAGGACTCAATGGTACCTAAAGAATGTGTTCATTTGAAATTGCCAGGAATTGTGGGCTTGTGCAGGTATGTGCTCATTTGATTTCAAAAGTCGACTTGCATTTAGGCGTTTAAACAAGGAACATGTGGCTGCTGTTGTTGGTTGGGATTTTCATGTTTCTGCAAATCATCCTGTGTAAGTGACTATTGGTTAACTGAGCATAAAATCTTTTCAGGATCGAAGGAGCTGTTGTATTGGAAAGAGACGTTGAAGAATTAATTGCCGAATGGGAGGCGGCCGAAAATCGACGCAAGGAGCGAGAAAGAAAAGTTTGGGAGTGTTTTTGTAAAAGAAATTTGAGTTTTAGCGTCGAGAGGGGAAAGTCTTATCCAATTGGCGTATCCTGATTAAAGGTAGGTTTTTCATTTAAAATTTCATTATTGCATAATTTTAGGCATACTTCGACTGCATCATATGCGTTATATTTTTGGCGAAAAACCTCAAGTATTTTTTAAGATATAGCCGCTTTGATATAATTTTAGACTGTTGAGAAAGCTAAAGAAGGCGAAGAGGATCAACTGCCAGACGAGAAAGTTGAAGCCGAGGCTCAAGCTGCTTGGCCGGCTCCAAAATTCGCATTGGAACGAATGGAGAAGAAGTAAACTGTTGTTTCTGTTTGAATTTATTTCATTCCATTGTATTTGAAATTACCCCGGTTACCTTTTCAATTTCATGATATTTATTGGTTGGTGCATAAGTCTTTACAATTTTTTTTCCAAACGTCTTTTAAAATAGTGTGGCCACCAACAAAATTTCTATTTGAACTATTAAAAAGGTTAATTGTTTCTCTGTAAAATGGCGTTTGGGAAATTCTTTGAAGTAGTTGTTTTTGTGGGTTTTCAAAGGCGAGCACCCAAAACTGCTTCGATGTCGAAGTCGCAATTTGGATACTTTCTTTAATACAAACCTATTTTGGTGCCAAAGTAAAAGATAGAGCTTATTTGATTACTCTGTAAAATTTGAAAACGATCCGTCCAGCCATTTTCTTTAAAACAGCAACTGAAAATTTTCCACAAAAGTGCGTTTTTACCGAGTTGAGGGAAGAAATGATAGCCCTTTTGAATAGTTTAGGACGCAACAAATTTGGTAAAGAATTCTTTTCTATGGAAAAGAATTATAAAGACTGATGCACCAACCTAATCTGTTAAGCACCATTTTAAAATCCCGTTTTGATCTCATGCACTTAGCTTTGCCTCAATTTAATCAATTTTTTATTGTTGACATATGCCTTACGACTCTACGTGTATTTGGATTTGGTATTTTGTTATTTGTTATTTGTTTTTCAAATGTTTTAAAATAAATGCTTCTATTTTTTACGAATATTTATATTCTTGTCGTTATTAAGGTCGCTTTATTACTAGCAACTTTATATTATGCAAACGTCGTTTTTTAGCACTAGTCGCATGGGGTTAAGTCGGGTCTTCTGCAGGTTTAATTGTGGTTTTGACTTCATCAGTAACGATTTAGAATGAAACGGTCAATGGAGGCCACCGGAAGTTCTTCGTCGAACCAAGAAAAGAGATTAAAGGAAGATCTGGTATTTCAACAATTGTAAAATCTAGTATCTTGCAGATTTAGAAGCAGGTTGGGTATAATAGCGACGAAGAACAATCAGGGAAAACAGTTTTCAAACGGATGTTCAAGGTAATTCTCAATTAACGAGTTTTTAATAATTCTTTCAAGTTCTACAAAAAACGCGCACCGCCACCGGATTTCAGCGATGTCATCGATCCTTCCATTGTAAATGAAGCCAGGGGAATACAAATTCAATCACTTGCTACGAACGAGGTATTCAAGCACAATTTGTGTTTATTATTTCCTTTTAGAAATTTCTATTTAACGAAACTCATCGAGACATGTTAGGTCTAAAAGATCCGTCCGATTGGAAAGTTACTACGATCAAAGGGAGAGAAGGGCTCTACATCTTGCCAGGAATAGTTAGGTATTTGTGAAACTACGGTTTTAGCTTGTAAAAATGTTGGTAGCTAATTTGTATCTGTAATTCAGGGAAGATGCGCATCTTAAATGGCTCGATCGAACCTTCAAATATGCCGAACCACCAAACGTGACGAATTTAACAGCACACGGAACAAGTCCAACCAGGTGGCTTTCATTTTTCTATCAGTTAAGCTAGATCTTAGAATTTCGGCAAAAAAATAAAGTCTTCGTTTTATAACATCTGATTTAGTGATGTTTTAAAAGCGGTTGGAAAGAATTTACGATGGACGACGTTAGGTTGGTATTTATTGTTTGACTTTGTAATCGATACATATCAGTATCAGAAATTTTCACGTTTAGGAGTCGATTATAATTGGGTGACGAAGGAGTATCCTTTTGAGAAGCGCCAGTTTCCAACGGAATTAAGTCGATTGGCTGAGGTGATCTCAACGGTCAATGGTGATCAATGGTGATTTAGTTTGTATGTGCTATCGTTGGAGTGGGAGAATTGAAGGCAGATGCCGCTATTGTTAACTACTATCCTCCAAAGTCTACGTTATCTCCACATCAAGATAGGCAAGTTAAGGTTAAACCTATCTCTATTGACATTATCACAGGTCGGAGCGAGATCTCACGAGAGCGCTTGTTTCGGTTTCTTTTGGTCAATCGGCTGTATATTTGACAGGAGGCAATTCGTTAGATGAGCCGGTCGACGCACTTTGGCTTCATTCGGGAGATGTTCTGGTGATGCATGCGGGTGAAAAGAACTGATCTTTATTTTTAATCGTTATTGTTTTAGATCAGAGACTAGTCTATCACGCCGTCCCGTGTATTGTTTCAACGCGCAAATTCACCGGTCCTGATGGTGCTTATTCAAAGGAACTTCTGGATTACGCGAGTACCAGCCGCGTCAATATAACGATTCGACAAGTAAATGAATAAAGTTTTTAAACTTGATTTCATCGTGCAATTAATTCTTTAGTCTTTTTTTGTTATTTTGTGTTCTCTGTTACAATTTTTGCAATAAATGTTGAGTTTATCGATTGTACAATTGACTTATCTTTGTCTAACACAAACATCGAATGTCTAAATCGAGTTGCGTGAAAAGTAGGGAAAGAGAAAGTCATTTAATTTTGTTAATTCAATGTTCGCCGTTTAGCAGTATCTATTTTTTTTCTATAGAGATGAATCCTCAATCGAATGATTCAAACGGGGGATATTCGAATCAGCCATTTTCTCCACCTCCACCGATTCACCCAACACGGCGCTCGGTCACTGCGCAAAACGCTGAACAAGCGATCTTTCGTGATGGAAACGCGCAAAGCTGCACACCAATTCCAAGTCAAGGAAACATGCAAAATGTGACAATGGAGCAAAATCCCGGAGAAATGCGAAATATGATGATGAGGAATTATGTGATGCCTTATAGCTACGTGCAGATGGTACCTTCTGCCTACATCATGCAAGCACCGGTATCTCAACGCCAGGGACAAGTTCAATACGTTCACAGTTCGATCCCACAACAACAATTTGCGCAACTGAGCCCAATCTCGCAGCAAGGCACTCCTTACATGTTGCAGGGTGTTCCATTCATACAAATGTCTGTACCACAACATCAAATGCAGCATTCAAGATCGGTTCCGAGTATGATGTCTTCTTACGCTCAATCCGGCCAACCGGTTCTTGCTTCATATCCGATTTCGCGACCAATGCCAATCGGACATCGACAAATGGGACAACCGGCTGTCATCGTTCCATCGACTGCTCAACAAGTCCAATATGTGAATACTGGAATGTCGATAAGTCCTCAAACTAGTTCTTTCATCATCAACCAGGATCCACGAGCGACGATGCGAGTTGAAACATCTCGTGTGCAATATCCAGGAATGCGCCAATCTCCTGTGTTGCGGACAAATTCCAATCAGTCAACGCCAAGATCTTCGCTTCCAAAGTCGACGTCGATTGGGACACCGGCCCCCAAGCAGTATGCCTTGCCACCTGGGATTGATGATGGACGCGAGTATGCTATGTCACCTCAAATTGCGACACGAGCTCGAATGGGAATGGGGAACGCTGTCGGGAAAACCCCACAGAGTCAGCCATTCACCAGACGAGCAAATGATTTACCTATGACCATGGGTCGTCCTTGTCCACGACAACCTGCAATTGGTGAAAAACGATCCATCCAGCCAGCTCAAATTTCTCATTCGGCAGTGAAAGTTGCTAGGCCTGAAACGGTCGACAAATCGCCATTAGTTGAGCCGACTCTCAAAGCTGTTCAGTCTGCACCTCAAATGGATTGGTTTCACGATGCTCAACTTGCGACTCGTGACTCGGTGATTTTCGAAGAAAATGTGAATGAGCAGCTACCAGAAGAACGCCCTAAGGAAAACGAGGTGTTGGGGAGAAATCCGTTTCATGCTGTAAAAAGCTTGATCAACAAGGATCTACAGGATGAATTGTTAGGTGCCAAAGAATTGATGGAAAAAGAAGGTGAGAGCGAGGATGCTAAACAAATTGAAGGCCATTTCAAAAACATGGATAGTATTTGCGATTTGATTGAGGCTAATGCGAAAACCTACCTCGAAGCTGCTCGTCAGGCAACACTATGCACGAGGTTTTCTGATTGGGAAGCGGATTCGAGTGAAACAAATGAATTGATCACTGGCTATATTGAATCAAGCTTGAATTTGCAAAAAGTTTTGCACCGTACCAGGCGAAACGTTCTGGCATTGACATCGTCATGGAGGGCTGCAAAACAAGCTGAAATAACAAAGGAGATGTCAAAAGATCGAAATAGCACAGAAAAAGAAAATGACAAGACGGGCGTTCAATTGACCTCAACTCCTGATGATTTACCTGCAAAGAAAGAGATAAAAGAAGAGGTGACCATGCAGGATGTTGTCAAGCAAGAAGTTGACAACGAAGAGACAAAATTATCGATAAGGAAAGAGACAAAGAATGATGAGATCATGAAGGATATCGTGAAACAAGAGGCTCCAAACAAAGAATCCGAACCAAAAACACCAACAAGTGAGAAGAAAATTAAAAAACGAGATGTTAATGAGATTTCGGAGGAGAAATCGAAAGAAAAAGCTGAAATCGAGGAAGGATCTCCGACCGCGACAGCATCCCCGGCGCCAAGACGCAGCACTCGAACACGAAAAGTTACGAAATAAAATGTTTGTTTTGCTTGAATTGTTTTGTTTTTATTATTCTTAATAAATAGATTAATTCGAAATGAGCATCAATATAGGTTAAACCGGGATTGTGATTTTTGGAGGACTCAAAAACGTTTCCGCTTTTTGAGATGAAGAGATCGATTGAAGGGAAAAGTCGAAAAGATCGTTCTGAAAATTTCTAATTTAAAAACTATATGCGATGCTAATACTTTTCGGCGATTTTGCTGAGTTTTCGCTCGTCAACTCCGAAATTTGTTCGAACGAGGAGTTTCCGCGAAAGCACTTGCACGTTTACCTCGTCGAGGTGAAGAACTGAAATTGGTTGTTGTCGAGAATATGTTAGTTGGCATTTAAAAGGCTAAGTGATGAAGTTGATCGGATCTACTTAGTCTAACAGTTCTGTTTGAACTTTGCTTACACCCCTCGATCAAATCGCTTTTGGCAATTGTCTCACGTTTTCGACTTACCACTAGGAATTGGGATTGGCACTCCACTGTTTAGCATCTCATTTACCATATTCTCAATCAACTGTCCACCAAGGAGGGCAATATCCGCGAGCTCGGCATTCGTTATCTGAAATTGAGTTGATGAGTGCACTTTTTGATATGTGACATCACTTCTAGCTTTCCGTATCGATTCAGTAGATCGAATCTCGTCAATCGCACCGAGCCGCTGACATTGCTTTGCTGACAAATATTCTTTCAATCGATTCTGCATTTAAATTCTCACTTTGACATTTAGTGTCGTGTCGGCGACAACTTCTAAATCGAAAACGGCCTCCTGATGTCGTTGAATGCCGATTTCGACATAAAGAATGATCACACCGCCGATATTTATTGAGATCACTCCTGGAATGGAAAAGAATCGTTTAGTAGCTATTAATATGCAAATTTTTATCGAAACCTTGATTTTTCTGACTGAATAGCATGGCGGGCGCTCGAGTGGCCGCGAAAACCAATTCAATGTTGGCTTTTGGATACTTATCGGAGAGTTGCGGGATCACGTCGGCAATGCACATTGAATCACTGAATTTTACTTGGTACAATAGATTGAAAGCTCAATTTTCACATGAATCTTTGACCAGAACTTGGCCGTTTTCGTATGACTTCTGATTGTGCTATGTGTGACAAAAATAACAAATTTATCCTCCAGAATTGCCTTTTTTAATCGATGCATAACTATTGATAAAATTTCAATCACCCGCAATTTGTCCGGAGAAACGGTGCCACACCGGGTGTCTCTTTGTTTAAATGCAATTTGATGAGTCGTTGTCTAAAGCCGTTTCTCTTCGAAGTTCATCGAAATTTATTTTTTACTTATACGCGTGGTAGAGGAGAGAATTCGGCACAAAATCTGACACCATCACAAGCAACATCGAATCATCGTTTAGTGCTTTCGGCCATGAAAGAGGCGGTGCTGGGAACGGGGTCCCACCACGACCACCCACAGAGATCTGTGAGGGAAATTTTTGGAAAAAATCAACACAGATTAAACAGCAAAAGGTGAGAAATGAATTCATTGAATTCGCTCCTCAAAAACTATCCACTTTACTCCAACAAACCTCTCCCACCGACGACAATTCAACCTCGTTCTCACCGCATACTGGATCCTCGGCAAGGCTAGATTTTTGAATATTTCTTTTACAGTTTTAAGCTGGTTTTAAGCTGATGTTTGAACTGAAGCTTTGAAACTGATGTTTTAAACTGAAGTTTTAAACTGAAATCTTTAAATCTAACCTCTAAACACTTGTTTACCATATGTGATTCTCTATAAAAGGAAAGCCTTTGAAAAAGTTAGGCAAGTTAGGCAAAAAAAAGTTAGTTAATCTCTTTGCCTTACGTATAGTCGATCATAAAATCTTTTGAAAAAGTTGGTCCGAAGAATTTCTCTAGTGATAAAGCCTCTGGAAGGGATGATGGAGATGTGGAAAGTCCGCGAATCGAATTCGTTGAGATCGCCTCGGATAGAGAGGATTTCGTTTGCACCTGCAGATCGAGTGAGATAGAGAAATTTGAAATTTGCAACATTGGTCATGATAAAGATTACGACTATTTCTATAAAAGTACGACAAACTAGAAAAGACAAGATTACATTAGCTAATTCCTTAATGAATTTCCGTGAGGAAAGTCTCTATTCTCTACCCCACCTCAGCCAATTTCCAATTCAAGTCCTCATCGATGTATTTCCGAATTTTCTTGCAAATGAGTCCCTGCAGAAGAGTGCGCACATTGTCGGAGATTCCTTGCTAAAGGAGAACTTACAGGGATAAAGAGCTTTTTAGAGACTATTTAGAGACTTTCTAGAGACTTTTTAGAGCTCAAAGCTCAAAATTGGTCTAAGCTTTCTCGCTCGATAGAAAAAAAAAGCCGAGACTAACCAGTTGGCTTTAGTGAAAATGCCGAATTTACCTTGAAAACGGTGATCGCTAATCCGAAAAGACCGCCATTATGATTGACGACGTTTACAGAGCGAATCGTTGTATGACAGGTTAGACTCGTCACTCGAGCACTACCATTGTTTTCCTGGATATGGGAAAATCGTTGAAAGTTGAAAGATCGAGAGATTGAGAGATTGAGAGATTGAGAGATTGAGAGATTGACAAGCTATGAACCCCTACCCGATGCACGGCACTCTCCAACTCAAACGAAAGCCCCTCAGCCAACACTTCAGCTTCTCCCGTCAAATCGAATGGCACCAAAATGTTGACATTTCCCGACAGTGAACCGATTAAACTAAAGAAATAAATAGATTGATAAATAAAGAAATCTAAAAATAAATAAAGAAATCAATATAAATAAGTTTTCATTCAAAAAGTTCATTTTCAAAAGTTCATTCAAAAGTTCATTCAAAAGTTCATTCAAAAAGTTCATTCAAAAAGTTCATTCAAAAAGTTCACTTACCCGATATTCATATTTTTGATGAGCCATGTTATTCGATCAGGAGTTGAGGTGGAAATGTCATGGAGTTCGGCTCTCTGGAATTGTGAAAAGTGAAAGTGAGTGACTTTGATGGACTTTAAAGCGAGATATTCGAATTCTTGATAGTTTGATGATTCCTTGATCGCTGGGAAGATGGTGTTCAATATTGGGAATGAGCAATCGGGGAAGTTGCTGGGCTAGGAGATTTGAAGCCACCTAGAAGTGAGATTTGAAGTCAGAGCTTCACCTTTGAATTGAAACCTGTTTTTTGAGCTTTTAGAGCTTATAAAAGTTGAAACTTCAGCTATTTTTATAGCTGAAGCTTACTAATTGCTTTATACCTTTGATTTTAGACTTTTTCGATCAAGCACGAGTTTCTTGAGTCAAGAAGCCAAGAATGTAAGCAAGATGAAAACAGATTTCGATTCGCTTGTTCTTTTTCAGCTTTTTAAAGTATTCTTGAGTCTTTTTTGGATCTTGAATGTTAAAAACAATGAATGTATGTGACAGCTTTGTATTGATGTATCGAAAAAGAAAGTTATAAGTTCAGTTTTGTTTCTCGAGCCTCTCTTTTTCAAATGTACCCTTCACCTTTCACCTCACTCCTCCTCCTCCTCCCCCCCCCCCTCCTCCTCCTCCTCCTCCTCCTCCTCCTCCTCCTCCTCCTCCTCCTCCTCTTCATCCTCCTCTTCATCCTCCTCTTCATCCTCCTCCTCTTCCTCCTCCTCTTCCTCCTCCTCCTCTTCCTCCTCTTCCTCTCCCTCCTCTTCCTCTTCCTCCTCTTCCTCTCCCTCCTCTTCCTCTCCCTCCTCTCCATTTCCATTCTTGTTGTTATTCAATACAGTTTTCAGAAAGAGTTATTACTCTTCAACAGAAAATGCACAAATTGTTTACCAAATTAAGATAATGAATGGCGCGTGGTTGTACACGGACACGCACTGCCGGTTCGACTCGATTCCCTGAGTTTCGTTCAAGTGGCTGAAAGGGTTTTATTTTAAATGTTAGATGTTATGAAAAACTATCGTAATACTGTTATGAAAAACCTATTACGATAATACATAGAATATCTCATACGATCATATTATATCTCCATAAATTGAAGAACCTAAGTGATTTCAGTCAAAAAGCTGATTTCTCTAGATTTATATTGCTAAATATGACTTATTATGCCTTCATTATTTAGTTTTAAATTATTCTTTAAGTTTAGAAAAGAACAAAACTGTTAGTAAAGAATTTTTGAGTTATAACAGAGAATAGTACATTCAATCTTTCACTCTAATAAAATAGAAAGCCTTTAGAACTTTTGAACTCTCTTTTTTGCCTAGGGATAGTTTAGAGGGCTTGAAATTTCTTGTAAAAGTTTTCAGGCAATATAATTGAAAGAGATTTGCATTTAATTACGTTTACGGGACACTACCCTACAAGTAAATTGTGAAATAAGTTAGAAGTTTTAAGTAAGCTAGTAAGTTATAAGTTTTGTAAAGTAACTTGACTCTTAACTTGACCTCCTCCGACCGACTCTTAACTAAGGAGGAACTATGAAGGAGCTTCAAAGGAACTAAATAGGAACTATGAAGGAGCTTTAAAGGAGCTTTAAAGGAACTAAATAGGGACTATGAATGAGCTTTAAAGGAGTTTTGTAAAGTAACTTGACTCTTAATTTGACCTGCACTAGCTTCAAGAATTACTGGGCAGTAAGAAAACCGCATTTAACCCAAACTAAGATTATTTCTGGATGTGCTTTCAAGCAACTACCAACTGCAGGACCAGTTTTGAGATCTTTCTTCATCTTCTTCCTCTTCTTCTTCTTCTCCTCCTCCTTCTTCTTCCTCTTCCTCTTCTTCTTCTTCAAATCGTGGATCAAAAGAAATGCTTAATGGGGGTCAAAAAGCTTTTTCTTTCATCTGACCGGTCCATTCAAGTGTCTCCTTTTCAAAGTCTGACCCTAGCCACAAAATCTAGAGTTGGAATTCAGACAATTCGTGGAAAATCTTAAAATATATTGTTACTATCTCAAGGTTGTCTAAGGAGATTTCTTGTAAAAGAGTTTCCCGCAGTGGCAACAATGAAGGATTCAATAACTGAGAAAGCAGCCCAGCAGTCGAGAAATTTGACAATTCGACTTTTACATAAACCTCAAACAATTATAGGCTGATTTTCAGCATTGATTTCGGGGGTTTTCAAATTGATTAGCCTAGTAAGTAACAAAGCTAAATATCACTTTTTCAATTGAAAAATGTAAGATATTCAATTCTAGTATTTGAATACTTTGTTTCGGTATAATTTAGTGAAAAAGAATCTTGAAATTGACGGATTTAAAGCCCGTTTAAAGCCCGTTTAAAGCCGGTTTAAAGCCCGTTTAAAGCCCGTTTAAAGCCCGTTTAAAGCCCATTTAAAAGCCCGTTTAAAAGCCCATTTAAAAGCCGGTTTAAAAGCCCATTTAAAGCCCGTTTAAAGCCCGTTTAAAGCCGGTTTAAAGCCGGTTTAAAGCCCGTTTAAAGCCCGTTTAGGCGCCCGTTTAGGCGCCCGTTTAGGCGCCCGTTTAGGCGCCCGTTTAAAAGCCCGTTTAAAAGTTTAAAAGCCGGTTTAAAAGCCCATTTAAAAGCCCGTTTAGGCGCCCGTTTAAAAGCCCGTTTAAAGCCCGTTTAAAAGCATTAAGAATAAATAGGACTTCTTTCTTTTTCAGTTGAAAATCTATGATGTTTAAGGTGAATATTTTGAATAAAATCTAAGTATTATCTAAATATTAGAGCATTTAAATATGTTTTTTTTATGTTTTTTCGATATATTGGAATAGAATCATTGGATTAACCGTTCAAAGCGTTCACCTGAGCGCTGAGAATCGGGTGAAAATCATCTGCAGCGGTGACTAATAGGTTAATGAATATGTGAAAAAAGAAAAGAAGAGAGAATGAGAGGGAGAGCATTGCATCTCGTCGAGTATGAAGGGGGAAAGGAGGGGACTGTGGGGGGAAGGGGAGGAGGGAGAAGCTCTTGCAACTGACAGAGGAACACTTCCCTTTCCCCCTTCCTTCCCCCTCTCCTCCCCTCTCCCCCGATTGCTCTCTTCTTTGAGTTCTATTCATTTCTTATGCCATTTCTGTGTGTATCGGTGTCACACTTCTTCACTCAATAAACGGTATCATATCTAGTGAGTTCTTGAGAGAAAATTTGAGTGAACTGGAGAACAAAGCTCACTGCAGATTTGGAAAGATTTTGGGAAATGAAGAAGACAGACAGTTTCAAAAGAATTTAAACGTTTGCTGTTAAGCTACCGTGATCGCTGTAATAGAAAAGCTTAGTTATCGTTGGCATGAACGGTAGAACTACAGTTGGACCAGTATGCACAGTCTGAGTTGACAGGTTGCCTCAAACTTGAACTGTCCTTAAGGATAATTGAAAGACGCTCTTGCGGACTAGAGTAGGACTACAGTAGACTACGGTAGGTCTAGCTAGGACTACAGTAGGTCTAGCTAGGACTACAGTAGGTCTAGCTAGGACTACAGTAGGTCTAGCTAGGACTACAGTAGGTCTAGCTAGGACTACAGTAGGTCTAGCTAGGACTACAGTAGGTCTAGCTAGGACTACAGTAGGTCTAGCTAGGACTACAGTAGGTCTAGTTAGGACTACAGTAGGTCTAGCTAGGACTACAGTAGCTCTATATACAGGACTACAGTAGCTCTATATACAGGACTACGGTAGGTCTATGTACAGGCTTTTTGAACTGTCTCGAATTCATCAAAAGCTATATTTTCGAATTTGCATTTATACGAATTCAAAACGGCACTTGATGAAACTAACTTTGACTTAAGGAATAGATTATCTTATTTAAAAAGTTTAAGCCAAAGTTCATTAGATTTCTCTGCATGGCTCAGTCATTCTCTTTCTCTAGAATTTGTCCAATCCAAAACAACAGACAAAAACCCATTCATGCCAAATAAATACTTAAATTGTTTTCCTTGTCACCGTCACTTTCACTAAATCCATTTACAAGTGATGTCTCGCTCGAGACAAGACATGAACAAGACCTTCGAAAACATTGAGGAGAGCTCTGAGTGTGTGTGTGTGTGTGAATAATCTGATCGAGAGAGGGGTAAAGGAAAGAGAAACGGACGGGTTGAAGAGGAGGGTGAGCCTTGAGATCGATCTGTTTCCTCTCTCCTTTCCTTACCGTCCTTTGAAGGGGGGTTATCGACCCGAGGGAGAGCTATCCCCAGTCTCCTTCAGTCTCTCCTTCGCATCTCTTTTGCTTTTCTCACTCAGCTGACTCTCCTCCCGTATTTCTTCTTTCACCGACAACATCGATGACCTAGAATTTGTGCTTGATTTCGCGAATTTCTGCTAGTTTTTGTTGAATTCTGTATTATGAGTTGGAGAAAGGTGAGTTTTTGTGAAGGATAGAGCTAGAGTAGAGCTAGGATAGAGCTAGACTAGGATAGAGCTAGGCTAGAGCTAGGCTAGAGCTAGACTAGAGCTAGGCTAGAGCTAGACTAGAGCTAGACTAGAGCTAGGCTAGAGCTAGGCTAGAGCTAGACTAGAGCTAGACTAGAGCTAGGCTAGAGCTAGGCTAGAGCTAGGCTAGAGCTAGGCTAAAGCTTTAAACAGGTTAACAAGCTAACGATAAGCAGATCAAAGCTTAGCAAGCTTTTTAGTAGTTCTGGCTATCCTTTTTATTCAATTTCTTACTTATAAGCTGCATTAGATAAACAACTTTCATGTGAATTTGTAAGGAATGTAAAGGATGAAAGTGTAACTTCGTCGAACACATCAAAAAACAGTCAAATGTTTCATTTAATCAAGTAAAGTTGATGCTTTTAGCCGATAAAACCCATTAAAACAATCTTTTAGATATTCCTCTGTACATTTCTAATCTCTCTTGTCAACTCCTCGGAGCTGGGCGCTGTTTTGGGTGATGGAGCCGCATCGCAAATGTTACGACACGCCGCTCAGCTGCTGCTTGCTGAGCCACGGTATATTGAAGTGGGTTTTAAAAGTTCGTCCGTTAATCAGATAAAGTTTAGGCAGTTCTAACAAGTCGTGAGAGTCCAGGGCTGTCTCCGTTGGCCTCAATCGATATGCATTCAAAGATCGGCTATCAAAATCTCTCGCTTCATTTTAAAGATCGAGCTGTCACCTTTACATTTACAAAGGTTTAAAGAATCATCTGTAATTATTTCCCTAAAAACTTTCAGTTAAAATTCCGCTCATCAGCCAATGTCACTCATTTGTTGTGGCCTCTAGACATTGGAGAGCACATGTTGGATATGAATCTTGAAGTAAAATAGGCTATGAATAAGTTTATGAATAAGTCTATGAATAAGTCTATGAATAAATCTATGAATAAATCTATGAATAAATCTATGAATAAGTTTATGAATAAATCTATGAATAACTCTATGAATAACTCTATGAATAAATCTATTAAGCTTATAAAATATAGATTATAGAATTTAATGATTTAAGTCATTGATCATGATCATTGATCTTTTATGAAATGGTTTAGAAAAGGCTTTCAGATGCCGCACGGGAAAGTGAACATGATCATTGGCGCGGAGACAATGAGTCTTCAAGATTGTTATCTCTTGGATCCAAAGGTAATTGTTTAGTAGATTCTAAAATGTGGTTTTAGTTTGAGGGAAGTCTTGGCGGACAATGGTTTGTCGAAGGCGTTATCTCAAAACTCACGTCAATCTTTTCACCTGGTCTCGATTCGACTTTATGTTATTTCTTTCATCATTACCTCGCCGATATCCCGCATAGTAATATTATGTGAGTTTGAAAATATCACATAAAAATATCACAAATTTGGCTGTACTAGGAAAGTCTAATGGTTTGTCGATCCTAAAGAAAATCAAGAAACAAGAATTAAGGATTAAGGATTAAGAATTAAGAATTAAGAACTAAGAATTAAGAATTAAGAACTAAGAATTAAGAATTAAGAATTAAGAATTAAGAACTAAGAATTAAGAACTAAGAATTAAGAACTAAGAATTAAGAACTAAGAATTAAGAACTAAGAACTAAGAATTAAGAATCAACAATCAACAATCAACAATCAACAATCAACAATCAACAATCAACAATCAACAATCAAGAATCTAGAATCAAGAATCTAGAATCAAGAATCTAGAATCAAGAACCAAGAAGATCAAGTCAGATAATCTGTTCAGAACAGAATGATCTGTTCTTCTCTGTTCATCTACTTTTGGTAGACTTAATCTCGGTTTTCCTAGGATTCGGTGATCCAAAATTCTTTTATATCATTTGAAAGCTTAGAAATCTGATTTGTTGATGTCAATGATATTATAATTTGTCTAGATTTGAATCCCTATCATTCCCCATGATTCCCCCACGATTTCAGGCGTTTCCCCATTCATTCTCTTCTTCCACCGAAAGCTCGCGAATTTCTTGCTCACAATGAAACAAATCTTTTCTATCGTCTAAACAGTGTCGACATTCATGAACATCAAATGACAATCAGGGCAACAATTGAATGGAATAAAGAAGTAAGTGAAGTAGATGAAGTAGATGAAGTAGATGAAGTAGATGAAGTAGATGAAGTAAAATCGTTTTCAAAAGGTAATCATTTCAAGGAAACAGGCGAGAATCCGTTTAAAGTCTCGAACACAAGTCAATTCGAGATGGAGTTGAAAGGGGATGATCGAGTGACATTTTGGATTGAGGATACGGTACTCAATGAATTGATTAATCAGGTGAGAACAAAAAGATTCTTAGAAGTATTCTTAGAATCCTGAGAAGTTTAGAATTCTTAGAAGTATTCTTAGAATTCTTAGAATTCTTAGAATTCTTAGAAGTATTCTTAGAATTCTTATATCAAAGCTCATGGCTTGAATAGAAGTCCTTCTTCAATACACTAATGCTATCTGAGCTTCATTTACAAATTAAGTTTAAGCCAAATTGTTTTTCTTTTTAAATCAAAAAAATCGAATATCTCCTTTATCTCTATTGAATGATTTCTAGGTGGAATGGGATTTCGAGTGGATGTCGGAAACAGTTCCTGTCACTTCTCCAATCATTCCACCAGATTCAAAGGGTTTCCTCTCAACTCTTTGCATTGATTGCTATTTCCTCTTGAATGTTTCAGCTAAAGGAAATCCCACCATTCAGGCAACAAATGAGTCACTTGTTTTTGAAAAGTTTAAAAAGTTAAAGATCTTTAAATTACTTTTTTTAGAACTGATCGTGTAAATCTTCGTGTCGTAAATCCGGATCGAAATGTTACGTCGGTTTTTGCCTCGTTTGTGCTCACTATTCAAGTTTGTGTTCAAATGGAGAAAGTTTAAAATAAAACTTTAAAAAGATTAGTCTAAAAAGATTAAAAGATTTTTAGGCTCAATTACAACCAATTTTCGATGACGGGGTTTTGAGGACACTTGTACAATTGTTGGACACAAAAATTGTGATGGAAGATGGAGCATTCCCGAAAGCCTGGAGATTTTATATGGAGGATTTGATGAGGGGTTTGTAGATAGCTGTTCGTCCCAATAGATAGCGTCTTATTAGATAGCTGTTCCGAAAAGGGAACAGCTATCTATCAGGACGATTTGCCAGATGGCGAGCGATTGCTCGGCCCCACAAAGCACACCGTGCTTGTAGATAGCTGTTCCGAAAAGGGAACAGCTATCTATCAGGACCGTTTGCCAGATGGCGAGCGATTGCTCGGCCGCACAAAGCACACCGTGCTTGTAGAAGCTGTTCGTCCCAATAGATAGCTGTTCCGAAAAGGCAACAGCTATCCATCAGGACCGTTTGCCAGATGGCGAGCGATTGTTCGGCCGCACAAAGCACACCGTGCTGATCATTTATTTAGGATTTTTCGTATCGTCAATGGTACAGAAAGAAATTCAGCTGTGAATTTGTATCTTAGGGTTTTCGGGATCGAGAAAACGATTGGGCGAGCAATCGCTCGCCATCTGGCAAATCGTCCCAATTGAAATTTCTTTTGTGCTTTTATAAAGCATTCTAGGAATGATTCTTGACATGTTATGGCCTGAAATCAAGAAAGCAATTGAAGAGCTTTCATATGGAAAAGGATTGAAAATCTCTTCGCATTGTGGTTTGGATCCGTTTCAATCAGAAATCGATTTTGGTTAGTTTAAAAAAGAAAGCATTTGTTCTGGAAAGATCTTTAAAGTCTAGTAGTATCTAGTAGTCTAAAGTTAGACTCAATTAGAAGAAAATCATTTGTATTGACTCAAATTTGGACAAGTTGTTGTTGATACTGATGCTGCTAGTAACCCTAGCATCTCTAGATCTTAAAGTCGACTCTAGATCTTAAACAGATCTAGACAGATCTAGACAGATCTTAAACAGATCTAGACAGATCTAGACAGATCTAGACAGATCTAGACAGATCTTAAACAGATCTAGACAGTCGACTCTAGCTCTTAAATTTCTACTTTAAGAGTTAAGAAAGCTAAACATTTCAAGGTTGCCAAGGAGATTAGATTTATAGTTGAGTCAGAGAATCAAAAGAATCCAAATGATTTACACTGACTCAAGTCTAGTCCAGGCATTCATCCATTAGAACTGGTCCGATTCTAGGTTCTTTATATTGTCCATTATATTAGATTGGAAAGAATGTCCACGGAAAAAGTTTGACTGGCATTTCTTAAAAACGAATCCACCAATTCAAGAACATTTTCTTCTATTATTTACAATTGGACTCCAAAAAATTACTCATAAAAAAAATGAGTGCAGCTTTCCCTTAAAATTTAGAGATTTTTAAAAAAATCTGTTTTCGCACTCAGGTGTTCCTATTTGCGCAGATCACAACCTGCTTCCACATTTCTCTATCCCTTGCTATTGTCATCCAGTGTTTCCTAGCTTGATTGTTCCTGGGTCGAAGTCTTCGACTTGCTGGTGCTGGTGGTGCTTGCTGGTGGTGCTTGCTGGTGGTGCTTGCTGGTGGTGCTTGCGACTTGCTGGTTCACTCTAGCCATCCTTTCTCTGACCGTCTCTGCCACTCATTTAGAGATTTTTGAAAGATTCTTATTTTCAAGCTTAAATTCAGATCACTTTTTGGCACCAGAAAAACAATTCCTTAGATAAGATAGAGATAAAGCTAGCATAAATGAGCAATACGCCCTATAATTTCTATTTTTAGACAAAAATTTTTGTACAGAGAAGCTGTACTTCAAAAAAATAATTTTTTCGTGTCATCTTCTCGGCACTGAGTGCTTGCTAAAATACTGTTCATTTTGAAAAGTTAAATCATTAAATCAAATTTGCCTTAATCACAAATGTTCCCTATTTTAAGTACTTGATTTTAGGTTTTGAATGGAACCCATTGCCTATCCATAAACCCATTAAAAACTTGTCTAAAGGTTGATCACTCAAAAAGTGACCAAGTCACTTCAGCTGAAGAAATCTCTCATTTTTTTTTTACCTGCAGCTCACTCTGATTGTTTCTTTGTTAAAAACTTTTTGAAATATAGTCAAGTTTATCAAAAAATTTGGGAAGAATTGGCTGGTTGGTTGGGAAGGATGGCTTGGTTCTTAAGAAATCACCGTGCAAACTTTTTCCGAGAACTTTCTTTCCAACCTAATATTATTTCCAACCTACACTACTGGACAATGAAATATGATATTTGAAAAACGATCGTCACTTTCGCGCGTCTGCAACTCCCTTGTCTTTGCCTTTAAACTATTAGTGTTATACATTTTCTGAAAAGCTCTTTTCAAGGGCTACACAATGGTAATATTAATATTTAGAAATACGGTAAAGACAATGGAGTTACAGACACGCGAAAGGGACGATCGTTTTTCAAATATCATATTTCATTGTCCAGTACTGTATCTCCAGTCTAGAAACTTTTAGATCTTCCTAAACTTTCTACAACTATTTTAAAGCTCTTTTTAAAGCCTTTTAAAGCCTTAAGCCTTTTTCCGCTCAACTTATAAATGCAAATTTCAGCCGAAGGATCTTTTGCGATCACCACCCGTTTAGCTCTTCACAATCTCGACATTGAGAGGTTTAAAGAAAAAGAAAGTCAATTTTAAAATGTAATTCAGATGCTTTAAAGAGATGAAAAGCGCAATCCCGAACACGAGCAAACTCTTTCAGAAGCTTGATCCAATAGCTTAATACCGTATTTCTTCGAATAGAAGACCGGGTAAAGAGTATGATCGCGTAATCCGCGTACTCCTGCGTAGCAGCCCTTTTTAAAATTTCTTTTCTGCATAAAAGCTTTCAATCAAGTGCTATAGAGCTGGAAAATGACTCAAAAATACGACATGAGCTAACAGATTTTTGAGCCATTTTCCAGCCCTATAGCACTTCATTGAAAGCTTTTATGCAGAAAAGAAATTTTAAAAAGGGCTGCTACGCAGGAGTACGCGGAGTACGCGATGATACTCTTTACCCGGTCTTCTATTCGAAGAAATACGGTATTAAGCTTATCTTTTCTTATTCCTCGAAAATTTCTCGTTTTTCTTTGCCATTCGTGCATTCGATTTATACGGGTAAAGTTTTTATTTGATTAAAAATGAAATAAATATTTTCAAATGAGAAAATAGAAATGGCAGTATGACAGGGAATTGTAAAAATCAAAAATGAACAATTTAGAAAAGTTTTAGCGTTTACATTCGAGCGTGGAGATCCTCCTCTTCTTCGTAGCTCAACTCGGAACCTAAAAATAAAAATTCTGATGATTCTGATGACTTTTCTTTACTAAAAAGGTTGATCAGATATTGCTCTTCGATTATTTCCCCTCACTTACCATATTGTCCACAATCGGGGAGCTCTCCTTGAACGCGACTTTGATCAAACTCACGCCCATACTTGTCAACACACCAACATTGCCCACCGTGACATTGCTCTGGCTGATAGAAACCCTCGAGATCGCAACGAGGAATGAAAACTCCTTAAAAAAGATTGCAAAAATCAGCTACAGTAATCAAAAACTGTCGTAAAACATCGAAATATTGAATAGATTGAATACTTAAACTGAAATTATTCAAGTTTTTGACTACCGACTGAATATGAGACTTTAAAATGTTATTGAATTCGAATTTTACTTAATAAGCGTATAGTTATGTATAGTTATGTATAGTTTATTCACTTTCAAAGCTGAGCATCATACAATCACTCAGAGGTATCCCTTTAACACTTTTGGATAGCTTAAAGATATTGTTACAGTTGAGACAGACAGCAGACAAACTCAGAGGTATCCCTTTAAGTGGAAGTAGAAGAGTTTTCTTAGGATAAATGATTAAAATAAACTCTGTCAATAGATTCTACGACTTTGAAAACCCCTGGGTACAAATTTTAAAGACTAAATCTCATTTGGGAATCATTTACAATGCAAAACAAATCCCATGTAAGATGTTCTTTGTGTGGTGAGGGAATCGCTCACAATCTGGCACATCGCCCTGCTAGATAGGTGCTCCCTTCTCGGCTCGATCTTCCCCAAAATCTCATGTAAGATGTTCTTTGTGTGGGGAAGGAATCGCTCACAATCTGGCACAGCGTCCTGCTAGATGCTCCCTTCGATTTCCCTCAAAATCCCATGTAAGATGTTCTTTGTGCGGCGAGGTAATCGCTCACAATCTTGCACAGCGCCCTGCTAGATAGATGCTCCCTTCTGGACTCTATTTTCCCCAAAATCCCTCTCTCATTTCCCTGTTCTCCATAAATTTTGATCAAATTTCTCTCAAAGATTTCCTATCAACAATCTTTTGATAAAAATTTTGATGAGATTGAAAATGAGAATTGGGAAAAGAGAAAGAGAAGAGATTGTCATGTTTTGATCGATCTTTTCTTTCCCTATGCAACAATGTTTATGTGAAATTGATGGCTCTATCCATTTCCAATTCCCCTTTCATTATATAGAACACCCCGATCACCAATTATTCCTTCATTTCTTTCGTTAGTGTTCAAGTGAAATGAGAATTGATCAGTGCTCTCAATTAATTCATTTGAAGTTACCGTATTTTCTGTAATAGTAGTGCGCACTACTAATTTTTCAACCCCCCTCCTGCCTGCACTACTATTACAGACTGCACTACTATTACAGAAAATACGGTAACGATAAAACTACCGTAATTCATCAGTTTTCATTTTGATCGCCAATTTTATTCTCATAGATTAAAGGCTTTCTTTTGATTCTATTAAGGCTTTCTTTTGATACCGTATTTACTCTATTAGTGGGGTCCTCTCTAATAGTGGGGTCGTCTGGAGGGGGGTTGAAAAAATAGTGGGGTCCTCTCTAATAGTGGGGTCGTCTGGAGGGGGGTTGAAAAAAAACAGTGGAATCGATTAGTGAATTAGTTCTTTTACTGTTTGTTAATGTTTTGTTACGGTTAAAGCTAAATAAAATACGAAGCCAAACTTGTTTTGTCAAGAATTTCGGAGAAAAATTGATATCTTTTCAATTTAAAACTTTGGTTATATGTTCTTTTAAATTTCTCTAATAGTGGGGTCCTCTCTAATAGTGGGGTCGTCTGGAAGGGGATTGAAAAAATAGTGGGGGACCCCACTAATAGAGTAAATACAGTATTTGAATAATATTAAAAAAATTGGATTCATTGAATGGTAAATTAACGGTTTAACAAAGAAAATTAACTAAAATCAAACAAAAAAACAAAACTTTTTCAGAAACAAAACACTATTTTATTGTTTAGAGCACAATTTTTGATTTTTTTTTTGACAAAGAATTTCCAAAGATCTTTCTCGTATCTTTCTCGTTATTTTCATTCTTTTCAACTCTTCCTGTACTTTTTAAAATCAATCAAGCGAAAAAAATTCCCTTTTCTTTCCTTGAATGGCCTTGAATTTTAAAGCTAAAATTTGACGAAAACGAGATTTTTGTATGAAATAAAGACAAAGATTTGGAGATGTTTTTGTAAATTTCCTTCCTGAATTCTAAATGTTGACCTAATCGAAAGTAAATACTGTACTTTCACTCTTTTACTTTCACTTTGAATCTTGACTTGAATTTGATTCTTTGACAATATCGAATTTCTTTTTCTTTTCTATGCCCAAACCTGGGACATGTGGATCGGCGTGATGCTTCTCTTTATGGCATGGGGGTTCGTGGCGGTAATCATCGGAAAACGAAAAACAATCGCACCATTCGTCCACCGAAATCTCTCCATCGATCACCATGTCATCTGAATTTTTGATTGTTTTGCTGAAAAGAGTAAACACACCGCATAGATCGAAGAAATGCGTGAGGCACGGCTCTTTCATGTTTCCCTCGATTGGCTTCAACTCTAGAAATTTAATCGAAAATCAAAGTTTAGATACCGTATTTTCTCTAACAGTAGTGCACCCAGAGCGTCGCGTATTGCTCGAAATCTCGAGAACCGCTTATCAGAATCTATTGATGTGGGGTCGGAAAATGTAGCTGACGATGAGATCTAATGGGGGATTTGAGTGTTGAGCTTCTGGGAAAGCTTGGAAACCATAAAATAGGCATCAACTCGGCTCGCCGGGGTGCACTACTAGAGAAATATAGAGAAACTATTAGAGACACTACTATTAGAGAAAATACGGTATTTCAGGAGGGTATTGAAGGCGGTAAATTGGCTTTCTCCGACTAGATTAAAATCCGAAAATCAAATTTTAGATGACCAAGTAAATAGGGTTTAACTAGAGTTAACTTTTCAAAAAAAAAGAAACCTTTTTGTGAGAGTTGTCCATCATCATTTCCATCCCATTGTTCAAACATCCATGCGACATCAGGCCGACAGGCTACTTTGTGTTCTGAAATTTCTTCTTATTACTTCTACATCTTCTACTACTTCTTCTACTACTTCTTCGACTACATATTCTACTACTTCTTCTACTATTTCTTCCACTACATCTTCTACTACTTCTTCTACTACATCGTCTACTACTTCTTCTACTACATCGTCTACTACTTCTTCTACTACATCGTCTACTACATCTTCTACTACATCTTCTACTACTTCTTCCACTACTTCTTCCACTACTTCTTTCACTACTTCTTCCACTACTTCTTCTATTCCTTCTTCTAAATTTAAGTCAATTCCCCATTCCGTTCTTGAATTCTTCAACCTTTACGAAACGATTTATCTAATAGATGAGTAAATAGCTCAATGATTTCAAACAATCTATTCACCGTTATCTATCAATTTAAATCCCTTTAGGCCTGGCTATTCGTTTTTAAGCTAGAATCAAATATGCATGGCTATTCACTGCGCTAGCCACTTTTTACCGGAAATCCCCATTCTCCAATCTAGATTACAAATCACTCTTTCTGCTCACGTTTTTACAAAGCTGACTTTCGCACAAAGATTAGATCTCTTTGCGAAAGTGAGGAATGCAAAATGGTATCGGCGGTCGGCATCAAAATGTGGATGTGGAAAGAAAGGGGATCGAGGGGACAGTCTGATCTCCGTGTGAGAAATGGGGGTGCGGAGGGACATTCAAGGGTGAGCCTCCTTTCCCTCACCCCAACCCTCTCCCAGCAGGGGAATAATCGATATTTGTGGGAGAAAAGAGGCATTGACCATAGCCTCTTGTTCTTTTCCCATTCTTTCGCTGAATACAACCTCTTCATCTCATTCAGTCCAAATCCATTCTACTCTTAATTGACCATTCCTAGCCAGTTCTATTCTTTGCTCTTTATTTTCCAGAAAATTTTATTTATTATACCACGATTTATTTTTATTTCTTTTTCTGACATTACTAGTGGTGGCTAATTTCATTTCCATTTTATTTGCGCAACTGGGTCCTTTGCGTAACTGGGACCATTGCGTAACTAGGTCCATTGCGCAACTGGGTCCTTTGCGTAACTGGGTCCTTTGCGCAACTGGGTCCATTGCGCAACTAGGTCCATTGCGCAACAGAATCATTTGCGCAACTGGGTCCTTTGCGTAACTGAGTCATTTGCGTAACTGGGTCCATTACGCAACTGGGTCCTTTGCGCAACAGGATCAACAGCGCAACTTACCATAACTCTCTTTCAAGTGGACCAATCTTTATGATTTTGGTTTCATTTTGTAGATCACAATAAGTGCCACAAAATAACACCAAAATCATCGGCTAAAGATCGACTCACTTAGAAGAAAGTTATGACGAGTTGCGCAAATGATCCTGTTGCGCAAATAAAATGGCGGAAATTAGCCTACTCCCATTGCTATTTCAAAGAATCTCGGATCATTTGCGCAACTCGAAAATTAGTCTACTCCCATTGCTATTTCAAAGAATCTCTATTTTATGTAGTTAGATCGTAATCAAGTTTCCCTTGTCCATTTCCCAGATATTCGAGTTGGCAATCCTCCTCGAAATTTTTCGATAATTCAAATTTCGATAACTCAATCACTTCTTTTAATGTCATTTGATTGTAAATTGGGGTGTTGAATTATTAAATTTACATTTTATACATTAAAAAGCCTTCTTTTAAACACAATTTAACTCAATTTCACCAAAATTTCACTAAATTTCACCCAATTTCACTCAATTTTCCTTCTCCAATCAATCCCGAAAATCCTGGGGAAATCAGGCTCAAAAATGGCAAAAAAAGGGAAATTTTTCTCGACCTTTTTGAGGGAAAAATGTTTGAATTAAGGAAATTTTCAATTTTTCGAGAGAAACCCCAAAAAAATGAGATGATCCCAGCTTTCGACACCACACAAAAAAAGTGGGAAAGAGTGAAAGGGAAATGTGATTCGTTTCCCTTTAACAATTAAAACTTAAAACCTTTTCTTTTTTCATTTTAATCCTTTCTTTTTATCTAAACCTATTTACTCAAATAAAGGCTTTTTTTAGATAATTTTCAGTTTTTTATGTCAATTCTTTGAGATTTTGGGATTTCAATGACCCATTGATCCATTAAACATTACTTAAATCCATACTTAAACTCATATCGAAAGTTTAATCTTTTCTTTGGATTAATCAAAAGAGTTTAAAAGAATTCTATGCTAAGAATGCAGGTAAAAGTCTCACAGTTGAAACTAGAGCAGATCAAAAATTCTTGCGGCACCGGGACTCGAACCAGGGACCCTCTGGGTACCGAGCAACTATGCCAACCATTACACTACAACGCACTTGGATGAATTTACCAAAGAGGGGCTAAGTTCACTATTGGCAGTAATCTTTAAACTATGACAACAATCGTTGTTTGAAGAATTGTTTATAGAATTGTTAACAGAATTGTCTACAGAATTGCTTACAAAATTGCTTACAAAATTGCTTACAAAATTGCTTACAGAATTGCTTACCCTTAGAGTTAGTAATGTGATTGTTGATTGGAAACAAATAGGCAAACCTATAAACCTAACCAAAGAGGGAGGAAAGGGGGTGGAGAGAGTACGCCTCGAGGTCTCATTCTCAGTGTTTCCATCCCCTTCCCCTCCTCCCATTTTACCCATTTCACCCCTCCACTTTTCACCAATTAACCCCACTCAACTATTCGCTTTCACTACCCGATCGAAACGAAATCGAAGCCAGTCAGAGCTTTGTGAATCTCTTTTTTAACATGGTAATCTAATAATTGAATAAATTCTCTAAAAGTAAAAGCAATATTGTATTCAATGTTCTTGCACAGTCAATAGCTAGTAAAGTTTAAGCCAGTTTAAGCCAGTTTAAGCCAGTTTAAGCCAGTTTAAGCCAGTTTAAGCCAGTTTAAACCAGTTTAAGCCAGTTTAAGCCAGTTTAAGCCAGTTTAAGCCAGTTTAAACCAGTTTAAGCCAGTTTAAGCCAGTTTAAACCAGTTTAAGCCAGTTTAAGCCAGTTTAAGCCAGTTTAAGCCAGTTTAAACCAGTTTAAGCCAGTTTAAGCCAGTTTAAGCCAGTTTAAGCCTGTTTAAGCCTGTTTAAACCTGTTTAAGCCAGTTTAAGCCAGTTTAAGCCAGTTTAAGCCAGTTTATCTACTGTTATCTACTGTTATCTACTGTTTAAGCCTATAGAATCAAATAAATTTTCTCTTTTCTTTGTTTTCAATCCCATTTAATTGTATGTTGAAGAATATAAAAATTGCTCAAAAAATGTTTTTTGCTCAATTGTAAACTGTTTTTTTTTTGCGCCTTATCCTTTGTAAACAGACGATACTTTTGAGTGTTTTGCTTTAGAATTCGGAAAAGTGAAATGTTTAAAGAATTTTGTGTCTATCAATGTCTATTAATGTCTATTAATATTAATATAATATAGTAAAGTTATTTAGGAAATGCATGATCATTTGGCAAATGGCTTTGCGGGAGCTCTTTTCTTCTTCGTTTTTCTTTATTTTTTAGCAAGGTGAGAGAGATTTCAAAATCATTATTTGAGAAAAAAAAGAATCGCTTTTCTATAGACATTTTATAGTGAGGACAGTTGTACTTTGCATAACAATAAATAGATTTTTGTCAATAATAGTGATTGGGATTGTTTAGAATTGATAAATATTGAATTGATCGAGTTTATCGAATTACTAGACTTGTTTTTGATCGAGATTGTAGACTGGGAAAGACGTCGAGTGATTTACAGTATTCAACAGCTATAGAGTAACTAGTAGCTAGTAGCTAGTAGCTAGTAGCTAGTAGCTAGTAACGAGTAGCTAGTAACGAGTAGCTAGTAGCTAGTAACGAGTAGCTAGTAGCTAGTACTAGAACTTACAGCTAGAACTAGTAACTAGTGACTAGTAACTAGTAGCTAGTAACGAGTAGCTAGTAACTAGTAACTAGTGACTAGTAACTAGTAGCTAGTAACGAGTAGCTAGTAACTAGTAACTTACAGCTAGAACTAGTAGCTAGTAACTAGTAACTAGTAACTAGTAACTAGAAATCCGTCAGAATTCTGTAACTTCAACTTCTCTATTCAAAGATTACGGTAATGGCTGAGTTTTACTCAAAATTTCTATACACTGACTTATTTTTTGGTACGGTTACAGTACACCAAAGTTTCCCCAGCTCATCTGATAAAATATTACGGTAATTGCCGACTTTTCGGGATACCTTTTAGTCATTTATTAGAATTATAAGCCATTTATTATAAGATTACGGTAATTCTATGAATATCCTATGAATTCTATGAATATTATCAAGCTCTAAGACGGTTATACTCAATTTTTTTGCCTCATATGATGGTGGAGCGGCTGGGGATTGCGGTTATAATATATTAGAGCTTGATAGTATAGTCTAATAGAGCTAATAGGGTTACGGTAACCCCTCGAATAGCTATAGCTCATTTCTCAGGTACATGCGACGATTGAAGAGTTCAACGGATGAGGGACCCTCAGTGTTGCCCGTTCATTTCCCACCCGTTCATCAGCCACCACCATATCCACATCAATCACAACAATTCCATCATCAACACCATTTCAATCAAACGCAACCCCCAACCGCTCCACCATCATATGAGGTAAAAAAATTGAGTATAAAATGGCGCAAAAAAAGTTAACTTTAAACTTTAACTTATGGCATTTTCCTTAAGCATTTTCTAATAGTTCTTAGAGAATATGGATTCAATTGATTTTGAATATCGAATATCGAAATCTCTCTAATAGTAGTGAATATTGAATCTCTCTAATAGTAGTACAGAGCCGAGTTGATGACTATTTTACGGTTTCAAAGTTTTCGCAGAAGCTCAACCCTCTAATCCCCCACAAGATCTCATCCTCAGCTACATTTTCCGACCCCACATCGATAGGTTCTGATAAGCGTTTCTCGAGATTTCGAGCAATTTAGGCGACGCTCAGGGTGCACTACTATTAGAGAGATCAATAACTTATTGCATCGCCCTTAAACATTGTCTAATAGTTCTTAGAGAATATGGATTGAATTGATTTTGAATATCGATTACTGTATTCTCTTTAATAGTAGTGCAGAGCCGAGTTGATGACTATTTTACGGTTTCAAAGTTTTCGCAGAAGCTCAACCCTCTAATCCCCCACAAGATCTCATCGTCAGCTACATTTTCCGACCGCACATCGATAGGTTCTGATAAGCGGTTTTCGAGATTTCGATGAATTTAGACGAAACTTAGAGTGGACTACTATTAGAGAGAATACGGTAGATGCTCTAGTACTGCACAATGTTGGCTGCATTCAAATTTGTCTTCTCTTTTGTCTTGTCTTTTTCAGTGCGATCTTGAATGCGAATATTTTTAATTAAACTCGAAAAATAGATTGATTTCTAAATTAAACGTTTTCTAAATTTTAAATTTGAAGTTTCTAAACCAAATTAAACGGTTTAGATCAATAAAATTCTAATTCTAATTGATAAAATTGATAAAATAAATAAAATGAATCGGTTGTGTAGCCTAAAGAAATTCTTTTTCTATCATTTAAAGCATCAATCTCATTCGAAGCATTTCATTTCTAAGCATTTCTTGCTTAGAAATGCTTACTGCTTACCATTAGTTCTACTGTTTAAAGCAAAATTTAGGAAGCTATTCGTTTGGGGATGCCGATTGAAGTGAAAAGGTATTAGAAAAGAAAAAAAGAAAACTGGAAAAGTGCCAAGAAACTCGATCTCTTTTCTTACTCCAATTATCAGGCTCAAATTTTTCTCCATGTCATAAAAGAAGAATTGTGATATTTGATATATAACATTTAAAGCATCAAGCCCATTTCTAAGCATTTCTACTTGATACTTAAACTTTTAGACTTATTAGAGATTCATTTAGCCTTGCTTTGTAAGCTTGTAAGCTTTGCAAGCTTTGTAAGCTTTGTAAGCTGAATATCTCTCAATTTTCTCATAAAGCTAATCTTTTATAAAGCAAAGTCTCGATGAAATTGAAAGATATTGAGTTGGTATATTATATTATATTATTTCCTTACTCACTTTTTAATGAAACATCTTTTCCGTCGTGAATTCTGTGCATATCTTTGAACCATTGCATCAAGCGACCACCAATCGAGTCAAGCTCCGAGCGGGAACACACTAAAATTGATATTTAATACTTTTTAATTTGTTATTTTCTACGTTTCCTATCGTTTTTGGGGTAGGCTAGTTTCCGCAATTTTTTTGCGCAACAGGGTCATTTGCGCAACTAGGTCGTTTGCGCAGCTCGCCATAACTCTCTTCTAAGTGGACCAATCTTTCTGATTTTGGTTTCATTTTGTTGCACTTATTGAGATCTACAAAATGAAACCAAAATCATAAAGATCGGCCCACTTAGAAGAAAGTTATGGCGAGTTGCGCAAACGACCCTGTTGCGCAAATGACCCTGTTGCGCCAAAAAAAAGTCGCGGAAACTAGCCTACCTACTTTTTTTTACTTTTTCTATCGTTTTTTCTTTATTCTTTCCTTTCAACACGGTGTTTTATTTTAACGGGTATTTTATAATAAATCTTATTTGTATTTTATAAAAAAAAAAGAAATCCTTTTTAACATATTTAACATATTTAACAATATTTGCGATAAAAATGATCAAAAAAAGACAATTAATATAGCGATTTTAGACAGTATCCTCTAGCTTTAACAAACAATTCTTCTTTTATTCAACTTTTTAATTCTTTTTAATTCTTTTTAGTTCACTTTAATGTAAATCGATTATTCAATAGAAATATTCAATAGAAATTTAATGCAAATTGTAGCCTGTACTTTAAAGTCTATAGTTTGTACTTTTATAATGCAATTGTTTTTAAGGAAACTTTCAGAAAATGAATAAAACTCTCATTTGAATACAATAAATACAGTATGTTTAGAAATACATACAGTCTTTTCTGATCAAAACGTTTTCTAAAACAAGCTACCGACGAGCTACCGTACTTCAGCATTGTACTAGGACAACAGAACTAGCTTCTCAAGCTTTTTTTCTCTCGTTTTTATCGAAAAGAATGGCAACAACTCTTGCAACATTGAAACTTTTCTGTTTTATATTATAATTGTATAATTATTATAATAATTTTGTAAAGATACATATATGCCTTATCCAAAAAAAAATCATTACTTTTCTCTTCTACTTTCTTCTACTTCAACAAAAAGCACTTAATACGAGTCTACTTTATTTTCCTGTCAACCTAACTTTACCTAACTTTAATCAAGATCGAGTTGAGCTACAGTATTGCTTATTTTGAAACGATAGAAGATTCTACTGTAGACTTTTTGATGATTCATCTAGCTACAGTAGAAATAAAAAAAAAGCCTTTATCAATTCCTCTTTAAGCACTTACAATGTTTCTCTTGTCTCTCGTGTTTCGCCGCATCCGAAAGGAGATTGTGCTGAAAAGTGGGGAATTCTTTTGGGAATTTATGGCATTCTTTCAAAAAAAGAGCCGCTTTTTTTAAAAGTCTCATCAAAAACAATAAATTTAAAGATTTCTTTAAGAAAAAAACCCATTGACAAACAATTGCCTTTATCATAAAAACGATGCGGTAGTTTTTCTTTCAAAAATTTCTCCGATCTTGACCTAGTTTTTACATTTTAACTACCGCATTCTCTCTAATAGTAGTACACGAGTTGATGCTTATTTTACAGTTCCCAAGCTTTTGCAGAAGCTCAACCCTCTAATCCCCCACAAGATCTCATCGTCAGCTACATTTTCCGACCCCACATCGATAGGTTCTGATAAGCGGTTCTCGAGATTTCGATGAATTTAGGCGACGCTCAGTGTGCACTACTATTAGAGAGAATACGGCAACTTGTATTAAACAATGAGGAAATAAACAAATTTAAACAATATATATGTCGTAGCCGTTTACGAAATTCAGCCGTTAACGAATCAGCCGTTAACGAATAAAATTTTTCCCTAGCCGCTAACGAATCGTTCGTTAACGGATAAAATATTGATAAAATTGTAATCGAGTCACCGTAATCTCTCTCTAATATTAGTGCATCCTGAGCGTTGCCTAAATTGCTCGAAATCTCGAAAATCTAGCTTAAATTTGCTTAAGTGTTTCTTAAATAAAATAATATGTCATTTTTATTAAGAGAATTTTAATTCAATTGGCGTATTAAATAGGTTTTTTTGGGAAATACGATTTATTATTTTATTTAAGAAACGCTTAAGCAAATTTAAGCTAAATTTTCGAGATTTCGAGCAATTTAGGCAACGCTCAGGATGCACTAATATTAGAGAGAGATTACGGTGACTCGATTACAATTTTATCAATATTTTGAGCCTAAAAGTCGCGTAGTTATTACTATTTTATTGATAATTTGGTGACTATTCAGAGAAAAACTAATTTAAAATCGAATATTTTTATAAACAAAACAAAAAAAAACATTTCCCCAACCTGGTGCTTCTTTCTCAGCAACTCTTCATCGTTTCCGTGCTCAATGTACTTGTGTTTGCCAAGTTTTTCTCTAAAAATTTCAATAATTCATTTAGTTCTCGTAATTTATGTGAAATATTAATCCTTAACATAAAAATGCGTAAAAAAGAAGGGATTGATAGGTTACGGTAAACGTCTCTAAAGGTTTAACTAAAGGTAAACGTCTCTAAAGGTTCTCTAAAGGTCACCATCACTTTTAAAGGGGTACTCTGGGTCTGAAAAGTATCTTTCAAGAATCGCGGTCATTTATAGATTACCGTATTCTCTCTAATAGTAGTGCACACTGAACGTCGCCTAAATTCATCGAAATCTCGAGAACCGCTTATCAGAACCTATCGATGTGGGGTCGGAAAATGTAGCTGACGATGAGATTTAGTGGGGGATTTGAGTGTTGAGCTTCTGCAAAAGCTTGGAAACCGTAAAATAGTCATCAACTCGGCTCGGTGGGTACTATTAGAGAGAATACGGTATTCGCTGCGTTTTAGTCTCCTCTACAACTATTTTCTGAATGAAAAACAAGATTTTCAATCAAGAAATGAAGAAAAACGCATTTTTTGCTTTCCTCCTCACCCTAAAACGTGGATATTTTAAGTGCAACAAAATGACACCAAAATCATCGGCTAAAGATCGACTCACTTAGAAAAAAGTTATGGCGAGCTGCGCAAATGACCCAGTTGCGGAAAGGACCCAGTTACGCAAAAAAAAAAATTGCGGAAATTAGCCTACCCCAGGATAATTAAGAAAAGGTGAAAATCAGACTTAAGAAAACGTGAAAAACAAGTGCTCAATTTAACACTGACTTTCCTTAGGCCCGAGTACCCCTTTAAAATCATTTATTTACTCATTCCCAACAAATCTAGCCTACCAAATTACAATATAATTACAGTAAACCTTTCATTTAAACAATTATAAGTCATTTTGAACCTTATTTAAACAAAATTTGAAGGAAAAAGGGCAAATTTGAGTTGTTCGAAGAAATTTGCAAACTTTAAAACATTTCCAATTATTTACAATCAACAATTGTACAATATAATAAATTTAAATCGATTCCAAGTGTTTGCAATGAACAATTGTACAATATAGTACAATATAGTAAGAAGAAATGTAAACCTGGCAACTTCTCTCTTCACACAAAGTGCTTTATCGACGGCGACGAAACAGATGAATCCTTGACCGCATCCTCGAGCCGAGCACAGCTCATCTGGAATTCGTTTTAGATATCAATTTAGGGGAGTGGGACAAATGCGACCTTTTTTTTTTTGCGCACCCGGACTTTTGCACACCTTTTTTTCCGCACCTTGCCCATTAGCGCACCTTTTTTCGCGTTTTAAAGCTAATATTAAGCTCTAAAAGCTCTAAAAAGCTAATATTAACCAATTTCTATTCCAAAAGTTGTTTTTCTAGGTAATTTTAGGGCGTAGAATTCAAATTTTGACATAACAGAGCGTGTGGAACCAATTTGAAAGACAAAACGGCTAGATCAAATTACAGTCGTCGATTGTCGATCTTTCTCTTTGTATAACTCCGTCCGTTTGTTTCCACAAGCTCTGATATGTCAAAATTTCGATTCTACGCCCTAAAATTACCTAGAAAAACAACTTTTGGAATAGAAATTGGTTAATATTAGCTTTTTAGAGCTTTTAGAGCTTAATATTAGCTTTAAAACGCGAAAAAAGGTGCGCTAATGGGCAAGGTGCGGAAAAAAAGGTGCGCAAATGTCCGGGTGCGCAAAAAAAAGGTCGCATTTGTCCCACTCCCAAATTTAGATATAAATTTAGATATAAACTTAGAATAAATATAAATGCTATAAAATCTATATAAAATGACAAACTTTGATCAAAAGCTGATGAATGATAGACATGAACGGTGTGCGAGTCGATCGTTCCCCACGCCACACCACAACAAAGACCCAATAACACGCAAATCTCTGCGCGCATTTCCCTAAAAAACGTTTTCATCAATTAAAGCTAATATAATAAAGAAAAAAAAACATTTTCAAACTTTCGTTTAAAGCATTTTCTTTAAAATTTCGATTTTCCTTTACAATTTTGAGCATTTGTAAAGAAAAATTTGATGAATTGAATTCAATTGAATCGAATTTTTAAAAATGAAATAATCTGGTTACTGTAGGCAAAAAAAAGAAGACAGAAATCAAGTATATAATATAATAAAATCAAGTTCAAAGATTTTACCCTATCTACAGCACTGGACAATGAAATATGATATTTGAAAAACGATCGTCACTTTCGCGCGTCTGTAACTCCCTTGTCTTTGCCTTTAAACTATTAGTGTTATACATTTTCTGAAAGCTCTTTTCAAGGGCTACACAATGGTAATATTAATATTTCGTTGTCCAGTAGTGTATATGTTACGTCCGAATCTGAGGAGACGTCCATCTCCGATCCGAACGTCCGAATCTGAGGAGATTCATTCTCCTCTGAAACGGACGTCCGACTCAGAGTCGGACGTCCATCTCTGAGTCGGACGTCCGTTTCAGAGGAGAATGAATCTCCTCAGATTCGGACGTCCGGATCGGAGATGGACGTCTCCTCAGATTCGAAAGTAACTATATATATATATAAATACTTTATTTAGAAAGAAATAAAGTGCGAAAAGGACGTGAAAAATGTAGCAGATAAAAGATGACAAAGTCTTAGAGGACTTAGAATGCAACGAAGTAGCCCTTTTAAAATCAGACACGGTGGAGATCAAACGCAACTTGTCGGGGAAGGGCATTCCAAACTTTAATCACACAATTTACAAAAAAAGCTCTAGAGGATTTAGAGAAAGAGATTTTACTCTATCTATAATACAGTTATTACTTTAACTAGGTAGTCTTATGAAGTTGAAGTTGAGCTGATGGAAAGATAGAAATACGGTTGTAAAGTAAATAAGGTATAAGGCCATATTCTAACGACGATGAAACGCATGTCGATGTAGCTCATTGGTAGAGCGTCCGACCGATAAGCGAGACTCGTTCGCCCGATACTCGGTAAGCGAGCTCGCGGGTTCAAGTCCGATCTTTTGGATTCCTCAACTCATAAAAGAACCGTAAAATTTCAAGGGTGAAGTTTCAAGTCACTGACGAGTCCCGTTCAATCGATCTGGCCATTTGTTGGATCAAATGCTTGGATGAGATTGGAGGAGGGGGACATCTGTGAGAAATGAGGAGTGAAATGGAAAAGAGAAAGAAAGGAAGGACCCTCTGTTACACCAATGCTTTTTGATGGAGGAGAAAGAAGTGTTGGGAGAAAGAGAGATCCATTCCCCTTCCCCTCTTCTTCCCTCTTCTTCCCCTCTTCTTCCCAGCTGCACATTCACCCTTTCAAGTGTAAACTTTCGACTAATAAACGTCTTTGTAGAAATAAAAGAATTACTTAAGAAAAAAAAAAGAATTGAATCAATTCACAACTCTTGGGGAAAGCTACCGTAATCCTCGGGAAAGCTACCGTAATCCCAGTGTTCAACCTTTTAAGGAAGCTCAACCTTCAACCTATTGTATAGCCAAGAAAAGTACTTCTAAAACTTCAAAATTTTCAAACTAAAAGATCATCTTCTGATAAAGCTATCGTTATTCTTCAATTTATCTAATTGTAAACTAAGCTAGACTAAAGCTAGACTAAAGCAAAACTCGAAGCTCAAGCGAGAACAAAAGCTTGAGAAGCTAGTTCTGTTGTCCTAGCAAATGGATACAAATATCAAAAGAAAATCATTTCTGTAAAACATTACTTCTGATAAAACTTGAATACAAGTTACTGATAAGCATAAGTTATCGTTATTTAAATTTAACTTCAATTTATCTAATTGTAAACTAAGCTATACTAAAGCTATTTGGTTGAGGAAAAAGTAATGTCGGTTTTGAATTCCCGTTGTTGGCAATTCTCGAGTTCTTCGCTTATGCGATTTTTTTTTCAAATAGATATCAGCTAGACATTCTATACTTTCATATTATATTTAACTTTTACAAATTTTTACAAATTTAACAATATTTTCAGGTACAAAATGCAAGACAGAAAAGTTTCGATTTCGAGCCGCTTTGTGGTATGATTTTAAATAAGGGAAATCGACGAGCTTGGTTGGAAACTTCTGCACCTTATACTTCGGACCTAACCCCATCAGATTATTTTGGTCAGCACCTTTTGGTCAGCACCTTTTGGTCAGCACCTTTTGGTCAGCACCTTTTGGTCAGCACCTTTTGGTCAGCACCTTTTGGTCAGCACCTTTTGGTCAGCACCTTTTGGTCAGCACCTAACCCCATCAGATTATTTTGTTTCGGTCGTTGAAGAGTTTTCTTATGGGAGAAAAGTTCGAGAATCATGCACAGATCAAAAAAAAAGCAGTCGACACTTATTTTGGCTCGGAAATCTTCTGCTTATCTTCTGCCGGACTTTCGAATTCGACTTTCTTGTATGATTTTAAACAAGGGAAATCCGCGGCTGAATCGCATCGGACAATCATTGAAGTTTTTGGGGGGAAGACAGCATTAGCGAAAGACAATGCCAAAGATGGTTTCAGGTTTCAGCGGTTCAAAGATGGAAATGAAAGTCGCCAAGACGAGGAACGATCTGGACGACCCCAGGAGATTTCAGATGAGAATTTGCTTGATACCATTGAACTCAATCCAACCATTACCACTTGTGAGTTAGCGGACGCATTTGGGATGAACCAAAAAACAATCGACAACCACTTATATCAATTAGGAAAAACAATTCACTGCGGAATATGGGCTCCTCATGAACTGACTCAAGGTGTGGCGAATAGCCACTAAAAGTTATCTAACTCTGACAGCTTAAAAATTGGAAAAATATTGAGGAAATCGGTGCGCCTTCATTTTATTTCGCGCCCCAAATCATTTATTGTTTTGTAGCTTGTTAGCTGAGTATCTTGTGTTAAAGCCTATATAAGGCAACTGTTGTTCATTTGTTTTCGGTTATCTTTCATTTCTTTTTTCTGCTTTCCTCTCATTTTTTTTTTGTGAAAGTTGTGTCCTAATTAGGACGAAATTGTTTCTGTTTTTATCGTTACTTTAATTCAATTGTCGATATTGTGTGAAAGTTGCTGAAAACGTGAGCTCAAGCTCAAGTGAGAGCTCAAAGATTTCGAGTCAATCGGCTATGGAATAAAGTGCTTTTTTAGTTCAAGAGAGATCAGATATCTCAAAACAAGAAATAACGTGTCTTGAGTGAAGAGTACCAAGCACGCAAAGAATATTTCTTTACACAAGGCAACAAAACAACTCGTGTTACCGTTAGCTCTACTCTCCTTCAAAAAGGCAAATCTCATGATTTTTGAGGAAGAATTTTAACATCTGATGAAACATGGATTCAATATGAGAATGTGAAGCGCAAAAATCAGTGGCTTTCTCTAGGTCAACCCGCACAACAAACTTCAAAATCCGGTATTCATGGAAAGAAACTTATGCTTTGCTGTTGGTGAAATACAAAAGGTTTAGAGTATTATGAGTTGTTGAATCCGAGTGTAACTGTCACCGCTGATCTTTATTCAAAACAGTTGATGAGAGTTAACGAGGCTTTAAAGAAATTGGGCGTTGAAATATCAAAAGTGCTATTTTTGCATAATAATGCAAAACCTCACACTGCAAAAATCACTCACCAAAAAATCGACAAGCTTGGTTGGGAACCTCTGCTCTGGGAACCTCTGCTCTGGGAACCTCTGCTCTGGGAACCTCTGCTCTGGGAACCTCTGCTCTGGGAACCTCTGCTCTGGGAACCTCTGCTCTGGGAACCTCTGCTCTGGGAACCTCTGCTCTGGGAACCTCTGCTCTGGGAACCTCTGCTCTGGGAACCTCCACGCGTCTTATAGTCCGGACCTGGCTCTATCAGATTATTTTTTGTTTCGGTCGTTGAAGAGTTTTCTTATGGGAGAAAAGTTCGAGAATCATGGCACAGATCAAAAAAAGCAGTCGACACTCATTTTGGCTCGAAAACTCCCCATTTTTTTGAGGATTGGATCAGGGAGTTGCGACGAAGATGGGAACAAGTCATCAATAATAATGGAGAATTTCTCATTGATTGATGTGCGTTTGTTTATGTTTTTTAGCAATAAACAATTTTGAGACAAAAACCGACATTACTTTTTCCTCAACCCAATAGACTAAGGCTAGACTAAGGCTAGACTAAAGCGAAACTCGTTACTCAACCTTTTAAACAGTAGTACAATGCTGAAGTACGGTAGCTCGTCGGTAGCTTGTTTTAGAAAACGTTTTGATCAGAAAAGACTGTATGTATTTCTAAAAATACTGTATTTATTGTATTCAAATGAGAGTTTTATTCATTTTCTCAAAGTTTCCTTAAGAAAAATAGCATTATAAAAGTACAAACTACAGACTTTAATCAATTTACATTCTAATATAATTCATCTTTACAATTTACAATTTACATTCTAATATAATTCATTCAATTTTAATTTAATACTTTAAAAGAAATTAGAGCTACAAATCACAAATCTCATAATTTCAAAAGCCTTTCAATGTTTTGTGTTCGTTTCTTTTGGATGATAAGTATCGGATGGATTTGAGTGAGTGGAGTGAGTGATTGTTTTCATTGATGACCGGATTGCACGGAAGAAACCTTTGTTGAAAAGGAGTGTAATGTAGCCATCACATGAGTGAACCTAAAGAGAAAGAAAGAAAATCGATTCTCTGAGATTTTGAACTTTACAATTCGTACTCTAGAAATTTCTTTATAGAAACTATTAACTATCGTTTAATGAGAACAAATGATGATGATGATGATGATGATGATGATGTTTTCTTTGTTTTTGAGAATCATTGCAGTAAAGGGAGCATTCCCAATCGATTCCCCGTCCCCGAAAACCCCAAGATACCAATTTACAGCTCAATATCTTCTTTCGAAACCATTTACAAACTCTAGTAAAACATTGCAAGATGTTCTTTGTGCAGCCGAGTAATCGCTCGCTTTCTGACAAACCGTCCTGGGGTAAGGTTCTTCAATTTCAAACGCACCATTTCCCAAGCGAAAGTGGTGAGAAAGAAGCGTTGCCATTTTCCTTCAACGTAGTTGACAAGAACGAAATAGGTGACCAATTCGCACACAAAAACCACTCCTTGAAGGCAAACCTTGAAATATTATTTATAATTTGTTTATATTTAAAATTTTATATTTATCCACTACCTGTTTAACGAAATTGATCTCATCATGGCGTTTCCTTCTTGCTTGCGCATCGCTGATGTTCACCTAATTGTCAAATAATTTTACATCAACTTTTTTTAGATAGATTACCGTTCTCGTAATTTATGTGAAATATTGATACTTAACATAAGAATGTTTAAAAAAGAAGGTATTGTTAGGTTACGGTAAACGTCTCTAATGATTACATCATTTTTAAAGGGGTACTCTGGGTCTGAAAATTTATCTTTCAAGAATCGCTATATCGCTAGATTACCGTATTCTCTCTAATAGTAGTGCACACTCAGCGTTGTCTAAATTCATCGAAATCTCGAGAAGCGCTTATCAGAACCTATCGATGTGGGGTCGGAAAATGTAGCTGACGATGAGATCTTGTAGCTGATGTAGCTGACATAGCTGACGTAGCCGATGTAGCCGATGTAGCTGACGTAGGTGACGTAGCTGACTTAGCTGACGTATCTGACGTAGCTGACGTAGCTGATATCGCTGACGTAGCTGACGTAGCCGATGTAGCTGACGAAATGTAGCTGACGATGAGATCTTGTGGGGGATTTGAGTGTTGAGCTTCTGCAAAAGCTTGGAAACCGTAAAATAGTCATCAAGTCGGCTCGGTGGGGTGCACTACTATTAGAGAAGATACGGTATACATTTATTGAAAACCAATAATGTGATACAAAAAAAGGATACATAATAAGACAATTTTATGGCACTGAGGTCGTCGTTACCCTTATGACCCCAATTACCCAAATGTTGTAAAAGAAAAAAACCCACTTCGTGGGAAAAAAGAGACATTTAGATCTTGCCAGCGTGATTGAACCCTCGACCTTCCGCTTAAGAGACAAGACTCCTAACCGGTCGGCCATCTGATCAAAAACAGGTTGACAAAAAGAACCAGATACTAATGTTAGCCAAGCTAAAGTTTGGCTTTGCCTTGACCTGGATTTTCAACTGGATTTGGTCAAAAAACATTGGTTTTAATTGGAATTGTAAAAATAAATGACTTAGCTTTCGCTAGTTTGCTTTTTCTCTTCTCAACCGAAATTCGAACGACCAAATTGGTTCTACAATACAAAAGAAACGTTCTACTTCATATGCTACACATACTTCGTATCCTTTCTAAACCATTTCTTGCTTGATGATTGATTTTTTGATTTTGATTTTGATTTTGACATTATCATTTAGCATTGACATTTTTGATTTTAATTTTTGATTCTAATTTTTGATTCTAAATCTATGAATTCTAAAATTACCTTGCTTGATGAAAAGCGCACTTTTGCAAACGTGATTATATCAATGATAGCGATCACACAAACCGTCGAAACATATTTTAAGAAATCAGTGTACCTAAAATTGATTGATTCATTCATTATTAAGTTTAAATTATTAATTGAAATCATTAAAAGAAAGATGAATTAGAAACAGAGAAGAAAGATATACTGTATTCTCTCTAATAGTAGTCTAATACTAATGCACTCCGTAGTGTAAATCCTTTACCAAGTGATGAATTGGCAAACTTTTGAAGAAGTAAAGGTGAAATTCCAGAAAGCATCTGAGTAGATAAAACGGCAATCCTCTAGAAAATGATTGATCAAATAAATGGTCAAATAAATGATCTAATAAATGGCCAAATAAATGATCTAATAAATGGCCAAATAAATGATCTAATATATAGTCTAATAAATAACCTAATAAATAACCTAATAAATAACCTAATAAATAACCTAATAAATAACCTAATAAATAACCTAATAAATAACCTAATAAATAACCTAATAAATAACCTAATAAATAACCTAATAAATAACCTAATAAATAACCTAATAAATAACCTAATAAATAACCTAATAAATAACCTAATAAATAATCTAATAAATAATCTAATAAATAATCTAATAAATGATCAAATAATTGATCTAATAAATAATCTAATTAAGTAAATCGAGTAAAGTAAAGTAAATAGTTATTATTCTAAAAGGTTGAATACTTTCTTAAGCAAGTAAAAGACAATACTTTCCTTTTGCACATTCAAAATGCGATCATTTCTACCTACCGTAAATACTGTAATAGTACCCCAACCCCATAATGACGGTGCGGAGTGTTGCGTAGTCTAGCTTTGAATGAGTTTTTCTCGACACTGGTTCATGCTACAATGCTCGCTTAGGTATCAAAAAAAAGCTGAAATTCAGGGCTATTTTTTGATACCTAAGCGCGCATTGTAGCATAAACCAGTGTCGAGAAAAACTCGTTCAAAGCTAGACTACGCAACCACTCCGCACCGTCATTATGGGGATGGGGTACTATTACAGATAAACAAAAAGCTTAGAGTTTTATTGAATACTCGTTAGATTTCAATAATATTCAATAATATTCAATAATATTCAATAATATTCAATAATATTTCAATAATATTTCAATTTCCTCATCATATCTCTAGAGTCTCTTGCCCTCATCTGCTTTCCTTTCTGTACTCAAATTTCACGCTCAGTCATTCGTAAACTTGTGAAATAGACTATAAGCAAAATCGTTTCTCTCTTTTTTTGAATATCTTTTAAGATCACGGGATTTTCTATTTAAAATCATTGAACCCAAAGAGATTTAGCTCAGCTTTTGTACTCAAAAAAAGCGTTTTTTAGAAATTATCAACAATTTTCGTCTTTCATTTTGATAAAAACTCTTGATTTTTAAAGATCCTAGTGTGCTCTCGTGCGTGAATTAAGATTAAGATTTGGGGAGAATAAGAAAGAACAAAAAAGCTATGTAGCTAAAGCTAAAAAAGCTAAAGCTTTGTGCCTTGTGCTGGAATTGAAGCACTTATTTCTTTATTTCTTTTTATATAACAAGAGTTATTTAAAGATTTAAAGGGTTAATATGAATTTGTGATATGTGTTAATGTTGCCTTTTTATAGGTGACAGGTTTGTTTTGTATTGTAAATGGTATCGAATGAAGAAATTAAGCTATAAAGTTGTATTAAGGGGTTTTCAGGGAAGGGGAATCGATAGGGGAAGTTTATTTTCTTTGCTTGTTCCAGTTGAATGAAGAAATTAGGCTTGAGATTTGTACTAAAGGGTTTTCGGGGACGGAGAATCTATAGGGAAAGTTTATTTTCGTTGCTTGTGTCAGTTGAATGAAGAAATTAAGCTATAAAGTTGTACTAAGGGGTTTTCGGGGACGGGGAATCGATAGGGAAAGTTTATTTTCGTTGTTTGTGCCAGTTGATTTGCTCACTCACCAATAATGTAGAGATAAAAAGTGGGAAGAATGGCGAAAAGCCAGATGAAAATGACGATCTTTTGGATGAAACCCTCGGTGAAGATGTTATTGTATTTGAACGGGAAATAGATAGCCGTTAAACGATTCAACGAGATCACCAAATGACTGAAAATTAATGCCAGGAAAGGAAATTTGAATTTCTAAGCGATACCTGTATATGCAAATATCATAACAGACGAGATTTATATGACCAAAGATTCGCGAGACAGCTTCGCTTTTTAGGAATTTTATGTCACTGCAATTTGAGTTCTTTGAGATAAAAGCCAGTTCTTAAGAAATTGTTATTGAAGTTCTTAAGAAAAAGTGGCTCTTGTCCCAGAATCATTGACTCAGAATCAAATTTCAGCGAGTACAATAAATAAGATATTTCAAAGCCTTCAATAGACCTAAAGATCCATTCAGCATCTTATTCTCGCATACTTTAGTGAGACAGGAGGCAGTGAGGCTGCTTTTCTTACAGTTAGTACTATCACTCACAAGAAAACTGTAGGTGCAAAATAGAAGGTGAAAACGGTGAGATGCATGGCCTCTCCAATAGCTTGATTCAGAGTTAAACGACCGAAAGCATTTTGAAGGGATGACACCTGCAAAGGGGAATTCAAGTACTGTAATTGGTGTATTGTAAGTGGTGTACTGTAATTAGTGTACTGTAATTGAAGTACTGCAAGTGGTCTACTGTAATTGAAGTACTCTAATTAGCGTACTGTAACTGGTGTACTCTAATTAGTGTACTGTAATTGGTCTACTGTGATTGCTGTACTGTAGTTGGCGTACTGTAATGTAGAAATTAAGTTCAGTATGTGGAAATAGTTCTCTAAAGCAACCGTATACATAGGACTACGGTATCTTTTAGAAAACCTCTAGATAAGCACATGGTGTTGCATTGGTAAACCACTCTAACTAATACAATCATAAACTTAAAGCTAAACTCGAACTCTTCCCACAAACCTTATCAATCAAAAAGACGACCATGTAGTTAGCGGTTGCACCACAGAAACCCACCTTGAAATGATGGTTTAAAAAAAAAAACGCTTCACTTACAATAAAAATGATCAATCCGGCGAGATGATAATCTTTTACGAGACTAAAAAAAAGGGAAATTTATATTTTAATTAATTACTTTCAATTAATTATATTTCAATTAATTATCTTTCAATTTCACAGTTTCTTTCTCTTATCTCTCTAAATTTGGTGCCTTATCTTTCTGAATTTGGTCCCCTATCTCCCTATATTTGCTTGCTTATCTCTGTAAATTTGGTTCCTTGTCTCAGTAAATTTGGTTCCTGATCTCTCTAGATTTGGTTCCTGATCTCTCCAGATTTGGTTCCTTATCTCTCTAAATTTAATCGCGTTATTAAATTCTGGAACCTTTTACCCCTTGATGTTCGTGATATTCCCACCTTGGCTAGATTTAAAGCCGCAATTTCTGCAATTGATTTGCCTGCTCTGTGATTCTTTCTCAAGGTATCTAGGTCATCTTTTGGGTGTGTTTTGAGTGGTGTCCTGGGTAAATATTGTCATTTTGTTTTGTCGCTATTCAACTGAATAGCTTCAACTGAACATATTATATATGTTGAGTCCGATTTAGATTTCCGTCCGATTTAGATTGATCTAAATTGGACGGAAATCTAAATCGGACACAAAATATATATAAATTAATTATATTTAAATTAATTATCTTTCAATTAATTATATTTCAATTAATTATTCAATTCAATTTTCACTTACAATAAAGCCTCTGGATCATCTTTGATGCAAGTTAAGGTCGAATTTGACATTTTTTTTCACCTAAAATCTAGCAAATAAGCAAATAATAGAAAAACTATAAAGAAATCCGTTTTGTAACAAATTATATATAAAACAAATAAACAAACAAAAACAAATAAAAAATACAAGTGTTTGAAAGAAAATGTGTCAAATGTCGGCTCTAATCTTGAATAAAGTTTCTTCAAAGGGAACAGAAAGAGATAAAAGCAGATGGATTCGAGAAGAACTCCAGAAGATTACTGTAGCTTTTAAAGTAACATTTTTTAGAAAACAGTAACATTTTCAATCCCTCAAAAAACGTGAATCTAAATGTATCTTTAAAGATTGTGCCCTCTAGGATCGGCGCTTTTATACTTGCGATCCTCCTTTGTTCCCCCTTCTCCTCCGCACAGAATTCTCTAATCCTCTTCCTCTCAGTTCATCAACTACTTCAACAAAAATTACGCATTTTCCACATTCAAACCCTTTCAACTGCAAAGAGTATCTTGAAACTATTCCCAAATTTGTAGATGGATCTTTCACGTCTTTCAAGTCTTTCACGCTTCAAAAGACAAAAGATTATCGTAATCGTTAATATTGTAAAAATTTGTCTTTTTCTTTTTCTCATACATTGTGCACTAATCTCTTTTATAAATGAAGATTTGGAAATTTCTCGTGAGCACGAACAGACGGACGGACAGACAGACGGACAGACGGAGGGACGGACAGACAGACGAACGGACAGAGGGGCAGATAGACGAAGAGATAGATGGACAGATAGAGGAACAGACAGACGGACAGACAGACGAACCGACAGACGGACGGACGAACAGACAGGCGGACGGACGGACAGACAGACGAACAGACGGACGGACGGACAGACAGGCGGACGGACGGACAGACAGACGAACAGACGGACGGACATGCTGGGTGCGCGAATCAGCTCTAAATCAAATTTTGTTTACAAATGATCGTCCCATCCTAGTCACTTGGATATTCTTTAAACTTTAGACAATTTCAATTTCAATGATATACAGATGATTCAAATATACAAAAATCTTAAAAGTGCTTTTATTTTTTATAGATTTCTTGGAGAATTGTTTTTCCAAGTAAAATGTCTCATCATGACTTCAAATCAAAACACACACCAAATAGATCAAAGACTTTTAGGATAACAAAAGGATTAGAAAAGAGATATTCAACTTTGACAAAAGAAAGACAATAGTTTCCTTTGTTTAAGGCAAAATCTATAAATGATTTTGGAAACAACGAACACCAGTGACTCGATTCTCAGTTCGGTCATAATCAAAAATGTATGCCATGTTTATGCTTTGATCTATATAATTTCTTGTGAGACCGTGTCTCTGGTGTGGTTCAATAGTGGAGACAGACGATATTCAATAGTAGTTGTCTTGAAAGCGCACAATTGATCAAACTTTCCCTTATTAGGGTAAACTTCGCTGAAACTGGATCAACCTGGCACTATCACAATTAATTCAACACTTGCATGTGAAAAAAGCAAAAAAAAAAAGGAGAACAAAACTCACTCAAAAGCAAAGCTTAAATAACAGGTTTTTTAAGTATACAAGCTAGAACAAACGAACAGTTGAATATCGTCTAGTGACGGATTACGGTAGTTTATCCATCAACTTTGAATTTTAACGTGTTTATTGAATTTTTGACTAACTGCAGAGCAATGACATAATTAATATTCGACTTTGACAAAAGAAAGACAATAGTTTCCTTTGTTTAAAGCAAAATCTACAAATGATTTTGGAAACAACGAACACCAGTGACTCGATTCTCAGTCTAGTCATAATCGGCACGTTCTCATTCTGAAAAAAAAACGATTAGAAATTGAGTGAGCCAACAAAATAAGTGACTACATGGAATAGAAAAGAGAAATTCAACTTTGACAAAAGAAAGACAATAGTTTCTTTTGTTTAAAACAAAATCTACAAATGATTTTGGAAACAACGAACACCACGAAATTACGAAAGGTAAAAGGTGACTTTTTTTCTACGATTAGTGAATCGTAGAAACCTATTTAAATAGTAAATAGCAGAAATTTTATTTAAATACTGAAAAAATCATCAAATAATCTGCTCGTTGAGCTTGTCGAAGGAGCAAACATTTTGAGACATCCTAAAACCAAGCCAAATTCACTTTTCATCATAAACCAAGAAAACCTACCATAGAAAAATTTCGTAATTTTGATTTAAAAAAGAGTTTTTGAAAATTGCTGAAGAAATTAGTGAAGAAATTAAAAAAAAGGGGGGGAATAAAAATTTTCACCATGTAGTCACTGATTTTGTTGGCTCACTCAATTTCTAATCGTTTTTTTTCAGAATGAGAACGTGCCGATTATGACTAGACTGAGAATCGAGTCACTGGTGTTCGTTGTTTCCAAAATCATTTGTAGATTTTGCCTTAAACAAAGGAAACTATTGTCTTTCTTTTCTCAAAGTTGAATATCTCTTTTCTATTCCTTTTATTACCCCAAAAAGTCTTTGTTCTATTTGGTGGATGTTTTGATTTGAAGTCATGATGAGACATTTTACTTGGAAAAACAATTCTTCAAAGAAATCACTAAATAATAAAAGCACTTTTAAGACGAAATTTTTTTAAGATTAAAATATTAGATTGTTCGGATCTAAACGAGCGTTTGCACTGCTTAACTCCTGAGGAAGCCAGATCTGATCTTCTTTCCCGCATCAGATCTTCTTTCCAATGGCGTGGAGATGCTCATCAATAATATAATTTGAACTTAGAAACTCTTGAGCAAGCTCACGCGTCGTTTGACATAGATACGATTCGATTGCAGCCCTCAAAATATCGTTGTCTACCCCTTGAGGTCGACGAGAGTGTTCATCATCCTCGAGACTTTCATCACCATTCCACATCGAAGATCAAGATCAAATATGACTGATGCAAACTCATCTGAAAAAAACAACATTTTGACATAGTGTTTAAAATTAAATTCAAAAATGATAACCAGTTTGAGTTTTGCTTAATTTTCATTGAAAATCAATTAAATTAATTGAAATTAATTGAAATTAATTGTTCATCTTAAAAAGGAAATCGTGTAATCGCAAAAAAAGAACCTGGAAAGCTAGGGAAAATGGCAGAGTCGGGGCGGTTAGTGTCTCTTAACTTCTCCCTCTCAACTTCTCTCTCTCTCTCAACTTTAAATCATCATATAAAATTAAAAAAAGAAATCCAACCAAAAGCAACGTTTCTCTAGTAGAGAATGATGTTAATTTCAATTTAAAAACATTCAAATAATGGATAACTGGGTTAGACAGAATATGTCGATTTGCTAGAATTTTAAACCACCCTGTAGTATAGTACTAATAGTAAGATAAACTGTAATATTTAGGCTTTCGAGCAAGTTACTCTGCTACAACCAAACGCCAACGAGATCACGCTTTTGATAGCCGTTTGTGATTGCGGAGAAAGCATCATTGCCATTGAATCTCGAGGGATTGAACTAATGAAGAGCAACATGTCGTCACCTCACTGAAAAAGATCAAAATTTTACAATTGCACTTTCATTTTGTGATCATCGATCTGAAATAATCAATTCTCCTATAGTTTTCTCTAAAGAAAAAGTCTTTATTACTCATTTTTTCATCTTTTTAAATTAATAGTAGAGTTCGGCAAACAAAAGCGAAACCAAAATAGACCAAAACCAAAACCAAAACACCAAAACAAACCAAAACTCAATTTGCATATAAATTAACATGTAAATTGTAAAATGCAAATTTACCTTTCACTTTTCACAAATTTGCCTTTCACCAAAACACGACCTCGAAATTTCGAAACAAAAAATAGCCTATGGGATAGATTTTTGGACGCTGATTTCAAATCTGCAAACAGATTTTCGCTAGCTCCTCCCAGTCGCGAGATATTGGCGAGTTTTGGTTAGTTTTGGTTTTGGTTTTGGTTTTGGTCTGTTTTGGTTTTGGTGGTTTTGGTTTTGGTTAAGTTTTGTTTTTCGAAGTCTAGTTAATAGTATTCAATAAAGGTAGACGAAAAGGATGAGTAAAAGGATAAACTAATTCTATCCCTATAGAAGATCAAGTCTCACCCAAATCATAAACAAGAACAAGAGCAACATCAAAAAAATCCTATTAACTCAATAAAAACAAAAAAAAAACAATACCAAACTTAAACCCAGTCATAACAAAAGAAAAATGATGATAATCGCTGAAGTTTCTATCAACCAAATTCAACTGAAAACTTGTGTTTTTCGTGAAAATTCTCTAAAAACCTCTAGGAAGAAATTGAATGAATAATGAATGAATTTCTTTGCAAATTTGACTATAGATTAAACTTTTTATGCTCTATCTTTTATCTATAGATACGAGAATAGGTTTCCTTTAGCTGAAAGAAAGTATCTAAATCATCGAGCCACATCATCGAGCCACATCATTGACTACTTGTCTCTCATGCTCAAAACCCGGATATAAGTCATTTTAAAATCATTCCAATGTTATTTTATAGAGAAATAATAGATCTTTCTAATGAAATAAATGATAGAGAATTGGTGAATATGTTATTGTTTAATGAAAAATCGAAAAGAAACAAAAGAAAAGTATCTAAACCGGATCATCAAGCCACATCATTGAGCCACATCATTGACTACTTGAGCCTCATGCTCAAAATTCGGGCATAAGTCATTTTAAAATCGTTTCAATGTTATTTTATAGAGAAATAATAGATCTTTCTAATGAAATAAATGATAGAGAATTGGTTAATATGTTATTGTTTAATGAAAAATCGAAAAGAAACAAAAAAAAACTTTCTGGACAATCTAAGAATCGTTTTCTCTTTTCTCGTTAAATATTTATTATTCCAATTCCAATTCAAAAGATTTCTTTCAATGTTTAATACTTTGTGATTCAGCTCTTTGTGGTTTAGCATAAGTATCAGTTGATTGAAAATGATTGGAGGAAAGAAGTGAGAGACGGATTGCACGGAAGAAGCCCTTGTTGAAGAAAAGAGTGATGTAGCTGAAAGGATTGAGGAATTGAGGAAAAGGCTTATACTTAGGCTGTACGATCCAAATACAATTTATCCACTCACGCATCAAATGAATGCACTTGAATCCAGGCGAATGTCGTGAGAAAGAAACGTGCCCATTTTGACTCAAAAGCGTCAGCCATGAAGAAATAAGTGATCAGCTCGCAGACGAAAACGACACCTTGCAAACAAACCTTAAACAGAAATTGATTTTCCAATAAACAAGAACTTTTATAGATCTCTTGTAGATCTTTTTCCGTCTGTGCGCAGCCATTGGAAAAAAGGAGCTGGCCTAGATTGCGTGAAAAATGGAAAATTCTTTCTGTACAAAGCAAAACGAATCTCTAGTAAAGATGTTCTTTGTGCGGGTGGGTAATCGCTCGCTTTCTGGCAAACGGTCCTGATAGATAGGTGTTTGAGATCGGCGATCGTCGCCAGTGATCAAGTAATCAAAGCCTTCAGCCGACTTCTTCTTTATCATCTTCACTATACCCAGATTCCTTGGGCCAACTTTTTCCCGAAATCTACTATATATAAAGCAGAGGAAAGGCTGTCCGTCTGTGCGCAGCCATTGGGAAAAAGGGGCTGGCGTAGATTGCGTGGAAAACGATGGAAATGGAATGGAATCCAATGGAAAACGCGAACTTTAGTGAGCGTTTTCCACTGGCTTGGCTTTGGCTATATTTTTCCTACAAATTCTACTTCTTTTTAAACGATTGTAGTACTTAAACAGTAGACAAATTAAGAAAACAGCGCGATCCAAGCCTTTGCTCACAGACGAAAATGACACCTTGCAAACAAACCTTAAAGAGAAATCGATTTTCCAATAAACAACAACTTTTATAGATCTCTTGTAGATCTTTTTCTTCTTTCTTTTCACACTTACTTGTTTTACAAATGTAATCTCATTTTGTCTTTTCTTCCTTGCTGCTGAATCGTCGATGTTTACCTGTAAAAAAAAAGAGAAAAATGAGCACAAAGTTTAAAAGATCATAAACCTTTAAAAGTCTTTTGGGAAATGAAATTGAGTTCAATTTCATTTTGATTTTATTTCCCAAAAGACTTTTAAAGGTTTATGATCTTTTACTAAAAACGAAATTCTTTTATTTGAGGATTAAAAGTTTATTGAAGCATTGATCTTTAGCAAATTGCAATTTAAAATAATCAAGATTTAATTGAGTAACATTGCAGGTACGGTAACTTGTACTTTTACAAGTAGAAGTACAAGTAAAGCTCATCTCAAAGACGGCTATTGTGTTCTATAGAAATTTACAGAAAACAGCAATGGACATAGTCATTGCTGTCATTGCTGTCATTGCTGTTTTACTGTATCCTTTTTCTCGTACCTTTCCTAAAACATGTCAAAAGCTAGCGTAATCTTTTCATAAACTTTAGAACGTTATTGGGCAAAAGCTTGGAAAAGGTTAGGGTAGTTAGAAAGTTGAGAGGGTTTAGAAAGAGCAAAGAGAAAGAGCAAAGCAAAGTGAAATCGCTATAGTCGATTTTTAAAGCAAACCTTTACACTACTGATTCGAACTTTCACAAAAGTGACAACATCAAGCAAAGCTATCATTGTCACCGTCAATACGTAACGAGCAAAATCACCATACCTGCAAAAAAAAAAAAATAGAAATTCTGGTGAATAGTATAAATGATGAAAATAAAATTCGCTCATCTTTTCTCTCAAACTTAAAGCCAAGTTGGGTAAAGTGAATGAACTTAAAGTTCAAATAAATCTGTTTGAGACTCAAAATTTAAGATTGAGACATTTGACGATTGAATTTGTGACAAGACTCAAACTCGAAAAGTTTTAGAGACAAAATGAGCGAATCTTATTTTCATCTTCACAAAAGCTGGCTAAAGCTAAAGCTATTTAGCGAAGCTATTTGGCTAAAGCTATTTAGCTAAAGCCATTTAGTTAAAGCTATTTAGCTAAAGCTATTTGAATATAAAGCTATTTAGCTCAAGCTATTTAGTTAAAGCCATTTAGTTAAAGCTATTTGGCTAAAGCCATTTAGTTAAAGCTATTTGGCTAAAGCTATTTGGCTGAAGCTATTTAGCTAAAGCTATTTTTTAAAGTTAATTGTTTACTTACATTCCGACCACATAACATGCTTGAGTTTTGGTGAAATCGAAATTCCAATAAGCGTCCGAGTAGATCAAACGGCAATCCTCTGAACAAACATTGATGTAATTCAAGAATTTTCAAGATTTAAACACTTCCGATCACTAACTAAATAGCTAGTTGACTAGTAGTGAGCACTAACTCATCGAAAAGTACGAGAAGCACGAAAATTTACAGTAGTTTCTCTATGATTTTCCACCTAAATCCCCCGAAAATCCTCTTTTGTACTTGACTTTTGTATTTGAGAGTTTAAAAATCCGAAATTTTTATTCTAAAATGAATGCCAAAAAATTATCTCAAAGTGGAAAATCCTGATATGTGGAAAATCCTGATATTACTAAAAAGTTTCACTACGAAAAGCATTATACGAATTTTTTCACGCTTTTTAACTCCTTTGTAAGGCTTTTTTTTTTGAAAAATTTACCGTTTTATTTCAAAATTTCTCTAGAAAATGTTAGAATTTGAACTCAAAGTTAAAGAGAATTTAACTCATAGTTAAAGAGAATTTAACTTAAAGTTAGAGAGAATTTAACTCAAAGAGAATTTAACTTAAAGTTAGAGAGAATTTAACTTAAAGTTAAAGAGAATTTAACTTAAAGTTAGAGAGAATTTAACTCAAAGAGAATTTAACTCAAAGTTATAAAGAATGTCAACTCAAAGTTAAAAAGAATGTCAACTCAAAGTTTCAACTCAAAGATCAAAATCAAAACTCACACTTTAAATGTTTACAAAAAGTTCTTCTAATTGCAAAAATTGCAAAGAAAAGTGATTTGATTTTTGATTTTTATGGTTAGGATTGTGCATTACTTGATGTACTTGTGCTCAGTGAAAGCACAAGCCATCTAGTGCACTCAATTCTTCTTCTACACCAAATTTTTGCACTGAGCAATGAAAAAAAGCATTGAATGCGAAAGTGGGGGACAAAATGAGAGAGAAAAGGCTTGGATCGCACTGTTCTCTTAATTTCTCTACTGTTTAAGTACTACAATCGTTTAAAAAGAAGTAGAATTTGTAGGAAAAATATAGCCAAAGCCAAGCCAGTGGAAAACGCTGACTAAAGTTCCATTGGATTCCATACTATTTCCATCGTTTTCCACGCAATCTAGGCCAGCCCCTTTTTCCCAATGGCTGCGACAGCTTTTCCTTTGCTTTATATATAGTAGATTTAGGGAAAAAGTTGGCCCAAGGAATCTGGGCATAGTGACCATGATAAAGAAGAAGTTAGCTGAAGGCTTTGATTACTTGATCACTGGCTTAAACGCCAATCTCAAACACCTATCTACTAGAACCATTTGCCAGAAAGCGAGCGATTACCCACCCGCACAAAGAACAACTTGCATTCTTTTACTAGAGATTCGTTTTGCTTTGTAAATGGTACAGAAAGAAGAAATTCAGCTGTAAATCATTACCCTAGGGTTTCCGGGACCGGGTAATCGATTGAAGCTATTAATTCTTTTATTCAAAACAAACAACTCACGATAAATGTACATATAAAGTGATGGGACGATGGCCAACACATAAACAGCGACCACCATCACTTGGACATTTCTCGTGGAGAAGATCGTGTTATACTTGAAAGGGAAATAGATAGCGGTGAGACGATTCGATGAAATGACCAAGTGGCTGATTTAAATAGTTAAATTGTTTACAAAGTATTTCAAGTAATACCTGTAAATGCAAATATCATAACAGACGAGATTGATGTGGCCGAAGATTCGTGAGACAGCTTCGCTTTTTAGGAATTTTATGTCACTAAAATAGGTTTAAGAAAAAGATTGAAATTATTGTAAGCCTATATAATATGTTAGATTTATAATTTTTAAACTAATAGTTCATTTCAACTAACAAGAATACGGTGGGAGCAAAATAAAGAGTGAAAATGGTGAGATGAACAGCTTCTCCGATAGCTTGATTGAAAGTTAAACGACCAAAAACATTTTGAAGAGATGATACCTGCAAAGGGGAATTCAAGTACTGTAATTGGAGTATTTTAAGTGGACTACTGTAATTAGCGTACTCTAATTGGTCTACTCTAATTGGTCTACTGTAATTGGTCTACTGTAATTGGTCTACTGTATTGAAATACTGTAATTGAAATACTGTAATTGGTGTACTGTAATTGGTGTACTGTAATTGAAGTATTGTGATTGGTGTACTGTAATTGGTGTACTGTGATTGCTGTACTGTGATTGCTGTACTGTAGTTGGTCTACTGTGATTGGTGTACTGTAATTATTGCTGGATTACTGTAGAATAAGTCCTTAATTGAATACTGTATTACTGTATTTATTAAAATTTTCTTTTCTAAAGCTCTCACTTTGTCGATAAGCGAAAGAATGATGTAGTTGGCAAAAGCACCGCAGAAAGCTGTCTAAAATCGAGAATTTTTAAGGAAAAGTACATGAAGAAGGACTATGATGTAATTTAAATCCTAGTTCGTTGTGAGCTGTACCAAACTGGCACAAAGACCATGCCATTAACATTAGCTGGGCTTGAAACCCGATCTGAACTGACTAGGTTCATGGTGACTCGTGACTCAAAACTCGAATTAAAGTAAGGCATAAGGTTCTACCAAGGGTGATGGGATACTTGTCGGTGTAGCTCATGGGTAGAGTGTTTGCCCGGGAAGCGGCAAATCGCGGGTTCGAATCCTGGCGCTGTTTTGTATTCCCACTCTCAACCCATAAAAGAATCTGTCTAACCCTAATACTGAAATGTAAACGCAAATGCACAATGGCCTTGCCCTTGCTTGACAGTCGAGTCTAGCTATACAGTAGTCATACTGTAGTCATACTGTGGCTCATACTGTAGCTCATACAGTAGCTCATACAGTAGTCATACTGTAGCTCATACTGTAGCTCATACTGTAGCTCATACAGTAGTCATACTGTAGCTCATACTGTAGCTCATACTGTAGCTCATACAGTAGTCATACTGTAGCTCATACTGTAGCTCATACTGTAGCTCATACTGTAGCTCATACTGAGTCATACTGTAGCTCATACTGTAGCTCATACTGTAGCTCATACTGTAGTCATACTGGGTCATACTGTAGCTCATACTGTAGCTCATACTGTAGCTCATACTGTAGCTCATACTGTAGTCATACTGTAGCTCATACTGTAGCTCATACTGTAGCTCATACAGTAGTCATACTGTAGCTCATACTGTAGCTCATACTGTAGCTCATACTGTAGCTCATACAGTAGTCATACTGTAGCTCATACTGTAGCTCATACTGTAGCTCATACTGTAGCTCATACTGTAGTCATACTGTAGCTCATACTGTAGCTCATACTGTAGCTCATACTGTAGTCATACTGTAGTCATACTGTAGCTCATACTGTAGCTCATACTGTAGCTCATACAGTAGCTCATACAGTAGTCATACTGTAGCTTTTATCCTTTAGTTCCTCAAGAGAACCTTACACCTTACAATTTCCTCAAGAGAATCTGCACCTTACAAAAGCTGCTAGTAGAAGAGAGCTGAGGTTAACTCTCTGTTCTCTTGCCGGTTCTCTTGCCTCTAATTTTAGATGTAAACTATTAGATTAGCAAAATTAGCATAAAAGCTATTCAGTGTCAAAGTACGGTAGGAAACTATTGCATCAAACTCATTTGAAACAAATTAACATACAACAAAAATGATGATCCCGGCGACATGATGATCTCGAATGACTCTAAAGAACGAAGAATTTGAATGGCCACCAAAAAGCACTCACGCAAAAGGTCGATCTCCATCTTGGCTCTCATGTTCATCAAACATTTCTCATAAAATGAGAAAGATAAACTCGTAAATGTCTTCAAGATTCTTTTATACCCTTTTCTTCTCAACAAAAATCAGTTCAATTTCTTTTTTCTTTTTTTGTCCGCTTCTTTCCCTTTAGGGATCAATTTTTCCGGTAGAATAAATGCTAATTTCAATCATTTTATTGTATAAATTTTTTGCTTGATTACCTGAATATCTTCTTTATAATCTTTTAAGTCTGGAGACTTATGGAAAATAGAAAATGATGTACTCAAAGAAATGGATTTCAGAAAAGTTTTCTTAGAAAAAAGATTACATTGATGATGTGCTTTGAAATGATTTTTGTTGCACTTTCTTGAATTCATAGAATTTTGAGCTTAAAGAGCTTAAAGAGGTTTTTGAGTTGAAAAACAAGTTGATAGGTAAACTGTGATTGAAGTTTGTGATTGAGGTTTGTGATTGAAGTTTGTGATTGAGGCTTGTGATTGAAGCTTGTGATTGAGGCTTGTGATTGAGGCTTGTGATTGAGGCTTGTGATTGAGGCTTGTGATTGAAGCAAGCTTTAATCTTTAACGTTGATCAACTTTGAACTTCTAAAAAACCTCACCTAGAGAATGATTTACGATTTCTAAAGATCTTAAACGTTTTGAAAAAAAAAAAGAATATAAGATCTGAATATTTTATTAAAACTACTGCTGCTGATGCTGATAAAATATTATATTATTGTATCGTCATTTGTATTGTAAACTATTTGTATCAAGCTAAACTCTTATTACAGTATGCCAAAACAAAATGTTTAAGTTATCAAGAACAGAAAAATTCTTAAAGTCTAGGATTTTCATTGAAAAGCAAAAGATTCTTGCATTCATTCTGTTTTTAATAATACCGTAAGTCTTAATCTCACTACAGTACGTGAAGATAGGAATATTCAGTCAACCTGGCATTAGAACATTAGAATATTAGAACATTAGAACTATTAGAACCATTAGAACCATTAGAACCATTAGAACATTAGAACCATTAGAACCATTAGAACCATTAGACCATTAGAACATTAGAACCATTAGAACATTAGAACTATTAGAACCATTAGAACATTAGAACTATTAGAACCATTAGAACATTAGAACTATTAGAACCATTAGAACCACTAGAATCATTAGAACCATTAGAACTATTAGAACATTAGAACTATTAGAACCATTAGAACATTAGAACCATTAGAACATTAGAACCACTAGAATCATTAGAACCATTAGAACATTAGAACCATTAGAACCATTAGAACATTAGAACCATTAGAACATTAGAACTATTAGAACATTAGAACCATTAGAACCACTAGAATCATTAGAACCATTAAAACCATTAGAACCATTAGAACAACATTTCCCCTAAACCATTTATAATTAGATTTATTTTTAAATCAACTTATGATACTTTCAAAGTTTTCTATAGCCAGAATTTCTCTCAAATCCCATGTACACATCCTCTGATCTCTGATTTCATTGGGTTATTTGGGTGTTTATCGAAAGATTCGAGAATAGAAATCAAAGTAAGCTCTCCTCAAAAACCAATCCCATTGTTTGCTGTTTGTTGTTTTTATCTTGTTTTTATGTTTTGTCTTTTCTGAGTCGATTTCTAGACTTGAATCTCTGTCCAATCTGCTCGCTTTGCTGTCCTTAACAGCCGCTTCTCCTCTTTCTCTATTCCTTTCACTTTATCTAAACACCCTAAAGCGAAAATATTTTCCAGAAAGTCTGGGAAAATGTTTTTTGATGCTAAAATCTGCTGGAGAAAAACTCTAATGGAGAAAAGTCTACTTGTCTGTTGATGTTTTTGCGAAATCAACACCAGAAACAAAGGATACTATCGCTAAAATACGGCTTACAATTCAATTGATCTTTTAGTTCATTAGAACTAATCTAAAAATAGAAATAAGTCTAAATAAAGAGCTTGTACTAAAAAAAAGGTTTACTATGATTTACTAAAGACTGAACAAAGTTTACTAAACACTAAACAATAGTTCATTACTATCTGTTTTAGATAACTATACAAGTTTCCTCAAAACAAAGTCACATTTCCTTAAACCAAACACGTCTTTTAATTGAATCGAAGGTTCTCCAAGAAAATTGGGAAAATATTTATGATCTAAATCTAAATCTAAATCGATTACTCATGCACAATTATAGAATTGAGCGAAAGGAAGATCGGGAAAAGATTTAGAAAAGATGTAGACAAGATTTATGTGAATATTTTCAAAAAATCTTCGCGGTAAACATGACCTTCAAAAGTGCAGAGTTGTTTTTCTCATTCTTGGGAATCTGAGAAATGGGTGGAAAGAGAGACAGAGATCCGCCCCTTATAATAACCCCCTTTTGTCAACAAGTTCATCACATAACCCATGAAGCCAAAACCCTATTCATTTCACTATATTATCCAGATATACCCCTTAGTTCTAGAATGTGTTATACTACTTTTATCTAACAATTAACTAGCTTTAGTTTACCTACTCCTTTCCTTATCTTAACAAAACTTTTCCTTAGTTCTAGTTCTAGCTTTAGATCTTTTATCTAGCTCTAGATCAAGATCTAGATAAAGATCTAGATCAAGCTCTAGATTTATCTATTCATTTGAATACAATACAAGAAGGAGATTAGGTTTAAGATTTGCTTTTAAATTGGTAGACTCAATGAAATGATAAAATGATCAGCTGGTTTGTTTATTAGCTAGTTCAGCTAGTTCAGCTAATTGTTCAGCTAGATCAGCTAGTTGATTAGCCAGTTGATCAGCTCGATCATCTAGTTGATCAGAATCGATAAGTTTCCATTCGACTCGTCTTCAGCTCTAAAGTTGCTCGTATCTTATTTTTATTAATCTAAAAAAAGTTCTTTTATTTCCATTTCAACTCTTCATCGTTTTCCCCATCATCGATAATCGAGAAAAATTGAGGGCATTTGAGTGGAAATGATTCAATTTCCCGATCCATTTTCAATAGCTCTATAACTTTCAAAAAATTTTCATCTATTTTATATTAATTTCTATTCACTTAAATTTCTTTTAGATTAGTAACGATTTGATAAAATAAAAGAAAAATGTTCTTTTTGCGGATATCAATGGCTGCATTGGTGATTGTTTTGATCAACGCCTATCCAGTGAGTCAATGGGAGAATTTAAAAGTTAAAAGTTATAACTTATAGCTTATAACTTATAGCTTATAACCTACAACTTATAAATTATAACTTATAACTTAAACCTTAAACCTTAAACCTTAAACCTTAAAACATATAACTTACAACTTATAACTTATACCTTATAACTTACAACTTATAACTTAAACCTTAAACTTTAAAACATATAACTTAAAAATTACAACTTAAACCTTAAAACCTACAACTTACAACTTATAACTTACAACTTAAACCTTAAAACCTACAACTTAAAACTTAAAACTTAAATGTTAATAATAAAACAAAGCAAACAAACAAAAACAGTACAAAAGATATAACTATTATTAACTTTTTAAATGCAAATATCTAAACGGTGAGTTTCAGGCAGAGATCAAGGATGCGAAAGAGTCGGCAAAAGTGGCTGCGGAGCGGGTGGCGAATGCGGGTGAGCGAATGCGGGTCTTGTTCAGTACTTGTTATAGCTTCAGTTTATAGCTTGATAAAGATTTATCAAATTTCTATCCAAATATCCAAATTTTTCATATAATAATACTTTCCCGAGATCGAATCTAAAATAGGCAAACAAATAAATGAGAATTCCATACGACAAAAATCCCATTTCAGCAAACGAGGCCGCCGCCACCGCCGAGGCAATCGGTGAGTCGTTTGGTCAATTTTCTAAAGCATCACTAACATGCAAATGAAAGTTAATATCTAATATTTAATATCGACTATCTAATGCCTAATATCTAATGCCTAATATAAAATATCTAAAATCTAATATCTAATGTCTAATATCTAATATCTAAGGCCTAATATCTAATATCTAGTGCCTAATATCTAATGCCAAATATCTATTATCTAATATCTAATGCCTAATATCTATTATCTAATGCCTAATATCTAAGCTAAACATGAGTTTCTTTTCTCAAAAATTCCTCAATTCCTCAATTCCTTAGATTCAAGCATTCCCCGCCACAAGAGCTACATAGTAACGAAAAATGGGGTGATTCTTGATGAAATCGAGGCTAAAAGTAAAAGAAAATATTTATGGAATTATGCTATGTTTGTTTTAAGTTTTTAAAAAAAGGTTTAGTTTGACTTATGCTTGGCTTTACAAAGTAATTTGCTACAAAGTACAAAGCTAAACTCAAAGTTTGCTTCCAGCTTCACCTCTAGATCCATAAATAGCAAACATGACTGAATAGCTTGAAACTTAAAACTTAAAACATTTACATTTTCTACTGTAATCGTTTTCTATTTCGTGGATCTTATATCTTTGCTTTAAAGTACTGTAGATAAAGTACTGTAGATAAAGTACTGTAGATAAAGTACCGTAGAATCTCAGTATTGCATGACATTAATCTGAAGTCGTTAAATGTTTAGACTGAATATCTTTTCAAGGTTTTAAAAGACTTTAAAAGATAAGTGATACTGTAGAAGAGAAGAAGATTCAGCTACAGTAGACTTGCTTGAAATTATTGTTAAATAGAACTTAAAGATTCCTGTTGAAGATACAGTAGCCTTGCTTCAACTTAGGGTTAAATAGAGCTCAAAGATTCTTGTTGAAGATACAATAGTCTTGCTTGAAGTTAGTGTTGAATAGAACTTAAAGATTCTTGTTCAGTAGACTTGCTTAAAGTTAGCTTCAAATAGAACTCAAAGGTTCTTGTTGAAGATACAGTGGCCTTGCTTCAACTTAGCTTTAAATAGAACTCAAAGATTCCTTTTGAAGCTACAGTAGCCTTGCTTCAACTTAGCTTTAAATAGAACTCGAATCCCTGTTAAAGATTCCATTTATCAAGCTTTACTTTGAAGTTTAAAGCTTTGCAAATCTTTCTTTCTTGCTTGATTAATGATTTTGTTTTGGGCATAAACATTTTTCAGTTGATAAACAAACGGGTGAAGTGATGCACTATAAATATAAGCACGAGACGGACGATGGATTGAAAGGTGATGGGGAAATGTTTTTTTGGAGATGAGAACGGAAGATAGACTTTTGATGAAAGCTGGAGAAAGCTTACTAAAACAGAAAATTTTTTGTGTAAAGCCAGAGCCTCTAAAAGTGCGCTGGTCATTGTTTTGAGCTATAGAGTAAACAAGCTGTAACTTTCGACTTTAGACAAAACTTTAGTGAACTTTAGACGTCCACTTTTAGACTAACAAATGAAGATGAGAATGAACTAGGCAAAGTTGAGTAAATCATGTTGTGAAAAGAATTTTACCAACTTTGATCTGGGAAATTCTGGCTGGCTTAATACAAGGCTAAAACCAGAACTAGAAGTCAGCTCTGGCTTACAGGACTAATCTGACAGCCCTGTCTAACAGTACTGTTACTTTAAAACCTTTAAAAAGTAGAGTGTGTTCCTCACGAGTAATGCCTTTTTTTTTTTTTAAAAACGCACACTTAGAAAAGAAATTCAAAAAGAAAATTCAGAACTAAGCCTTCGAACCTCTGACTTTTGTTCTTGATTAATGAAGAAATTCTTGGCAAATGCTTTCGCTTTAGTTCGTCAAACTCTTCAAAATCTTAGCGAAATGCAAAAAAAAATTGGCGCAAGAATTACCAGCTTCACATACCTACGACTCCTTTTAAAAATATTCGGTCGTTTAACTGATTTGATGGAAAAACTCCCTTCAAATGTGAAGATACTCCATTTACTTAACGTGCAAAGAGGATTACTCGTAGTTACTCGATCAAAAACCTCGATTAACCGAGTAAGAATTACTCATGCATTTCACTCGAGTAATTTTACTGACTCCCGAGGAATACACTTTATTAAAAAGTATCTATGCGTAAGAGTAAGGTAAGAGTAACTTTCTTTATCTTAGAGTAACTTTCTTTATCTTAAGAGTAACTTTCTTTATCTTAAGAGTAATTTTCTTTATCTAAAGAGTAACTTTCTTTATCTTAGGAGTAACTTTCTTTATCTTAAGAGTAACTTTCTTTATCTTAAGAGTAACTTTCTTTATCTTAGGAGTAACTTTCTTTATCTTAGGAGTAACTTTCTTTATCTTAAGAGTAACTTTCTTTATCTAAAGAGTAACTTTCTTTATCTTAAGAGTAACTTTCTTTATCTTAAGAGTAATTTTCTTTATCTTAAGAGTAACTTTCTTTATCTAAAGAGTAACTTTCTTTATCTAAAGAGTAACTTTCTTTATCTTAAGAGTAACTTTCTTTATCTTAAGAGTAACTTTCTTTATCTTAAGAGTAACTTTCTTTATCTTAAGAGTAACTTTCTTTATCTTAAGAGTAACTTTCTTTATCTTAAGAGTAATTTTCTTTATCTCCTTGTAGATCAATGCTAGTCAACTGAATAGGGATAATGAATAATGAATTAGAAAAAGAGACTAAAATATGACTGTTCTCTTCTCATGAACCCCTTCCATTCACAACACTTTCATAACTTTTCCGTTTCATTTCAGACGTTTCTCGTGATCGAATTCGTGGCGATCAACAAAGAGCAATCGGTGGGAATGATGAGAAAAGAATTTTTAAAAGAGGTTCTATATTTTTATGTTCTTTTTTTGTTATTAGGTAGAGGAATCGATCGAGCTGGAGCCTCTAGTTCAGGTTTGAGGAAGAGTCAACGATTTTTAAGCAACAAGAACCTATTTTTGCATGTACAATGAGAAATTGAACTTTTTTTGTTTCAACTTTGCATGGCTTGACTCCAGTTAATTTGAATTTATCCCAATTTGAATTTATTTGAATTCCGTTTCCGCTTTAGGCGAATCTGGCGAGAACTCGATTGCCGGCAAATACGAGGAGGGAAAAGCTGAAGGAAGTATGTTTGAGAAGAAATCGGAAACTTTTAAGATTCAACTAGACAAGTTTCTTTCTTTCAATTTATTAAGAGATCAAATCAAGAGATCGAATTTATCAAGAGATCGAAAACTTTTGAACCAAAAACTTTTCTCTATCCAATTCTTTTGCAAAGTTCCTCAAAATCTCAAAAACTTTTTCTAATTTACACTAAACCAATCCCCTAAACTCATAGAAGATCAATCAAAAAGGAAAAAACAAAATGATTGAGTTCTTTTGCAGGAATTGCCGCTGAGAATGCGAAAGAGAATTTGAACGAAGCTGGAGGTTTGTTCTGTTCTGTTTTGTTTAGTTCTGTTCAGTTGTGTTCAGTTCAGTTCTGTTCTGTTCTGCTCTGTTCAGTTCTGTTCAGTTCATTCATTCATTCATTCATTCATTGCCTATGAATTTTCTATCAAACATTACTGGTTAATGAAATTTCAGAAAACTTTTAAAGATATTATTTTTAGAGAAAGTCAAAGAGGGTGCTAAGGAGGGAGCACAATGGGCTGGAGAGAAAGTTGAAGGAGCAAAGGGTGGGGAAAACAATCTACCATATTCTCTCTAATAGTAGTGCGCACTACTATTTTTTCAACCCCCTCCTGGACCGCAATACTATTAGAGAGTGTACTACTATTAAAGAGTGCACTACTATTAGAGAGAATACGGTATATTATTTTAAAATCTAAATCTAAAAGCTTTAGAAACGGTGAAAGAAGGTGCTGAGGTTGCTGGACAAAAAGCTGGAGAAGCTGCTGGTTTGTTGGAGATGGAAGAAAATCAAGGAAATATTCTAGAAACTGTCAAAGAGGGAGCTCACGAGGTTGGGAAAAAAGTTGGTGAAGCGAGTGGTGAGTTTTTTGGAGATTTTTTATGTTGAACAGTACTACTGTAGTCTTTTCCTACCCAGCAAGATTTGTTTAAGACGCTTAAGAGAGCTTTTATCTAATTTTTAACTATCAAAACCAAAAAAAACTATCTCAAAGCTGGTCTGGTTCAATTGCTATGCTAGATTCTTTGTTTTTCCCGGATCAAAATGCTTAAGTTGGCGAGAAGTCGTAATTGTTGACGTTTTTTGGCAATTGTTGGCAATTGTTTAGCTTCCAAAACATTGTAGAACATACTTTTTTGAAAAATCAAAGTTTATATTTTAAAAAATGAATTGATGTATGAGTAAAATACCGATCTTCTTTCAGAAACCGTTGCCAGCTCGGCCAAAGAGGGATACGAAGAGGGAAAAGAGGCAGCTGGTCGGTTTTTCATTCAAAAAATCTAGAATTTCAAAATTTTATTTAAATCTCCTTTACTATATGAAGATTTAAAGATTCTATTTCCCAAAATATCGAAAGAATTCCAGAGAATGTCGGCGAAACGATTAAAGACGGTTTCTTGACTGGAGTGAATGCGGTTGGAAATGCTATTGGTAAGTTAACGAAAAAAAAGGGAGCAGGCTAATTTGCGCATTTTTTTTTTGGCGCAACAGGATCGCAACTCGCCATAACTTCCTTCTAAATCGGATCTCGATGAGTGCAACAAAATGAAACCAAAATCATAAAGATTGACCGACTTAGAAGAAAGTTATGGCGAGTTGCGCAAAGGATCCAGTTACCCAAAGGACCCAGTTACGCAAAGGATCCAGTTACCCAAAGGACCCAGTTACGCAAAGGATCCAGTTACCCAAAGGACCCAGTTGCGCAAAGGATCCAGTTACCCAAAGGACCCAGTTGCGCAAAAAAAAATTGCAGAAATTAGCCCAAAAAAAGCTTATAAATTTAAATTAATTCTTAAAATGTTTTAAACAAACTTAAATTTCTAAACGACAAACTTTTCAAATGACAGGCTCGGCCGCTTCGGCAATCAGTTTACTTACTTAAGTTTACTAACAAATAAACGCTCATATCTCAGCACCAGTACGTTTGTTTCTGCGCGCTTAGGTAGCAAATTAAAGTAGAGAGGATGGGTGATTTTTAGGGGGTTGCCGCAATTTTTTTTTGCGCAACAGGGTTATTTGCGCAACTCACCATAACTTTCTTCTAAACTGGTCAATCTTTATGATTTTGGTGTCATTTTGTTGCACTTATTGAAATCTACAAAATGAAACCAACATCATAAAGATTGGCCCAATTAGAAGAAAGTTATGGCGAGTTGCGCAAAGGATCCAGTTGCGCAAAGGATCCAGTTATGCAAAAAAAAATTGCGGAAATTAGCCTATCCCAAAAAAGCCTATAAATTTAAATTAATTCTTAAAATGTTTTAAACTTAAATTTCTAAACTACAAACTTTTCAAATGACAGGCTCGGCCGCTTCGGCAATCGGTGGACTATTCGGTTTGTTGGTGATGCAAAAAAACTATATGACTTTTCTTATCTTTTCTATAATATTTAATATTTTAAATATTTCTAATAGCATGCAGATTTGATTATCTAAAAATCTATCTAAAAATAGATTTGAATTTGTTTAGGCAGTGCTGCAGAAACAGTGAAAGAAGGTGCAAAGGATGCGGGAGAGACGGCTGGTTTGTAGTAAAGAATCAAGCAACAATATCAATAATCAAGCAACAATTCATTTATCATTTTAATCTCAAATAAATATAACTTTATAATAAATATCTAAATTTAGCAAAAGGAGCTGGAGCGGCTGTTGGAACTGTGCAGAATCTCGGTGAGGGAGCGGTTGAAGGAGTCAAGAAAGCTGGAGTAGCTGTTGGTCAGTCAGAGTTGTTAAATAGCTTTTTATAAAGATCTTTTTACAAAGATATTTTATAAATATAAGAAAATAGTCGAGAAATACTATGGATTTCAGCTGACGGAGCCAAAGCCGCTGGAGAAACTGTTGTTGAAGGAGCGAAGAGCGCTGGCGAGGGAGTCGGTCAGTAATGGAACGCTAAATTGAGATCAAATTTGAATTTCAATTTACAATTAGAAGTTAGGGTGCTGTAACGTTGACCTATAGGTCATTAAATACAAATCCACGAGAGACATTTGTGGAGGTGAAGCTGAACGATTGATGATCTTGGTAAATGAATGCTAATTTGTGAGGATCTAGATCGGTCTAGAGATCTCTAGATCTGTCTAAAAAAGCTTAGCCAAAGCCAAAACCAAACCCAAATTAACTTGTATTGTACTAAAGTAGAAAATCTTTATCAAGAAATAAATCTCTTTTAGCTAAGGGAGCTGGTGTTGTGGCTGGAGCCGCTCAAGATGCTGGAGAAGCTGTAGTTGAAGGAGCGAAGGCTGCTGGTGAAACTGTTGGTGAGTTAGAGCTTTGATGACACTGCATTCATTGAAATTTTCAGTTGATGGAGCGAAAGCTGCTGGTGAAGGAGTTGGTAAGCTTTAAGAACTTTCCAGAATTTAGCCAAGAACTTGTCACACTTGTAACACTCGAATCCACTTTCACAGGCCTCTTGAAATCTATTCTGCACTCAATTACAGTAACAATATAGCTCAATATAGCTCAATATAGATCAATATAGATCAATATAGATTATAGAGCTAACTTTAGCGAAAGGTGCTGGTGTTGTAGTTGGTGCTGCGAAGAAAACAGGAGAATTCGTTGTTGAGGGAGCTAAATCGGCTGGGGAGACTGTTGGTTAGTTTAGGAAATTTCAAGAAATAACACAATCAATTGCAATTGCACATAGCTTGCTTTAGCTAAAGGAGCTGGAGCAGTAGTTGGCGCGGCACAGGATGCAGGAGAAGCTGTAGTTGAAGGAGCGAAGAAAGCCGGACAAGGAATTGGTAGAATGAGAAAACTAACAATGCTAACAATTGGCTGAATGAAAATGCTAACAATTGCTTAATGCTTACAATTCCTTTCCTAAGCACGTCACAGCTTTTGAAAGCTATTGTAAACCTGGCTATAGTATTGCTCAATCATCAAGCCAAGCCAGTTTGGATTATGATAGCTTAGAGGCAAAATTACAGTAGCTTTCAAAAGACACGCTTTAGCAAAAAGAATAAGCTTTCAATAGTGTGACCTTTTAAGCTGAAGGAGCTGGAGCTGCGGCAGGCTTTGTCGTACGAACAGGCGAGGGAGCTGCTGATGTAGCAGCTGATGGAGCAAAAGCTGTCGGTCATGGTGTCGGTGAGCACACAGCACTTTCACAGCACTTAAAAATCACAACAATCATCTTACTACAAAAGCACTTGTTAGAAAGATCTTATGGCACAATTTAGCTAAGGGAGCTGGTGCAGTGGCCGAAACAGCATCTCAAGGAGCTCACGCAGTGAAAGAAGGAGCACAAGAGGTTGGAGCAGGAATTGGTGAGTCAAAAGGAACATTTTTGATGAAACTAAATAAACTTTCCTTTTTTAGAATATTCTTTTAGAATAGCAAAATAATCTTCTAATCGAGTTTTTAAGCTCATGGCGCGAAAGTGATGGGTGACGCAGCGCAAAACGCTGGAGAAACGGTAGTCGAAGGCGGAAAAACCGTTGTGAAAGGAGCTGGTAGGGTTTTTATCGATCTAAGCAGCTTTATTCTTAAACAAAATTATTAGAATTTGTACCTAGCCGATTTTAAATTCAATTTAGCTTACGGAGCTGGTGCAGTTGGTGGAGCGGCGGCAAAAGTTGGTGAGGGAATCGTTGAAACGGGACGAGATGCGAAGAATGCCGTTGGTGAGTCTAAAGGGAAGTTCTTAATTGAGCTTAGCTGGGAATCTTTTCTTCTTTTTTGTCTTTTCTTCTTTCTTTTGACAGGTACCGGATAGCTCAGTGGTTAGAGCAATTGCCAAAGAAAAGTAAAGTAAAGTAAAGTAAAGGTCGAGGGTTCAATCCCCTCTCCGAAGATCTACTTTTTCTTACCAATTCCTTTACTTCTTTATTAAGATACTGTCAGAATTGTTCAGGAAGCCAGATCAGGAAAAACTTTGCTTTGCTTTGCTTTGCTTTGCTTTGGCAATTGCTCTAACCACTGAGCTATCCGGTACCTTAAGATCCTGACCTGACTATGAGGACAAGCTAGAGCCAAATCCTGGCCAAGTCAAGCTATAAGTCTAGTTTGATCTAATTTACAAGTCTAGAATCCAATTCTTTTCTAGGATTTCTGAATAATGTAGCCTATTAGATTAAGAAGTATTTGGTCTTGCTGGGGTATACTGTGGTGAGACAATAGACAATATGCAATAGACAATAGGCAATAGATAATAGGCAATAGACAATCGACAATAGATAATAGATAATAGACAATAGACAATAGACAATAGACATTAGACTTACGGTATCTTTAACTTTCTTATAAACTTTAAGATCTTCAAAGAATCTAATGACTAAAGCTATTAAATCTTAAAAAACCAAATTCCAGGACGAGGCGTCGAGAAGACCGGTGAATCGATTCAAGACTGATTGAGATCGGTTTTCATTGTAAATACCTATGCTCAACATATAAGCTTTAATTATTGTGTACTTTTGGAAATGAATCTTTTTTCGTTTTTCATCTATACAAAGAGGAAAGTGTTTAGTAATAGAATTTATTTGATATGAGAGGAAAGAGAGGAAAGATTGTTGAAGAGAGACTGTTGAAGAGAAAAGAACTGTTAAAGGAAAAACAAAAAGGCTTTCTGGGCTTTGTTTCTTATCTTTTTATTAGGAAAACATTCAAAAAAAATGCCTTCAAAACAAAAAATGCCTTCAATCAAAGGTATTAGTTTGAGACAAACAACTGGAGAATTAGGGAAATCGAGAATTGCAAATGGAAATGGAGAATTGTAGTAGGCAGAGTTCATAAAATTCAATTATCAAAAGTAATCTTGATCTTTCAAATTGTTTATTGAATTGTTTATCAAATATTAAAGTTAAAGTTATCTTGAGAATTTAATTATCTAAAAGAATTGATTGTCTAGATTTTATTTAGAAATATTTAGATATTTAGAAATGTTTTAAACTTTACTTCAATTGATTCTAGATCCTTAAACTGTTTCTTTAAAGATTCTCTAGAAAGTACACTACATAAAGCTACTATAATCCTGGATTTTTGATCAAAACAGCTCAAGAATCAAAAGAGTACTGTAGCTAGACTAGACTAGCTTGACTAGACTAGCTAGACAAGTACCGTAATCCTAAGGTTATTGGTCTAATGACATAGTCCTCAATAGAGTATTGTAGGCGTACTCAATAGAGTATTCTAGGCGTACTCAATAGAGTACTATAGGCGTACTGAATGGAATACTGTAGTCATACTCTATAGAGTACTATAGTCATACTCAATAGAGTACTATAGTCATCCTCAATAGAGCACTATAGTCATACTCAATAGAGTACTTTCAAAGTACAGTAACTTTTTCAAAGCTTTTACCTTTTAGAAAACACTTTAGCCAAGAAAATCCGATTTTTAAAGCTAATTTTTATCTATTAATGTTGAAAAACAATAATAAATCATAAAAAGAAATCATATAAAAAAGAAATCATATAAAATATTGTACCAAATATCAGCTTCCATTCTAAAATCCATTCCATTCCATTCCATTCCATTCCATTCCATTCCATTCCATTCCATTCCATTCCATTCCATTCCATTCCATTCCATTCATTTGCCATTTTTCATGCGCCATTTTATCTTCAAGTCACATTTCTGGCCTTTTTTCAGCACCTTTTTTCATCTTTCTTCTCAATTGATAACAAACTTTTTTTAAAAAAACAACAGGAAATATGACATTCAAGAGTTTCGGAGTTTCGTTGGAACCAAATCTATACCAAATCTATACCAAATCTGTACCAGTTTCCATTCTAAAATCCATTCCATTCATTTACCATTTTCTATGCCCCATTTTATTTTCAAATCACTTTTTGACATTTTTCAGTACCCTCCATTCTTCTGAATTCAAAACAAACAACAGAAAAGATGGCATTCAAGAGTTTTGGAGTTTCGTTGGAACCAAATCTATACCAAATCTGTACCAGTTTCCTTTTCTAAAATCGAATTTACCATTTTCTATGCGCCATTTTATTTTCAAATCACTCTTTGACATTTTTCAGTACCCTCCATTCTTCTGAATTCATAACAAACAACAGAAAAGATGGCATTCAAGAGTTTCGTCTACATATTGTAAGTTCTTATTCAATTATAAAAAACAACTTTTCTTTTTCAGCTTCATTTTACTCGTTGAAGTATCAGCAAAGAAAATATTGTGCTTAAATCCAAGCGGTAAACAAACTCGATGCTCGTCGGCTTGTTATTATTTTGTGGTATTCGATAATTGTATGGGAAGTGTTGAAGTGAAAGATACCGATTGTTCGTTGATGAGATGTTTGCCGATGGTTTGTTTAAATCTTCAATTTTTGAGACTTTTTGACTCTTTTCTTATCAAATCTATTCTAAATATCTATCAATTAGAAATTAGAAACAGAAAGCGTGAAGAAGTATTCAAGAAGTATTCAAGAAGTATTCAAGAAGATCTATCAAAGTTAGATTCGCCTATATGCGTTTAAGACTTGTGAACTTTTACTGAGTTTCTCTAAAGAACGACTGGTTACTATAACCGCAATAGTTACCGTAAGCTTGTAAAGACTATATAAGCAATATAGGAAAACAAAGAAAGAGCTACGGTATAAAAATTCAAGATAAACAGGTAGTTAGTAGTTGTCGGGCTACTATTGGGCCTACTGTCGGTCTACTATTGGCCTACTATTGGCCTACTGTCGGTCTACTGTCGGCCTACTATTGGCCTACTGTTGGCCTACTGTTGGCCTACTATTGGCCTACTATTGGCCTACTGTCGGCCTACTGTCGGCCTACTATTGGCCTACTGTTGGCCTACTATTGGCCTACTATTGGCCTACTGTCGGTCTACTGTCGGCCTACTATTGGCCTACTGTTGGCCTACTATTGGCCTACTATTGGCCTACTGTCGGTCTATTGTCGTCCTACTACTGGCCTATTGTCGGCCTACTGTCGGCCTACTGTTGGCCTAGTTAAGTTCGAAAGTCCCCAATGAGATGCTGCAGAGCTTAGAGTATTAAATTTGCATGCAAATCAGCTAGCATTATCTTTTAAAGCAGCCTAGTGAAGCTTCTATTCAACTATTCAACTTCTAAAACTATTCAGCTTCTAAAACTATTCAACTAAAACAAAACTTTTCAGCAAAACGGTTGCATCTCGATGGAGTCACCAGATAAACGACACGTGATGAAACATTGCTGTTGTCGAGAACATCTCTGCAATGCAGTGAACATCACTTTCGATTCCCAACATTTACGCTCAATAGAGCAATGTGGATCGTTTAACATTTGGGATTTCTTGTATGGATTGTTGCCGGGTGTAGAGGATGATCTATGAAATGAGCTTTTGCTTTTGAGCTTTTTGAAAAGTACTCTTAAATAAATGAATAAATTTTTTTAAGTAAATTTTAATCCAAAAAAAAAAAACAAACATTAGCTTATAATTTCTTAAACAAAAACAATAGTTTCTTAAAGATTAGCTTATAATTTCTTTTGTTTGCTAAACAAACAAAAAAACAAAAACAAAGACTCATTTACTTTCAAACAAAGAGCACACTTTTGTGTGTACATTTTATTTCAAACAAAGCCAAAAGTCCGAAGTCTTTTTTGAGTCAAAAAAAACACCTTTAACAGTCATTTTGAAGCCAAAAACGTTTAGCTAAAGAAAAAGGAAAGTCTTATCTTTGAATGAAAGAAAGTAAAAAAGGGTTTAGAGATAAAAATCTGAAACAATTTGAATCTTTACTTTTTCGTTAATACTGTTGACCATAGGGAGGCGAAGATGCGATCACTTGGAGTACTCAGGTTATTTTAAAGCTTTTGAACTTTAAAGTATTTAGCTTGATCCTAAAATTTATAAGATTACTACAATAAGCAGTTTTTTAAAAGCTACCGTATACTGATTTTGACTGAATTCCAAAGAGATGGATCATCAAAAGCACAAGATTAAGTCTTAGCATTGTAGCAGCTGGATTACGGTAGCTTTTTCAGCTAGAATACGGTAGCTTTTTCAGCTAGAATACGGTAGCTTTTTCAGCTAGAGTACGGTAGCTTTTTCTTAGGTAGTTGGAGTATGGTAGCTCTTTAAACTACAAATAGTACGGCGATTACAAATAGTACGGTCTTTCTAAGCTGTTGGAGTACAATAATTCTTATAATCAACAAGGAGAGCCATATCTTTCCCTAATAAAACCCTAATTTCCAATAAAGCAACCGAATTGAATCCTTTTCTATTGCAGCTTTTGTGCCTTTCTAACCTGCTCATTGGCTGTGACTTGCCATGACTCTTCAAAGGGACGGGAAAGCTGTTGGTTGAAATGTTACTACGCGGTTGCCTATGATAATTGCAAGGGAGAGCAAATGTTCCGAATACAAGGATGTGCCTCTTTCGCGTGTCTTTTCACGAAAGATGTATGTCATTGCAAAGTTCAAGCGATTCAGAAAATCAATTTCTTTCATTTAAATCTTCAGGATGGATGTCTCTCATTCGGCGGAGCGCAAAACACGTATCGTTTATGTTGTTGCAATGGGAAATTCTGCAATTCAATCGAGAGCATCCAGGAAAAATCAAGTAAATGAGAGAAGATATAAGAAGAGATTGTATATAAGAAGAGATTGTATATAAGAAGAGATTGTATATAAGAAGAGATTGTATATAAGAAGATATTTGTATATAAGAAGAGATTTGTATATAAGAAGATATTGTATATAAGAAGATATTTGTATATAAGAAGATATTTGTATATAAGAAGAGATTGTAAAAGAAGAGATTGTATATAGAAGAGATGTAAAAGAAGAGATGAGAAGAGACGTATAGGAATCGTATATCAAGATATTTGTATAAGAAGATATTGTTTATAAGAAGATATTTGTATATAAGAAGATATTGTATATAAGAAGAGATTGTATATAAGAAGATATTGTTTATAAGAAGATATTGTTTATAAGAAGATATTGTATATAAGATATTTGCATTCAACAATATTTTTTAGAAATCCCAAAACACTCAAACGAAACATTCAACCAATTGTGGAAAACTGATTGCACGAGTGATTCAACGTTTGATCGAGTGCTCCGGAAACTTCCTTTTCTTGATTCGGATCGATAGCATAGCAATTATACTGTGTTCTTGATGTTTTCTCAATGGCAAACGTCTGGCCTACTGTATTCAGATTACGATACCTTTTTCCGCTTCTATTTCTAATCAATTTATTTATACAAATTTGTCTTTATAAACTTTGTAAATCATTTGCCTTTTTGCATATTATGGAAAGTTTTCCTCTGCACAAATTAGCTTTTGCATTGCTTTTTTTAAAATCTTATTTTGGTTCTTATGCTTGAATTTTTTTAAAAGCATTGTTTATTTTGTTTATTGTAAGAGTTTTCATTGTAAAATTCACTTTTTAAGCTATTTTCTTCTATAAAATCTATAAGGTTTTAAAAAACGTTGTTTGCTTTGTTTATTTTAAGAATTTTCATTGTACAATGCAGTTTTTAAACTATTTTTCTTGTATAAAACCTATAAATTTTTAAAAAACGTTGTTTGATTTGTTTATTTTAAGAGTTTTCATTGTACAATGTATTTCTTAAACGATTCTCTTCTACAAAACCTATAAGGTTTTAAAAAACGTTGTTTGATTTGTTTATTTTAAGAATTTTCATTGTACAATGTATTTCTTAACCTATTTTCTTTTATAAATCCTATCAAGTTTTAAAAAACGTTGTTTGATTTGTTTATTTTAAGAGTTTTCATTGTACAATGCAGTTTTTAAACTATTTTCTTCTATAAAACCTATAAATTTTTAAAAAGTACTGTTTGATTTATTGATTGTAAGAGTTTTCATTGTAAGAATTTTATTGATTGTAAGAATCTTAAACAATTTTCTTTGATAAAGCCTCTAAAGTTTTAAAAAACGTTGTTTGCTTTGTTTATTTTAAGAATTTTCATTGTACAATGCAGTTTTAAAATTATTTTTCTTGTATAAAACCTATAAATTTTAAAAAAGGACTGTTTGATTTGTTTATTGTAAGAATTTTCATTGTACAATGTATTTCTTAACCTATTTTCTTCTATAAAACCTATCAAGTTTTCAAAAAAATTGTTTTATTTATTGATTGTGAGAATTTTCATTGTATTTCTTAAACAATTTTCTTGTATAAAACCTATAAAGTTTAAAAAAATACTGTTTGATTTGTTTATTTTAAAGGTTTTCATTTTACAATGTATTTCTTAAACGATTCTCTTGTATAAAACCTATAAGGTTTTAAAAAGCGTTGTTTGATTTATTGATTGTAAAGGTTTTATTTGTAAAATTCACTTTTTAAACGATTCTCTTGTATAAAACCAATAAAGTTTTAAATAATCTTCTATAAAGATTTCCTATCAGTTTCTATAAAGCACAAGTTTAAAAATTACAACAATGTAACAATGTAAATAATTTTAAATTTAACAAACAACTCTTGAAATATCATGAGTTCTTTTCTTTGTGCTTCTTCATTTTTTGAATCCTTTCTTCTGGACAAAATTCGATTTCACGGCAAATCTTCAACCATGTCTCAAAGAAAAGCTCTTCTTCGTTGACTTAAATCACTTCAAACTTTAAATACTACTTTATCTAAAGTAGTATACTACTTTAAACTTTAAATACTACTTTGTCTGAAGTAATATACTACTTTAATCTTTAAATACTACTTTATCTAAAGTAGTATACTACTTTAATCTTTAAATACTACTTTATCTAAAGTAGTATACTACTTTAATCTTTAAATACTACTTTATCTAAAGTTATATTTAAAATTGAAGTTAAAACTAATGAAAATGAATTTTCAAATTAATCCCAAAACTTGTGTTTTCCCTTTCGTCGTCCACTTTACGATCGCATAAAATTGACGTTTCCAAATGTCTCAAAGACAAGAAAGACAGATTTTTAAGCTCTCTGGTCTTCTCTTTATCTTTGAAATTTAGATTCTCACTTAATACTCAAAAATTAAAACAATTGAGATATTTGATTGAGCTTGGAGAAGCTTGGAGAAGCTTGGAGAAGCTTGGAGAAGCTTGGAGAAGCTTGGAGAAGCTTGGAGAAGCTTGGAGAAGCTTGGAGAAGCTTGGAGAAGCTTGGAGAAGCTTGGAGAAGCTTGGAGAAGCTTGGAGAAGCTTGGAGAAGCTTGGAGAAGCTTGGAGAAGCTTGGAGAAGCTTGGAGAAGCTTGGAGAAGCTTGGAGAAGCTTGGAGAAGCTTGGAGAAACTTGGAGATAGATTCCATCTCCAAGCTTGTCAATCAAATATCTCAATCAACTGCAAAGCAATACTTTCATGTTTTCCAAAAAAAAAATCTGTGCCTTTTTTCTGTTCTCTGTTCATTTTGTGAGTCAATATGATGAATGTTGTTGAGTTGTTTTAGTTCTTTCCAAGAATTCCCTAGAGATAACCTAAATATTTCATCTGCACTGCATAGGTTTCAAGAAAAACTTATTTTTTTCTTTAAAATTTAGATGTCTTTCGATACAAGATCATCGATTCGATCGAGTCGGAGATATATCGCGGAAGAGGTTGGTGTTACTAAAGAAGAATTCTCTAATTATCTCTCTAAATAATTCTCTAATGTTTTTCTTTGATCTACAATTCTACTTTTAATTTCATAATACCAGTAATAGTTAGCAAATGTTATATAATTAGATTAGTATTAGATTTAGAATTAGTTTTAAACAAAATCCAGATTCTAGAGCTAAAAGCTAATACGGTTCCTGTTATGATCCAATCAAGTTCCAATGCGGTTCCTATTATAATCCAATACGGTTCCAATAAAGTTCCAATACGGTTCTAATACGGTTCCTATGATAATCCAATACGGTTCCAATACGGTTCCAATACGGTCCAATACGGTTCCAATACGGGTCCAATTATGATCCAATACGGTTCCAATACGGGTCCAATTATGATCCAATACGGTTCCTATACGGGTCCAATTATGGTCCAATACGGTTCCAATACGGGTCCTATTATGATCCAATACGGTTCCAATAAGGTTCCAATACGGTTCCTATGATAATCCAATACGGTTCCAAGACGGTTCCAATACGGCTCCTATAGGATCCAATACGGTTCTAATACGGTTCCAATACGGGTCCTATTATGATCCAATAAAGTTCCAATACGGTTGGTTTGGTTGGTTTTAATAGAATCCTCATTAAATTTGACTAAAGAAAAGTGGAATCTGTTTTGTATACTCTTTGATAAAAACATAAAGAAAAACCGTCTTGCAGAGTGGTGCGCTAAAGTGCCGTTTTTCTATAGTCAAAGTCTAAAGGTAAAAGGGGAAATATTAAAAGAAAATCTGAAATACCACTTTAAACATAAAATTTGATATTTGTCTCAATTTTAAAAAGTCATTTGCCGTGATATTCAGTGAATCGGCTGAATACCTTTTAAGTCTAAAGGTAAAAGGGGAAATATTAAAAGAAAATCTGAAAGATTAAGCACAGAAAAGTTGTGAGTTTCAGAAAATAATGAAAAATCGATCTGGAGTCAAATTTAAAACCTTTAAACCTTAGAGTTCTTCTTATTGCAATAAATCCTTTAGGTAATGGTGGAACAGCATGATTCTTTATGTCTTTTACCGTCATCAATGCGTTGTTTGTGCGCTTTGTTGACGCTACTTTTGATCGTTTCACTTGGAGCTGCGATATTCAATTCGTTACAAGGTGACAATGACAATGGGCAATGACAATGGGCAATGACAATGGGCAATGACAATGGGCAATGACAATGGGCAATGACAATGGGCAATGACAATGGGCAATGACAATGGGCAATGACAATATGCTTTTATAAACTTGCATCAACATCTAAATTACTAGAAATGAAGAATCTAAACAATTTCAGTTGCTTCGAAAGGCTCAAAATCTTATTGTAAGCGGCAACACGACGTTTTTCATCCGAGTTACTTGTAAGTCATTTAAATATCAATTTTTATCAAACATTTTTTATAAAATTCTTTTTGAAATCTTTACGTAAGTATACTTTACAGTTTACAGTAAGTATACTTTACAGTAACAGTTTTTCTAGATGCCCAAAAGAGGGAATGTTTCAATATTATGCTTGTTGTGATGACGAAAAAGAGCAAACACCTGTGTGTTGTCCGAAATTGAAATTTTGGTTTTTGTAAGTTTAAATCTTTGTTTATAGATTTATTATAATATTATTAATAAGAAATAGTAAAAACAATTGTAATGTTCGATTTAGATTAGCCATTGCCTGCATAGCTGCCTCATTTCTCGTCGGGATCTCCTATGTCGTGCTTAATTATACAAGAAATCGAAAAAAACAGAACGAAAGCTTGGTTTCATGATTGGAAAAAGAAAATTTATTATTTTAGCTTGTAAAAAGATTGTAAAGTTTCCACATTTTGATTGTAAAGTTTCATACATTTTGCATTTTAGCAAACAGCTTTATTTCCTAACGACTAACGACTATTTTCTCTAATAGTAGTCAGCGTCAGCGACGTCAGCTAAGTCAGCTACGTCAGCTAAGTCAGCTACGTCAGCTAAGTCAGCTACGTCAGCTAAGTCAGCTACGTCAGCTACATCAGCTACATTTTCCGACCCCACATCAATAGGTTCTGATAAGCGGTTCTCGAGATTTCGAGCAATTTAGGCGAAGCTCACGGTGCACTACTATTACAGAAAATACGGTATTTAAATCGAATTGTGCACAAATAAGAATACAGCTTTGCATATTTTACTGTATCTAATATTTTCATACATTTAAGTGCTTCAATTTTTCGAATCTATCAATGCCTCTTGAATGTTCTCATAAATTACGGGTTTGCCTGTAAAATTTGAACTTTCTATATGCTAGCGCTGGCGTTTTTTTATGAGCTGGATAAATTTTTCTAAGCCAAAGTGACCTCCGCAGTTGAACAAACAAAAGATATTTGACAAGAATTGTAATGATTTCTTTCTAACTATTAGTTTTTTTACAAAACTTTTACATTATTGTTGTTAACACGTTGACGACATTGTCACCTGATGTTGTCTGACACATATTCGTTCGCCTGGGACATTGTCACCTGATGTCAGGTGACATTTTTTGTCGAAAAAGAACAACGTTGCCCCATGCGATTGTTTGTGCAAAAATGCCATTGTCGTCAACGTGTTAATCTACTTTTTACGGATCTACAAAGAATTCGAATTGTTTCAACTTCAGACAGCAGACTTGTTTGAGTACAAAAACTCAGTTTTCTTCTGTCGATTTGATAGAGTTCAAAGTTTACATTAAACTGAATGAGAGAATGATAGGGGAGAAGTTATGGCTTTTAATTGAAAGGGGTAATGTGACGTCAATGAGAGGATAGAGGAGCCTTGATGAGGAGAGCCTCATCAAGGCTCTCCCCTCTATCCCCTTAGTCTAAAGCGATATTGAAGGGGACTTGTAGAGAGTCCAGACATTCTATCCCTCCTCACTTTAAAAAGAAAAAGAGATCCAGCTTAAAATATCCCTTCATTTCATCAATTCACTTTGTCTTTCTCTTTATATATTCAATTCCCGAGTTTTTGAACGCTTAAATTACCGCTTTTTATTTGAGAGAAGTGGATTTATTGGACAATAATGAATTACGAAAAACGGAGGAAATTTTTATTCCTAATTACCCCTATTGCCCAAATGTTGCTAAGAAAAAAATCCATAATAACGGGAAAAAGAACCAATCTTTCTAGCCGCCGGGATCGAATCCTTTACCCCAGGAGACAGGAGACAAGACTCCTATCCAGTCGGCTACAACGGCTAGAGACTCAGAGTTTTGTGCTGAGCCTGGCTTGGCTTGACTTATCCAAGCCAAGCCAAGCTCAGCACAAAACTCTGAGTCTCTAGCCGTTGTAGCCGACTGGTTTGACTTGGTTTGACTGGTTTGGCTTGGTTTGACTTAGCCAAGCCAAGCCAAAATTAAAGCAAGCATTAAAAGAAATTGGCTTAGCCTTACATCCAAAAATCCTGAAACCCTCTAGTCCTATAGCTTGTAAAAAAACAATCACATGTTCCACTTTCCCCTCAAACTCTCCCAATATTTTCAAGATTCTTACAAGAATCTCATGATCTCAATTGCCAATCATTATTGTAAACAAGTGTAAACTTTCAGATCAACAACCATTCCTTTTTTTCGGTGAAGTGATATCGCGTGGCATTCAATATTTACGAGCCAGCGTTTCTCTCTTTTCTCTTTTCGATTAACGGGGAAATGTTTCTCGAATGAGAGAACTGTTCTCTATTCTCAACAACAATCAGATTCTTGATATCTTTTATCTTTCCTTCATCATAATATCATTATTTTGATATTGCGCAAACCGGACTTTTCTTTTGAGAAAAAGATTTTGATAAAAGATATCAAGACCAGTCGAAAAAATATAATAACTATTATCACCTGGTACTGTCAATACTGTGTACCAGATAGCTTTTAAGTTATATAACTTTTCAAACAATTTATCTTACTCAGCTACTCTTACTATTAATTTTTACCTCTGTTCCCTAATGAGCTTGAAATCTAAATTTGCCACACATCAAAAACCGAGTTCTTCTTGATTTGATTAACTCAGAAAACTTTCACTGATTGTTTTTGATTTGACAATTGAATGGGAACAGGTTCTTTAAACGAGAAGCACTCTTAATCGAAATATAATTGAGCAAGTCAAAGTGCAAATTTCAAGGCTGACAAGGAAAGTGTGGTTGAAGTTTGGAAACAATGCGAGTCCAGGTGTCTTCGAGAGTTTTAGACTTTTAGACTAAGTTAAAAGATTTCTGTGCCGCTTTTCAAAAATTCACCAAAACACAAGCGACACACAAAAGCTTTGGCATTATTTAGAGAGAGAGAAAGAGAAAGAGAAAGAGAAAACAGGGGTGGAAACCAGCTTAAGAGAATAGGCATTGAATGGCTTTTGGCGTTGCTTTTTGAAAAAAAAGAAGGGACGATTGAATGGTTCTTTTTGGGGGAAAAGATAGTGATTTTCTCAACCTCTTTCAGTGTTTCTTTTTGGAGAGAAGCCAACAATGAGAAAAGGATTTAGAGAGAGAGATCCGTCCGTTTGATCGGATCTCTGTCGGAAGAAATGAATGAAAGAGCGGGCAAATCTGAAGACTTTCTTTTGAGCTATTTTTTCTATTGATTGAATAGTTTTAAATCTATAATATTACCGATTTTCATAAGCAAATGTTGGACAAGTTTTTTTGGTGAAATTTTGCGCTCAAACGCACGCCTCTTGGCAATTTTTTTAAAAAATTCTTTCTGTTTTCTGAATAGTTTTTCCAAAATTTTCTTTATTTTATGTTTAAAATATTTAAAATATAAATTTATGTATTCATTTTTTTTCTATTTTTTTATCAACCTTAAAAAGATTTCGATCTTTATATATGTCGTAGCCGTTTACGAAATTCAGCCGCTAACGAATGAGGGTATTTCCGGGCATCCAATCAAAAAGTCACCCGCATAAAAAATGTTCATAATACATATATTTTATAATAAATTTTTGAAATTAGCTCATTTGGTTCAGTAGAAAATTTTTTTGAGCCCCCAAAGCTTAGGTTCAAAAATGCCCTAAAATGGCTATAAAAATTTTTCTACTCAGCCAAAAAACTTGCCTAATAGCTCATTTTGTAGCCGATCTGATGTAGATTCTTAAAGTAAAGCCATCTAAAACAATTTTTGGTTGAAAGTAGGAGAAAGAGGGCGAGGAACAAATTCAGGGCAATTCTCAAATGTGAAAACAGCGACCGAGTTCAACTGAAGTCGTTCCTCGCCCTCTTTCTCCTAGCTTTGAAAAACAAATGTTCAATGTAGCTTTACTTTAAGAATCTACATCAAATTGGCTACAAAATGAGCTATTAGGCAAGTTTTTTGGCTGAGTAGAAAAATTTTTATAGCCATTTTAGGGCATTTTTGAACCTAAGCTTTGGGGGCTCAAAAAAAATTTTCTACTGAACCAAATGAGCTAATTTCAAAAATTTATTATAAAATATATGTATTATGAACATTTTTTATGCGGGTGACTTTTTGATTGGATGCCCGGAAATACCCTCATTCGTTAGCGGCTGAATTTCGTAAACGGCTACGACACATATAAAATGCTTAATTTAAACAAATTTTGATGAATCCTCCTCAAGAGGTGATCTCTTTTCGGTCTCTTGGCAATTTGGTGAAGTAAATTTAATAACTTTATTTCAACAATTAACAAAATAATAACAAATAACTAACAACAAAGAAAAATGGGGACATCGGCATGCTTTATTTGCCTTCTTTTTGATTCGACTTCTTTGATGGAAACGGGAGTTGATAATGTTATTTATGTAACTAAAGTTATACCACCTTTCCTTTGCCTTTGTCATCTTTTTCAACAATTCCTTTCCCCCTTACTTTCCACTTACTTTCCCCTTACATTCCTCTTACTTTCCTCTTACTTTCCACTTACTTTCCCCTTACTTTCCCCTTACTTTCCCCTTACTTTCCACTTACTTTCCTCTTACTTTCCACTTACTTTCCCCTTACTTTCCCCTTTCTTTCCCCTTACTTTCCCTTTACTTTCCCCTTACTTTCCCCCTTACTTTCCCCTTACTTTCCCCTTACTTTCCCCTTACTTTCCCTTTCAATTCATCATTCTGTGTGATATTTGTTCTCTGCAATTCTAAGTCATTTTCATTACTTAAAATCAATCCAGATTCTTTGAAATTTTCAATTCTTAATGATTAATTATTTGATTTAAGTCAAGTCTATTTTCTTTTAAACAAAAATTGATCTTTCGATTTCTGATTCACCAACCAAAATGAATTAAACTTTATTTATCGAAAGATCAAACGTTGTTTTTCAATGAGAAAAGTATGAATCATCATTTGAAAAAATAAAACATTTGTCATTTTTGATCTTTTCTTAACGTTCATCTTTTCTTAACGTTTTCTCCTCCCCATTTCAATCAGGCGAACAGCTGGCCGGGCTCTTTCTCTGTCAATCAGACGCAAACCGTAAAAATATGGGGTGATCACTTTTCGGTCTCATCTTTTTCATCAATTCCTTTCCCCTTCCTTTCCCCTTCGATTCATCATTCTCTGTGTTATTTGTTCTCTGCAATTCTAAACGATTACTAGTATATTGTGTAGAGATTTTCTTAACACATTCACGAAAATACGGCCCAATACGATTGGGGAAATTCGCTTTGTTTACAAAAAATATTCAAATTTTAACATTCGCGACGATACGTCATTTTTGGCCGTATTGTCGACCAAAAGCGACGATTATTTTTGGTGTCAATTCAAGTTTTTAAGGATTTTGTTATTTATTTCGCAGATAACTTTGTACTAGTTTTCAAGAGGAGATTTAGAGCTATCGAATGACTAGAATAGTTGAATTTATTTTTGAATCCTCATCAAATTATCAGTAAAATAGTAACGACTACGCGACTGTACACCTAAAATGTCGTCGTCGCGAATGTGTTAATTGTTTTAAAAGAAACTGTTCAAAGTTCAAACTTCATTTCTCTATAAGTATAAATATTCAAGACCTGACTGTCTTTAGAACTTATAGAATATTCAATTTTTTTTTTCTATTATAGTGAAGTGAGTACCATAGAAATCCCAAAATTCACTATATTTTGTTCATCTCGTTGTTGTGGATTGCTGAACTTTGTTGTTTAACGTAAACTTGCTGAACTTTGTTGGGGATAGGCTACTTTGCGCCAAATTTTTTTCGCAACAGGATCATTTGCGCAACTGGATCGTTTGCGCAGCTCGCCATAACTTTCTTCTAAGTCGGCCAATCCTTATGATTTTGGTTTCATTTTGTTGCGCTTATTGAGATCTACAAAATGAAACCAAAATAATAAAAATTGACCGACTTCGAAGAAAGTTATGGCGAGTTGCGCAAAAAATTTGGCGCAAAGTAGCCTACCCCCTTTGTTGTTTAACGTAAACTTTCGTCATCTTATGCACTGAATTCTATACTTTTCTTGCGAAATTCAAAGTTAGATTCCGCAATAAAACGATTTTACTTTTCTTCTCAATTTTCTTTTCCATCGAATATTTTTCATTTTCATTTCCACGAATATTTTCCATTTTCCCTTTTTTGAGAGATATTCTCTTTTTGCTTAATCCCCTTTGAGTTCATTGATGAGAAATAAGTTTTCTAACTCCGTTTTTAGAAAAAAAAAAGTGCAATCATTCTCATTCTCTGGCTTACTTGACGCATTTTGTATCCTTGACTACTACATCAGTGATAATCTTGAAAATTCATAAATCTAGTTTAGAAATCTTCATCAGATTCATCAGATTCACCTATTTTTACGCTAAAAAAAATTTCTCTTGTCGTTTTTCTTACTCGTCATAGTATTTTAAATAAATATAAGGTTGTCTTGCCGTTTAGACTCAATTTTTTTTAATTCAGAGAACCGGGTGAGAGCTTATCAGTGGGATGACGTAAAGAATGGAATTTTTCTAATGCTTTATCTGTCTTAATCGATAGACAATTGGATAGGCAGAGAAGAGTTGAGGGGTCAATCCAGAAAAGAGGGGAAGAGACAGAGGAAGGGGGGGAAAGGATTGCTCTAGAAGGGGATCCTATGAGAGAATCGATCGACCCGTCTTTTCCTCCCCTTCTCCTCCGTTTTCTCTCCATTATCTGACCTCCATCCCTGTCTCTCTCCACTTGGATGATTCATTGGAAGCCCCGGACCACTCCCCCCTATCTCTTTGTTAACCCTTTTTGAACTCTCTATCTAATTTCCCCCTCACTTTTTTTTCTGCCCGATTTATTTTTCACTTGATTTCAAAACTTGATCCCTTTTCGCTTTTGACGAATTGAGTAGGATTTTCCCGCGGCTGATCAGACTACTTACCTAGTTCACTTGTCAATTCTAGAATTTCATCACTTTCAAAATATTATATTGTGCCTATTTGCTAGTTGATTTGCTCTTATACTGATTTGCTACACTAAAATTAAAGTTTTTTTTATTAAAGAGTTTAGTTTTTTTAGTCTTTCCGAACTTCTTGAACCAAACAGCGTCCAGGGAAATTATAAACAAATGGGAAAGGAAAGGATTTCTGGGGGAAGAATGGGAAAGCTGAAAGAAGAATGGGATGGTCTCTTTTCCTCAAGTGGGACACTGTTTGGTCGATCGACCCTTTCTTTAGTCAAAAGTTTGTCCCTTTCCTCCTCTCATCCTTTTTCAGACCGCATTTGTCCCCTTTTCCTTTCACTAACCCCCGCGTCACAAACAGAATACATTTTCAAAAAAAAAAGCCACGACCCTAGCGAGCAATCCTTGAAATTTGATATTTTGCCTTAAAATTATTTTGCTCTCTCGATTTTTTGAGACTGATTTCATCACTATTCTTTGTTAAAATAGTTATCATGTTCAACAATGCTTTCTGTTTTCAACTCTACAACGAACTCTCCTAGCCTCAAGTAGTTCCGTGTTTGGCCGACGTTTTCCCCAAAGAAGCCCTTACTTTTCAGCGTTTCTTCACTTTTCTTGCCTTTTTTTGACGCAACATTTAGACTTTCTTATTGATTAGTGTAAAATAGGAAACCATTGATATTGTGAACAGCAAACTGACCCATATTTGATCACAAGCCAAACCTATTAATGGAAAAGCTTTTGAATTCATTATAAAACGAATCACGAGTCGAGATTTCAAAGAAATTTTTTGAATCAACTTTTTGAATCAAATTTTTTGAATAATTGTGACTTGTCAATCTATTAAGGGCAACAATTTTAAACTTTTCATTTTCTCCAAAAAATCTTTGCTGTATGCGTCACTTTTATTGGGAAAGAATATGGTTTTTCCGAGAAAAACCAAAAAATTCATACGAAAACTGTTCACCTTTCTTGACCGTGACTGGGGAAATTGTCTGATTCAGCGCGAAAATGCGTCTTCGATAGGAAAATGGTCGATTTTTTGCCTCCCATTGATTTCGTAGAACGATAACGGTTTTATGGGCTTTCTCCTCCTTTCCACGTTTTTTTTGCGGATCACTGATTGATCTAACGACATTTACATTGTAACATCGCTTATCTGTGGGGTCATCTTGTCTATCGAATGGTTGACATTGAGTCTTCTTTGAAAAAATTTTCATAAACCTTTCTAGCGATTCATTTCTTTGCATTAGAACATCCGAAAAGGTGAATAATTGCAAAAAAAAATCCAAGGATTCACTTCTCTTCACTTCTTTTATCCAATCATAAGCATTTATTTTACTCTGACCCATTTTTAAAACTCCTTAAGCTTCATTTGTTGAAATCTGTTAAAACGTATTTCTTATTTTTCGCTTTATTCTACAATTCTTTTTGATTAATGTTTATTTTTTTCTAGCCAGTGAGGAGGATGCAGCTGTGGGGTCCGAGTTTCGAAGCTTTCTACACCCGGCCATGGCACATTTTTCAAGTCGACAACAACACTGACATCGGCGATCAAGGTTTGTTGCTTTGTTTGAGTTTGTAAAACTGTACGACTGATCTAAAATATTGCATATCTTAAAAATATCGCAAAACTAATCTAATACATTAGACATCTATCGTAACTATCATAAGTTACTCAAAATTTTGCGCTCTGTGATGGAGGTTCATGAAACATCTAAACAATAAGCATCATAAGTGTTACGATTGTTTTTATTTTAGAATGGGCCTCGGCGATGGTGACTCCCGATTTTGCAAACCTCATCCGTGTTGACATTCTCGTCCCCATCCTCTGCTACAGTTTATTCTGGTTGGTTTTGAACTTTGTTATTAGATTTAATTCTCTTTAAAGTTAACTTTTTGCAAAAAATGTTTTGCTCAGTTGAATATTCATGTTTATATTTAGGTACACGGTGAACGTGTTAGTGACGGCAAATTGTTGGTCTTCGTTTCAAGAGGGACAAAAGCGAAAGCGTCTCATCAACGTCACAACATCACTCATTCACTCCTCCGTAGGTTTTAGATATTTAAAAACGATATTTTTATGATTCACGATCACTATTGATTAGCTTTTTTTAGGTCTCTGGTTTCTACTTTTTGATCTTCTTCATTCGTTTCCCTGGGTTGATGTTCGCTGCACCAATGAACTATTATGGCTATTTGGACACGCAGGTAATTTGTACTAAAGATTTTAAATTGCAAAACTAAATTTAGATTTTGATGGTCACATTCGGATATTTCATCTATGATGCCTACGATTTAGTGGTCAACGATAAGTGAGTTTTGGAGAAGGGGAGTTAAAACTTAAACAGCACTAAACATGAGATTAAGAATGTATTGCAAAGTAACATTGTTGAAGTTTTCTAACAAAGTATTTTAGATTTTCGATCCAAACGGGAGTACTTCTGTTCCACCATGTCGGTGCTGCAATTGTCATCTCGATCGTGTTCGCATCACACAAATTCGTACTTTTCGCTTACTGGGCTCTTCTTATGGAGGTAATCTTTGAATCTTTAATGTAGTTTACTTGGGCGGTGCGTATCTACCACCTAACTTCTCTTTTTAGGTCTCTTCCGTTTTTCTCCATCTTCGATCGATCTTCCACTTCAGCAAGATGAGCTCTAATTCGTAAGTTTAGATATTTTTATAAAATAATAAGTTCTATTTAGGCGCTACTCAGAGGTGACCAGGCTGATACTTTGGGGAAATCTCATCTCATTCATCGTTTTCCGTAAGTGTGATATAATCATCAATATATTTATTTGGATTAAGGCTTCTTGAATCAAATCTGGATGGTCACCTGGGGAATCGTGAACAGAAATAACATGCACCTGTGAGTTTTCGATGAACATACATAGCGCTTTTGATACCTTGTAAGGGTTTGGATTTTATCTTTTAAATTTTAGGTTCTATCTTGTGATGTGCATGGTAGCTCAAGCGGCCTTCTTCCTTATCAACTTGAGTCTTTTCCTCAGAATATTGTACTCGGACGGATTCATGGGGTATGTTCTTTTTCAGAATTGTAACTATTAGAAATACATTGTTGAGGTAAATTTTAATCTTTGAAATTTTAGCTCAACCAAGGTCAGCAGAAGACAACTTGATGCTCTTTTGGAAGACAACGAGTACACGGCTTTGGATCAAAATGGTGACCGAGAAGACGATGATATCGTCGAGGAACTCAAAAAGGAACCCGAGATTGCCTAGACACCTCCGCCCAAGGTTACTTTGTGGGCTACACCATTTTTGTCTCTCCGTGATTCTCGTGCCATATTATGATACGTTACGACTACAACAATAGTTCATAATCCTCATTTTAACTAAAAATATTGGCTGTTAGGAAAACGTTTGTCACCCATTAAGAATTTGATTCTGAAATTCGAAGCGCTTTACATATCGTTGTTTCTTTTTTATTGTCTTTATTCAAACTTCTAGATAACGGGTTGTACTATTTATGGCAATTCTATTTAATAGAAGGAATATTTTTTAAAGAAAATGATCCGTTATCTAGAAATTTGATTATCATTTTAAATTGGGACTCCCGATCCACTGTGATCTCAAATTTCCGTCGATCGCTTCCCCTACACAAAATTATCTTGCCCACGTCGAAAACTTTTGTATTTTTTTTTGTGTTGACTACGATTCTCATTGTGATTGATCGTACTAAAACGACTAACCGTTTTATTTTCTCTATGAACATTAGATTTGTCTATGCATTTCATCTTTGATATAGTTTCTCTTTTTGAAACTAACCGTTAACTCGTCATACGGGCAACTCCCCACCATTTCGTGCAAGTTGTTTCTTTTTTTTCTGAAATGGTTTGGATGTTTATTATTTGGAAACTTTTTGGAAACTATGAATAAATTTTCGAGATTGTATGGAATGTTTTGCAAAAAAGAAATCCAGAATAGTGGAGATTGTAGAGTAGTTTATGATATATGAAATTTTTAGAGAATTCAGACAGCATTTAAGATTTTAGATAGAGATATAACTATGTGGTCTTATCTTACCAAAATTTGGTGGCTATTGGGTTTTCTTGAGTTCTAGGGATGTTAAGATCAAAAGTAACACAAAGTCGAATGAATTTATCAAAAAGTCTCAAGAATCGGCAATGGAAAAAGAAAAAGCATTACAAAATACGTTCGTCTGAAGATTTTCCACGAGTTTGAGAGTTTTCAAGCTTTACTTTATCAACACATCAAATGTTGTTTTCAATTACCCTAAAGTCTCGAGTATAAGTTCTGCCTTAATTTACATTCGCTTTAATTGCTTTGAATTTCTTTTTGTTGGGTTTTTATACATTTTTATTGTTATATAAACTTTTATATTATTGTTCTTGGAGCGCGGGATACTACAGGGTGACAGCCTATCACCATTGCTATTTATTATGTGCATGGATACATCCAGACGATAGTGTTGAAGAAGATGCTGGAAAGCATCTCTTTCGACTGTCGACGTGGACTTTGGCCGGGTGAAGAGGCCAGGGAGGGATCCATAAGACTGAGCACCGGAGAGGAGCAGGGCGGACGCGCTGAGCCACGCCCGGAGCAACAAATAACAACATAAAATTGCTATAACCCTCAATAAATTTACTTCTATTATTGTTCTTAAAAAGCAAAAAAGTTATGCTGCAGCGGGGTTCGAACCCTCGACACACCGCACCGGAGACAGCCGTCAATTTGCATGCGAAAACCAAACAGAACTTATACTCGCGACTTTAGGGTACAACTTCTCGAAAACTCTCTAAACTCCAATCGATTCCCATTCAAAAACCCCTCAAAATCCCCATGATCTACCCACAAATGGAATTCTTATTGTGAAGATCTTTTCCCATTCCTTCCTTTTTGATGAAAACTCTTTGTTTTTCACATTTTCTTTTTCAAACTTGGCGTGTCGACTCGACGATTTTCGATTCGTTTTCCTCTTTTCCATCCCTTTTTTCAACCTTTGCCTGTGTGACAGCGACAAAAAGGGACGCGAAGGCAGAGCCGAGTTTTGCCAACGAAGTGGGGATGAGAGGAAGGCATTCCTTGGCTTTTTTTTCTGCTCTTCTTTGATCATCCATCTACAACTTTCCCCCAATCCATCCATCTAAATCCCTCATTCCTCTCAAATGTGTTTTTTGTCGGCTCACTCATCCTCTTCCCCTTCCCCTTCCCCTTCCCCTTCTCCTTCTCCTTCCCCTTCCCCTCCACCTTCCCCCTCCCCTTCTCCTTCACCGTGCACTCTTCACTTTTCACTTCTCTTCATCTAATTCCTTTCCTTCTGCAAGGTGTGACTGTCACGGATTTCATTTTCAGAGACACCAGTCGAAGATTTGAATCAACGAAAACATTTGCCTTCCTCCCTTTCTGCCTGACTCTCTTTCATTTCAAGATTTATGATCAATTCACGGTTTTTAGCAAGTGCTTTTATGGGTTTAAGATTCTAGAACATTAGAGCAAAAGAAAGTTAAGAATGGGATTAAATGGAATTAAAAAAAAAGAAATTAAATGGGATTAAAAAAAGAATTTGAATTCAAACAGTTTGGCTTGTTTGAAAACACTGCAAATATTCCAATATTCGGCTGAAATGATCATTCTTGACTACTTCTTGAGTTATCATACTTTAGCTGAATAGGTATTAGAACTTTACAGCTTTTTTTCAGTTATTGAATTTGTGTGCAGTCATCAGCACTGAATCAAACTTAAGTCAAGAATGAATTAAAAGCTCAAAAATTGAGTGAAGATCTCAAAATCGTTGACTTTAAGTAAAAGAAAAACTCATTTAAACGATGAAAAATCAAATAAACATTATTTATTATCACTCATTCCATATAAACCTTCAAAATCTGCCTTCAAAACTGCTCAATTCAGCTTGCTTGTAAAGCTTTACATGTAAAAGAGAGGAAAAATGAAGAGATTCTTAAATGTGGTCATCAAGAAAGGCAAAAAAAATGCTCCCATTCAACAAAAGTAATCACGAGAATGAGAATTTGATGACATTCGCATTCGAGTACGTGACAAATTTCGGTCCAAAAAGAAAAAACGAGCAACGAGTGAGCAACGAGTTATGATTTGTCTCTAATTCTTCTGTCTTCTTATTATCCATTTCTATCCAAAAATTCCCTTTTTGTGGCACTTTCACGCGTTGTTAGTAAAACGAACTTTCACGTTCGACCCCTTTTCTTTCCACTTTTCCTTTTCCGATTTCTTTTCCTCTTCCCTCTTCTCTTCGATTTTTGGGGGCGTTTTCGATTTTTTGATTTTCTTTAAATGGCTGAAGTGGAAATGGTGACTTCATTCAGAAGAATTCTTTCAATTTTCCGATTCTTTTAATAGGGTTACAGGCTAATTAAATAAAGGAAAAGGTCTTTCTTTCTGTGCTTTTCTTTGTCTTCATTCATTTGAGTGTGAAATGAATGGATGTAGTTGGGGAAAAGGGTAGTGGAATCGGGTTTTTGTGCTATTTTAGGACTACTGTACTACCGGACTACTGTACTACTGTACTACCGTACTACTGTACTACCGTACTACCGTATTATTGTAGAACTAATGTATTCCTAGATTACTGTAGCTATTTCCTATTACTATAGCTATTTCCTATTACTGTAGCTTATTACTATAGCTTATTGCTAGGTTCCTAATCCTTAAGCCATGTCATAGCTTTAGCAATAGCTCAGACGCAAGTAAAAGCAAGATTAAGTCATAGACCAAAAGCTTAATGACTCTAAAGCAAGAATATCCAATCAAGCTACAAGCAAGGATATCCAATCAAATTTTGTATCTAGAAATACTATAGCTGGTTAGGATTACTGTAGCTTATCTATCTTATCTTTAAACCCGTTAACTTTTGCAGTGTTGAGAATCTTGGGTTTCATCAGTGTTCATCATCTGATGTCTGCTCAGAAGTCACATCCTCTTCCACCCATATCCTCAACTTGTTTTTTGCTCTCTTCAAATGATTTACGAGCCTCATCGAATTCGATTTGGATAGATAAGCAGTTCTTGCCACTCTTTGCGGCAAAGGATTCTTCAATGCCATCTTTTGGATCGAACTCTCTAACATTGCCCATCCCATCTCATCCATTTTATCTCATTCAATCTCATTTCATTTCTCATTGAAATTTCATACGTGAAGTGTTCAATGGCATTAGTTATTGTTCAATTGTTCAGTGTTCAATGGCATTAGTTATTCAATGGCATTAGTCCATTAGTTATTTGATTTCATAGAATTTACAGTTTCCTTTGTCCTTTATCTTTTGTATCAACAAAATTCACCGAATTCTAGGGATGGAACGGCCAGTGTTAGTGTTGGCGACAGTGCTAAGCGGAGCTGCTGTACTTTTCTCGTTGGGAGTCTGCGCTTTCATTTACAGGTATAATAAATCGAAATAAATTATCTATTAAAATTCTAGTGATCTTCATGATTTCCACACTGAGGCCTTGATGGAATTAGACGAGTTCAAGGTTTGTTGAAGATCTAAAAATCATCTCAGAAATTGTAGAACATTGCTAACTATGCTTGGAGAGAAATGGAACCCTCATCGCATCCTTTCGAGTTCGCCAGAGCCAAGAGAGCTGCTGGTATCATAAAGGTTTAGAATCAAAGTTCAAGATCATTTAGCTCAATGCAACTGCAAAGCTGGAGGCAATGGATGCCCAGCTGGCCCACCTGGGCCAAAGGGACAACCTGGAGCACCTGGAGAAAACGGAGATGCTGGAGACGCCGGACAAGATGGAGGACGAGCTCTGCCATTCACTTTCTCTGTAAGAAAACAAAAAGAGAACTTCTAAAACTGTTTCAGGATGGATCTGTTGGCTGCATTAAGTGCCCAGCTGGCCCACCCGGACCACAAGGACCCCCTGGACCCCCCGGAGGACCCGGAGAGGACGGATTTTCTGGTGGAAACGGAAACGAAGGACGAGATGGAGCCGATGGACCAGGTAGATTGTAAAACTTGACTTATCTATTTCGATTAGATGGTTGCATGGGAGACAATGGACCTGAGGGACCACCCGGACCTCCTGGACCACCTGGACCAGCTGGAAAGCCTGGACACAGCTATCGCGCCGCTCCAGGACCTAAGGGAACTCCTGGAAACCCTGGAAACCCTGGAAACAAGGGACCAAAGGTGAGATTAGCAGGGGAACCTTTAAGGAAAACTTTACAACTTTTAGGGACCTCCTGGAGCTCCTGGAAACCCTGGACCCCAAGGACCAAATGGAAATCCTGGACGACGGGGACCTGCTGGAAACCCTGGAAAGAATGGAGATCACGGAAGCCGTGGAGAGCCTGGTGAGTCAGATTTGTAAAGTTTTAATCTGAATTCTAAATTTGTTTTAGGTGGCGATGCCGCATATTGCCCATGCCCACCCAGAAGTGCCAATATGGCCGCCGACAATGGCCAACAATCCTCTGGATATTAAATCAAAAAATTCTCAATTTTTTGTTGATTTTCTTTTATTTCCCATCTTTGAAGAGGTGTCATTATTATCAAGCAAATGAAATGAACAATCGCTTGCTCATTTCATCGCATTTTCGTTGTTGTGCCAATGAGGAAAAGAGAGCAATAAATATTTATTTTTTCTTCGTGGATCAACTACCGTAGTCTTGGTTTTCTTGGCGAGAAAAAGACGAGCCAAAGCACAGACGCGCACAATGAGGCGAAAAGATACAGAAAACTTGCCTAAGCTCGCCTTAATAAATTTCAATCGAAAATTTTAGCTTGGGCTTTTCAATTTTCGAATAAAAACTTTTATTTTAAAGTTTCTAATGTGCATTTTTGTTAAAATAATAAAAAAGCTTCTTTGAAAAGATATTCAGTTTAGAAAGTTGTGTATCCTATTGGGATTTCGGTAAATGATTAACTTGCAAAAATCCTTCAAAATAATTTCTCATTTCCATTTTCTTCATGTAAAAAGCATGTAATTGATTTGATTTTGTGTAATTTTGTGTAATTTTGGGGAGTGGGACAAATGCGACCTTTTTTTTGCGCACCCGGACATTTGCGCACCTTTTTTTTTTGCTGGAAAAGGCCTTAGGAAATCTACGCATACGATTCCCTTATATGAAAACATTTTTGAAGCTCTACGGCCTTTCCTAAGACCTTTTCCAGCGAAAAAAAGGTGCCTTGCGCAAAAAAAGGTAGCATTTGTCCCATCGTCCAAAAAATTGGCCCGGAAAAATCACGAGCACCAAGTTATATACTCTCTTTTAAAGATATTCAGTCGTTTAACTGATTTGGTGGGAGTGGGACAAATGCGACCTTTTTTTTGCGCACCCGGACATTTGCGCACCTTTTTTTCCGCACCTTGCCCATTAGCGCACCTTTTTTCGCGTTTTAAAGCTAATATTAAGCTCTAACAGCTCAAAAAGCTAATATTAACCAATTTCTATTCCAAAAGTTGTTTTTCTAGGTAATTTTAGGGCGTAGAATCGAAATTTTGACATATCAGAGCTTGTGGAAACAATCGGACGGAGTTATACAAAGAGAAACATCGACAATCGACGACTGTAATTTGATCTAGCCGTTTTGTCTTTCAAATTGGTTCCACACGCTCTGTTATGTCAAAATTTCGATTCTACGCCCTAAAATTACCTAGAAAAACAACTTTTGGAATAGAAATTGGTTAATATTAGCTTTTTAGAGCTTTTAGAGCTTAATATTAGCTTTAAAACGCGAAAAAAGGTGCGCTAATGGGCAAGGTGCGGAAAAAAAAGGTGCGCAAATGTCCGGGTGCGCAAAAAAAGGTCGCATTTGTCCCACTCCCGTAATTTTGTGTAAATTTGTGTAAATTTTCCCTTGTGATGACAATTATTTCACAGAAAAACTCTCCAATTATCAACTCTATCACTTTTCCATCCAATCGTCCAGATGTTTTCTTTAAAAAGCTTTCCTTAATTTTATCAATGTTTAAAAATTCAATTTCAACTTTTTTATAAGCTTTGTTTTATATTTATCTAAATCTTCTATTTATCAAAATCTTCTTTCAGATTGCAGTAAAATGGATTCAAGAGAAGTGAAAATAGAGGTGAGTTGAAAGTTTGGAAAGCTTGGAAAGCTTTTTAAAGAAAATTTTGAAGGATAAATGTTGTAAGTTTGTAATTTTGTAGTTTGAATGTTGTAAGTTTGTAAATTTAAAAACGAAAAACCGAATATTAAACAGAAATCGAAGTTATAATAGGTAAAATGTCGAGAATTTCTTGAATTATTAAATTCCGGAACATTTTACCTATTATAACTTAGATTTCTTAGAGTTTAAAGGCTAGATTTAAAGCACACCTTGGCTAGATTTAAAGCCGCAATTTCGGCAATTGATTTGACTGCTCTGTGACTCTTTCTTGAGGTATCGATTTACCTTTTTTTGGGTGTGTTTTGAGTGGTGTCCCGGGTAATTATTATAATTTTGTTTTGTCGCTATTCAACTGAATAAAGTATACCGTAAATACTGTAATAGTACCCCACCCCCATAATGACGGTGCGGAGTGTTGCGTAGTCTAGCTTTGAACGCGTTTTTCTCGACACTGGCTTATGCTACAATGCTCGCGTAAGTATCAAAAAATAGCCCTGAATTTCAGCTATTTTTGATACCAAAGACGCATTTTTTGAAAGTACGGGCGCTTTGAAAAAAATGAAATACTAAAAACTAAAAAACTTTTGCGACTACGCGACTGTACGAGAGGGGTGAGGTACTGCTACAGTATTTACGGGATATATATATATATATAAATAAATCAAATCACTTTTCAGCAAATGGACACTGGAAACGAGCCGACGTCACCACTCGGTCCGTTGGATCCGTCGAGATTGAGGGATATGGTGAGCTGATTCGAAAAGCGAATTGAATTCGATTATTCTATAGATATCTAGCTATTTATTTATATTTATAGCAATTGTTGTATCATTTCAATTCAATTTATTTCAATTTCAGGTGGTCGATCAACAGCATTTCCCTAGTCAACACCATCCGCCCAATGTGATGCCGGCTGGGCAAATGGTTTGTAGACAAATTATAGTCAAGTTATTAGATATATAAATTCTAGATAAGTTCTAGATATCAAATAAAATCTTTTCTAATAGATAAGCTATCAATTTGAATCTTATTTTGTTTCTAGAGCTGGCAATCGGAGCAAACAATGCGACCAACACATATGCAGGGTTTGTTCGAAAGCTTGGATTGTTAACAAATAGAAATTAGGATTTAAATTGATCCATTGGTCCAAATTGGTCCAAATGAACATTCAAATAAATTCATTCTTAGTAAATCTAAAAATTTAAATAAAATCAAATTATTAGGTTGGAAAGAAAGTTCGAGAAAGAAAGAAAGAAAGAATCACTGTAGCCAGGTGTTCTTTGTGCGCTCGGGTAATCGCTTGCCGTCTGGCACACGTTCCTGATACATAGCTGTTCTCTTTTGGCATTGGTAAAATGGTCAGCCGTCCTCCATCCCTTGTTGGCACTATGTCGAAAGTTTTTGGAACAATTTTTTACCTTAAATTTGTTTATATTAGGTTGGAAAGGAAGTTCTCGGAAAAAGTTTGCACGGCGATTTCTCAAAAACCAAGCCATCAATTCTTCCCACATTTTTTAATAAACTTGACTATATTTCAAAAAGTTTTTGATAAAAAAATAAGAGATTTCTTCAGCTGAATTGATCAGCCTTTAGACAAGTTTTTAATGGGTTAGTGGGTAGGCAATGTGTTCCATTCAAAACCTAAAATCAAGTACTTAAAATAGGGAACATTTGTGATGAAGGCAAATTTTTATTTAATGCTTTAACTTTTCAGAATGAACAGTATTTTAGCAAACACTCAGTGCCAAGAAGATGATACGAAAAAATTGTTTTCTTGAAATACAGCTTCTCTGTACAAAAATGTTTGGTCAAAAATAGAGATTATAGAGTGTATTGCTCATTTATGCTAACTTTATCTCAGCTTTATCTCAGCCTTATCTCAGCTTTATCTCAGCCTCAGCCTTATCTCAGCCTTATCTCAGCCTCAGCCTTATCTCAGCTTTATCTCAGCCTCAGCCTTATCTCAGCTTTATCTCAACTTTATCTCTATCTTATCTAAGGAATTGTTTTTCTGGTGCCAAAAATTGATCTGAACTTAAGCTGAATAACTTTCCCGGGATCAATTTTGCCTTAAATTTGAATTTACCTCCAAATCCTCGATTCCATTCTTTCAAAAATCTCTAAAATTTTATGGGAAAGCTGCACTCATTTTTTTATGAGTAATTTCTTGGAGTTCAATTGTAAATAATAGAACAAAATGTTCTTGAATTGGTGGATTCGTTTTTAAGAAACTCCAGTCAAACTTTTTTTGGAGAACTTTCTTTCCAATCTAATATTATGAAAGGGCAAGTTTTAGTGTGCCAGAAAGCATATGTTTATCAAAGAAAGAACAAAGCCTTTTAGAGCAAAGAGGCCAGAAGACAGAAGACAGAAAGACAACGCCTAATAGATTAACGACTAACTTTCCCGGGATCAATTTTGCCTTAAATTTGAATTTACTTCCAAATCCTCGATTCCATTCATTTACTTAAACAATAGCTAAAGTGATAACAGAGAATAGTGAAATCAAATTAAGCCATTGATCAGCATTCAGTGCATTCACAAGTGAATTTTTATATTCAGGCATTCCGATGGATGTCCAGCAAACATCACAAGGCCCACCACAATCAACTCCACAAGGACCGATTCCCCGTCAGTTTTTAAATGCTAATGCATTTTCTTATTAACAATTTCTTAGCAACAATTTCCCTAGCGTACAGTAAGCCTAATCAATTTCAAATTTCAGCGCAATCGCCAATGGGTAGCCCGGCACAAATGTCGATGAACCCTAGTCACAACCCTCAATCACAGCAACCGCAAGGATACGATGCTTTACCTGGCTATCCCCCACATCAACAACATCAACCACCATATCAAATGCCACCGCAAAGTCCAAGTGAGTGAGAGTTGTAGAATGTTGAGGAAAAAAAAACCAATTATTTTCTCTAATAGTAGTGCACCCCGGTGAGCCGAGTTGATGACTATTTTACGGTTCCAAAGTTTTCACAGAAGCTCAACACTCAAATCCCCCACTAGATCTCATCGTCAGCTACATTTTCCGACCCCACATCAATGGGTTCTGATAAGCGGTTCTCGAGATTTCAAGGAATTTAGACGAAGCTTAGGGTGCACTACTATTAGAGAAAATACGGTGTCTGTCAATTATAAAGTAGAAACCGAATGTCACACATATTCTACTCTAAAAAGGTCAACTGGTTGAATAAAGAAATGCCTTCAAAGTCCAAGATATCTCGCTATTTAGCCAAAAGCTATTTACTTAGTTTCACTATTTAGCCAAAAACAAAGTAAACATTCGAAATCAGCGTCAAATTCTGCATCGAATGGATCAATTTTGATCAGTCTAAGCCAATTGTCGAAGCTAATTGACCCTTTCCTTGTCAGCTTATCAGTTAGTTTTAAGAAATGCCTTCAAAGTCCAAGATATCTCGCTATTTAGCTATTTAGCCAGGTGCATTACTATTAGAGAAAATACGATACTTATTGCTAATAAGTCTTAGCTGATAATTTGTGAAAAAAAATCTTATAAATTGATTGACTGACGCTTTACTACATACTCTATCCTGTAAGATTAACACTATTGCTATCAAAAGAACATTTGAAAGCTGTTCAACTTAGTCGAAAAAAACGTTATCCATAATCTGTTGGAAAGGAAATCTGTTTTGAAAGAAAAAAAATCCCCACTTTGTCCTAGGTGGCGCTCAAATGCCGCCCACTGCTGGCCCAATGCCTTCACCTGGAAACCCAATGTATCAACAACGAATGATGCAAATGCAAGGCCAATCAATCCATCCACAACAGTATCCACTTTATCCACAAAATGGTCAATGGCCACAACCGGTTTTTCATTACCCTTTTGTGTTTTATTAGTAAACTTTAGGGCACAGCGTATCCCCAGGGTGGCCCTAGGGTGGCGGCTCAGCCACAAGGAATGCCACAACAACGACCGATGCCCATTCACAGAGTACCATTTCCAGGTGGTCCAGGTGAGAAAAGTTTAATGAAGTAGAAGAAGAAGAAGTAGAAGAAGAAGTAGAAGAAGAAGAAGTAGAAGAAGAATGAGAAGAAGAAGGAGAAGAAGGAGAAGAAGAATAATATCAATATCTAGATTGATCATCTAATTCAAATTCTCAATAGGTTATCCGGCTGGTGTACCACAAGGAGCCGCTTTCCGGGGAGCACCGACCCGACCTGGACAATATCCACCGGTTTGAATCTAAAGCTTGAGCTAAAAAAGATCAATTTGTTGTTTACAAAAGATTTCAGGGTGCTGCCCCGCCAGGTTATGGATATCCCGGTCAACCATCACAGGGTTATCCACCACAGGGAATCCCAGCTGCATATCAAAGACCGCCACAGGTTTATATACAAAAATTTATATAAAGATTACTGTAACTTAGATAGATTATTTGACTTTGTTCTAAACTTAGATAAACAAGAGTTTTAGAAAAGAGAGACTCAAAGTTTTCTTCAAAAAAAGCGAATAACTTATTCAAACTATTGGGTTGGTTGAATTGAAAACTGCGGGACTTTGAACTAAAATTTATTCAACATAAAACCATGAATTCATTCCAAATAATTTCCATTATTATTGACGACTTCTGCCCAATTTACAGGCAATTTGTGGATTCCTCTTTCGTAGTAGGATTTTGGTTTTGAATCGAAAAACTTTTGGAGCCAATTTTTGGCTGCCTCTTCCGAATCGAAGTGTTCTCCCGCAAGCTCATTACTCATGCTCCGAAATAAATAGTAATTAGAAGGGGCGAGGTCCGGACTGTATGCGGGATGCGCCAAAAGTTCCCAAACAAGGCTATTTATTTTAGAGCAAGTCAGTTTTGCAACATGAGGGCGCGCGTTGTCGTGGAGGAGAACGATCTTTGACTTGGAGGGCCTATTCTTCTTTAGAGATTCATTCACCTTTTCCAACTGTTCATTGCATTAATGATTTGACGAATCGGGGGCGAATTTTGAGGAACTTTTGGTCAAACAAACGAATTTTTACCCATATTTTAAAAAGCCACATGTTTATTTTGCAGCTCGTATCGCTTTCTAAATATTGGGTTGGTGAATTGAAAACTGCGGGACTTTGAACTAAAATTTATTCAGCATAAAAACATAAATTCATTCCAAATAATTACCATTATTATTGACGACTTCTGCCCATTTTACAAGCAATTTACAAATTCCTCTTTCGTAGTAGGATTTTGCTTTTGAATCGAAAAACTTTCAAAGAGCATAAACGCATAGCATAAACTTCTTCTGGTGCAAATCGGGCTTAGGGTGACTCTCGGGTTTCTCGCCTGGCCAGGAAGTGGTAATGGGGCCAGGAAGTGGTAATGGGTGCAATGGGTGCATTACCATTTCCTCTGAAAGCTCACAGATAAAACCCATTTCTCATCTCCTATCCCAATTCGAGAAAGAAATTTTCTAAGGTAAAAACGCTAGAAAATGTTATAAATGGCCTTATCAGCTTAAATCTATTCTAAACATGATAAAATTCAATGATTAAGTAAGGGTCAAAGATCAATTTGCTTTTCAAAAGTTTTCAAAAGTTCGATCCAGTATCCAGTTCGCAGCTATTGGGTTGGTGAATTGAAAACTGCGGGACTTTGAACTAAAATTGATTCAGCATAAAACCATAAATTCATTCCAAATAATTACCATTATTATTGACGACTTCTGCCCAATTTACAGGCAATTTGTGGATTCCTCTTTCGTAGTAGGATTTTGGTTTGTGTGTGAGACAAGTGTGAGACTCAAAAATCGAGGACTGGAGATCTCCAATGTTTAGTTTGAGCACTTTCTTCAAAAGAAACCCATTTTGGTGTCAATAGAAAAATTTTAGAGAATCAAAAATTAGGCTTATAGCCAAATTTCCAAAACGATACAATTAGTAGTTTCGCTTAAAATGCAAGTTTTGCAAAAATTCGTAAATTTGGCATTTCTTGAAAACCAGCTTTTGAATCGTTCTGACAATTTGGATATAAGTTTCATTTTTGATTCTCTACAACTTTTCCATTGACACCAAAATGGGTTTCTTTTGAAGAAAGTGCTCAAACTGTCACATATGACAATGGCCGGCACTTTTCAATTTACCAATCCAATAGTTTCAGATTTGAGCCTTTCATTGACAGAGTTTCATTGAGTTTACTGCTTCTTCACCTTTTAGAAAAACAATTTAGAAGCTAATGGCTAAGCTAAAGGTTTACCTAAATGCCTTAAACCCTCGTCAAAATTTGAATCTAAATGAATAAACGACTTTTCAGTCTCAACCAATGCGTCCTTACATCAATTCACCCCAGACAGCAATGATGGGAGCGAACGGTTTGTTCTTTTCTTTTATTTAGTTTTTTTGGATTTTAGTCACACCCAAAATGCCATACTCAAAGAAATTTACCGTTTCTCTTTGAACTCTTTGACTTGCCTCTCTTTTTTTTCTTTTTTTTTCTTTTTATTCTCTTGAGAATTTCCCCACAAAATCATGAGATTTTCAATATTTTTTTTTCCGAAATTTCCGAGAAAACCTTACAAGTACAGTTTTGAATGGAGAAAGTTAGAAGTAGTAATTGGAAAGAATTCGAATTTCTTTCCATTAGGCTAAAGGCTAGGCTAAAGGCTAGGCTAAAGGCGGGCAAAGGCGGGTAAAGGCTGGGCTAAAGGCTGGGCTAAAGGCTAGGCTAAAGGCTAGGCTAAAGGCTAGGCTAAAGGCTAGGCTAAAGGCTAGGCTAAAGGCTAGGCTAAAGGCTAGGCTAAAGGCTAGGCTAAAGGCTAGGCTAAAGGCTAGGCTAAAGGCTAGGCTAAAGCAAAGAAAGAAAAGTTCTGTAAAGAAAGTTAAATCAAGATCTTGTATACTAATAGTAAAGCATTTTACTAAAGTACAAGACTAAAAAAGTACTTTGAGACTTAATCTATTGAGTAATTGCTATTTCTTGTGACAAGATCTACAAAATCACAGGCTTATCAAGCTCTAGAAGCAGTTAGTTTAGACTGACAGAACCTAAGTCTGTCAATCATGAACGATAGCTTAACGTTATCGTCTTGGTTGATATAAAGCGTTTGGTTTGTTTTGGTTGATATTGAGAATTGAAGCAGATATCTTGTATTAATCATAGTTGACAAAAAGTCTGACAAAATTCATCTATAAAAAAATCATTCTAGTACATTTGAACAGTAAAAGAGTCATTTTTGGTTTTAAAACTTTCCACGTTAGAGAATGTGTCAAAAGAAAGGCAAAGTTAATCTTAGAGTTGTTATTTTTCCAGTTATTCCATTGACAATCAACTGAAGTTCACAAATAAATTCTTTTTGATCACAGTAGAATGGAGTTAATTTGAATTGAATGAGAAGAGAGAGAGTCTGGAAATGGAAGAGGATTTGACGTAATCTCTTACAAGTAACACTCACCCCTTTTCCCTTTATTTTTTTTCTTTCTTTTCACGCGTGTTCCCATCTTTAATATTGAGAGGAAGTTGAGACGACAAGAAAAGAGAAAAATTCTCAAAGAAATCCTCAAAGAAAAAGAAAAAAAGCAGCAAAGGATTTTGTAGGCAAAGGGGAAATCTCATCGCTTTCCTTCTTCAAGCCATCTACAGCTAAATATCTAAAGATTCTAATTCAACTTTATAGGTTTAAGCATGCTTACATGCATTCTATTCTATTGCTCCATTCTATTGCTCCATTCTATTGCTTACATCCTTGTTTACATCCTTGCTCACATCCTTGCTTACATCCTTGTTTACATCCATTCTACAGCCACCGATTTCCATTTAGCAATCAAGTCCAATCACTACTCAATCTTTGACTTAATTTTACTTACTTTTACTGACTGCTTTTAAGAACGTTTATCCAATCCACCAATTCCAAAACATCTATCCAATCCACCAATTCCAAAACGTCTATCCAATCCACCAATTCCAAAACTTCTATCCAATCCATCAATTCCAAAACATCTATCCAATCCACCAGTTCCAAAACGTCTATCCAATCCATCAATTCCAAAACTTCTATCCAATCCACCAATTCCAAAACGTTTATCCAATCCACCAATCATTCGTTTTCACCAATTCGTTTATCATTTTGGATAAGAGAGAAATCGAGCTTAAAGAAAATGCAAATGGAGCTTATCCCATTGCTCTTTTACAGGTTCAACCCTCATTTGCTCATTTCCGTCTTTCTTCTATCCCATTTCCCGGGGCAAGAGTTGATTATTGCCTTTCTCAATTTTCCCAGTCACATACCGAAAGCCTTTCCCGCCTCTCATATCGTAATTATCGCTTTGCACTGCTTTCCCCCGAGCGACACACACACACACAAAAGTTAACCTTTTCCCTCGAGAATCGGCTTCTTTTTGCTTTTTTTTTGGATCTACCTATTAGACTCGAATTCTCACCAATTATCATCTCCAACACCTCCCCATCAACACTTCAACGCTTTCTGTTTGAAATTTTCAAATTCTCTTATCGATCTCCCTTCCAATTATAGTCTAGATTTTGAAAAAAAAATTTTTTACTTATTTCTCCTTTCTCGTCAATCCATTACCTCGCGAGATCTAATTTTCACCTGCGATTTACAGCTTTCCCCTTTCTCTCACCATTTCACAAAGTTCAACATTGAATTGTTGATGAGAGACTTGATAAAGTTATTCAAAAAAAAAACACCTGTTCACGGTTTTTAAACCCTACCTTTCTCATTATTTTAACGTTAGAAAAGTTCTTGGGTTTTGTAGTGAAAGTTTTTAGTTCAAGATATAACTCTGAACTTTTTCCAAAAGCTCTCTTTTATTAGTTTATAATTGTCCTCATTTCATAGTAAAGGAATCTAATTTACAGTAATATTGGTTCACAACAATCACAATCACAATCGCTTCTTTACCCATTTCTAGTTAGATTTAAAAATTAGAAATAGCTTTATTCAATCGCTTTATTAGATAGCTTTAGATTAGATCGCTTTATTAGATATATGATTCTGACTTTGCTATTGATCGAGCTTTGCTCTAGAGTGGATCAAAGTGTCACAAGGAAAGTTTCCCATTTCTAGTTAGATTTAAAAATTAGAAATAACTTTATTCAATCGCTTTATTAGATCGCTTTATTAGATCGCTTTATTCAATCGCTTTATATCTAATAAAGCGATCTAATAAAGCGATTGAATAAAGCTATTTCTAATTTCTAAATCTAACTAGAAATGGGTAAAGAGCTACTCCTCCCCACAGAGTTAAAGTTATACAAGAGCTACTCCTCCCCACAGAGTTAAAGTTATACAAGAGCTACTCCTCCCCACAGAGTTAAAGTTATACAAGAGCTACTCCTCTCCACAAAAGACTCATCTCCATTCAACCATTCGGTGTTTATGGATCGCTTTATTAGATCGATGAATTCTAGCTTGAATCTGGATTTAAACTTTAAAAAAAAACAAGGCATGTAGCCCTATAGAGAAGAAAAAACACCAATGGGTCAGCAGTCTAGCTAGGATTGAACCCTTGACCTCTTGACCATGATACAGAGCTCTTAATCATGATACATAGCTCTTAACCATGATACCGGGCTCTTAACCAGTCGGCTAAGTGAGACCCGTCACTACCCTTGATCCAATCCAATATGATACCTCCTAGACAAAGATCTTAGCTCACGGTTGGTTAACCTTTCCTGAAAGATTTATTCAGTTATACAAGAGCTACTCCTCCCCACAAAAGACTCATCTCCATTCATCCATTCGGTGTTTATGGATGAAGAAACCCCGTGTCCCCTCCAGATCTCCTGATTCCCTTCTCCTTTTCCCTTCTTCTTCATTCTCTCTCAAAAATCACCCTATTCTTCGATTTCTCATGCCATCTCTTTTCACAATTCTCAATTCTCAATCCCTTTTGCCTTCTTTCATCTCTGTAATCCTCATCTCGACACCCCCTTTTCCCCTTTCATTCTCAATCAACAAATGACTCGTTTCTCCAAAAAATTTCTTCAATTCTTGAATTCAATTCTTCATTTCTTCAATTCATTTCTTGTCCTTGATTACCCTCAATTTCTTTTATTCAATGCTTTCTAGAATGTCATGGTTTCATGAAGATGCTTTCGATGCTTCTTCAATTAGCTATGAAGTCGAATTACCAGAACAGGGTCTACTAGAAACGATTATTTATCGAAATTATCCCCCTTGGCATCTAGAGATTGATTTATTGCCAACGCGAACGTCAATCATTCGAAGTATTCGACCGATCGAGAAATCGACGTCAAATCTGTATCAAGGGATGAAAGAGAGTGAAGAAAGCGAGAAAAAGACGAATCAACCGGTTGAGATTATCAGTTATCGGCGAGTGGATGGAGAGGAGGGGAAAGTCAGGGAGAATGGAGGGAAAGCGCCGCGCAGACACCGAATCGCTACACACCAGCTGCCGATTGTGATCCCGCCAAAGATACGCGTCGCACGGGACATTCGCGAGATTCGCGTACAGAATTGTAAATTGTCGCGCGACTCGCCGACCTCACTCTTGTCATCAATCTCATCGACGCCTAGTCCACAAATGATTGACACAGATTTGTTGATCCCTTCACCCGATCGACTCACCAGTATGATACAAGATGTCGCGGTGAAGAGATTCTGATTCTTTCTGATTCTTTCTGAATTCCCAGCTTCTTTCTCATCTATTCAATCTTTTATCTCATTTGGAAAAACAAAAAATATTCTTGACAAGCTAAATTATTTCTTTATTTTTTATCAAAAGCATTTTATCGATTCGACTAATTATTTTAATGACTGCTGGTGGGTTTAAATGACTGCTGGTGGGTTTTAATGACTGCTGGTGGGTTTAAATGGTTTAGATTTTGAGTATGGCTCAGTGTGACTAAAGTTAATAGCTTAATAATCAAAATATTTGTTCTTTTATGTGAAATATTTCTCTTTTCAGTCTTCCCAAATGTGCCTCAAACACCGCAAACTCCGAACGCACATCCATACACGCCAAATGGTAAGTGTTTATGCAATCAATCGATTTTAAAAGTCCAATCATCAAGAGCAAGTGCACTGTGTAGTCCAAGTCCTGGATATAGTAGATTGCTTGTTTGTAGATTCTTTGTTTGTAGATTGTTTAATACAGCATACAATAAACTTTGAATACAGTGACCAATCTCTACAATAAACCACTGGATTTAAGACAGAAAAGCGAATTACTCTAGAAAAATCTAGTCAAATTGTTGGTTCATATTCGATTAGTAATAAAGAAGTGAAGGAATTGACAAGAAAAAAAAGAGATTTCCGGCGAGGGGATTAAACCTTCGACCAACTGCTCTAACCACTGAGCTATCCAGTACCTTGACTTGCCAAGAGAAAGAAGAACTTCATTAGCAAGCCAATCTCTACAGTAGCCAATCTCTACAGTAGCCAAGCTATAGTAACCTCTAAATCAGTCTCTACAATAAATCGCTTTTACCTTACTATTAGGCTGGCAAAACTAGCATTCAATCTAACAAACCAATCTTGGTGTAAAACATAATAACCTTTTCAAGGGATTAATATCAAAAAAAAGGTTTATTTTAGGTCGTGGTTTCGTGGGTACAACCCCATCGCCTCATCATTTCCCAACGGGTGATATGCGCTCTCCATTAATGTCTCCACCGCAAGCAACTATCAGCAGACCGCTTAGCTCTGGTAAATCAACAATTTCTCTGAAGATTTCAATTTAAATCTTAAACTATTGAATTGTACAATGGAAATTTTGATCATTTAAAATTCAGAACAAATTTTTTTAATCGTGAAAACAAAACAAAAAAAATCCCCAAATTTGATTGTTTAAAAGAAAATTTTAGATAACATTTTGATTATTTAGAATATTATTAGGATCTATTAGGTAATTAGATAGATATTTTATTATTATTTTTAGCTGATATGACGATGAATCCACAAATCCGCTTGCCCGGCCCGATTCCACCGCAATTCACTGTCCGCGATCCAAACATAAACAGTCGGTTTTGTATAGTAAAAAGTGAAAGATGTAAATCGATTTTCTAATAACATCTAAATAGCACAGTAATCTAGAGCTAGAGCTAGAGCTAGAGCTAGAGCTAGAGCTAGAGCTAGAGCTAGAGCTAGAGCTAGAGCTAGAGCTAGAGCTAGAGCTAGAGCTAGAGCTAGAGCTAGAGCTAGAACTAGAACTAGAGCTAGATCTAGATATTTTCTAATAATATCTAAACATTTTAGTACCCCCCGATTTGTGCTTCGTTGGCTGTTGCATTCAAATGGTCGACAGTGATAAGTACACCACTGATAAATCCGATATGCAGAACATCGCGAATACGATTAAACTCTTAGGTAAAAGGATTGGTATATCATTTATTTCGATATTTTAATATTTTAATTCTTTTTCTTATCATTTTCTAGGTGGGGACGTTGATTTCGGGATGAAATCTTTCAACGAAAAGCTAAACGTGATCACACATGTGGTGATCGACACGGCGAGACCCTCAAATCAACAAATGGAAACGATTCTTTATCAGGTAGTTCGAGATATCTTTATATCAATGATGTTGTTTGGTGATCAATGATGATCAATGATGATCAATGATCAATCATCAATGGCACATCAATGGCAAAATTAAGGCAACTTTGAAAACTACTGCGTTTAACTGGGATCTTGAGAATCACAAGCAATATAAACAAAAAAAAATAGAAGACTCTAGTTTTAAAAGACAAGAGACAGGGTATTAGGTTTTAAAATGATACCAAATAGAGGTTGATTGATCTACAAGATTTTGGAGAATTGGCTCGTTCAACTTGCGTCTATCAGGGTCCACCGGTTCTAAACATCAGTCTTCAAAACCAACCTGCGTTCCAGGAACCCAAAAAAAAACGGCTGGACATGCTTTAAGTCAACACTCAACAACAAGTCTACCCATTTGGATCCCTGGTTATCCCAATCCCGAGGGGAGGGGACCTAGGGGGACCGGTCTTGGGAACCAGTTCACTATATGGGTGCGGTTACCTACAGCACTCGATTCAGGGAAGATATCCCTGACTCATCTGCTGGATTCGAACCAGAGACTAACCGTTGATTTACCTTTACATTGAGCAGTTCGAACAGGACAAATCGGATCAGCTGTCTTGCTTGTCAAAGCCGGAGCCGTGTGCAATATTCGGGACACACAGGGATATTGTCCTCTACATCTTGCCTCTACACAGGCATATTGTCCTCTGCATCTTGCCTCTACACAGGCATATTGTCCTCTACATCTTGCCTCTACACAGGCATATTATCCTCTACATCTTGCCCACACAGGCATATTGTCCTCTACATCTTGCCTCTACACAGGCATATTGTCCTCTACATCTTGCCTCTACACAGGCATATTGTCCTCTACATCTTGCCTCTACACAGGCATATTGTCCTCTACATCTTGCCTCTACACAGGCATATTGTCCTCTACATCTTGCCATAAAACTGTTGAGTCGGCGAAAAGTTGGCTTTTTGCTGACAATTAGAAACTAAGCATGATAGATCGACAGTGATAAGTACACCAGTACACCAGTACTTTTGGTCACAACGTTTCGATAAAGATCAAGCAACTCGCAACGCTAAACGAACGTTTTATAAAACTGAAGAAAAACTCGACCTTAATGAAATTTGTAAATAACGTAGAAAACCAAGCCCAACGTAGAAATTCTTGAAAAAATGAAAGCCACAGATTGCAATAAAGCAATAAAGCAATAAAGATTTGTATGACGAGCATAAACACCGTAAAAACCATTAGCGATAGGAAACTTTATCTAAATTTTTCTTGTAAATTATATGAACAAAAATCGAACCGATTTTTTGTTTTCATTGATGCTGGAATTCTTTCTTGCTGAAGAACTTGAAAGACATCGACATCGAAAGACATCTGTGTGCCTCTTTACTAATAACGAAAGTCTCTTTACTAATAAGGAAAGTCTCTTTACTAATAAGGAAAGTCTCTTTACTAATAAGGAAAATCTCTTTACTAATAACGAAAGTCTCTTTACTAATATGCGCAGGAAACAAAATCATTGACAAAATGATAACCAATCTATGAGAATGAAATAAAATCAAACAAACCTCTACACCGATTACAAAAATTTGTTTAAATCGAAAAAAAGCTTTCGTAAAAAGTGCCATCCCAAAGAACAGCAAGTATTCTGTAAAAAAAACCATTTACATATAAAAAAATTAGAAAATAGAAAATAGAAAATAATAAAACGTACTTACTGTAGCAAGATTAATAATTCCCCAGTCACTGACAAAAGCTTTGAGTCCTTTTTATCGCCGAGCAAATATTGAGCACAGTTATCAGCAAAAAAAAGAGCACCTAAGAATTTAACGTTATGCAATAAGAGAAAAGGCTTACGGAAAACCGTCAATTGGAGTCTTTCAAGTAATTGGAATTGGAGTTTATGCGCTCTCCGTTAATGTCTTCATCGCAATTTAACGTTATGCAATAAGAGAAAAAGCTCGGTCGTCAATTGGAGTCTTTCAATCGGAGCTAGCCAATCCTTTTAGCTCTGGACTCTTTGTTTACCTTCTGGCCATTTGTTTTAGTCAATCGCGATCTGGTGTCCATCAGTCTGATGGACAAGAAGTTGTTGAAATTTATCTCCTGACAATTTGCTTTCTTGAAATTCCCAACTTTTCGGTGAAATTCGGCGGTGAAATGAACGAAATGAAGTGGACGTTTTCGAGTCTTTTTTTTGTGCGGCGTTGAAATGCTGCCTCAGCAGATCAGTTCGAGCCTCAGCAGATCAGTTCGAGCCTCAGCAGATCAGTTCGAGCCTCAGCAGATCAGTTCGAGCCTCACCAGATCAGTTCGAGCCTCACCAGATCAGTTCGAGCCTCAGCAGATCAGTTCTGATGGGCTATCACCAAAACATCACTAACTATACAAACAATTAAGTGCTAAATTAATGATAAGCAATTTTTGTTTTCAGCAAGCGATCCCGTTGAAACGTCGAATCGTTTCAATGCAATGGTTGGTGGACGCGATCGCTCAGAAACGAATGGACGTTCCATGGAAAGCGGCACATCTGCCAACATTTTGGAGGGACATACAACGGCCACACGTTGGAAAGGTTTGAAGCCAAACATTTTACATTTCTATTGTATTACTTGATAAAATAGATGGAGGATGGACAACAGCTGATTGAAAACTAACAGCTAAAAGCTAGAAAAGCTAGAAATTTCTGGTTATTAATGAATTTATTTAGTAACGTTATCTTATTATCTAGTACTCTAGTTGTTAAGTGAAGTTATTTATTACGTTATCCATTTATCTATTTATCCATTTATCCATTTATCCATTTAACAAATCAATATCCCCAGGTGTTCGCTTTTGCTGGCTTTGAGCCTGAAGAGCGAATCTCATTGAAGTTTATGGTTGAATCAATTGGTGGTCGAGCGACTCCATATTTATCCAGTCAACACAGTTTACTCATCGCTAAAACGTCTGTAAAACAATATTCGACTATTTGATCTTTAGTAATTTCTAATGACTTTAGATCTTTAGCTACAGCTTTAGCTACAGCTTTAGCTACAACTCTAGCTACAGCTTTAGCTACAGCTTTAGCTACAACTCTAGCTACAACTCTAGCTACAGCTTTAGCTACAGCTTTAGCTACAAATTTCTTTAGTGACTCTGGAGGTAAAGTTGAGAAAGCTCGCGAGTGGAACATTCCAATCGTCAACTACAATTGGTTACAAGATGTGTACTTTGGTAAAAATGTAAGTGTTAAGTTTATATTTTGATATGGTGAGGAAGTTTTTTTCTTATTCTTATCCCTTTTCCAGAATAACGTCGATCTTCCCCAGTACCAATTGGGCGCTCCTTGCTCCGAAGTAAACACAACCGGTTATGCCCTTGACGCACTAGGGGATTTTAACAAAAATTTCCTATGTGAGTCCTTTGGAGATGTTTTTTTTCGGCAGCCTGGATTCAAATTTTTTCAGTGGGTTGGCGCTATCCGCTTCTATTCGATCAGCAGATTTTCCAACGTGCACAAACGGTGAAGCACGAGCTGGAAAAAGACGCGAACGTTTTCCCAAACATGAGATACAAGTAAGTAAAGAAAGAAGAGTAAAGAAGAAGGGAGCATACGGCGGATGTGGTAAAACCTCCCATCCTAGATTCTCTAGTTTTTGCTGAGCCATTTTTGCAACGTGAGGTCTAGCTTTGTTATGGATGAACTTTATCTTTGATGTGTCTACTCCGTAACGAATGAGAGCTTGAGTAGCAGATTTAATTCTCAAGGTTCATTGAAAAGGATTTGTGAAATAATGTTGCTAAGGGAAAAAGAATACAGTCTCACATCGGCACGAAATAAGGCAAAAATGCGTTTTCTATTGGATTTTTCCGGGAGTACCTTTTTTAAAATAATAATAATAATAATGATTTGATCTGTCTTCGCACTTAGCGCAGATCACAACCCGCTTCCACATTTACTGAGGCAGAAGTGTAGTTGTCGTAGCCGATGATAGTCCGATGGCCGGGCTGGGGCGCTCGGAAGTACCTTTTTTAGATGCGGAAAATTGTGCTGATTCCGAATCTGAAGGAATTTTTCAAATCCCCTTGACAGAAATTTTTTAAATTGAGTTTTAGCGGTTTTTTGGTCATTTTGTATGGGAAATTTTGTGGTACCCTGCAGTTTGGGGCTCGTAACTCGACAACGAGGGTCTAGAACAAAAAACGAGGGGATAATTTTGATTCTAGAGACTCTTACGAACATTTTGATGCAAAAATCATCAAATTTGCTCAACTCTACAAAAAGTTATAACATTTTAAAAGAAATTTTGCAAAATACACTAAAAACATAAGGGGAAACCGTGGCCGAGTGGTCTAAGGCGCGCGACGTCAATCCAGCCCAAAAGTATGGGGTTGTTGGTTCGACTCTCCCGCACACTTGAGTTATTATTTTGCATATTCCTTAATTGTTTTGAGTGAATACGATACATAGCTACATTGTTCTTTTGAACAAAAAAATTTGTGCAATAGAGAATTTTTAAAATTTTCTCATTTCTTTTTTAAAAATGTTATAACTTTTTGTAGAGTTGAGCAAATTTGATGATTTTTGCATCAAAATGTTCGTAAGAGTCTCTAGAATCAAAATTATCCCCTCGTTTTTTGTTCTAGACCCTCGTTGTCGAGTTACGAGCCCCAAACTGCAGGGTACCACAAAATTTCCCATACAAAATGACCAAAAAAACCCGCTAAAACTCAATTTAAAAAATTTCTGTCAAGGGGATTTGAAAAATTCCTTCAGATTCGGAATCAGCACAATTTTCCGCATCTAAAAAAGGTACTCCCGGAAAAATCCAATAGAAAACGCATTTTCGCGCCGATGTGCAGTCTCTCTATATTGAAACTCTATATTGGAACCCTATAACGGAACTCTATAACGGAACTCTATAACGGAACTCTAGATAAGAACTCTATATAGCGGAAAACTCTAAATAACGGAATGGAATTTTGATCCCGACCGATGCTAAGCTATAACGAAAAAGATTTTTGGTCTCTTCCATTCCGTTATAGAGAGAGTCGACTGTGATTTCAATTCTCAATGTTAAGGGAGATGTTTAAAAATGCGCCCACCGAGGAGCAAGTTGACGAGGCGATTGCACGAAGGAAGAACAACGATCAGCTAGATCGGCGTTTCGTTCCGCGTTTCTCGATCGCTGGTTTTGATGACGATTTGGCGCTAGCGATGAGTATGGTAAGATGTGTTTAAAGTTAATGCTTTAAATCCTCATCAATCCTCGTTAAATCCTCATCAAAATCATTTTAAAATTCTAAGTTTTTGCATAGCAATCAATAGCTTAAAAGTTATAGTACAAAATCGAGAAAAAAAAGTGATCGCTGAAAATCGGCTCATTTTCTCCCACTTTTCAATAGTGTATTAGCTCCAGAATTACTAGAAGTATCCAAAATGCTAATTTCGCGAGAATTTTAACTGTTATAATGAGCCGTTCACAGTTCGGGCCGTAAAAGGGCTGAACTAAGATATGCATGGCTTAGTCTTTAACATGAGCATATCGTCACTGGCAGGATCAACCAGATATGAAAACAAGTTGCGATCTCTCAGAGAGAAAACGTCGAAAATGCTTTCCGCTTTTGGCAACATACAGATAGTACATACACAACAAGAGCGCAGAAATAAACGTACTTAAAGTGAAGATATGAGCGTTTGTTTGAAAGTCAACTTAAAGTCAGTCTTCTTAAACAAAGCGACGCTCGTCTAGGGGCCCGTTCTATGAGAGTTTTTACGATAACTTTACATCTAATCAGAAAGATTTCATTAATAAATCTTGTTACTCAATAGTTCAACTTTATATCTGCAAAATCAACTTTCCAACTTTCACAACTTTCGTTTAGAAAATCCGTTATTTGGGTGGTGTGATGGTGGTGGATGTCGCGAAGTGTACCCATTTTGTGACACTAAACGGCAAGAGAACTCTATCATTGCTAAAGGTGAGCATAAATATTCTATTTCTACAGTAAAATACAATCTTCTTTCCACATTTCAGGCAATCTCCGTTGGCGCTTTCGTTGTCCGACCCGAGTATATCGCCGCCTCGTATGAGGCCCGTTGTTGGCAAGGTGTGACAAGGAGAAATCAAATATAAGCTCTTATAAAATCTTAATATAATATTAGTTAGATAAGAAAAAGCTTTAGATTCGATAAACTTTATGATGAAAGACGATGAATCGGAGAGATTGTACGGGTTTAACTTGAAGACAAGTATTCTCAAAGCAAGGAGGAGAAAGGTTTTCGAGGTTCGAAGAATTTCCTTTGGTTATTTCCTAAAATTTCCTGTGTTTTTCTATAAAATTTCTAAGCGTTACTGAAACTCGAATTGCTGTTGCTCGTGTTTGCTCGTGTTTGCTCGAATTTCAAATCATATTAAATCAAAAATCAAGAATGAAAGAAAATGAGAAAAATTACTTCATTTCGATGACTTTTAACTGAAAAAATCGTATTTTATCAGTTAATTTTATAAGTTATTTCAGAAGATACGTTTCTTTATTACTCCATCAGTCGATCCGGCTCGCCTGGTGCTAAAGAGAATGATTGAAGTGGCTGGTGGTGAGGTGAGGAAAAATTTCATATTTATTGAATTATTTTATTGAATATTTTCATTTACTTTTAATGGATACGATTAAATTAATACTATTGAATAGAATGATTTTTAAAGCCTTTTAAAGTCTTTTGTCATAAAGTTAAAGTCTTAAAGTCATAAAGAAATTTAGGTGGACGATGAGAAACCTGATGTAGAAGAGGTGATGAAACGAGTGGACCTTGATGAGCCGTATATTGTGATTGGAGCTGAAGCCGATCTTCGACTCGTTTTTTATCTACTTGAGTGTAATATACGTGAGTCATAATGTCATTTTCAAAGCATATATGTAAATTAAATCCACTTGAGCTTGGAATTCACCTAGATGCTAGTTTAAAGCCATTTTTCCTATACTAAGAGCCAGAACTTAGACTAAAGTTTAAAGCTAAAGCATTTTTGAGCAACTTTGAGCTTAAGAAAATGTTAGAAACAAATAAGAATAACAAATAACAAAGAAACAAATACTTTTGTTAGTTATGTAAAGTAAAAAAAATTGAATGAGGGAGCGACGCGGAATCGAACCCTCGACCCCCCGCCTACCAAGCGGATGCTTTACCACTGAACCATTAGGACCTTCTTTCGCCGAGAAGAAATAGGAAACATAACGAAGAAAGAGACTATCCAGTCCTCTCAAAACAACCACCAATTTTCAGCTGTTTACTCGCCCGAGTTGATCCTTCAATCGCTCGTCCGGCAAGAGTTTGATGCATCCCCATCGCTTCGTGTAATCTATCCACGATCCGTTCCACCGGTTCCACAATCTTCCACTTCATCTCAATCAACAAATCAATTCCAACGCCCACCCCCACCCACATCAGCTACTCCACAACAACCACAAACAACAACCATCTCGAATTTGCCACAACGACCCTCACAAAGTGCCCATATGACAGCAGCACCTGTTAGAGGCTGAATAGAGCTTCCTTTGAAGCTTTGAATAGAGAAATAATCCCTTTCTAGCACAGAGTTTTCCAGTAAATCCAGTTTCCCCAAGAGAAAGCCTAGAAAGACAAATTCATTATGCCAGAAAGTGCAAAGTACATCAAGACCAACAGCAATCGATTCCCGAAATTTTCTATAATTTCTAGTTTTCTTTCAAAGCACTGTACTGTCAAAGGAGTCTTCTTTTCCTTTGTGTCAACTTTTTTCAACTTATACTGTCTTCTTTTCTGTCTTCTTTCTGTCTTCTTTTCCTTTGTGTCAACTTTTTTCAAATTATACTGTCGGCTTATCAAAATCTATGCATTTTCACATTTTAATTTTATAATTCGATTTCTTCAATTGCCTTCATTTATTCAATTTTGTCATCCAATTATCTCTTTTTTTTTTCTTTCGTGCCAAAACCCCTTCGCAAATGATTTACAATTGTAAACTTAGCTTAAATCGGGTACATTCTTTGATCCAACACGTTTCTGCGATATATTTTTGATTAATTATTTGATAATTTTTGAAATTCTAAATGATTTTCGTAGAATTTTCGATTTTTTTTCATTCAAAAAATGATCTCTAAATCATTCTCAAGAAAAATTTTCTTCTTTTTCTTTTTTTGCACATACAATTGTTGTCGTTTGTTTTGTTGTTTTTAAAGTAAATCTTTAAGATTTGTTTGCATTCAAAAGCTAACAAGGGATTTTTGCTATATTCATTGCTAGAATGTGTTCCTCGCGAGTAAGTAATTATTCGAGTAAATTTGCATGAATAAGTAATTACTCGAGTAATAGCTCGAGTAATTGTCGAGTAAGTAAGCTCGAGTAATTAGTAATAGCTCGAGTAATTGTCAAGCCTAAGCCTAAGCCTAAGCCTAAACCTGAAATTTCGTCCAGACACTCCCATTGGGTTCCAAAGCACACCGCCAAATGGGTGTCCCTTAGCTCCGAGAACTGGTTGAGATCCAGAAAATGGGGGTTTAGCCCAAACCCAAATAGACTTAGTGCTAGGCGCTAGCCGCTAGCCTACGCACTAAGTCCAAGCCTAAGCCTAAGTCTAAGTCTAAGTCTAAGTCTAAGCATAAGCCTAAGCCTAAGCCTAAGCATAAGCCTAAGCATAAGCCTAAGCCTAAGTCTAAGTCTAAGTCTAAGTCTAAGCCTAAGTCTAAACCTAAGCCTAAGCCTAAGCCTAAGTCTAAGCCAATTGCCAATTGCCAAAAAGTTTGCCAATTCATCACTTGGTAAAGGATTTACACTAACACTACTCGACAATTACTCATGCAAATTTACTCGAGTATATCTTTCTTATCTTCTTAATACAGTATATCTTTCTTCTCTGTTTTTAATTCATCTTTCTTTTTAATTATTTTATGTTAACAAAAAGTTTATCAGTTTTTTTTTCAAGTTTTATGCAGCTCGCAATAGATCTCGTTGACGCACTCATCAGGCGTTCCGAGTTTAGATGGATCATTGTTAATCTGGAATGGCTAACAATTAGCTACAGGCTCACTTGTTCAAATACAATTTTTTAATGACAAGTTTACAAGAAATTTTGTAATCAGCTGTGAAAATGAAATCACAATACCGCCATCTCGATCGACACCGAGTAAAACGCAGCATCACCTCCACAAAACTCTGGCAAATGTTTCGCTACACAGGCAAACATACGGGTTAACACACTAGGAAAAAGATATAAACTTTAAAATCTCACAATCTAATAGTTCTATCGGACCTTTACGGTTAACGGCGCGAGTAGCGATTATCACCGGGGCCAAGTTCTTGACCAAATTGCAGCCCGATTTTATATAAGTTTATGTTAATAACTTTTGATAAGAGAAATAGTTTCTGAAAGCTGACGTTCTAAGCTATTTAAATCTTATTAAAACTTCCTGATCTGATAAGTTTAAGGTGCTTAAAAGTGAGCTGCAAGTTTGCCAAAGAATTGGCCCATCGATAATCGCTAGTCCATAATGCCGTTAACCGTAAAAGATCTGTTGTATCAAACCCACGTGCATTTTTCCGATCCTTCTGCTCTAGCATAATCATGACAACTCAATCCAGCTTTTACGTTGTTTTCTTTAGAACATTTAACGAGTTTCTTTGCTGCAACAGAACTATCTTTAACTAACAACAGCTTTTCATTTATTCAGTATCTTTTAGTCTTTTAAAGTTTTAGAAACTAACAAATGATTCCCAATGAACTCTTCTTCAGTCTTCTTCATTAATTTACTGATGAAGGCAACGACTTTACAGTGACTTTACAGTGACTTTTCTTTACGACATTGAGTACTAATCTGATTGAATTCGGATCTGATCTTTTCAGATCTTTTCTGCTCTTTTCTGAATCTTCTCAGCACTTAGCTAGATAAAAGTGACAGAAATTCTAACACGAATCCAATTCTTATCCAATTCTTTCTGTTACTATATTTGACAATGTTTTCTACTTTTCTCCTTGTCAACATCATCAGCACAAATATATTTCCAGACTCTTGCACCGAAAATCGAATCGAATTCATTGCTTGACTCCTTCAGCTCAGCAAAACGTCTAAATTTTGTCATTGCTAAACGTCATTGCTCATAAGCATAAACGAAAAGTCTAAAATCTTTTATCTTCAAGACTTTTATCAAAACAGAATTTCTTTTAGAAGTTAGAGTTAAAAATGCAAAGACATAGTGTAACTAGAATTCTCCAAAAGAATTCTAGTTACACTTACAAAGATTTCTAGTTACAAAGAGTTACAAAGGATTCTAGTTACAAAGATTTCTAGTTACAAAGATTTCTAGTTACAAAGAATTCTAGTTACAAAGAATTCTAGTTACAAAGAATTCTGGTTACAAAGATTTCTAGTTACAAAGAATTCTAGAATTGAGAAAGAATACAAAATGGGCTTAGTCACTTTTTATCACACAAACGATCTTTAGAGGAAGGACAAGAGAATCAGAGATATTCAAAATCAAAGCATCAAAGCATCAAATAAGATTTCATAGAAAAGAGCTACTCTAGAGCTAGAGCTAGAAAAGAGAAAAGAGCTTTTCTGCACAGTACAGGTGAAAGTTCGTGATCGATTCGAGGAAATATTATGGCGCTTTTAGTGATATATTTATCCTATAACCCTCATCTTTTAATAAAGAAATCCAATGAAAACTTTATAGTTGTAAAATCCGTTGTTCACGATGAAAGCATTTTTTTTTTAAGTTGTACAATTCCAGGTTCAAAGATGCGATCCTTCATGTGATTTTTTCTTTGGACGAGCGTTGTGTTTTGCAACATTCCGATGGAACCTCTAATTGTGAAAAAATCACGCGAAGGGCAAAGAAAATTTTCACACTATTTTTAACCTAAAAACATTTCTTAAAACATTTACCTGGCAAAAAGTAAAATAGTTTCTAGTTGCAGTTGCAAGTTGCAAACAATATTCGTCATTTTCTAAAGACATTATCCTTGAGAGATTTTAGATCATTTAACAATTTAATTGTGACTTTTATTCAGTAAACTAAAATCAACATTCTGTTGAAGAAAAATGCAAAGATGTCGTCTCAATTCTCCATCAAAAATCTCCATCAACTCACTTATAGGTAGTCGATGTGAAAGAAATCTTTTGATGAGCACTTTTTTGGAATAAATTTTTCCATTTGCTCTTAAAGTATTTAGAAACCGACATAGAATCGATATTTTGACAGAATGCTTTGTGTTTTTCCTTTAAAAAAAACTCCAAAAGCCAAAGCCAGAGCTTTGAGTGTGTTTGAAAATGTTTTCGATTTTGAAATAATAAGAAAAATCAGTTTTTTTTTGCAAACAAATCAACCTTATATGATCTTAAAGAACTCTTGTTCAAGTCGACTTGATAAATCTCTCAAAGTTCACCTTGAAAATACTTTCTGAATACAAATAATTGCCTCAACAAAGGAATCTTCTCGTCTTCTCGATGCTCACTCACTGTTTCTGTGATATATGTAATTCAAAAATAAAATCAAAACTATTCCAAGCGTTAGTCATGATTGAGAAATGAATGGACACGGATTTTCAATAAGGGAACAAGTCTTTTACCCCATAGCATAATCGATCCGCCACCAAATTTGACTGTCGGCCGCAAGTATTTGATGTTATGGCGTTGTCCAACTGGTCTCCGGATTATGCTATGGGGTAAAGACTTGTTCCCTTATGTCAACTAATCTTGCTTTTTTTCAGGAGCGATGACTAGAAGTTCACCAGGTCCGCCGTCTTTCTCAACTCAATCTTGAAGGCCCAGCGGTACAAGACGATCCTGGAGAATGATCTTCTTCCATTTGCGACCACGAATATGGGACAAGGATGGTTGTTGTACAAGGATAACGCTCCGTGTCACAAGCACCAGATGTTGATAGGAAGGGTCGGCCGACTTTCAAACGGTGGAAGGGCTCGTTTACCGGGATGGTTCGCTGACAATCGTGTCAAGCTCGTCGCTGCTCCACCTTACAGCCCGGATCTCAACGTAATCGAGCATTTGTGGTCGCACATCAAGGGTAAACTGAAGGGCAAACGATTTGCGACCAAGGTTGAGCTTTGGTACTTCATTCGAAGCGAATGGCGGAAAATTTCTCCTCAAATCTTGGAGGATTTGACTGATTCGATGCCACGGAGGATTCAGGCAGTTATTCAAGCTAAGGGAGGCCCAGCTAAGGGAGGTTCAAGTTAAATGTGACATTTTTTTTGTGCACCCGTTTTTGGTGTTCTTCCGGTATTTATTGAAAAATAAAAATTTAAACAAATTGCTGGAACTTGAACACTTTTTCACAAGAAAGTAGAAGCTTTTTGCTATCTAAAACCTTTTGACAGCATAGAATTTGGAACACGTTTAGTAGGTCAAATTTAGGCGTAAAGTTTTGTAAAAACGATGTGACATTTTTTTTGTGCATGGGTGTATCTAAATTTCTGTAAATGCATTTCCGTTAGACTTTTTTAATGAATTGATATATAGTTATTCTTTTTTTTTTAAATCTTCAATTTTGGGAAGCTAACTCTATTTTGACCACACTAAACTTGTCCCTAAAGTGGCTCGATTCCTTTTTTGGTCACTCGCATTTCGCCCTCGAAATTTCTTCAATGGTTCGATCAATTGAAACACCTTTTAGCCTATTTTGTAGAGGAGATTAGCCTATTTTGTTTTACAACTTTCAAATAGTTTATAACATTCATCGATATCAGGTTTCTATCATTGGAAATTTTTAAAAATGTTCAAATCCGCATTTCTTATACATGTTCCTAATACAACTAGTCAGCCATGTTAACTCGGTTCATTTCTCGTTTACCGTTGGCAATCTATATATTTTGCTCGTATGAACCTTGAAATCAAATTTTCTATCAAATGAAATGAAATTCAACGTTTTTTAAAACAAACCCGATTAAGGTACGAACAAAATTTGTAGATTACAAACAACAAATGGATCGAAAAGGAGCCAATTAACATCACTTAACTAATACATTCTATTCTTTCACAAGTAACAAATAAATAAATAACAAATAATCAGCAATATCAGGTTTCTATCGTTGGAAATTTCGCCTTTCTCGCATTTCGCTCTCGAAATTTCTTCAATTGTTCGATCAATTGAAACACCTTTTAGCCTATTTTGTAGAGGAGATTAGCCTATTTTGTTTTACAACTTTCAAATAGTTTATAACATTCATCGATATCAGGTTTCTATCATTGGAAATTTATGAAAATGTTCAAATCCGCATTTCTTATACATGTTCCTAATATAAACATTCCTAGTTTCTAGTCGATTCTAAACATCTAAAAAGATCAATTCCTTGTAAAACTTTGTTCTAAAAAAAGTATTTACTTGCAAATGAAGAGATATCGATAGACAAAGTGAAAAGCTAGTATGAAGCTGAAAAGATGGTTCCCATTTAGTTCCTATTTGGTTACTGTATAGTTCCTATTTGGTTCCTATTTAGTTCCTATATAGTTCCTATTTGGCTACTGTATAGTTCCTATTTGGTTCCTATATATATAGTCCTATATAGTTCCTTTATAGTTCCTATTTGGTTACTGTATAGTTCCTATTTGGTTCCTATTTAGTTCCTATTTAGTTCCTATTTAGTTCCTATTTGGCTACTGTATAGTTTCTATTTGGTTCCTATATATATAGTCCTATATAGTTCCTTTATAGTTCCTATTTGGTTACTGTATAGTTCCTATTTGGTTCCTATTTAGTTCCTATTTAGTTCCTATATAGTTCCTATTTAGTTCCTATTTGGCTACTGTATAGTTTCTATTTGGTTCCTATATATATAGTCCTATATAGTTCCTTTATAGTTCCTATTTGGTTCCTATTTGGTTCCTATATAGTTCCTTTATAGTTCCTAGGATTAGGGCTCAGAAATTAGTAAAACAAAGCCTTTGAGCTTTGAGTGTAAATCTCAGTCATATCTTTTCTCTCTAAAAGAAGATCTAAACTGAAGAGATGAAGAAATTGAAACCACAAGTCCCCAATCAGCTAACGAAATTTTAGAAAAATAAACATAGTTACACGTCAAAGAATTGAAACGATTTGGCGGCCCTTCGCGTAAACAAGACAGAGATCTTTGTATTTGCACTCTTTTCTTTTTTCCTCTCCCGCAAAACAAGTTAACTTTTGTTCAAGGCCAAGAAAAAGGAGAAGAAAAAAAAAGGTTCACACCATATTTACCTCACCTTTTTCTACCAAAAAATTCAAGTCATATGTTTTTCTCAAATGGAAATTTCATTTCCATGATCCAACAGAGAGATTCTCATTGAATGTTCAACGAATTTTGCACTCTTTTCTCTCTCTGCAATCTGATAATCTTTTATATTTAAAAAGTTTCAATCCGCTTCTTTATTTGTTTATTTGTTTAGTCAATTGTAAATATGCACATGGAATGCCCACATAATCTAACATTAGATCAACGATTGGCTTTTTCAAAGGTTTCATTTGAAATTTAAACCTGGAAACTTAGCAATTAAAGTTTTAAAATTAGAATCAAACTCAAATAGATCAATAACTGATCGATAACTATCAATAACTATCAATAACTATCAATAATTATCAATAACTGATCAATAACTGATCAATAGCTATCAATAGCTATCAATAGCTATCAATAACTGATCGATAACTGATCAATAACTGATCGATAACTGATCAATAACTGAATCAAACCCAAATAGATCAATAACTGAAACTAACAGCAACTTTAGTATCAAACAAATGATGAAACTTTTCTACATTTTCATGGTTATTTGATGGGATCATTGGCCGTTCTCGCTTTTACTCTAACGCTAATATTCATTGGTGAGCTTGATAACAAAAGTTGAAAGTTTTTCCTCTTACTAAAGTATTATTACTGTACTGAAAGCTCATTATCAACTTCCAGTGACCACTTCCCAAGCGATTCATCTTCACCGAGGCTCTCGAAAGTATCGTGTTCTTTTGTTAAATCGAGCAATTGGTGATCTAATCGGCACAATAACAGTCACCATTTCTTCCATTCTTATTATCATCTCACCAAATACTAAGTAAGTTTTTAAATCTTAAAAAATTAACTGAATTCAAGTTTAGCCGAGATGCAGTTACTCTAATCGGATGCTTTTTCTATTCAACTTTTTGGAGTGCTTTTATCTCGTACACGAGTCTCTCCATTCTAAAAGTTTTTTTCAACCTTTAGCATCACTAATTACTTTCAAATTTTAGCTCTATGCTGTGCTAAGGCCTTTCTCGTATCGCAAAGTCTTCACTTTCCATAAATGTATTTATATTATTTTAGTGTGGTAAGTTTTAAAATAAGCATTAAGTTTAAATTGCTAAAAAAACTTTACTGTGAATTGATCTAGTGCTTTTTCTCTAGATTAAGATAAATTATCAGTATTACAGGGTGACCAGAAATAACGTTGCGGCCTAATTTAGCCTATTTTTTAAAAATCCAAAAAGATTTTGTAGCAGAAACAATTTTTTGATTAACAGCATGATATAAAGAGAGCATAAAATCTACTTTTCTTCAAAGTTGTCACCTTTGGCTCCGATGCAGAGCCTCAAACGCTTAATGAGGTTTTCGGCGATGGGCCGCAGCTCGGCCGCAGCTCGACCGGAGTGATTCGATCCCATTCCCTGGTCAACGATCGCTTAAGAGCCTCCAAACTTTTGTGGGGTTTTGCACACGCCGCAACGTTATTTCTGGTCACCCTGTAATATAGGGAATTGATAAAAATAGTCTGAAAACTGCATGAGTCTCTCCATTCTAAAAGTTTTTCAAGCTTCAGAATCACTAATTACTTTCAATTTTTAACTCTATGCTGTGCTAAGGCCTTTCTCGTATCGTAAAGTGTTCACTTTCCATCAATGTATTTAGATAGAGTGAAAGCTAACACTTTAAAGCAGCAGCAACAGCAGCAAATGTATCAAAGCTCTTTAGAGTATTCAAAAAAGTGACTCAAATTTGCATAATAAGTACAGAAATCGTCAAAAGACTTAGTCTAGTCTCAGTCTAGTCTTATCTCAATATCTCTGATTTCCAAAAATCATTTCAAATCCAAACAATTCTTTAGTTGGATCATTTTCGTTTTCTGTGTCTCAATGTGTGCCGGAGTGGTGGCTATTCGAATCCATGTTTATTGGTTAACCGAACATTTACATGGGTAAATTAAACGATCAACAAAAAAAACAAAACGAATTTCCCCCAGATTTCGATATTTCTTCTCGACATTTATTTGTTTTGATTACACTTTCACCATCATTATTTTCATCGTCACCGGTTCGTTTCAAAAGAGAGTTTGCCAAAAAAGGAAAGATCAAATGACTATTTCAGTGATCGTTTTGAAAAAAATTGAAATGAACGAGAAAAAGTCGATGAGTAATACAAGAGGAGAGTCTTGTACATCAAAAGGAGGAGCGAGATTTGGAAAAATAGGGTATGTTTTGGGAAAATAGGGTAGGTTTTGGGAAATAGGGTAGGTTTTGGGAAAATAGGGTAGGTTTTGGGAAAATAGGGTAGGTTTTGGAAAATAGGGTAGGTTTGAGAAAATAGGGTAGGTTTTGGAAAAATAGGGTAGGTTTGGAAAAAAAACTTGTTTAATAACTTCAAAAGTAACGTTAACCGTTGTGCTATTATGTATTCGTAAAGTGAGCTTTAAAGAAAAGTTTTATGTCTTAAATTGCTACTGAGCAAGATACTAATTGCATAACTCTTCCCCGACGCCGGGTACGCCTAGGTCCGAGTGGTTAGCTCGCAGGTCTCTCAGACGGAGGGTCCGGGTTCAAATCCAAACATTGATCCCTTTTGCTTTTTTTGCTGAGATTTCAAAACAATGACATCATTTTAGGTTTCCATTGTGGAAATTGGGATTAAATGTGACGACGTTTGCTGTTTTCCAGGCTCCTCTAGTTATTTGGTTTGTTAAAGTGAAAAAAAATGGTGAACATGTTGAAAGTTTACAACTAAATAGGTTGAAATGTAAATTTTTAAAAAAATGGTTCTAATCTGTTTAAATCTTTAAAAAATACAAGATTCTGGACAGTTTACAGTATAAAAAGTAGAATTTCATCATTTATTTTCCATGTTGAACTAAAACTAAGTTTTTTTTTGTTGAACTGTTGAACTAAAAACTAAAACTGCAATTTTAATAAGACAGTGCAATAATAAGACAAAAAAAAGTTGTCGATACAGCTGTTTGCTTTGACACAAAACTTTAAAAAATAAATCAAATTCTATTAATCAAAAGAAATACAGTACTGGACAATGAAATATGATATTTGAAAAACGATCGTCACTTTCGCGCGTCTGCAACTCCCTTGTCTTTGAGTTTAAACTATTAGTGTTATACATTTTCTGAAAGCTCTTTTCAAGGGCTACACAATGGTAATATTAATATTTAGAAATACGGTAAAGACAAGGGAGTTACAGACGCGCGAAAGTGACGATCTTTTTTCAAATATCATATTTCATTGTCCAGTAGTGTAGATCAATAAATGAATCAAAAAATAGATCAAAAAGTTCTAATCTATTTCGATTTGTAGATTTCTTTGTTTCTATTGTAGATTTCTATTGTAGATTTCTTTGTTTCTTTTATCACTGACTATCAGGTAGAATAAGTGATTAATCATAAGTGATAAAGCTTTTAAAAGCTGATAAAGCTGATAAAGCTGATAAAGCTGATAAAGCTGATTCAGCTTCGTCTATTTCTTTTAGGAATCTCTACTTATTCTCAAAAACTGGATGTTTTTCTTTATTTCATTATGCTGAAACGATGAAAACACAAGGTTTTTTTTGGCAAAAATGAGAAAATATACTTCTAAAAACTTTAAGCTTTTGTTGGAGCCACGATTCTTTTGAGAATCATCACTGATTTCTTTGTTTCTTTTATCACTGACTATCAGGTAAGATAAGTGATTAATTAAAGCTTTTAAAAGGTGATTTAGCTTCGAAAAGTGTTCCTTGATTGGATGAGTCTGCTTCGCAATCGTTTCAAGTCATATCGTTCTCGAACGAGCAGTGATACTTCAGTGATTTCTGGTAACAAATTGTTTAATTGATTGAATTTAATTGATTTTAATGGTTTAACAAGCTCTATAGACAATACTCTTTCAGATTCTCAAAAGAAATTTACCGATCGTTCATCTTTTTGAAGAAAAGAGCTCATTTTTTCGAATGGAAAGGGAATTTTTATAAAAGTAAAATAAAGCAATTGAAAAGCAATGATTTTTCGTTTAAACTTCATTGGCTTAAAGCCATTTGATTCTAATTTAATGAGTTTTCTCGTTTTTTATAAACTCTTTTAACAAGCCTCGAATACGCGTGCCATTTATTAAACAAAAAGCTCTAAAACATAATTTCTTTTAAATTTCTAAATGATATACACTGGTGCTCATATGTATTAGTACCCTCTTGCAAAAAATTTTAGCTCTCAACGATTGCCCCCTTAAAAGGCAGCCAAATTCAAAGTGCAAAAGCATTTTTGCTAACAAGCCTAGTCTCTAAAACCACAAAATTGATTCGAAATGTATTATCTTTTAAAAATAGCAAGGACGGAAAAGACACCTCAAAAATGGTGGACAAAAGTTTTGACACCTTGCAAAAACAACAGTAAATTTAATAGTCTATTGGCCCTCCTTTGGCTTGAATGACTTTTTCTATCCGTCTGGGCATCGAGTCGACCAAATTGTGCAAAACTGATGATCCAATTTGATTCCATACAAGACGTAGATAGAGCCAAAGCTCGCCTTTGGACGAAAAGTGTTTCTCTTTCAATTTCGCTTTCACAATCGACCATAGATTCTCAATAACATTCAAACTTGCTTTGATGAGTCGCCTCCTCACGGTCCTTGCTGAGATATATTTGCTGAATTGTGATTTATACAGGCGGCTTCCGGCTCTATCTACGCTTTGTATGGAATCAAATTGGATCATCAGTTTTGCACAATTTGGTCGACTCGATGCCCAGACGGATAGAAAAAGTCATTCAAGCCAAAGGAGGGCCAATAGACTATTAAATTTACTGTTGTTTTTGCAAGGTGTCAATATTTTTGTCCACCATTTTTGAGGTGTCTTTTCCGTCCTTGCTATTTTTTAAAAAGATAATAAACATTTCGAATCAATTTTTTTTGTGGTTTTAGAGACTAGAGCTTATTAGCAAAAAAATGCTTTTTAGCACTTTGAATTTGGCTGCCTTTTAAGGGGGGCAATCGTTGAGAGCTAAAATTTTTTGCAAGAGGGTACTAATGCATATGAGCACCAGTGTATTTTACATAAAAAAAGAGAGAAAACAAAGTAAATTCTTTAAAAGAACCGAACATTCATGATTTTAACTATAGCGTTTTCCTCACGAGTAATGCGTTTTTTTTAAACGCACACTGAGAAAAAATTACCGTACTTTTAGCCAAAAATTATTGCAAGAAATTTGAGTAAAAAAAAATCACGAGCGACCACTTATATAAGACTCTTTTTGAAGATATTCAGCCGTTTAATTGATTTGGTGGTAAATTCTCTTCACAAGTAAAGATATTCAATTTACTCGACGTGTAAAGAGGATTAGTTGTAGTTACTCGACCAAAAAATGTCGATTAATCGAGTAAAAATTACTCATGCTAATTTTACTTACTCGTATTTACTTACTCGCAAAGAACACACTCTAATCGTGAGGCTGTTTGGGGATCTTTCCTTATAATGTGCCCGTTACACAAGGCACATTGCCTAGTTTGGGGTGCGACCCGCTTTAACCTTATCATCGAGGATGATTTTGCTTCAGAATAGCCGAATTGCACAAAGAAGGTTAAATGGATTTCCCCAAAGCGCTTACAACATAACAAGAACGCGCAGCATCCAACACAAGATTAATACTCGTGGGTGGCGACACAAATGTTAGTAAGCTCTCTCTACAATGTTAAACCAGTTATCAAAACAGGATTTAAAACCTGAAGGGTAGCAGAAAGTAATTGTTGAATTTATAATTTTACTGTTTATTAGTACAACACCAAAATGCAAGAATACCCATTACAAAAACAGCATGCGCATCAAAAGAAACAACCAAGTTCCCCCCGAGGGAAGGCAAAAGCAACCCGCAGACCAAAAAAAAAAACGATTTCGGGAAGGGAGAAAAGGGCGAAAAATGTGACGCGAATAATTGCAAAATAGCAACGCAAATAGGAAGGAAACGGACGCGACCGCCTTGTGTGACGGGCACATTGTAAGGAAAGATTCAAGTGAACAAATTGAATAAAAGATTGAAGTAAATCAACAATTTATCAAACGTGTGTAATACTCGATCAATCAAATCTCGTAATGACAGAAAAAGTGCTCTTTTATAGGCCAAACACAAAGTATTCAGTTAAGAATGAAATTGGAACAAGTTGCTCTTTGTTTTCGATAAAAAACCGACACAAATTTCGATTTGATTTCTATTCAACTACTCGTATTTCCTTTTGTAATCCTATTGTCACATATCAGTTGCAATTTTGAATTTTAAAGAACTGCATTCAACAAGAAATTGCTGCAACATGTCCAAGGTCATGGAAGTGTTGAAAAGCTGACTGTATAAGCCTTGACTCCCTTTGCATTTTTTTTCAAGAAATTTTTCAAAGAAACAGTTAGAATGAAAGTGCTGACCATAAAAGCTAATACAAAAAAGATTATTCTTGCAATTTCTCTTGTCCATTTCAAATAAAAATTTTGTTTGTCTTGCAGCAAAAATTACTCAATGTCAATTTCAATGTAAATGTACTTTCCGGTGGCATCAGTTGGGAGAATCTCACCATCGGCTCCAATTGGCTTGCTTTCGTCGTTTTGCGTGATCACTTCGCCGTTGTCAGCTACATGGTGTCCAGTGGAGTCGGTGGGTAGCAATTGTCCATCGGGGTGGTACACAGGAGCGATCAAGCTTCCATATTCATCAGTTGGTAGCTCGGTTGATGCGGCTTCAGTAGTAGTGGCTCGAAAAGTTTGAAAATGAAATTTATTATCACTTCTCAAACCTTTCAACCTTTGTCGTCGTTCGATTAAGTAATTCGATCATAGAGTGAAGTTCATTTCTGAATTTTCAGAAGTATTTTCAAAAAATTTAAACGTTTTAAACTGTTGATCGCTAATTTTTGCCTCTAGTTTTTCGATTTTTGATCGATTGTTCACTTCTAAAACTTTTACAATTACTCGTTTGTAAATCCAACATGCATTTCTCTCTCTCGATTGTCATTTTTCTTTTCCAACATATCAATCATTGATTGTAGTCCATTTCTGAATTAAATTCTTGTCTTTCAGCTCAACTCTCAAACGTTTTATTTCGATATTTTTCGATTTGAGCCTCCAGCTTTGAGTTCTTTGATTGAAGTTGAATTCTAGAACGATTCCATTGGGAAAAATTAGTTAAGTGATCTCTCTGAATTTGTGTCACATTGTATTGAAGTTTTTCCCGAAACTTCACTTCAAACTCACTTCAACTGGACACTAGGGAGTGTACAGTTGAAGCACTGACTAGTGTCCAGTTGAAGCAAATGTACCTTTTCCAGCTCATTTTCCAAGAATTCACTAAACTTTGAAATGAGAATAAATTCAAAAAGACAAACTGACAACAATTTCTTGTCTCTCTCAATCATTTCATCACTGAATTCGTTGTTTTGATTTTCTATCCAGAAACGGCTTTGGATCTACAAAGGCTGTTGAGACTATAACTCTCTACTTATTAAAAATTTGTAAGCGTCTCAAGCTCAACCCTTCACTCGAATCATCTCAATGATTCTAGGCACTAATAATGTGAAAAGCAGCAGCAAGAGAGAATCATCAGAACAAACTGATTCAAACATCAAATTTATCCCATTCAGCATTCATTTGTTCAATTTCAAAGCCTTTTTTGAAAGATAAACGCTGACTTTTTTTTGAGTCATTGCTTTACTTTGGAAAATCTTTGGAAAAAGAACAATTGATCCCGTGAAAGCAATTGTTTTGAAGGTTTATTATTCGTAGTTCAATTTGAGCAACGAGAATTTTGAATTTTAACACGAAACTTGACATTTTCTGATGTGTTAGTGATGGAACATGTATATTGAAATAAACACTGCCTGTTTAGGTGATATGCAGTCAGGAAAACTTCTCAATAGCACTAATTCTACTTGTTATATTCAAAAGATACAACACTGAAACTACTGTCTCTACTGTGCATTCAGATTCAAAAAAAGTCCTAGTCCCTCCTAGTCACTTGCCAAAGAAGCCAACTCGATACGCGATACTTACAACTAGAGTTCGGCAAACAAAACCGAAACCAAAACAGACCAAAACCAAAACAAACCAAAACTCAATTTGCAAAAATAACAGTAAATTCAAATGTAAAATGAATTGCCTTCACTTTTCTCACTCCCAAAATCTCGCGGCCGAAAAAAGGACCAAAACACGACCTCGAAATTTCGAAACAAAAAATAGCCAAAATAGCTATGGGATAGATTTTTGGACGCCGATTTCAAATCTGCAAACAGATTTTCGCTAGCTCCTCCCAATCGCGAGATATTGGCGAGTTTTGGTTAGTTTTGGTTTTGGTTTTGGTTTGGTTTTGGTTTTGGTTAAGTTTTGTTTTGTTTTCCGAAGCCTACTTACAACGACAATCCCATTCGAAGTCTAATTTTTCGTAGATCAGCAAGTTTCGATGCTCCCTCTCTGATGTTTTTATTTTCTATTTATGCCGCTCCTTTACCCCATCCGCCACCGTGAGTCTACGCAGCGACCGGCATGTCAGATCGCTCAGACAGAATTTTGGGCTTTCCAAGTTCAAGCTGACGAGTTTTGGTAAAGTTTTGTAACGATCCAGAAGATGAGCCTTTCGTTGTTTCCATTCAACTCCACAAACCATCTTACAGTTAGTTTTGTCCTTCATTGTGGGACCACAAAAACAAAAGATTTTAAAACGAAAAAGAAACGACAACGCGGCGCTCCCATTGACTACCTCCAAATGGCGGCGACGTCAATTGGAATGCGTCTACGAAAAGTTCCGGATTCTCCACTCGGTTCCCAAATGGAAATAGATTGCTTTCTCATTTCAACACAAAATTTATCGCGTAAAACAATACTTTCAATTAATCGGAGAAAAACAAATGATTTTAAAATGGAAAAGAAACGACGACGCGGTGCTCCCATTGACTACCTCCAAATGGTGGCGACGTCAATTGGAATGCGGTGTCGCGCAAAAATTAACACTTAACATTAAGAAAAAGTTAACATTTAAAATTTGCGACAGAAATTCAAATTTAACATGAAAACGTCTCGAAAAACACATTTTTTTTTCTCTGAAGGGGATTCTCTACTGTACTACTCTACTAGTACTCTCTTCTTCTTATTTCGATTTTGGTCAGCTTTTAAGTAACGTTCATTTTGAAAAAAAATACTAAAGAAATGTGAAAGTTTGTGGTTATTTTGTGGTTATTTTTTTCAAAACAGTGTCTTATTCCGCATCGAGCGCTCGGTAGGGATTGAAATCGTCGAATTTGCTCGAAACAATCATTTCAGAATCGTCTGGACTTTCAGGATCAACAGAAAGAAGCCGATTTCCATAGTGGATCAATTGGCCCTTTTTGACATCAAATTTGAGATGTGGTGGTGCTTCGAAGATCTAGAAACATATTGTCATCAACAATATAATTTCAGCTTACCAAAACACACTCGGATCCAGCCTCAAAATGTCCAACTTTATCACCGGGTTTATAGGAGAGCACTTGTTCATACATTGTGTATTTGGCATAGTGATCGTGTTTGCTTTCAAGCTTTTTTGGTGGTGTTCTCTCGAATTCCTGAATCAAGTGATAGTCAAAGTGATTTTCAAAAGAAAATAGAGAGCCAGTAAATTTTAGAAGATCTTCTTTAGAGAATATTAATTCAATAGATCAATTGAATAGATCAATTGAATAGATCAATTGAATAGATCAATTCAATAGATCAATTTAATAGATCAATTGAATAGATCAATTGAATAGATCAATTCAATAGATCAATTCAAAAGATCAATTCAAAAGATCAATTGGATAGATCAATTCAATAGATCAATTGAATAGATCAATTGAATAGATCAATTCAATAGTTTTTCAATTCAAATTTCTATTCACCGGATTGATATGAATATCTCCAACAGTTGTAGCAGCCACCGGAGTCATCGAAAAGAAACCATATTTCCATTTTCCGATCAATGCGACACGGGCATTAATAGAAAACCATTGAGGAATGAATTTATGAAGTTTAAATGGAAGAATGTGACCTGAAAATATGCATTTAAAATCTAAAACTAGAACTAAAATCTAAAACTAAAACTAAAACTAAAACTAAAACTTAGATCTATTTTAAAAACTTAGATCTTTAAGCTTACCTGCATGCTCAACTTTAGTATGCGTTTCCCATTTTGTTGGTGAGTGATAACAGTGGTAATCGGTGGCTCGGAGATAGATCACGACTTCGTAGAGTTTGTTGTTTGCCTGGAATTTCATTTTGTTTCCTAGCTTTTCCTAGTTTCCTAGTTTCCTAGTTTCATTTTAAAAACCTCGCTAAGCTTTGTGATGAAATAAATAAGCTTACCTTGTGTTTTGGATCAATAGGGCCCAAGAATTCTTCGAACTCATAAGTGTGACTCTTAATTTGTTGAATTTTTCGATCATCACTGATCTCTCCAAACTCAATCACCACTCCATCGACGGGTGATACCTAGAAGTTATCTTTGTTGACAAGATCTTTTTAAAAACTGTTGCTAAACTCACCAAAGTGCAATCATCGATCGGTCGCATTCCCGGTTTTAGTGGACGAGTGAAAAGCGCTTGCAAGCTCTTGTATGACTTTAAATCTTCATTAGCTGCTTCTTTCATGTTGATTCCATGATACCAAATATAAATCGAGTAAATGAATGAACGAATGAAGACAGGCAATTGAATGTTCGCGATTTTCCCAGCCAAATGGGTGTAAGGAACGGAAAGTGATGGGAACATCAAATAAATCGACTCCTAGAAATTCAAAAACTTATTTCTTTTAAGCTAAATATTTTACTACCCTAAAGTCTCGAGTATAAGTTCATCCGAGTATAAGTTCTGCCTTAATTTACATTCGCTTTAATTGCTTTGAATTTCTTTTTGTTGGGGTTTTATACATTTTTATTATTATATAAACTTTTATTATTGTTCTTGGAGCGCGGGATACTACAGGGTGACAGCTTATCACCATTGCTATTTGTTATGTGCATGGATACATCCAGACGATAGTGTTGAAGAAGACGCTGGAAAGCATCTCTTTCGACCGTCGACGTGGACTTTGGCCGGATGAAGAGGCCAGGGAGGGATCCATAAGACTGAGCACCGGAGAGGAGCAGGGCGGACGCGCCGAGCCACGCCCGGGGCAACAAATAACAGCATAAAATTGCTATAACCCTCAATAAATTTACTTCTATTATTGTTCTTAAAAAGCAAAAAAGTTATGCTGCAGCGGGGTTCGAACCCTCGACACACCGCACCGGAGACAGCCGTCAATTTGCATGCGAAAACCAAACAGAACTTATACTCGCGACTTTAGGGTAATAAAGATTTATATTTATTAAAGTACTAATTAATGTTTTTTTTTATGATTTAAGTTTACCTGAATAACTCCACCAGATCCGAAGAGAAATTTCCAAACACTAGGCGCAAAGAAGTAGAACATCGGTGTGAACACAAGCCCGAGAGCAAAAATACTGTAGTTGTTGAGATGGGCATCGATTAATGGAATATCTATTTGCATTTTGAAAAAAAAGATATTCAAATTTTCTTAGTTGATAGCTTTCTTAGCTTTCGTTTTGAGCATTTGAATCTCAACTATTTTCTTGGCTTACATCAAAAAGGGGTGGAGCCACGTAGAAAGGGCACGTAAACAAGCCTCAAGAGTGCACTCACACACCAACAAAACAACATTGAAAAATACGAGCATAAACAAAAGTTCGTGTCTACTCTAGAAAAAACAAAGTTTGACTCATTTCATCAATTCCGAGAACTAGTATCTGAAAAGTAAAGTTTAAAGGACCCATGTATTAGGTTGGCAAGTTATAAACGATCGTTTTTTTGGGTAATGTGTTTTCTGAAAAAACGGCTTATCGAATCAAAAAAAACGGTTTGCTTGATGCAAAAGCCCTATCCTTAATATCCCTACCCTATCTACAAAATGGCTTTTTTAGCGTCGACGTTAAAAACGTCAGCTACGTCAGCTACATTTTCCGACCGCACATCGATAGGTTCTGATAAGCGGTTCTCGAGATTTCGAGCAATTTAGGCGACGCTCAGGGTGCACTACTATTAGAGAAAATACGGTGTCTGCAAATTATAAAGTAGAAATCGAATGTCACACATATTCTACTTAAAAAGGTCAACTGGTTGAATAAAGAAATGCCTTCAAAGTCCAAGTCTCTCGCTATTTTTTCACTATTTAGCCAGGTGTACTACTATTAGAGAAAATACGGTATATACACAAAAAGACTGTGGTGTTAATTGATGCTTTTGTCAAGATAGAAAATTTTATTCCACAATATGTTTTTTAATAAGGTGGCACAATGAAGCCCGTGTAAGGATGTTTAAATAAATGAGAGGGGGAACAGAACAGAAAGAGATGGGGAACAGAAGAGAAAGAGATGGGGGAACAGAAGAGAAAGAGAGGGGGAACAGAACAGAAAGAGATGGGGAACAGAACAGAAAGAGATGGGGAACAGAAGAGAAAGAGAGGGGGAACAGAACAGAAAGAGATGGGGAACAGAAGAGAAAGAGAGGGGGAACAGAACAGAAATCACAGAACAGAAAGATTTGGCATACTTTGGGCATCGTTGTGAACTAAATACAATCACCGGATCCCATTTATATAGAAAAAGGAGTAGTTATAAAGAAAATGACGTTGTAAAGTTACTGTAAAAACTACTGTAAAAGTTGCAATTTCTTGTACTACCGTATGCCGACGGAAATCTAGTTGGCTGAATACTTTTTATGATGGCATACTCTAGCCAAGAGAGTGAGTACCTTTAAATGTGAATACAGTATAAATTTTAACAGTGACACTGGGGAAAACGGGAGTGGGACAAAAGCGACCTTTTTTTGCGCACCCGGACATTTGCGCACCTTTTTTTCCGCACTTAGCCCATTAGCGCACCTTTTTTGGCGTTTTAAAAAAGCTCTAAAAGCTAATATTAACCAATTTCTATTCCAAAAGTTATTTTTCTAGGTAATTTGAGGGTGTCGAATTCAAATTTTGACATAACAGAGCGTGTGGAACCAATTTGAAAGACAAAACGGCTAGATCAAATTACAGTCGTCGATTGTCGATCTTTCTCTTTGTATAACTCCGTCCGTTTGTTTCCACAAGCTCTGATATGTCAAAATTTCGATTCTACGCCCTAAAATTACCTAGAAAAACAACTTTTGGAATAGAAATTGGTTAATATTAGCTTTTAGAGCTGTTAGAGCTTAATATTAGCTTTAAAACGCCAAAAAAAGGTGCGCTAATGGGCTAAGTGCGGAAAAAAAAGGTGCGCAAATGTCCGGGTGCGCAAAAAAAGGTCGCATTTGTCCCACTGCCGGGAAAACAGCAAAAAGTAGATGAATTGATGGATAGTTTATTGCTATAATATAATAATGATAAGTTAAAGTAGACAGTAAACTTTTTGAGAGATTTTCTCAACTTTGCCGACTCTCCGTCGGATCGTAGACGAGTTGTAGATGGTGGAAACAGGCCGAGCACACGCGAACAGGTTGGGATGAAGAAGGGAGACGGATCCGACCCGATGAACAAGTTGAGCAAAAGATTCGGCCACAAGCACTGAAAAGGATTTTTCATACGGATTTATAGCTTTGTACATTGTTGGTTGATTTGTACAAGTACAAATCAAACAACAAAATACAACTGTAACTAGTTCGTGAGTTCGGATTACTGTATTCGAAAATTGACATCTTTTAACAAGCGATTATAATTGAGCTATTGTTCCTCCGCACTCACCGACAATGGTGTTTCCTTTTTGCCATTGTGAATGTTAACTGACAAGCATTACATTCAGCGACTTCTCCATCTTTTTGCCATTCTCCCGTCATTGGTAGCGTTTCCTCGCGTAGTTCCAGAATCTTCAATTTTGATCTAGAAAACGATTCAGTTCAGGTAAAATCTTTTTTTAAAAACAACATAGATAACTGTGGTCCAATCTCTTCCAGCGCCGCCTCCAACTCGGCATTTTTCTCCTCAACCGCGTAAAGCTTTTCGCGCAAAGTTGTCACTTCCTGAATACATAAAACTCTCTTTCTTCATCGAATTCAGCTCGTTTTACAACCAACCGATTTTACAGTAAACTCCGGCTACCGTAACCTTCGATTAATCGCTTTTAAACTAATCCAATATTAAAAATTGTCATTTTATCAACTAGTTTATGTTAGAGATAAAAAGAAAAGTCAAGTCGATTGTATGGAGATTTAAACGGTAGCTGGGATATGCTGAGTTACGATAGCTCGGATATGCTGGATTTTACGATAGCTGGGATATGCTGGATATTACGATAGCTGTGATATTCTGGATATTACGATAGCTCGGATATGCTGGATATTACGATAGCTGGAATAGGCTGAGTTACGATAGCTGGGATATGCTGGATATTACGATAGCTGGGATATGCTGGATATTACGATAGCTCGGATATGCTGGATATTACGATAGCTGGGATAGGCTGAGTTACGGTAGCTCCGATAGCCAATAACATTTCACCTGTTTTACGGATGGCAGCAATTTCGCATCTTTCTCATATCGCTCTTTGTCGACTTTCATCGTGTCGAGCTCTTTGCGAAGTTCTAAAAGCTATAAAGTACTACAGAATTCTATAGATATAATAGTGCTATTAAAAGCTGTTCATTCACCTCTCAACTCCTGTTGTTTCTCATCCAAATCCGACAACGATGCGCTGAATTTATCGCTCAACACATTCAGTTCATTTTGTAAATCCTGAAATTCTCTTATTTATTAGTTTTCAATTTTTTTTTAATTACCCACCTTTTCATTATCCGCTTGATTTAATAAACCGGACATCGTTTTACGGAGAGATTCTTTTTCCTGAAAAAATTTGTTTTTTTAAAACTAGCTACAAGAGAAGGAAAAGAATACGGAAAAGAATACGGAAAAGAATACGGAAAACAATACGGGGAAATGTTAACAACTACAAACAAAGAAGACAGTTTAGTCTATCAATAAAGTTTGGGTGCAAAATAGAAAACGATTGCCTAGCCAAAGTCAAGGAGCAATATCAAGCCAAGATCGGTGATATTTTGAATTCGTTTTTTTAGTCTTTGCATTAGCGTTTGGGGTCAGTGATGGTTTAAAACCGATTTTCGGGATAAGTAAGAAGCCGGTTCTGTCTTGGAACAATCTAACAAGTCAGAAGTCAGACTAGATTTGATCTGCTTCTGAGCTGGCTGATCTGTTCTGGTCTAGCTCGGCCTGGTCATAGAAGGAGCTAATATTAAGGACCGATTGGAGGATTCTTATGAGTTTACTCGATTCGAAAGTTCGCCTTTATTTGGGTTCTATTTTGCACCTTCTTTGCAGATAATTGACTAAAAACACAAACATAAAAGTGATTCTCGATTTGATACCTGAAAACTTTTTGGGTACTTTTGACTTTAAGCTAAGTACTAAAGTGATGAAAACAGATTGTAGCTGAAAAGCCAAAAAAGAACCTAAAAACTACCGTAAATACTATAATAGTACCCCACCCCCATAATGACGGTGCGGAGTGTTGCGTAGTCTAGCTTTGAACAAGTTTTTCTCGACAATGGTTTATGCTACAATGCGCGCTTAAGTATCAAAAAATAACTGAAATTCAGGGCTATTTTTTGATACCAAAGACGCATTTTTTGAAAGTACGGGCGCTTTGAAAAAAAATGAAATACTAAAAAACTTGTGCGACTACGCGACTGTACAAGGGGGGTGGGGTACTATTACAGTATTTACGGTAGGCATCAAATCTCGAGATTGTTTAGGAAAGCACAACGGAAAGAAACCTGGTGATGTTTTTGTCGGAGAGTCGTGAAATCGTTCTCCAGTTTTTTCTCGGCTGCTTCTGCCATTTTCTGCAAGAAACCCTGCTAATATCGAAAACAAACAGAATTTTATTTAAAATTGAAACTTTCTGAAATTTCTGAAAAAGATGACTAAAAGATATTCTTGGCCGGTTCCTAAAACGTGTCAATTTGGGAAAATTTGGGAAACAACCGTATTGTTGCCTATTTTGTTGTGAAAGTTCGTGAAATATCTAAAAGTAGATAGATTAGAGTCAAGTTTTCGAAGTGACCACGTTTTAGACTCATTGATTGATATGAGCTCAATCCATCAGCCATCATTTACCAATTTCTCATAAATATCCTTGTTGAGTTGTGTGAGGTCTTTGATTTGTTGTTCAGCGAGGCGAACTGTGTCCTCTTTTTCGACAAGCTAAATTTGTGCATTTAAAATTATGATTCAGTATTTCTATTTTTCTGGGGGTGGGACAAATGCGACCTTTTTTTGCGCACCTGAACATTTGCGCACCTTGTTTTGCTGGAAAAGGCCTTAGGCAGGGCCGTAGAGCTTCGAAAATATTTCCTCATAAGGGAATCATATGCGTAGATTCCGAATTTCGACAAATCAGACCTCGCTGACACGTCAAATTTGGGCTAAAAGGCAAAAACTGCGGAAGAGCGTTAAGTTGCGTAGTTTTTGCCTTTTAGCCCAAATTTGACGTGTCAGCGAGGTCTGATTTGTCGAAATTCGGAATCTACGCATACGATTCCGTTCTATGAAAACATTTTTGAAGCTCTACGACCTTTCCTAAGGCCTTTTCCAGCAAAAAAAAAGGTGCGCAAATGTCCAGGTGCGCAAAAAAAAGGTCGCATTTGTCCCACCCCCGTTTTTGGGCCAAAATCCTTTACGTCAATTTCATTTGCGCCAAATTTCCGCTTATCTATGACAAATCACTTTTCCCCAACTTCGAACCAACTTTTTTTTTCAGTTTTCTGCTTTACAATTTTAGTTCTCACTGTTTTCAATTAGAAAACACGTTTAAATACCTATACAGACCCAAAAAACAGTCAATTTTGCGTCCCCGATTGGGTTTTTTTACTATCTAAAACTTTAAAAAAATATAAATGCTCAATCAGAGTTGGTAGGAAAGTGTGTTGAAAAGCGCAAATTTGACGCAAAAATTTTCGGCGCAAATAATTTGAAACTTTTGCTAGCACCTCGGAGATGAAGCGCTCTCGCTAATAGTCATTCTTTTTCTCCAATTTCCATTTAGCGCTCAAATTTGCACTTATTTCGTCAAATTTACATTGGACCTTTGCGAAAGGAAATTTATTTCCAGAAAATGTTCATTTCTTTCTCACGATTTCCATGGATGAGATCAACTCGAAGCTCAACGTTTTGAGGATTGATGAGGTAAGGTTTTTCTCATTTTATTTTACTATGCCCTATTGGCAAATGGGTACTTCTGCTGTTTGTCCCCCCTTAACATCAGAGATTTTTTCGCTGTTTTGTTCAAATGCAAATTAAGCCTTTTTCCGCCAGCAACGTTCAAAAATTTTGCGACGATTGGTCGGTTCTCTAAAATTTTATTTATTAAGAACATTAAGAAGCACGGGCGCCGTAGACGACGCCCGTGCTAGCCCGTGATGCGCGGCCGGGAAGTGAGCTGCATCGCACCGTGTGTTTTTTTTATTGGCCCATCGCAGGTGCTCTGAGAAACCACGTGATGTGCCATCCCCGGACCACATTCTTACATCTGGGGGAACGTAAGCGGTACAAGCGGAAAAATGCCCAATTTGCATTTACACTTGTGCAATTTTTTCCCTGATGTTAGGAGCAGAAGTACCGTCAAATGGACATTCGAATTGGGTATTTTGGTATTTTGTCCACTACTGTTTATGTCAAGCCTTGTATTGAGTTCATAATTTTTCTAAATTTTTCTTATAATTGTTTAATTTTAGGAAAACATTCATGAACACGAGAAATCAAAGCTGCGTGAATTCAATCTTAGCGATGGGAAAAGACTTCTGCTTCACGATGAACAGGGTATTACAGTTTTGCCTTTCAATTCTCAAGTTCTTTTTACAGGCTACGAGAATAAATTCAAGGATGGGCGCAGTTTTGATTACCTCGAGAACACCAACAGCACAAATATTGAGTTCAACTACGATTTCAAGATTCATCGCGATGCATTGAAGGTTTTTATTTTGATAAGCTAAACGTTTGTAAATTTTCTTTCTAGAACTTGATCGAACAAAATGCCGAAATTACTTCAAACCCAATGTGTGTCTATCATAATCACGTTTGGTGGATTTATTCGTATCGTATTCTTGTCATCGGTGGAGCTGAGGAAGATGGTTAGCACTTATAAACTTTTCCTTACCACCTTACTACCTAGGACCAATTTGTACTGTTGATCTTCAAAGTGTTAGCGCAAGTTCCTACAAAAAAGAAGTTCCAAAGGTATTAGATCGTATTTCTTTATATCTATGAACCTCTCTTTTAGGGTGGACTTGGCAGCAATTCTCCCGCGAAACAAGAGGCACCAAATATTTTGCAAGGATGGTTGACTGTAAAAACAGCTGATGGCGAGATTTTTCCCAGTGTGTATTTTACAATATTTTTGTATTCTGGATGTTCCAAATAGCTTTTAATTTTTAGTTCCCACAGAGCTCCGCGAGAATGGAATGCGTTCGGTGTCTGGATGGGCAATCTCGGTGAACAAATTGAAGGGATTGATGCAAGGCCATTCGACTATCGATCTCAACTGCCGTCTAATTATCTCTCGTGCTTATTTCGATCCTGTTGCTTTGTTACCCGAACCGATGTGAGTCAATACTTTAACAAGTTGGGAAAATCACTACTTTTTAGCTTTGCCGAATTGGTCAGTCCGACTGCAACTATGGTTCTGGATAAAGTTGTTAAGGGTGAAAAGACACCTCAGGTTTGTTTGTGGATTTATTCCCTTTTAATTTGTTTTAGTGGGATGTCGTTCTTACTTGTGGAGAAGGTGAACGCAAAGATTTCTTTGTGCACAAGAGTGTTCTAAGCGATGCAAGTCCTACGCTGAAAGTTGGAGAGTTTTTGATCTGCAATAGCTATTCTTTCTTTAGCTAGTAATGGCCAAACGGATGTCATGGGCAGGATGTGATCTTCTTTCTGTTTCCCACGAGGATCGCTTCATCATCACCAGCATGGACGAGGAGAATTTGATCTTGGTTTGAATCTTGAATTTAACTCAATGTATGTGGAATGTTTAGATTTTGAATTTTATCTACAAACGCAAGATGATTTTGCCTCGATACAATCAATTTGCGAAAGTCGGTCGTTTTATTAATGCCAATTTTCCTCGGTCAGTTGCATATTATAAAACATATCCGATCTGTTTCAGGGAGGTGTTGATGGGATTTCTTGTTCAATGGCAGCGTCTTATTGTCGAAGATGTTCTCAAGGCCAAAGTTTGTTTAAATCCGATTTGTTTATATTGTTATATATTGTTATTGTTGTTATTTTATATTGTTTTCTTTTACAGAAACAAAATGAGAATCCGGTGCTTCTTGCCGCTCGTTGTTTGCGTCATCTGACATCCATTTATTCGACTCCATATGGTGCGATGCCTGTTGCAAAGCGTGTTTGCGTCTCGTTGATGGCTGATATTGTATAAAATATTCGTTTTATATTATTGCCTCTCTTTTAGCTTCAAATCGTCGACGGACAAGGCGCAAGAAAGAGTTTCGACGAAGAGCTTGATCTGATTCCTGGCCTTCAAACTGTGCTCACTCAGCATATTGTGTTAGCTGTACAAAAAGTAACCTAAGATTTTTGCGTTTTACATTTTCTGATTTAGATTTCCTTCTTCATTTCTGGGGTGGCAAAACAAAGCATCTACTAAACTTAGATAATTTGGCTTCGATAATAAAAGGAATAAGCTCAAATTATTAAATAAACATTTTTTGTATTAGTTAGCGCCTGGGGAATAAATTCGTGTCCTTTTCTTTTGTTTTGTATATTTGGGTTTATTTTTTGGATAAAGAATTTTGAGAAAGTTACTTGGTGGTGATGAACTTTTTTTGTTCTTATTTAATAGTTAATCTTTATTTTGTTGATTTTTAAACTTGTTTCTTTTTAGTGCGGAGTTAAAAATTGTTTTATAGTATGTTTGAAATTAAATTAAATTAATTTTATAGTAAATTTTGAGGTGATCTCGATACCATTGTTTCTCGAGAAAGGTTTGATTTTCATTTTTGTTTGAGCTGTTGCTTTGATTCGTCAGTTCAGTAAAAGTTTCATGCTGGGTTGTTTGACGAGAAAACATAAATTCTTATGTTGCGGTGGTTTAGCATAGATACAGCCTCTATCCAAATACACTCACCGTTCCCATCAACCGATTCTTTTCTTCATCCCACAATTTTTCTCGATCTTTCCACAATTGCACTTCTCTTTCAGCTGATTCAGCGGAAAGTCGCCGGAATGAAACCTGAAAAAATGTTTACATTTATTGTCAATCTCATTTTCTTACAGATTCCATATCGAGACTCGAGACCGAATCATTCTCGATTTTCGCTCGCATTCCGAGGATTTTGTCCCTATAAAATTTAAAGTTTTATCTCGAGAAAAATTCTTAGATCATTTTATCGTATTACCGTAATCAAAATAAGCTATGATGATTATTGGAATTACCGTATTTCTTCGAATAGAAGACCCGGTAAAGAGTATCATCGCGTGCTCCTGCGTAGCAGCCCTTTTTAAAATTTCTTTTCTGCATAAAAGCTTTCAATGAAGTGCTATAGAGCTGGAAAATGGCTCAAAAATCTGTTAGCTCATGTGGTATTTTTGAGTCATTTTCCAGCTCTATAGCACTTCATTGAAAGCTTTTATGCAGAAAAGAAATTTTAAAAAGGGCTGCTACGCAGGAGTACGATACTCTTTACCCGGTCTTCTATTCAAAGAAATACGGTAAATCATCAAACTGTATCACTTACTCTAGCATTCGATTCCTTTCTTCTAAATAATGATTCTGATCGAGAAGGGTTTTCATTTCTCTCTTCGTCACTTCGTCAATCTGAATTTCTTTCTTCTTTCAAAAACGTCATTCTTTTTTGCAATTTCTCACTTTTACCTCAAATTTCTCTTCGTGTCCCTCCGTGGGCACAGTGGGGATTTTGATGTATTGAGACAAATCGACGGCGAGTGGTTGTTCCTGGAAAAAAAAGAGATTATAGAATCTTTAAAACTGGATATGTAACTAGCCTGTAAATGCTCGAAATCGATATGCAAATTGCAATTGAGCACGGAGAGTCCGATGAGTGAACCGATGATCGGCTCGGCTTCGGACGATCGGAGAATCGCCCACGAGTTCCAGCACTCACTGTAAGTACAATGCAAAAATTTATGGACACTTTATGTCTATAGATGGATCTGGTACTGGTTTGAACAATTTTGGGGTACGATAGTGGATGGTTGTCGAGTGTCGCTCACTTTATCTATTTTCAATAGTTAGTATCTAGCTAACAGTAGCTTATAGTCAGTTGGAGTTTATTGTTGCTTGACTGTGAGGCGAACAATGTAGACTATTTACCGGTGGTACGGTAATCGTCAATACAATATAATAGTCAATACAAGAAAGCACTGAATTTGTCGACATTCGACAAATCATCGACTTCTTTCGTACCTCAAAACGCTCGAATTGACGATCATTTGGAAGAGATCGGCCAGCCGTTTCTGCATCAACGATAACCGCAAAAGAGCTCGGATCTTTGAGATGGAGGTCCTGAAAAATGAATATTATAAAAAAAAAATGGCAATTATTACTTCAAATACTCCAATTGTTCGACACAAACATATCCTCTACAAGACGGATCTTCAGGATCGACTCTCGCGCGTGATTGCTCGAATTTTACGCATCGCCCAATCGCCAACCACAAATCAGCGTCCGGGCTTCGGAATGAGAGAAGTGAGCGTTGATCTTTAAAATCAAATTGTAGTATCTAATTTCTCAGACATTATTTAGATATAATTTATTTTTAAGAACCTGATGTTTTCAATCCGTGAAAGAGCACCTTCTCCAAAAGAATCAAAAAGTCGGAGAGTTGACTGCTGTCGCCTGGAAAATTTCATTGTAGAACATTTGATACGAGCCCTGATCCCTTTACCATTGACAATCCAACTTTAAGCTCAAATAGCTTGGTGTTGGGCTGTTCAATTTAAAGAGTTTTGTTAGCAATCGATAGAGAAAGACTTGGCGCATCTAATGATACCAAGAATATTTCAATTGGACAACCCAACACCAAGATATTTGAGCTTAAAGTTGAATTGCCAATGGTGAGAGGGGAGGGCGTATCAAATGTTCGATAATTTGATATTGACATAAGAATTACGGATGGCTACTGTAGTCAATCGATGAATATGAGCTAGATCTTAGACATATAAGCATTTGTACCCTCGATAATTCGATTGAGAGCTTTCGTCGAGTGATCCAACACCGAACGGATTACCAAACGCGTGATCGTCGCCAGGTTTGAGCGCTCGTTTTCTGAAAGGGAATATGCATCGATTTTGGATAAAGATTAGGTCAAAGGCTGGCACTGAACTGGTTTACAGAGGGTTTACAGAGGGCTTACAGAGGAATCTCAGTATCAGAGTATCAGAGCGATTCCCTTTTGTTGGCTTTGGCTTGACCTTAGCCTGGATTTTTAGCAAATCAATGCCAGCAAATCAATCAATGCCAAATAGTGATCAGTTTTACTGTGCTCATCTTAAATTGATGCATTTAAAAACAAAGCCAAAAGTACCGTACTCTTTGGGTTCTAGGTGATTCTCTGAAGAAATCGAAAAGTGAAAAAGTAGATAGATTGGATAAAAGCTAAAGGAGAAGCTTATGGTAGCCAAGTTTTAGAAACATTCATTGTTATTGAACAATAGCAAACTGTAAAGTATAGTAAAAACTGTAGAGAATCGTACCTCGATGTACTTTCTGTGCTCTTGTCAGCTCTCCATTTGAGCCAAAAAGATTTGAGCTCGACGTGAGGAAGTTCATTTCATCTGAAAAACGAAAATCTATATAAAAATTATAATAAAAACTTTAAATACAAAAATAATCTTTCCAAATAAGGTTGTTATAATATTTTGTGATAAAAGAATGCTTTCTCTTTCGCGGGGGATTTGTTGTGGTTTGTAGTCTCGAGAGTGGGAGAGAAAAGAGAGCTGTTTTACCCCCCCCCCTCTTACTCCATTATTTATCTTGCAAAAAAGATTTCGAATTTCTATCTACTATATCTATTTGAGGTATTTCTATCTATTATATCTTTCAATTATCGAAATTTACTTAGATAAGCTTTCTATTCTATGCACCCAGCGTTTTTGAGCAGCTTTCATCCAGGTATCGGCACGTTTTCACAGGAAAAAGTCTTAAAATCATAAAATCTAATCGTAAATAGCTTCGTATAACACTTATAATCTAAACTTATATATATGTTGTGTCCGATTTAGATTACAGTCTATATAGGACGTCCGATTTAGATTGAACTTATCGCGGGCGTCCGATTTAGATTACAGTCTATATCGGACGTCCGATTTAGATTCAATCTAAATCTTATATAGATTGAACAATAATACGTCTTGTATAGATTGAACAATAATATAAACATGCTTAATATATGTTCTTAAGCGTTTTCTGTAGTTTTCTGCATTTTTCAAAAGTCTTTTACTGTATTTTTCTGAAAAGAAAACCCAACTATGAAACAATTTATTAGCGTTAACAGTATATAAGACGTCTTATTGTTCAATCTATATAAGATTTAGATTGAATCTAAATCGGACGTCCGCGATAAGTTCAATCTAAATCGGACACAACATATATATATCTTTATAATATCTGATCGCTAAAGATTTTTTAACACTTTAGAACCACCAATCATTGCCAATTCCCGTTTTTCTTTATAAATGACCGCCTCAACGGGCGCACAACCGGCCACCACCGCCTATGGGAATAAAAGACGAGTAACGATTTTAGATTATAGATAGATTTTAAACAAAATATATTAAACTATAAATTAGCTTTGCTATAGAAAGCTTTAGGTATCCTTTGTGATACGAGAAACCGAAGAGAAACGCCCGCGCTCGTTCATCAATTGCCTGCAATGGGATCCGTCGACGAGTCGGCTGTTCACCGCCGGCGCAGACACGATTATCAGAACGTGGAGGTGAAGAATTTGTTTAATAAAGTAAAATAAGAAATGGCAAAGAGAGATTTCGGGAGAAGAGGTCGAACCCTCGACCTTTTCAAGAGCTACCGGTTTTCGAGTCAGATGCTCTAACCACTGAGCCGTCTGATATCTGTTTGGCAGGGAAGAAAAAGGGAATAAAGAGGAAGAGAAAGAAAATCTTACCTAAAGCTTTTAATTAAAAAGTTAGAGATAGAGATCTGAAGTTTTTTGTTTGCAAGTTGAGTCGAAGCCGTTTGATTGCGGATTTTGAACTCCGACAAACGCACGCCTTTTGGTACACTTGGGTTTTAAGTTTAAAAATCACAGTAGTATCTCTCTATTCAAAGTAAGCAGCCAAAAAAGATTGAATATCTTTCAGCTTCAATTATCTTCAGTCTTGCAAAAGCATTTTCATATCAGTACACGGACAGAAGGCTTTCTGTATTCTTGTTATTTTTCCTAATTCTTCACTTGTAGAACCCCGCGCGAGATGTCCTCCTCTTCAACGACTCCCGAAGCGCAGTACCTTGTCTCGATGGAACATCACACGGATTGGGTGAACGACATGGTGCTGTGTTGTGGCGGGAAATACCTCCTATCCGCCTCGAATGACACGACGGTGAAAGTATGGAATGCGACGAAGAACTTCTGCATGTCGACTCTGCGCACGCACACCGATTACGTTTCCTCATTAGCGTATGCCCGCGAGCAGGAAAGAGCCGCATCGGCCGGCTTCGACAATGCCATATTTCTCTGGGATGTTGGCACATTGACACGGTTGACATCGACGAATAACACAGTGACGACGTCATCACTGTCTGGGAACAAGAATAGCATCTACGCGTTGGCAATGAACCCGAGTGGCACGGTGATTGTTTCAGGGTCAACCGAGAAGATTTTGCGAGTGTGGGATCCGAGAACATGCCAAAAATTGCTGAAATTGCGCGGGCATACAGATAATATTCGGTCGGTGAATGAGAGAAGTTACTTATATGAATCTTTTTAGATCAATAGCAGTGAGTTCTGACGGGAAACAGTGCGTGTCCGGGTCTTCGGATGGAACGTTTCGTTTATGGGATTTAGGGATGCAGAGAACCATTTGGACGTCAAATCTGCATCATGAGGGTGTATGGGCGATGCAGGTGAGTGAAATTCGAGAAGAATTATCGGTACTAGTTATTGCACAGATTGTTTATCAAACTCTCATATCCATGGGTTTCTTTTGAGTGCTGTGCTTGCTTAAAAGATGGCAATTCGAAAAGCTATTGTGACCTAATCTTTCCTTTATCGAATTAACGTTTTCTAAATAGTTGATAATTCGGAAAACAACAGTAATCTTTCTTGATCTTCTTTTGATCTAATGAATACTTCTGTGAATCGAATTGAATCAAAACTAACAAGTGTTGTAGAAAGAAAAGAAAGAAAGAAAAGAAAGAAAGAAAAGAAAGAAAGAAAAGAAAGAATGGAAAGAAAGAAAGAAAAGAATGGAAAGAAAGAAAAGAAAGAATGGAAAGAAAGGAAAGAAAGAATGGAAAGAAAGAAAGAAAGAAAGAAAAGAAAGAAAGAACGAAAGAAAAGAAAGGAAAGATTACGATAGTTTTCCATATTGTCCACCTTTTAGAAAGCGCATTGCTCACAAAGAAATAAGCACACTAAGAAAGAAGCACACTAAGAAAGAAGCACACAAAGAAAGAAGCACACAAAGAAATAAGCACACTAAGAAAGAAGCACACTAAGAAAGAAGCACACAAAGAAAGAAGCACACAAAGAAATAAGCACACTAAGAAAGAAGCATAAAGAAGTACTCATTTTCCTAAAGCTCATTTCTTTTCTTATACAAACTAAACCACAGGTGGATGCTGGCTGGAATCATGTCTATTCGGGTGGACGAGATAAACGCGTCTATCGAACGGCGATCAACAATCACTCGAATTGGCAATTGTTGTTGACCGAAGAGGCGCCAGTTAAACAACTTTTACTTATCGAACCCGAGCAACCAAGACATTTGTGGGTGGCCACGTGGACATCAACGGTGAGAGGAAAGAAAACTCTAACTATATCAGTTTAACAGAAATAAGAAATAGTACTATAAAGCCTTTATTTGAGTGATTACTGTTGACTAATCAAATAAGGAAATAATCTATCAAATAGAGTACAATTTAACATAGTCTCTAGTATTTGACTACTGTAAAGCCTATTGTCTTAGCCTATGTCTACCTAATACAAATAAAAGTATACAGGTGCTAAGACTAGCTCTTTTTATTAAATGTACTGTAAAGATCCATTTGGATGAATATTTCAACTTCAGCAAACTTTACAAGATAACCAGTCTAGTCTATCACTTTTTATTTGATCTATTTATTGACTACTTATTGACTAAATTTTAGGTTCGGCGATGGCCAATTCCTCAAGGATCATCTCTAACAATTTCTGACGTTGACTCAAATTATGACCTCCGTTTTGAGGACCCAAAACCATTAATACCAAAAGAGGACATGGTCGTCTCAGGCGCTCCATCACTACGTCAACACATCGTGCTCAACGACAAGCGTCACGTTGTCACTCGAGACTCCATCGGCAACATCGCTTTGTGGGACATTTTAGCCGCCAAGAAACTCAACGAATGGGCCGATCGACCGATGGAAGAGGTGGTGAAAGAGAACTCGCGAAAGGTTTTCGTCCCATCGTGGTTCTCGGTGGATGTGAAGAGTGGAATGCTGCAGATAACGCTCGACGAGTCGGATGTTTTCTCGGCATGGGTGTCGGCAAAAGATGCTGGGATAAACGATAGTGATAATAAAGTGAATTACGGGGGAATGTTGTTGAGGGCGCTGTTCGAGAGATGGCCTGAGTGTGCAAGTGCGCCGGACGATCCGTCAATGATCGGCAATCCGAATGTGCCGCCGCATACACCGTTGATCATTTGTGAGGCAGCGACGGGTCGGCCGTTGTTCAGGTTAGTCTATTGCCGTATCCAAACAAAAGATATACAGCTAAACTGTTAGGATATAGTGCAAGTAGGACTAGTTTACCAGGGTGGCTGCTAGTTATCAAGGTGGCTGCTAGTTATCAAGGTGGCTGCTAGTTATCAGGGTGGCTAGTTATCAGGGTGGCTAGTTACCATTTGCCAAAAAGGCAAATGCAAGAAGATTTTCAGCATTTCAAGCAAGATCTTTAATTCTAGCTTTACCAGGTGAATTCCCATTTAATTCCCATTTCCCAATTTCAGATTGCTGGTTCGTGATGCGTGTTGTGAGGCTGAGTCACAACTTTTATCCGAAATTCTTCCAAATTGGGTGCTCGACGTTGTGCAAGCCGGTCAATTACCGAAATTCACGAAGATGCCTTTTTTCTTATTACCCCACTCATCTCTCCAACAGAAACAACCAAAGAAAGATCGATTGTCGGCCACGGAAATGCTACAGGTAAATGGGGGAAAATGATCGTAATTATATTTGAAATTAGGTCCGCAAAGTGATGGAGCATGTGTACGAGAAAGTGTTACACGGCGGCACCGAGTTCACATCGATTGAAGTAAGCTGAAAGGAGGGAGTAGGGGAAAGTTGCATAAGCTAGTGACTGGGACTGGACTGGATATTGGGGCTGAACTGGATATCTACTGTAAACAGAAGCCCATACAGTACATGAATTGAAAACAGAGTTGATAAACAAGCCAAGCCAATAGCTTTGACTTTGAATTTCAATCTAATCGTTAAATTTGATTAGTTTAACCTAAAATCTTTGTATTCGCTTAGTTTTTAATTTTTGGGAAATTTAAGAAATGGCAAAGGTAATGCTAATAAGCAATGGCAATGCTAATGGCAGCAATGCTAATGCCAATGACAATGCCAATGACAATGCCAATGACAATGCCAATGCCAATGCCAATGCCAATGCTAATGGCAATGGCAATGCCAATGCTAATGGCAATGGCAATGCTAATGCCAATGACAATGCCAATGACAATGCCAATGCCAATGCCAATGCTAATGGCAATGGCAATGCTAATGCCAATGACAATGCCAATGACAATGCCAATGCCAACATTTAGCTTCTTTTGTTAGTCCATTTTTGGAAGTGCTTTGCTAGAAAGCTTTCGTTGTTGAGCACAGAAGTAAAGAGTATAAAATTGATTTTATTTACATTACATGACAATCCAATACACTTTCCAGACTCCGCCCACTCTAAGCCGTTCGACAAACATTGAGAGTTGCCTCGAGTTGTATTGTAATGAGCAAAAATTGGACCCAGAGATGGATCTCCGCACAGTGAAACATTTCATTTGGAAACAAGGAGGCGATCTCATTCTTCATTATAAATATCTTAAATGAGTTTTTATTTTCCAATATTTTTAGGATATTCGAATTTCTCTTTCTCATCATTCATCTCGATCTTGCCTTGTAAATAGTATTTTTGTATTTTTGATGTGTTGCATAAAGCTTTAATGAGTTTATTTGCAGAGTTGAGATCGGTGAAGATCGTTGAACATCGGCGAAGATTTGAATCAAAGAATCAGATCAAGAAGCAGCTTGAATCTAATCTAGAATGAATGAAACAGCAGAAACACGGCAATCGTCTAGAAAAAGCTTCTCATTTTCTTTACAGTTGAGTCCAAAATAGTCACAAGTATCACTTTTTCAATCTCAGCATTTAAATAAAACTAACTGATAAGTTGACAAGGAAAGGGTCAGTTAGCTTCGACAATTGGCTTAGACTGATCAAAATTGATCCATTCGATGCTGAATTTTAGGCTGATTTCGAATGTTTACTTTGTTGTTGGCTAAATAGTGAAACTAAGTAAATAGCTTTTGGCTAAATAACTAAATAGCGAGATATCTTGGACTTGGAGGCATTTCTTTATTCAGCCAGTTGATCTTTTTGAGTAGAATATGTGTGATATTCGATTTCTACTTTATAACTGACAGATACCGTATTTTCTCTAATAGTAGTACACCCTGAGCGTCGCCTAAATTGCTCGAAATCTCGAGAACCGCTTATCATTGATGCTATTGATGTGGGGTCGGAAAATGTAGCTGACTTAGCTGACTTAGCTGACGTCGTTGACCTAGCTGACGTAGCTGACGTCGCTGACGTGGCTGACGTAGCTGACTTAGCTGACGTAGCTGACGTAGCCGATGTAGCCGACGTGGCCGATGTAGCTGACGTAGCTGACGATGAGATCTTGTGGAGGATTTGAGTGTTGAGCTTCTGCAAAAGCTTGGAAACCGTAAAATCGTGATCAACTCGGCTCGCCGGGGTACTATTAGAGAAAATACGTTAACTTACTCATGCTAAAATGCTAAAAATCTATTCCTAGACACTCTAAGTACTTTAATTCTTTGTTTTTTTCAAAATCTTTTTACAATAAAGCACAATTTATCTGATAAAGGCAATAGATTGCAATAATATATAAATCTTTCAGCAAAAAAAAAGCAATGACTAGTTTAAGATGAAAGAAAGTTAAAGAAATAAAGAATTCTTATTTAACACCGGCTAAATCTTTTGCTTAATAAAGAATACCAGTTTTTATTTGTGAATTAGAATTGGTTAAAGAAAATTTAAAAAAGAGAAAACCACCCGAATTTGATAGTGTGCAAGAGTGAGAAAATAAAATGAATAAGGTTTTTTTTTGGTTTTTGTTCTTTGTTCAAAACCAAGCACAAAAAACTAACTCAAAATTGAGATTCCATTAAACTTTTGTAAGATTATTATTGTTGATAGAGTTTTTCTCGGGAAAAAGCACATCAGAATGCGCGAGAAGAGCCTCAGCCGCTTTTTGTAGTCTTTTCGTGCCATTGGTCATCGCGGTAAATGACGAGAACTCGGGTCGGAATAGAGTTGGCCACCAAACCTGGAAACGGATTGAGTTTTTTTGAATCTTATTATGTTTATTGTTTTATTAAAGAGTAAATCCTGTCTCTAGTCTCCTATTCTAATCAACATTCATCAACGTCAACAACAATCAACACCAACAATCGACATCAACAATCAACATTCATCTAGAAAAAGCACGAGACACTCGTCAATAGTTTCTTAAAAAGCACCCAATAAAGTAAAGCTATTTTCTCTATTAAACTCACCTTTGATAGATTTGTGACATCCATAGCTGTCGCCGGTGCAGCAGCCACGTTTCTGAGATGTTTGAGAAGAAATGAGAGAGTGATTCGATTTGGAGTTGGAAGAGATGAAAGAGCTTGGGAGAGACCAGTCACAGTCTGTAAAAGGATTAGTTAGAAAAGCTGAAAGTTTTTGCTTCTGCTAAAGATCTTAAGCTAAAGAACTTGCTAAAGATCTTGCTAAAGAGCTTAAGCTAAAGATCTTGCTAAAGATCTTAAGCCAAATATCTTGTTAAAGATCTTAAGCTAAATATCTTAAGCTAAAGAACTTAGGTCAAAGATCTTGCTAAAGAACTTAAGCCAAATATCTTGCTAAAGATCTTAAACTAAAGATCTTAAGTCAAAGAACTTTAAGATTCTAATTTTTATAAGTAAAAGCCCCAATGTTTTACCTTTTCCCTATCTTCGTCAATGACCGAATCGGCGATTGAATCGTGAAAAGTCGTCGGGAGAACGGGTTCAGTCAATTGAGAGAAGAAATTTTTCAGCGCTGTCGCCACAACGTGAAGGGGTAACTCGATTGTGGACAAATCGGGAGCACTCTAAAAAAAATTGAAAGTATTAAGACATTGTTGAAAATCGATTCACAATTTGGTGACTTACATTTGACGCAAATTGTTTCTCAACTTCTGCTAGTTGAGATTGATTTCCGGGGATTCGATAGATCCCTTCTGTTTCCAGGCCGCCTTCCTGAAAGTTTAGATTATTATTTTTATATTTTTCTTCTTCTTCTTCTTATTAACTAGACTGCTAGACTTTGAAAACCATCAAAAACATCTGAAGCACTTGGTTAGAATGGATGTTGAAAAGCAGAATGTTTATAGTAATCTAAAACATACGGCTTCAATGAATTGAACACAACGAGCGAGGAAAAGAGGTAAACCACCACCACGAGCGCACTCGTCAGCAAGAAGACGGTTTGTGGTGACAGTCTGTAAATTTCTACGGTAACCAAAACTACGTACAGACTGTAATTGGACCCCATGGGGTACTATTTTTTTCCCTCTCCTCTAGGATGGGGTACTATTAGAGGATGGAGCACTATTAAAGGATGGGGTACTATTAGAGGATAGAGCACTATTAGAGGATGGGGCACTATTAGAGGTTGGAGTACTATTAGAGAATGGGGTACTATTAGAGGTTGGGGCACTATTAGAGGATGGGGCACTATTTTTACGTTTCCCCTCTAGAATGGGGTACTATTAAAAGAGTGGAGTTCAATTACAGTATTTACGATCATATCTTATTGATCTATTTCTTAAGCTTTTTTAATATTTCAGCTTTTAATATATACAAACCGATATTTCGGCTGATGTGGCTCGTCCATTTCTCTTCGGCGATCTTGATGGAAGCCACGTGAAAGTGGTAGCCACTTTTTCATAAGAGGCTGAAATGATTCGATAAGGTAAACAACAAAAGTATCATTTAAGATTCATCTATTATTTAACAACACTACAGTTTTACAAAAGCAGTGAGTAGTAGATAGTTTTGATGCCTTTTAGACTGATGAAAAGAAAGTACTTAAAGATAAAAGATCACAATATACAATCGAAAACCCAACCCTTCAGCACTTGTTTCCTTTCTGGTTGTGGTGAGGGTGCAGGTGATGGAGCGAGACTTGTCGTGTGTCCCTTTCTTCCCAATCGAAATGAAGAGGCCACTTTTCTCACCAATCCTCCGGATTGTGGTGCTGGGGGTATCTCTCCCTCCCCCTTTCTCTTCTTTTTCTTTTTCCCTTCCCTTATAAGCGATTCAGCTGATATCGATTCTTTCATTCCGTGCACAAGTTGTTTCCCCTTCTTTGTCAGCAATTCTCTCATCGAATTCCCGGCCAATACATCCATTGTCACCGAGCGAGAGCCGAAAAAAAGAGAGGATCGTTTCTCGAGTAATTTCGAGCTCTTGTGCTCTGGTTTCTCCATTGGTTCTTTGGATTTAGCTTTGCGAGAGTTAGAGGAAGAGAAGATTCCAGATCGAGGACGGAAAGATGAGGTTGATGAAGGAGAAGTGGTTGTTGAAGAGACACCAGAGGAAGAAGGGAGTGGAGAGAGACATGGAGCTGTCGAACGAACACGAACGACCGGTGATCGCATGAAGATGCCACCTAGATAATACGATCACTAACACAATCATTTTATTATTTTACAACAAAGAAAGCATTCAATGATTGCTATTTCAAAGAATGGATAGATCAAAATGGTTTGGTAAATCAGTTATGATTTACCTAGTAGATTGTAGGTACCTTAATAGATTAACTAGTAGATTGTAGGTACCTTAATAGACTACCTAGTAGATTGTAGGTACCTTAGTAGATTACCTTAGTAGATTGTAGGTACCTTAATAGGTTACCTTAGTAGATTGTAGGTACCTTAATAGATTACCTAGTAGATTGTAGGTACCATAGTAGATTACCTAGTAGATTGTAGGTACCTTAGTAGATTACCTTAGTAGATTGTAGATTTATCCATTCTTTAGAAACAATCTCAAACTTTGGAATCAATTTTCCAACAAACCCGTACTACTCGGAATGCTCGGGGGATTCGACGATCGATTGCTTCTGATATTCGGCTCGGAATTAAGCGATGATGATGGTGATGGAGCCATTGGAGGCATTTGTGATGAGCCGCGAGAGCTGCTTCTCTGAAAAAGAAAAAACAATTGAAACTATTTATTCATTTTCTTTTACCTTTTGACTTTTATAGCTCTTTTTGTCCTTCTGCTTCTCACTAACAACATCCTCCAGCGTTGCATAAATGTGCTCATCAGCATCCTAAACGATTATATACCATTTAATTATTTAAACGAATATCTTAAAGTTAGAAGAATTAAAAGATACTCAGTTCTCACATCTGAAAACCTTCTTTAGCAAGACGAAGCTGAAATTTACAAGAAAAATGATAGTGTTTTAAGTTTACAATACAATCACAATGTAAACCTGCACAGTCGAGTACTCTGGAGCGATATCGATGAGTTCGGGTGTGGCAAGTGGAGCTGTATCAACTAGATGAATGGGTGAAGGGCCAGGGAAAAGTAGACGCGGCGTTGGTGGAGCTCTTCTTCTCACCGCTGCACTGTCCCCATCTCGACCAAGACCGAAACCGAATCGCCGCTAAATCGATCTCGTTTTAAACTTGCAATCAGTGGAAATCAAATCGATATTTACTGGTGATTCTTGGTCTCTTTTAGAAGCAAGTTTACCCGTTGTGATGGAGCTGGTTGGGGTGGGGAGCGAATCGTTGGCTCTGACGTTCCTTCGTACACTGAAATCGAATGAAAATCGTCTACTATGCAAAGATTTTCAACTGTAGATATTTTAAAAAAGGCAAATATCAACTGAAAAGTTAAACTTTCTGTTTTTCCGTAAATTCTAGGTCAAGTCAATGCCAAGGACAAATCAAGGTCAAGGCCAAGGTCAAGGCCAAGGTCAAGTCAAGGCCAAGGCAAAGAGCAATTGAAAGCCATTGGTTTGGCTAGGATACAAGGCTAGCATTCTGCTTGTAAATTTTACCTTGCACTGGTGCTCTCGTGAGATCTCTTCTTGGTGGCGGTGGTGGATGTCGGTGATTGTGATGTTGTTGATTATTGTTTTGTGGTGAAGAAAGAAATTGAGCCGATTCGGATCCTGATGAAGACGAGCAAACCATTGCAGTGGCTGGTCCTAAAAATTGTTCAATAGAAATTTCACTATCGATTCTAAATGATTAATTCCTTTCTGCACAAATACTTGTGAGAAGAGTGAAGAAAGAAGAAGAGAAAGAAGAAGAAAAGAGAAGAGAAAGAAGAAGAGAAAGAAGAAGAAAAGAGAAGAGAAAGAAGAAGAGAAAGAAGAAGAAAAAGAAGAGAAAAGAAGAAAAAAGAAGAAAGAAGAAGAGAAAGAAGAAGAGAAAAGAAGAGAAACGAAGAAAAAGAAGAAAAAAGAAGAGAAACCTAGTAATATTTGTCAATAGGGCGTTTATAAAACGAGAAAAATGATCAGTAAGAAACTGAAAAGAAAAAGAAATCATAAGGAATGTGCCCAAGTGAGTCAATTAGAGTTTAAAATAAACTCATGATTGGATAGTAAAGGTTGAACTTGAAAAGTTTTGAAAAGGTCAACTAGGAAAGGTGTATGATTGCATAACTTTGACTTAAATCTACTGTCTCTCAGCTATTGTCTCCGCAATAATATTAGCTCCTGAAGTATCACAAATTAGAAGTGAGTTGAAAGAATATCAAGCTATTATGGGTAGGTATTTCTTATAGTACTAAAATCCGACTGAATAAAGTTTACCATTGAATAAACTTTTGTTAAATGAATACAATTTAGATTCCTGTTCTCATTATATTCCCCACAAATTGAGAAAATCAAGCGACTCATTATCGGCTCAAAAATAACAACTTTATATAGCTATTTAGCAAATTTACATTACAATTACATATAATCTAACTAAAGAAAGCTTGGCTTAAGCTTAAGAAAGCTTAGCTTAAGAAAGTTTAAGCTTAAGCAAGCTTAGCCTAAACTTAAGAAAGCTTAGCTTAAGAAAGCTTAGCCTAAGCTAGCTTAGCCTAAACTTAAGAAAGCTTAGCTTAAGCAAAGCTTAGCCTAAGAAAGCTTAGCTTAAGAAAGCTTAGCTTAAACTTAAGAAAGCTTAGCTTAAACTTAAGAAAGCTTAAGAAAGCTTAGCTTAAACTTAAGAAAGCTTATCTTAAGTTTAAGAAAGCTTATCTTAAGTTTAAGAAAGCTTAGCTTAAGCTTAAGAAAGCTTTGATTTATTTGCAAATTTTGAAATGAAACAAAGCTTTTTAATTGGATACAAAAGAAAAGTACTCAATTTAATGTTGAATTGCTGGAGGATAACCAAAAATAATTAAAAATCTTCAGCTAGCAAAGCCAAGCTAGCAAACTAGCAGCTAGCAAACTAGCAGCTAGCAAACTAGTAGCTAGCAAACTAGTAGCTAGCAAAATAGCAGCTAGCAAAATAGCAGCTAGCAAAATTTCTTTAATCAATAAGGAATAAGATGGGTTATGATAATTTGCGTCAGAAGAAGAAGAAAAGAGGAAATGGAAGAGCAATGGGAAATGATGAAAGAAAAGAAAAGGAGGTGGTTGAGTGGGTGGTTAATTAATCGAATCCCCGGCCACCAATTCATTGATGAAAGGGTAAGGGGGTAAGGATTGAAGGAAAAAGACCCGTCTGTCTTTTCCTCACTTAATTCACCCTTTTCCCGCCATCACAACGGACGGTGATAGATAGATATAGAAAAATAGACACACACACACACAAAAATATCTAACGAATAAAAGAGATATTTATCATATAAAAACATCAATTTTTCGTTAAAGACGCAATAAGAGAGCCTATTTCAACCTGTCTGCTTACTATTAGACTAATATGCTTACACTAATATGCTATTACTATTTGGAGGAAGATGGTTGGTTAGGAAGAACATGGTTGGAGAAGGAAGATGATTGGTTAGGAAGAAGATGGCTGGACAAGGAAGAGGATGGTTGGAGAAGGAAGATGATTGGTTAGGAAGAAGATGGCTGGACAAGGAAGAGGATGGTTGGAGAAGGAAGATGATTGGTTAGGAAGAAGATGGCTGGACAAGGAAGAGGATGGTTGGAGAAGGAAGATGATTGGTTAGGAAGAGGATGATTGGGGAAGGATGGTTGATTCAATGATCCCTAAGATCTTAACAGTAACGTTAAGCCAGATCAAGAAATCAACAATTCCCAGTCAACGTGGCTGTCAGTAGTCCCGTTGAGTCATACAGCGCAAAATAGCTGCCACCCCTCCCAGCCCCCTCTTTCTTCTCACCAATGAAGAAATGGCCATGGGAAGGAGGGAAAATTAGAAAAAGATGGATTCCATCACATTTCTTTCCCCAATAGAATGAGGTGCCAATTTCTTTTCCCGTTTTCCAATCCACCCAATTCTATAATTTCTTCTCTATGCATGGAATAAATGAGAAAATTTTTGGGTTTTTGGAATAAGATAGATTATTTATAGTTGGTGAATGATGAAAGAATATAAAAAAAAAAACTAAGAGCTTAAAGAGTTTCCCATTCAAAATTAGCTTTAAACAAGATCAGGGAAAGGTTTGAAGCGAATTTCTTGATTTCTTGATTTCATAGTTTCTATAAACTGGAAACAAGCATGGCTCTGAATTCGTGGACTTAATTTTGATCTCATCCAATTCGGAGTTTGATTTCAGATCATGATCGAGTAAAGCGGAGAAAATCTAAGGGGAAAATTACGATAGATTTTCGAATTTTTAAGAAGTAAGAAAGATTACGGTAGTTTAGAAAGCACTCCTTTAGAAAGCACTCCTTTAGAAGCCACTCCTTTAGAAAGCACTGCTAGCTTTTTAATTCCAAAAACTTTACCCAACAAAACATGACACTATCAAAATCAAAATCTTTCCCAAAAAAGTAAAGAGATGATGGTTGGGGTTAAAGTTTGTGGAAGCCCATGGGATCTCATTTTATGAGAAAAATGGAGAAGAAATGACAATGGGATTTTCAGGAAAAAAAAAAGAGAAAAAGAATGAGATGGAATGGGACACAAAAAATGGACAGATGGAGGGTGAAGAGTGAGAGGGGAATGTGATGAGATGACAGCAACAAGACAACAAAGTATTTCATGGGCAAATGGAAAGTTAACGGAGGAAAGAAGAAAAGGCCAATGACTTAGCAATAAAATGATTGTTGGGGTTGATGGGATGTGTTTAAAATTGATTCGGTCTAGCATTGATCGATTGAAAGCACAAAGTACAATTCACCTATTATCTTATCTTTCAGGGGTTATCTTTCATTACATCGTTTTGGTTGTTTTCGATTGGACGACTGATCGAGATCTTCTACCCGAGAAAGCCGTGCCAAAGGTTCATTTTAAAGAGAATCGAGTCGACTGAGGAGGCCTTTTTTTCAATTAGACTTATAAAAGAGCGATTTCAATTTAAAGCATTAAACTCTCATCTCGAAATAAAAGGTTATTGGCATTTAATTGGCGAGCAGATGAGTGCATTTTATCTGTCGTTGATTGTGAGAGATTGTGAGAGATTAAAACTAAATCTAATAGAGTTAAAAAGATCTTTATAAAGTTTTTTAAAAGGTGAAGAAGCAATAAACTAAATCTCTCAATGAGAGGCTCAAATCTGAAAGAAGAAATGAAGGCTTACTTGCGATCACTTGCTGTTGTTGTGATTGTTCAATTCCGATCGTTCTTCTCCTTTCTGCATCAGTCGAATTTGCATGAATGGTCTCTTCTTTAAATTCTCCATTCATCCCAGCTGTCGACTCTCTTCTCGTCACATTTGTATCACTCGATGCACTGCCTGATTCCCGTCGTGGCTCGTTCAGCGTCGCATAACCGTCACTAAAAAGGAAAGTCATCTTTTTTTAAAGTTAAAGTTACTTTTACATTCTAATTTCAATTGGCATTTAGATTTTTCAAAACTTTTCCCCTACCCAACATGTCCCCATAGATATGCTCGAGTGAGAACACTTGTATCATAAAAGATCCAATCTGGTAACTTCATCCGACAAGCATCAGCTCTCAAATGATTAAAAAAAGTAAATGACGTCAAATGTGGAATTGAATTCAAAAAAAAAAGATCAAAGGGGAAAAGTTGAAAAGATTTTGTGAAAGAGGGAAATGATTGGATGTTTGGTGATGATTGGAGGAAAGATTTGATGGGCAAACTGTTTGGAGGACTCGAAAAAAAGAGTTGTCAGTGCCGAGAGCCGTTTAGATGTTGATGGGGTGGAGAGGAAAGGGGGAAAGGGGGAAAGGGGGAAAGGGGGAAATGGGGGACACGCTCAAGTCCTCTCCATCAATAGACCACAATTTGAAGTAAACTAGGGGTGAGTTCAAAGATAAGTTGTTGGATAAGTAGTTGTTATAAATATAGCAACGAACAGGTATGGACATTCTTACAAATATCAACATTGAATAGATCTAATTTTCTACAATATTGAAGAAGTACTGAAACAACTACAATACGCTGCAGCTACTGGGACAACTAAAGTATTGATGAAGCTACCGGGAAAGCTACAGTAGACCGGGAGATCTACAGCAGACCGGGAAAGCTACAGTAGACCGGGAGAGCCACAGTAGACGGGGAGATCGACAGTAGACCGGGAAAGCTATAGTAGACCGGGAAAGCTACAGTAGATCGGGAAAGCTACAGTAGGCCGGGAGAGCTACAGTAGACCGAGAAAGCTACAGTAGACTGGGAGAACTACAGTAGACTGGGAGAACTACAGTACGCTGTAAAGCTACAGTACGCTGTAAAACTACAGTACGCTACATCTACAGCTACTGGAAGAGTTACAGTACACCGGAAGAATGAATACCACAACAAATTCGATTAATTTAAGATATTCAGTCTTTTCGGCTGATTGCTGTTGATTCTGGTATACTGTAAGACAAAGGTTGGCTTTAGGTAAGGACAATTAAACTGGAGTGATTCGTACAAGTTCTTCAACACCTTCAAATCCTTAAACCCAAGAAATCTCAACCATTTGGCAACCAACGATTAGCAAAAAGTGAAAGAAAAAGTTGAAAGCTTTAAAAGTGTTCTCTTTGAAGAAAAAAAAATAGCCATCAAGTTGGTCAAGTCTTGAGATGAGAGGAAATGAAAGAAAAATCGGAAACGAAAGAGGGAAACGACTGTATTCAGAGCTGTCAACGTGTTAGTCTCTCTTCTTCTTTCCCCCCTTCCGTTCTAGAGAAGATCTGTTTGCATGGGAGTGTTTTTTCAATAAGAAAAATGGGTGGATTCTTTGAGTTCTTTGAGTTCTTTGAGCAATTCCTTCACCGCACTTTGATCATTTCTCTATCAAATATTAAGCTATGTTTGTTTAGATCTGAATCACCTCTCCGAGAAAGGCTACGAAATTTCTATTTAATTCTATCTAAAACTTCGATCTATATATCTGTTTTCAATTAAATTCAATTTCCAATAATAGCCTCGATAAAATGAATAACTCGAATCGATTCCCCGACCCCGAAAACCCCAGGGTACAAATTCTAAACATTAAATCACATTTGGCAATCCTTCCCAATACAAAACAAATCTCTATGTAATGATAACAATGACTGACGAGATGTTCTTTGTGCGGCCGGGTAATCACCAGCCATCTGGCAAACAGTTCTGATAGATACCCGATAGATCTCGAACCGTCCAGATCCCCGAACCGTCCAGATCCCCGAACCGTCCAGATCCCCGAACCGTCCAGATCCCCGAACCGTCCAGATCCCCGAACCGTCCAGATCCCCGAACCGTCCAGATCCCCGAACCGTCCAGATCCCCGAACCGTCCAGATCCCCGAACCGTCCAGATCCCCGAACCGTCCAGATCCCCGAACCGTCCAGATCCCCGAACCGTCCAGATCCCATTTCCAATCCTCACCTATCATTTCTGCTATCCACCGAGCGATTCGGATTCTCGAGTCGTAACGAAAGAATTCTTCCAACAAAGCACATCCAGGCACGAAGCTAGAAATGAAAGAAATAAAAGAAAATCATAAACAAATCACCAAGTTTTCATTTGGGCTCTGGGTGAGTTTTGTGGAGACAAAAATGGCGCCAACACTTTCAGCCACCTCTCGGCTTTCATTCTCGATTTGGGTTTCCTGGAAAAGTTCGAAATTCATTAAGAACCTATTTTTTTTTATTTAAAATTGAAAAACAAGAAAATGAAACCACCAAATTTCTTGAACTCACCATTTCCCCGCTTTCCGTTTGCCCTTCATGAACGGCGATCAAGAGGATTGGTCTGAAGGATATTAAATAAAGATTTTAATTTTGATATATCTTCAATTTGATTTGATATATTTGAAGCACTTTATAGCAATAAGCAATAAGCAATAAACAAAATAGTTTTCATTTGAAAAAACCTTATTTGTTGTGGTGTTTCGAGATCATTCAACAAGCGACACACCGCTGCTCGGGCACTCGCCCACGAGGATCGACGTCTAAGATTTATAGCAATAAAAAAAGCAATAAAAAAGCAATAAAAAAAGCAATAAAAAACCGTTTTCATTTCAAAAACCTTATTTGTCGTGGTGTATATTTCAATATCTTTATAGCAATAAATCAGCACAAGAAAATCGATAGATAATCTAGGCTTTTGAAGATTTCTCTCTAGTTTTACCTAGTTGAATAAACGAGTGCATGACCATGAGTCGAGTAAGCGTGACGAGCAGCAATCCATGAATGAATCGATCCAACTCTGACATCGACACGAATCGAGCTCTCATCCAATTGCACTAATTGCGGAATGACACCGGCTAAATTGAATCATAATAAAAGCGTAAAGATTGAAAATTTTTCGCCACCTCTTAGTGGATTCGGATGCGGCAAAACGGTGACTAGCGGCGGTGAATGAAAGTTTGAGAGAAGTGGCTCCAAAGAGAAATCCCCACACGGCGCTGACAATCTCACTCGAATGTCGGCTCTTCCTCCTTCTAATGACAGTGCACAAGATGTCTCGAGTACTCGAACCAATTGACGACGACTGAAATTCTCATGTTCTGTCTTTTTTGAGAAGCCTAAGCCTAAGCCTGAGCCTAAGCCTAAGCCTGAGCCTAAGCCTAAGCCTGAGCCTAAGCCTGAGCCTTCAGCCTAAGCCTTCAGCCTAAGCCTTCAGCCTAAGCCTAAGGCCGAACAGTTTTTATTTTACCCAAAAATCGCAGAATCAATTGCCCTTCCATTCTCGCTATCCATTGCATCAACTCCAGCAAAAATCGTGCCCATCAACTCAGCCATATTCCCTCCCTAAGCAATTTTGAAGATCATTTTTAGCTATTCAATTGAACTGTAATAAGTCATCAGTTGTATTTAATGAATCTACAGTAACCGACTACAGTAATCCTTTTAAATTATCTCATTTACTTGTTGATGTAATCGCCAGCAAATCGCTTCCATCACTCGGATCGGCTACAGCGACGAGAATCGGTGGAAAGTGCTCGTTTGAAGAGATCGACTCACTCGGTGTTGAGCCATCTAAAGTCATCAATTGTCAAATTCTATTTAATCGCTTTTCTACAGTAAGCCTAAATATTTAAGACTCACCTAACAAGTAAACAGTGACCGCGAAATCTTGTGGTGTGTCATCAGTGCCTGAAAAGCAGTGAATCCGCGCGAGACCGCACGATGATTGAAAGGGTTCTCCGTGAAGAAAACACTGTAAAAAAAATTATATAATGTTTAAATTCTATTCAATATCAAAATCTTTAGTTAATCATTTCATATCCGAACTAAACGAACCGCTAAATCAGTGATGAACTGGGCGACATGCTGGGGTTTCCCGTGAACGTTTAGGCTCACAATTGGCAAAGAATTCGGTTCAAACCTAAACAGAGAACTCTTTGATTTACTTAAAAAAAAGATATTACTATTTGAACTTTAAAATTTCTTCAACATTTTTCGGTTTGCCTTCTTTAAAATAAGACTTCTTTGCCTTTCAGAAGACTAAGCAATTCATAAATTTTTCACTTTCTAGATCCTACAAAAGTTAGAATGTTAGAATTTTTTCAGTCAACTGGGCCACTTCTTTTCGCTTCAACAGTTCTTCTTTTGTTTATGCTTATATTCGAGCTCATTCAAAATCAACTCTTATAGAGTAAAATAGAAAAGTTCCCAAACTCCGAGACTCGTAACGGAATTTGGAAGTTCAACTTTGACTCAAATTTTCTCGATGTTCTTATACATGAGTATACAAAACAAATTCTACTTTTCTATAACCAAATTTGATGAGGATCATTTTAAAACTAGCCCCAAATCGACCTGATTACTGAGAGTCGAGTTATAGAGTAAAATAGAAAAGTTCCCAAAGTCCGAGACTCGTAAGACTAGGATTGTTTTTGTCAAACCAACCCAAGAAACGAGGACAATAATCCATCAAATGGGGCCATCTCGAGACATCTCGATCTACCGACACAAAGTGATGGTTGAGAGTGAGCTGAATTGTTTAAAGGATTAAAGATTATTGTCGCTTAAATCCCTAATCATTTACTCTTTTTTAAATATAGACTTTAAAAAGAAAGTTATGACTAAATTAAACAGATTTTTTCAAAGATATTTCTAAATTATTAAGGCTTTATTAAGGCTTTACTTTTTAGGCTTTTTAGGCTTTAGGCTTTTTATTCTTTATTTCTTTTTATTAAGTGACGCACTGACCGATGAACGAGCAAAAGGTTGAGATCATTCCATCGCGGAGCTCCCACAAACGAGAAAGTTGACGATATCTGAAAGAATGATAGATAAAATAAATATTCTAGATAAAGCTTTTGATAAGATAGATAAATATCTAAATAAATAAATAAATAAATATCTAAATAAATAAATATAAATTACCTAGTATCATCTTGTAGCACAGTTCGCACTAAGGCCAGCTCGTTCTCTGTCGGTAGATAACTGAGCCCACGGGGTTGACGATCGAAACGGCTACGACGGACCAACTAAAAAAATTTTGTATGTGAAATTTGAGAATCGATAATCGATAATTGATTTATTCTAATTTTATCCTTTATTTATTCATCACTATTTTTATAAACAAACCTCTGCAAAAAGCTCGATATTCTCTAGAAGACACTCGGTGAACTCGACCTCAGCTCTTTTAATCAAATCACCCTAGAAATTTGTTTTTGATTTGCTTTTTTCTTTTTTATTCAATAGAATTTTATATAATGTTACTTGATATCGATTGTAGACAAGCTCGGCATGAGCTGGAGCCAGCGCCTCATAAGATGAGGCTCCCTGGAGGAAAAGAGAGACCTCGGCAAGCGATCTACCCGCACAAATCTGGAAAGAATCAATAAAAAGATAAATGGGATAATAGCTTTAAAGTGAAAGGCATTGAGTCAAGCTGGCCTTTTGACTCGAGACCAAATCCATCTTCGGCTATGGGGAACTCGAATTGATTTTAGTTTTTGCAGAACGTTTTGCAAACGCGAGATATCTAAATTATTTCTAAATGAAGCCGGCACATGCTGCCTCGATAACTGCTTCAATGGTCTAGTGGATAGTCTACTAGACTACCAAACCTATGACATTCTTTGGCCTCAAGTTCGAGTCCCACTCTCGCTTCGAGATCCCCATGACCGACTCCATAAGATGGATTTGATCTCGAGTCAAAACGCCAGCTTGACTCGGTGTCTTTCTATAGATAAAAATGCATAGATACTTGTGAATTGCTGGCCAGTAATGCTTCGAAATCCTCCTCTAGTCGCTCACGGCGTTGCTCTTGCTCGACGTGTTGCTAGAATCGAAATTTTCACCAAATTTTTTGGATTCTTTGATCAAGATAAGGTTTTAGTGGAAGTAGATAGTTCAAAAATTCTTTCCAAACCTGAAATTCTTCATAAGTTGCCCTCGCTTCAGCTCTGAGAAGAATCTCAGCGGGTATTCTATTATCCCCTCTCATCGAGCCCACTGTCCCATATCCGCTCTCGATCGGACTCGAAATCGGCTCAAGCTGTTTGCCTAGATTTGAATCATTCACAAAAATCACTTGACTCTTTGCTGCAAGCTTTGCTTTAACAAGGCTTTAACAAAGCTTTAACAAGGCTTTAACAAGACTTTAACAAAGCTTTAACAAAGCTTTAACAAGGCATTAACAAGGCTTTAACAAGGCTTTAACAAGGCTTTAACAAGTCTTTTATAAGGCTTTAGCAAGGCTTTAACAAAGCTTTAACAAGGCTTTAACAAGGCTTTAACAAGTACTAACTTAGTGCTCCAAGCGGTTGGAAGAATTCATCGAATAGCGGATGTTGATGGATTCTTTCATTTGCTTCACTCCACGTTAACGACATCAACTCTAGAATGTTTTTATGGAAACCTTTTTTAGCTTTTTAAGCCATTCCCTACCTTTTCTTGATAAAAGATTGCCGAAAACACGTGGAAGTTGTGGGAACAAGGCACGGAGGCTAAAGTTCAGCCATTTTCACATATCTTCTTTTAAACTTCTAGATTCTAGAGCAAAAGCTATATCGTTAGAGCTATATCGTTATCGATATCGATATTTTCTTTATATCTTCTTAATCTTATTTATATTTTCTTATCCATAGCTTCTCTCCATTTTTATCCATCTATCTCATTCTAGAGCTTCTTAACACGAACCGTGCTTTTGTCCAGTGCTCTCTCGCCTCTTCAACATGTCTCTCATACAATTTTCTGGCTGCCAACAATCCATAGATTCTAAGCGATCATTTCCATTTTATTTTTCAATTCCCACTCACTGTACAAATCGTTGATAGACGAGATTTCGATTGATCGAGAATTCGGAGAGAAGACGATCGAATGATGGCCGTCTTGATGGCCATTCCTCCACAGGGACACAACCTTTCAAAATCGAGATGTACGACTCTCTAAAAAATTACTGGAATTATTCAAAATTTTTGTATTTTATTTTAAAATATTTCCTAAAGTATTATGTGAAAAACTTTTAAGCCAAATATTCAAAGCCAACTATTCAAAGCCAACTATTCAAAGCCAACTATTCAAATCTATTCAAATCTTTCGAGTTATGCAGAGAATTTTGATCACAGCTTTGAAGCCTCTTGCCCTAGGTGTTTTTCAGAAAGCGCACCTTGTTTTGGAATATCTTCAAGGTATACTGCACTTCTAATGTACAATAGGAAACTGATGAAATCATGGAATCTGTTAAATCATCTAACTATCAGTTCTGTTGAATCACTAGTTAAATTTTTCAAATCTTGATTTTGGTGCTAAAGCCGTTCTTGGTTCACTAATCTAGTCCTAGTTAACGGAAAATTTCCCAACTTTTATACTTGATCAAACCAATTCCCGTCATTATCCCGTCATTTTCTCAATATTATTCAATTTGTCCCCCCAAATAGATGACACGTATCAGCCGTTCATTAGGCAAAAAGATTCCTCGAAGGCTCTCACGCGAGAGAATTGCCCTTTTTGGGGTCTTTCTCTTTCTTTTCTCTTTCTTTTCTCTTTCTTCTCTCTTTCGTTTCTCTTTCTTCTCTCTTTCTTTTCTCTTTTCAAATCCCTCTCCCATCTCATCACTTGAATGCGCTAAACATATGCTAATTTTGTCCTCCATTTTCTCTTTCTCTTCTATTGCTGCCTAATTGAAACATGGATGGGAGAACTTTTTATGGGTGCTGTAGAGCTACTTAGCTGTAGAGCTAGAGGCTTAGGCTATGGGTGTTGTAGAGCTAGAGCTACTTATGGGTGCTGTAGAGCTACCTATAGTTTTTCCCATCTAATTTATAAACGAAATTTTCCCTCACCTAGCTTCTAGCGCTTGCAAATTGACAGCACGGAACGCGTCGGCGAAAAGTTGAATCTGGAATTGAAAAGAGCTTTGATTTTAAAATTAATTTGAGGCTTCTAGTTGAAATAATTCGAATTAGCTTCAAAAAAAATGTGTACTTTCAATCGATGCTTCCATTTGAGAACCAATTGCGCGACACTCAGGAAAACCTCGTCCACATTCACACGTTTCAGCGCCGATGTCTCAATCTGAAGACGAATTTAGGAAATACATTTATTTACACGAATATTGTGGTACAAAAAAATACACAAGCATAACCTCTAAGTCCTGGGGAAAAAAGATATCTATAGGAAAAAGAGTTAACAATCTCTTGATTGAGCTCAATCTTGATTGAACAATCTAGAGATTGAGCTCTAGCTCTCTAGAGATTGAGCTCTAGCTCTCTAGAGATTGAGCTCTAGCTCTCTAGAGATTGAGCTCTAGCTCTCTAGAGATTGAGCTCTCTTGACCTTCTGACTGAGAGAAATGGCTTTTAGCCAGTCGGCCATGGTGGCTAATTGGCTCGACATGAAAGAAGAACTTAAATTTGACCAAAACAAATAAACTTACAATTGGGAAATGATGAGATCGAAGGTGTGTAGAGTGGAGTGTTTCTTGGAGAAGAGATCGTCCCTCATCGCTTGACGAGTCGAATTTCGAGGCGGCGATCACGATTGGGCGTTTCGTTTTAACAACATGCGAGAGGATTTCTGCAAAACGGATTCTGATTTCATCTAGATTTTTTTTGGCTAGTATGGATTTTAATTTCATTTTTTCAACTATCATATTGTGGGTATCGTAATATTGGGTTGGTGAATTGAGAACTGCCGCCGATTGTCATATGTGATAGAAAACAGCCATTTTTTGGCTCTGCCGCCCTTTACTAAAATAGCTGTAAAAACTTTTAGAAAAATGATATCTCAAAACGGTTTTTACCAATCGATCCGTCTTGAATTCAGCTTTAGGATGAGCTATAAAATGTCAAAATTGGACAAATTTAAGGTACTCTCCCAAAAAATCGGAAAGGACTTTTCCACCAACCCAATAATTTCAGCTATCATATTGTGGCTATCGTAATATTGGGTTGGTGAATTGAGAACTGCGGGATATTGTCATATGTGACAGTTTGAGCACTTTCTTCAAAAGAAACCCATTTTGGTGTCAGCTATCATATTGTGGCTATCGTAATAAATATGAAATTTGATTAGTTGATCAAAAAAATTCACACAGAAACCCAGGAAATTCAAAGAAATTCAAAGAAATTCAATGAAATTCAAAGAAATTCAATGAAATTCAAAGAAATTCAATGAAATTCAAAGAAATTCAATGAAATTCAAAGGGTTTTCATCACTGTTTTCTTGAGAAGATTCGCTTCAAATCGAAACTACAAGAAGTAAACTGAGCTTGAGTCATATTTTGTGGTTTATTTTTCGGCTACAATAATTTAGAATAATGAGTTTGAGGGCCGGAAAACAGTTCTTCTCAATCAAAACCAATTATGCGCTTTAATAGGATATTATAGTATCGTTTTTCTTTTGAAAACTCACGTTGTGCAGCATGAATATGCTTTCCAAGATCTCTTCCCGAAACTGAAGAAACGTCAAACACAAAAACGAAGCCATCGACTGAAGTTTTCCCATCGGGGAGAATCCGTTGCGGGAATTCAGCTTCTTGCCCAAATTGTTCCTGAAAAGCATAATTCATTGAATATTTGACATCTTTTCAATATCGTTAAGCTTTTTAGAATATACCGTATTCTCTTTAATAGTAGTGCACACTGAGCGTTGTCTAAATTGCTCGAAATCTCGAGAACCGCTTATCAGAACCTATCGATGTGAGGTCGGAAAATGTAGCTGACGTCGCTGACGTAGCTGACTTAGCTGACATAGCTGACATCACTGACGTAGCTGAGGTAGCCGATGTAGCTGACGTAGCTGACGAAATGTAGCTGACGATGAGATCTTGTGGGGGATTTGAGTGTTGAGCTTCTGCGAAAGCTTGGAAACGGTAAAATAGTCACCAACTCGGCTCTACTATTAGTGAGAATACGGTAACTATCATTTAAAGCATTTGTGAGCCTTCAAAAACTGATTTTGTTATCTAAGAGTTGATCAAATCCAATTGAAAATTCGTTTGGAGCTACGAATCAAGAAATACAATAGTTGAATAGCCTATTCAATCAATTTTCTTATATGCAAATCTTCAAACCTTTTGTATATACATCAATTTATCTCGGCTTTCCAATTTTAGAGCAACAACTCTTTTCGAGTAGGACTCTGGAGTACACGGACCGGCTAGTGGCTCGAATTCGACATCGTCAAGGAAAACGCTCTGAAAACAACGAAAATGAGTTTTACTTGATATTCTCTTTCACTAACATGTTCAATCAATCGTATATTTGTTGTCTCATCTTCATGATGGATCTCCCGTTCACCCCAAAACAACCAATGCTCGTTGTTGATCACCGCCGAGCCAGAGAAATCCGTCTGAATTTTGATCTGAGCTTTATCTTTGATTTTTTTTTCTTTCAATGTGCTTTGCAAAAACGATCATTGAGTGAATTGTTTAAAAGAAAAACGATTGATTATTGGATTTGAAGTTACTAGTGATTTGATTGCTTCAAAACCTGATCTCTCAAAAGATTTTGAACTTTTTGCTCTTTTCTTTAACGATTATCACTCTCAACAACGATATTTGAGAGGCAATCAAGAAAAAGAAGAAGAAGAAGAAGAAGAAGAAGAAGAAGAAGAAAAGGAAAAGATGGTCATGTAAGACCGTGTCAACAATGGACATTCATTCAGTCCCTACGTCCCTACATCTCCCTTCATCTCCCTTCTTCTCCCTTCTTCTCCCTTCTTCTCCCTTCTTCTCCCTTCTTTCCATTTATTTTCATGACAATAATTTCCCCACCTCAACAATCATCAAATTACACCTACGAATGGACATAATTTTGAGAGAGGATTCAAAAAAAGAAAAAGGAAAAGTGGCGTGGAAATGATTTTTTGGAAGAGAAATTCAACAGAATATTGTTTTCTCCAGTAATGAAAGAATAACTTTAGATAACAAACAATTCTCAAACAAAAAACAATTCTCACCTGCGACAGAATCGAAGAGTGCTCAAAATGGAAATCATCGTGATCACCGCGAATGAAACGATTACAGAGAAGAGATTTCCCGACACCTTGAGAACCTGGAAATCAAATTTTCAGCTATTTCTAATTGTGAACAATTGTTGATATTCTAGTATTGTTAACTAGCAATAGTTGAGATTTTCGAGTTATCTTTACCTTTCAAACGTTCATTTCCGGAAACTCCAATAACAGCGATTGTTACCAAACGAGGCGGAGATGAATGAGGAGCCATTTTAAATAATATTCACTTCATCAATCATCCACTACACCATACAAACATCTAGAAATTCTATAAATTGTCACATTAAACAAGAAATTTTAGAAATTGTACGAAAATTGTAAGAAAATGTTGATGATCAGTTGAGTCTAAACAAAAAACAAAACAAATGAATTTCTTCTAGCTGATCAGCTAGAAGAAATTCATTATTTGAAAAGAAAAAGATCATTTTATTCAAAACGATAAAAAAGGAATACCGTATTTTATCTAATAGTAGTGCACCCTGAGCAATTTAGGAGCAATTTAGGAGCAATTTAGAGATTTCGAGCAATTTGCTTAAACTTGCAATCGGTCTAGTTCTAGATCAAAGTGCTAATTTACATCTAGCACCAGACTGGAGTTAAATCAGATTGGCACTTAGCCGTTTAATAGCAGGCCATAAAAATGCCTAGCTGCTAAAAAACCTGATATCTACTTAAAAATCTGCCAAAACACTCTATTAGTCTAACTTAAGTGCTAGATCTTTTAATAGTAATAATTTCTTTTCGAATAACTATATTATATATTACCGTATTCTCTTTAATAGTAGTGCACTTTGAGCGTCGTCTAAATTGCTTAAATTGCGAAATTTCGAGAACCACTTATCAGAGCCTATCGATGTGCGGTCGGAAAATGTAGCTGACGATGAGATCTAGTGGGGGATTTGAGTGTTGAGCTTCTGGGAAAAATTGGAAACCGTAAAATAGTCACCAACTCGGCTCGCCGGGCTGCACTACTATTAGAGAAAATATGATATTTGATAAGATTTTTGAATCGTTTTTGATAGTCAAAGCCTTTTTAAGCAATATTTCTGAAAATTCATTACTTCGATGATTTGGTGAACTGTTGCTAGACTATTGTATTTTAGCAAATCGCTTTTTCAAGCCATTGTATTTTAGCAAATAGCTTTTGTATGTAATTTCTTCTATAAACACTCTTTAGAAAACTAGAAAAGTTTACTAAAATGTAGAAAGTGATCAATTGCACAGGTTTAGTCTTCAGAATTCGATGAGAAGAAAAGATTTTCACGAAAATTGGGAACAATTTCATTTGTGTGTTCATTTTTGAGCTAAAGCTTGAGCTGAGCTTTCATCTTTGTTAAAGAATATAATGAAAAAGAGTGATTTTTTTTTTTAAAGAAATCTATAATCAATCAAAATCTGAAGAAAAGATTATCAAGAATTGGAATAAATTTGAAATTCTAGCAGAAAAATCATAAATCAATTGATAGATCATTAAAGAATCTGAAAAGCAAACAGAAAACAGAAAACAGAACTGATATATTTCCGATGTGAGTTGAGAAATGATCAAAGGGAAAAAAAGGGGGGAAAGAAAGGAAAAGAATTGATTATTTTCACACAAAAGACCTTTTTTTTTCCTTTTCTTTTCTTAGATTTCACCCCTTCTTTTGTGCTGAATGGCCCGTGTTGAAGGAAGGGCAAGGCAGCAAGGCGAAAAAAAAATGGGAAGCGATGGGCAGAACACATGTAAACAATGCCACCGATTTCCTCCTTTTAGCATAAAAGAAAATGATTTTTTTTTCATTCTTTTCTTCGAATTTTCCCTTTCCTTATTTTCTTCTGATGAAATTATTCAAAAATAAAGCACTAAATTGAAAAAAAAGGATTTTTTTTGGGGAAAAGTGATGGAAGTTTGAATTGAGTTGAGTTGAGTCTCTTCGAGAAGTAAGTAAAGTGTTTAAAGTAAAGATTTCATTTTAATTATTAGATTTGAAACAAGTCTAGGTGGTATCGATCGTTTTATCTCAATTTGGAAAGAAGAAAGAATTTGGGGTACTTGAAAAGAATTGGAGTTGACTGGTGAACTGTGATCAGACTAGATTTCAACTATCGAATTGAAGGATCGGATTGGGATTTAACTTATTATAGGATATTATAGTATCGTTATTATAGGATATTATAGTATCATTTTTCTTTTGAAAACTCACGTTGTGCAGCATGAATATATGATCAGACTAGTTTTCAACTATCGGATTGGGATTTAACTTTAATATTGATATTGAATATTGGTGAACTGTAAGCAAACTGGATTTTGATTTGTTTTGCCAACCAGTTTTTTTAAACTGGTTGGCTGAGGTAAGCCAGGTTAAAGGTCAGATCAGCCGCTTATTGCATTGCATGCCTATGCTTTTTGAACAAGCTGCGCATTAAAAACGTTTCCTTTGCCGTAAAGTAAAAGTAAAAGAATTAGTTTAGAAATTTTAAAATACAAGTTTGAAACGTGGTTTGGAACCAAAAGCGTTCCAAATTGAGAATCGAGTAAAACAATGCTGTTGGGTGAATTTTAGGCTGAGAATCGAGTAAAACAATGATAAACACTTGCTTCAACTTTTGCAAATGTTTCAACAGTGCGCAGAAACCGAAGAAAAATTGGGTGAGAAAAAAAGGGAGGCAAAAAAGAGAAGAGAGAGAGAAAGAGAGAGAGAGAGAGGCAAAGCGAGTCGCAAAGCGGCAAAGCGAGATAGAGATCTGACGATTGAAGGAATACCACAAAGTTGTGAGGAAAAGATGAAAACAATGGTGCAGTTTTCGAAAAAAAAGGAATGAGGGAATGGTTTCAGGAATGAGAATGCGAGTTGAGAGAGGCTAAAGAAAAGAAATGGGGTCATTGTGGAGAGAAAGGAGGGGAAAATCCAATGAAACCGACAAAGGAGTACTCAAGATCTTCATATATGGGTGACCAATGGCATTTCTTTTTACCCCATCGATTGACATCGATTGACCGACTAAAAAGGGTCAAAAGAGTCCAGTTTTCTTTGGTCAATGAAAGAAAAATCGGTACTTTCCCATTCTACCCGCACAGCAGCACTCCCATCAATCCCACTACAATCCACTACACTGTACAATCCACAATTCATATCCTCTGTGGTGGGTAAATAAAACATTAAACCCGGCGGCGGTAGAAAATGAGAATAGAAAAATATTTCTTTCTTCTTTGGGAAAAACAGCATTCGGATAAATGCTAATTTTTGGCATGCTCTAATTTTTTAAAATGTGGGGGTATAATGAAAAAGTACCGAAAATGCTAACAATGTCCCTATGTTTACGGGTCAATATTAACTAATGAATTTATTTGATAATCCAATCTTAAAGAACTATAGTTAACAAGTGAGCGGACCACAATGTGTATCCAATCTTGAACTGTAGCATGTTACAAGTGAATAGAGCATAGGGGAGTCCAGACCAAGTCAAGCCAAATCAAATCAAAGCCAAGCCAAATCAAAGCCAAGCCAAATCAAAGCCAAGCTAAGCCAAATCAAAGCCAAGCCAAATCAAAGCCAAGCCAAATCAAAGCCAAGCTAAGCCAAATCAAAGCCAAGCCAAGCCTCAACTTGAATGTATAAGTTGAATTGGTAACTTGCCGATAAAGGTGCTGAAAGGTAACTTGCTTGGTATGGCTTGTAAAAGTAGTACTGGATAACTTTGGATTTACCAAAGTGCTGTTGAACCCAGTGCACAGCATTGTTTCAACTACGAAGAGTCCATTGTGCTCTTCTAGAACTCGAGAGCTCTATTAGGCTGTTTTTTCGATGCCGGTTTACATCAATATTTGGAATCACAGTTACACAGTTCTTTCATGAGAAATCAAACCCTAAAAATCGAGGATTAGGCTTGACGGTAATAAATCAAATTTCTTTTAGCTTTTTTTCAATTTACCTGGTACCCCAAAAACCTATTTCAAGATCGATTAAAAAAATTCAGATAAAAAAGATCGATTTGTTTTTTTGAGTAATCAAACCGGTATCTAAAAACAAGTAGAATCGAGCAAAAGCCTAACTGATCGGCTCTAAGGGTTAAGCCGCTTTTTTCCCCTGCCAGTCAGCTCTCTCAAATTCCTCTCTACTATACAAATCAAAAAAAAAAAATCTATATAACAGATTTCCAACAAATCAAAATAGAAAACTTGATCAAAAAAGAGTGAAAGTAACGAATTGGCAACATTTGACTGAAAGGAGAAGGGTTTCTTTTGGAAAATGGGAACACTTTCAAAGAGTGAAGAAAAAGGAGAAGAAGTGTGACAACAACGTGAACACAATAGCCAATCTTCTCCCCGATTTTCTCTACTCGATTCCCTATTCGGTTTGTCACCCAATTCGGTGAGGAAAGCACAAAATTATGTCAATTCTTGCGGGTTTTCAAGACGATCTTTTGAAGAGATCCTGTCTCGAATTTACAGATCACAAAAAACAGTCGTAACATCAAGGAATAAAAGAGAAACTGATTGGGAAGATTGGGAAGTTAATTTTTATCAAAAACATATTAGAATCTAAATCCAAATACAATTGTCATTCAAATTGAAGAGTTGAGGCTCGAGAGAGGCCAGGGTTGGTAAAAAAAGCCAAATTTCTAGAACAAGCTAATGTCAAGTCAATTATTTTTTGCTCAAAACCAAGCCAAGGTTTTAGACGAATTCAAAAACTCGAGATCAAGATCAATTGAAAGCCATTAACTTCGTCTTGGCTTGGCTTTGGTTTTTTGCCAATCCTATTCTTGACATCTAAATGCTACGGGATACTGTAGTGATACGAGAACTGGCAGCTTCAATTCTTTTAGTAATCAGAAACAAGTTTAATATAGTGATAGTCTGAAAAGCGCTGAAAAATTTAGAATTAACTTTGGCGGGCGTTACAACGAATCAAATGGTCCTTAAACTTTTTGAATCGCTAAAAAATCATAATCTGAAGCTATGAAAGAATAAAAACAAGAAAATTTGAAGATTTTGAGGTGTTATGTGGAGTGGGAGAGGTTTCCTGCTGTGAAAATGAGTTCAATGGGAGGGAGGGGAGGGGCGGATGAGAAGACTCCCGTTTTGTAGAGAATAGGAGTGATAAGCCTGTATATACTAGTGTCTCACACCCTCAGCCCCTTTCATTCCCCATCTTTTTTTTTCTCTTATCTCTTCCAAAGATCTTGCCTAATTTATCTCTATGTTTATTATTACACATTTTGGCACATAGAAAATCTCAAATCTCAAATCTCAAATAGAAATGTCGCACTATAGCGCCAAAAATCAGCAGAATATTTAAAAAGTAGAGTTTAGACGATAATGATACCAAAATTTGATTGATCTAATGTAAAATGGCAGTTTTATTATGGTGATTTAAGTGCTTTTTAAAAACGCTCTGCCGTCGAGATATGATGCGGAGTGGGACAAAAGCGACCTTTTTTTTGCGCACCCGGACATTTGCGCAGCTTTTTTTCCGCACCTTGCCCATTAGCGCACCTTTTTTCGCGTTTTAAAAAAGCTCTAAAAAGCTAATATTAACCAATTTCTATTCCAAAAGTTGTTTTTCTAGGTAAGTTTAGGGCGTAGAATCGAAATTTTGACATAACAGAGCGTGTGGAACCAATTTGAAAGACAAAACGGCTAGATCAAATTACAGAAAATTGTCGATTTTTCTCTTTGTATAACTCCGTCCGTTTGTTTCCACAAGCACTGATATATCAAAATTTCGATTCTACGCCCTAAAATTACCTAGAAAAACAACTTTTGGTATAGAAATTGGTTAATATTAGCTTTTTAGAGCTTTTTAAAACGCGAAAAAAGGTGCGCTAATGGGCAAGGTGCGGAAAAAAGGGTGCGCAAATGTCAGGGTGCGCAAAAAAAAGGTCGCATTTGTCCCACTCCCGATATGATGAGAAGAATCTAATCTTTAGGGATGGTTTTGAAATAATAACTAATCAATGTGCTCATCAATCAACTATTAACAAATCAGTATAACAAATATAGAAAACTTTGATAACGTTTTTGTTGATTCAGGAGAAACACTAATGTAGCCTCTGAAAAATGTAGAAAAAGGAATGAAAAGGGGTGAACTTTTCCCTCAATTTTCTTCCCTTTCCTCTTGATTTTCCCTATCTCTCGTCCCCGATTTTCCCACCCACCCCAGACGGGAAGAGGTTATAGAAGGAAATGGGAGAAAGAATCGAAAGAATGGAAAGAATGAGAAGGGAATTAGAATGGCAAAGAAGAGATTGGTGAGAAAAAAAGGGACACTTGAAAACAGGAGAGTGAACAATCAGGGGAAAAGGGTCATTCTCTATTTGGAAGGGCACCAACCCCTTCTTCACACTTTCACAAAAACGAGATATGCATACAGAAATGACAGAGTTGGTCAAAACAAAAAACTTGTTGAGAAAATTGGATATTCTTTACTTTCCTAAAAGTACGGTATAACCAAGTTTAACTATACGCTATAGTTTAACAATAGCTTAGCTTTGGTTCGGCTTGGCTTGACTTGGTTAGCCTTGGCTTTTGCCAACCAATACTGAAAAATACGGTAAGTGAGCTTTTTTTAAATGATCTAATCTGTGCAACGTCAATCATCTGACGTTGTTGCTTTATAAAATGGACATTTAGGAAGGACATGACGTCAAAAAAGAAATAGAAGAGTAACAAAGTTCGATACTTGTTAGATAGACACGCAAACCGGGGAGGGGCTATTGCTCTTCTCTTGTGAACAGAAAGGCGAGGACACCACGCAAATCCGATTTTTCGTCTCTTTCTCGATTTCTTCGCCCCACCACAAGAGGGGAACAATCATCAACATGCCACCACAACCACCACGAAAAGTTATGGACACTGGGGTTTGGGTGCAATTTTGGATTCTGACAACATTATCTCATTTACATTTAGAACATTAGCATTAGTCTCTTTGTTTTTTATCACTACAGTAAGCCTGGATTGAAAAGTATTCAAATATTGATTCAAGATTGAGATTTAAAAGCTATTCGGGTATTTGTTAGCTGAATACTTGATTACTTTAGTGAGATCTAGCAATCACTTTGCAGTACTTGACAGTGCATGGAAGCTCAACTCAAAAAAAGAGACAAACTTTCAAAAGATGAGGGAGGAATAAGCTTTATCCTACAATAAGCTAATCAACGGTTCTTGTGATTATAAAAAGTCGACTTTCAGAAAAGATATATTTACGAGATCGACATTTGAAGTATGGTACTCGCCGCTCGATCTCTTATAACAAAAGCTAATAAGCCCTTAAATTGTACTAAAAATAGCAGTACTCGAGAGTGAAATCTTTGCGAATTGCTTGTCCACAAAAATGTCACCGATAAATCACAAGAATGAGTACAGGGAGAGGGTGAAAAAAGAGGTGATCAATGCAATGAAAGTGGGAAGAGGAGGGGTGAACTTTGAGAGAAGTTGAGGTGGAGGAGAAGAACTCGAGTTATTGAGGGGGAATAGAGCAACGGGAGAAATGAGTGAACGCCCATACGATGGCATTCATTAGCCGGGGGTGAATAGAAAGAAAGAGAAAGAGAAAGGGGGGTTCACCCTATGTGTTGTGTTACAACCCCTCACTCCCATTCTCCTCGCTCTTCGAGCATCACCCAACACACACAACTAATGGCCCTAGATGCTTCTCTCTTCTCCTCCACCGACTCTCGACCCATTCGGGATATTTTTAAGTCCAAAAGATACTGTCTGTTTGTCCCCAAATTGCTTATTATTGGAAGCTCAAAGAAACAACTCCATATGAGGCTCAAAGAGCCAGCACAAATGATAAGTAATTTGGAATTTAAAAATTTCATTCCTAAGAGTTCATTTGTTTTTAAAGTTACAGTTGAAGATGCATTTTTCTAGAGTTTTCAACTTCAGTTATCTGCAAAAACAGTTGCAGTGCTTGGTCTAACTAACTCAAGCAAGTCTGGTAATTAAGGAAAAATTCGTTCCAGCCTTGCTTTTACTTCTCTGCAAAATAGGATATAGTTTGTTGCTACCATATCAGATCGTCAAACTCTAGTCACAAAATGTGTTCACCAAATGTTTTTCTTTCAAAAGAGCAAATGATACTGATTAAGTGCCTCGAGTAAACTAGTGGCCATTATTCCCGTACACTTTCTCTAATAATTGTTTGAAAGAGGTAAAGCAATGAATCTTTCCTCTAGAATGAATGAATGTGCGTACCAAAGTAATGTGGAAGAGAGGGGAAAACTGGCTGCTCTTTATTGAATACTCGTCCACCACAATAATGCATACTACGTTGAAAGAACAAAGGGAGAAATATTTTTGGATGATGCCAAAAAATAAGGAAAGTGCATAGAGCAATGCCATTTCTCGATAGCCAAAAATAAATAAAGGAGTGAAAAGATCATGAACAAAAAAATAATGTGATGCCTTTTCTCCCTTTTTTCTTTATTCCAGTCGACAGCTGTTTATTAACGATGGATAGAAAAAATTTTCAGAGCTCGGAAATCTCTCTTTCAAAAGCTTGTCTTGTCTTGTTGATAAAAACAATTTATCAAATTCACCCGTAATCGCAGAATTCAATCACAGAATAATGGTAAAAGCATAAAGAAAGCTCGTAGACGTAAAACCCATATAAAATGCATACACAGTAAATACAAAACCATTCACTAATCACAATAAAAATCACAAAGATATTTGCACTGACGATAAAGATTCGGAAACAGAACGGTTTCGACGCTTTTGGTGACGCCAAATCAATGAAATCCTAGTTTCTCGTAAAAACAAGCTGTTGTCCGCTGTAAAACTACCTCTTTTTATCGCTCATCACAGCGGGAGATGCGAGTTCTGGATAACTTTGTGTCCGTTCGAGTAGCTGGCTTCCATCAAATTCGTGATCGGGACCTATAAAAATGCAATTGTTCAAGCAACTCAACTTAATTTTAAACGTTGGTTTTCAGGAGAAAACATTTTGTTTTTACCAACTTTGATAAAATTTTGTTAATGAACCAAAAACATACCGTTGACGATAGAAAGTTTTGAGGTATTTAAGGTAGAGAAATTCTTTTTATTGGGCGGAAGCAAAATATCAACCAACGAATCATTCAGATCATACATGTTGTAGATGTCCTGAAAAGTTGGTTGAAAAGGAACTTTTAGGTAAGGTTTAAAAACCTTTGGATCCTCAATAATTCTTCGTTCTCCAGTAAAATAGTCGTCACAGCCGCCGGTCAGAATGTAGTTCCTAAATACTTTGGAAAAAACGTTTGTAATATACCGTATTTTCTCGAATAGTAGTGCGGTCCTAGAGGGGGTCAAAAATAGTAGTGGCAAAATTTAAATTTGGGTAAAATTAGCATAATATAAGATAAGTTCAAGCGCCCGATGTCATGTGGAATGCCCCTTTTAAAACCAGGATTCGCGCTCAATACGAGGATTGGATGGTGAATGGACCGAAACCTTCGACTCGCAATGGAAATTCGGCCCACCACCAATGGAAACCTATCTTGAGTGAGTGTAGAATGCATGGAGTGGCCTCCCAAAGAATCTCCTCATTCACTCATTCAAGAATTGTGCGATCATAACGACTACGGATGGCTCGGGATATGGTCTTATTCATTGCTTCAAGAAAGAAGGGCCAATCCCTGAAGGAGCCAAGCTTCTTTCCGACGCTCGACTCGAACAAACGATCAACGGAGTGAAGGATCAACTCGAAAATACTGAATTAGATGAAAAAGACAATGATGATTTCCTAACTGTGATGTGATGATTTCTTAACTAGCTAATTTTGTATTATGTTTTATTGCTTTGCTTTTGAATGTTATGATAATAAATTTATAGAAATTTGTCTATTTGGCAAGCTTTTGAAAAATGCTATATTTTTTTGATTGAAACATTTCTTTTGTGAAAATGCAAAAATCTCTAATAGTAGTGCACCCCAAGCGGGAGTTGAAAAAATAGTAGTGCGCACTCCTATTAGAGAAAACACGGCAACAGAATGAAACTTGTTTAAAAATAAAATCAGTACCTGCTTAGACGATCAAATGTTTTCAAATATTCAAGAGTACCGGGCGTTGAACTCAAATCTTCCCAGGAAAACTCGGAGTTCGCCGTCACTATCTCCGAGTAAGCCCAATCCAAATGTTCGATTGCCTAAAGCGAGTTCCCTTGTCTTGAGAATTTATAGTATTGATTATCAATAAACACAAATTAGTTCAAAAGCCCTACTACGCGTTTACAAGTTGCAGAATCAAAGACTCGGTTCATCGATAAAGCGATTCGTTCCCAATCCGATTCCTTTTCAACGGCATAATATTGTAGAGCAAGCTGAAATGAAAACAACTGAAACCGGAAAATTTTTTCATCACTTGCAATCGTTTAAGATCCTTCGTTTTGATCGCGCGAGCTTTCTTCTTTTTGGTATCTACTAAAACATAAGTGAACGAAATCACACCTAGGTACACGAAACGAAAATAAAAGCAGACCTACCGTCAATCACAGGCATATTTTTTATCACGTCGAGTAATTCTTTGGAGATATTCGAGCATCTTGGAGAAACTTTCTTGAATAAAAACTTCTATGAAGCATAAATAATATATGTAGTTACATCAAAGCAGACACGAGGTATTCCATCTGGTCTTCCAATTGGAAGAACCTCCTTTGAGCGTTTGGCGCACTAAAAGATCTATCATTACTGGCAAAGGCAGTAAAAATACCCGCTTAAAGTGAATTCGTCCCATCAATTTGCCTCCCTATTATTAAATGTTGTTTGCATGGTTTGTTTCATATAAAACTACTTTATGAGAGTTCACTCTGGTCTGTCTCACCAAAACTTTAGGCCAAAAAACCCCCACACGTGAAAACAAAAATAGTAAATTATTTATTGTCAGCAAGCAAAGCAATTATTTCCACACGATCTAATAGATATCAAAAATTAGGCAAGTGAATGATGTACCTAAAATACCAAAAAGGTTTTTACAATACAATTATAATAAGTATTGAGCTGAGTGACTTCTGAAAACACGTAAAAAAATCAAAGAAAGTAGAAATGTACTGGGGTTTTTATCATTCTTCCATTGTGTTGCCGGATGATTTATCGAGCGCTCGTTGCACAGCAGTAGGTAGATCGTTTCTAAAAACGTTCAAAATGCATCCAAAAATATATAAATTACAAAGTTTCTCGTAATAAACGTTCGGCCACAGCTTCATCAATCCCAATTGAGACCATCTCTGCGAGTTTATCTCTATCAACAACGAATTCTTCTAAAAATACACCGTAAAAAGTCTGCGATCCAAAATACCTTGATTTGAGATTCCAGTTGCTAACTTGTACGCTTCAACCTCAGCTTCTCCCAAAAACGGCGTTGATGTTCCATCGCCAAAGATCAACCTGAAAAGGCAATTCTACCTGACAATATTTGAGTAATAAACTTGTTCTGTCCCAAGTCAATCGAACATTGATGTCTGCGGAGAATGTTGAGGCCAAATAAAACATCCATATCTCTGTCAGCAAGAACGTCAAAGTAGCATGGAAAGAAATGATCTTCAATTTGTACTTTGCCTAAAACGAGATATTTTCCAAAATAAAAATTTCGACAAACACATGTGAATTTTTCCCACAAAGTTCTGCTGACCCCCAACACCACGTACAGTGCCTTGAAACCTAAAAACAATGTTTTTATGTAATTTATATGAACAATCTGTACCTTCTGTCGATCAAATGCTCTAAATCACAACGCTTTGCACATGCAAGTGACATAACAGACACCTGAAAACTCTTATTTAGCTTTTTGATACAGTTGAGCTCCCGACCTGAGCCCCAGAGTCGACAAAAGCTTTCACTGGAAATCCATTGATATTCATGTTAACATAAAGCATGTGGACTGAAACATAGGCCTCCGGGTTATGTTCCATTGCCTAAAATTTGCTCAATAATTTAAAAACAAAGCTAGCAAACCATCTCATATGAATGGTCGATGTTTGATAGACGGATTTGCTCCGCGAGAAGGCGTTGTCCCTCTTCGCTTGTCGGATCGGCCATTAACTCCTTCTTTCGCCATTCTTTCTTTAGAAATTCTTGAAAAACTCTCGCGAATCCCTCTAAAAGAATTCGTGGAAAGAAAATAAAAAAAAACATACCAAAATTATTGGGCTCTTTTGTGTACTGTTCAATGATTGCAGGACATAGTTCTCGAAAATGGGCCTGGACATTTGGAAGCGCCATTTTTGAGAAGATGCGACGTGCCTGAATTATTTATAACTTAATACGATCAAAATAAAATGGAGACCTCATCTTGAAACATGGCACCTTCAAATACATCTTTTGGCTTTGCTTTCGGGAGATTCTTGGGTATCTAAAGCATTTAAATTTCATAAAGATTTTTTAAAAGACGCAACCTTAATCGATTTCACCAATTCAGCCATTTTTGCTTGCATTGCTGGATCTAGTGCCGGTGGCTGTGCCATTGAACTAGTTGAGGCCGCAGTAGACGAAACGTATTTCTTCCTCGAGTAGAAAAGGAGATCCCCCTTATTGACTCCGAGCGCCTTTAATCATAATTCAAAACGTGGTGGGTTTAAATTTAACCTTCAATGACGTGTTTGATGGCCCTTGAAGGGGTCGTTTGTCCTTTATAAGCTCGATGGTATGCACATCATCGCCAGACTTTCCTAAAAAAATCAGTCCTTCGTTAGCTTCGAAGACCCACCAAAATCAGCTAACACGATACATTTCAGATCTTCCAATGACGTTTCTTCTGAAAACTAAACAACAAACATTTAAATATGTCCTAGAAATTACCTCATAATACTGGGTATTTTCTCCATCAGTTACAGTGACAGCTAATTGCGCCATCTCTGCGATAATCCTCAATCTAAAGCGATTTAAGCGTGTGATCAAACCTCGGAATCTTATCCAGGAAATTACAAGTAATTCAACTGTCTAACAAACAGCACTTTTTAGAAAACTTTTATCGGGCAATTATCAAAGAAAAATATTAAAAAAATCGATTCAGAAACAGTTGACTTGAGCCGTAAACGAATATTTTAAAAGGAATCACACAAAACTCGTTCTTAAAGGAAAAATCGTTCACAAAGTTTACATAATGACCTAAACGCTCATGAATGATGAACAAACAAACAAGTGGGCAAGAAAAATTCACATCCAATGCAAAAATTTTTGATTCCTAGACATCTGTCGACAGGACAACTGTCGACGCGAGATCCGTCAACACTGCGACCTTCTCACTGATTTTATTATTTTTTTTGCACCCAAGAAAGCTAAAAACAAGAGGCAAAAAGTTAATGGGTTGCGGTACAGTTTACGTTTTCGTTCCTGACGTCTTTTTTGGGCGCTTCGCACCCCCTTTCTTTGTTCTGGTACGAAAGATTAGTTTTCTGATTAGTTGTCGCGTCGACAGTTGTCTAACAACCAAAATTTTTGCTTTATGCCGGTTTCAGAACTTTTTGCAATTTGAAACGCCATCAATGAAAGCATTTCAAAACTATATAAAGCCAAAAATTTGATTAAGTAACACCGTTTTAACAACTAGATGTTTACCATAACCACAAAAGGGCATCATAATATCACAGTTATTTTGAAAATGTTGCAAAAGTGCAATTCGCCCAACAAAAAAAATGGTGCCAAAACGAAGCTACAACCAATGACTAGTCACATGGTGAAGATAGAAAACAGAACAATATCCGTTTACCAAATGAGCGTTAAAATTCCTAATTGTAGTAAATGATCATTTGACAATAATTTATCCCTTAATCTCTTGTTGAATGTGCTTTAGGAATTCGTGGTAGCTGAAAGACGAGTCTGTCCTGTCCTCCACCAATCGACGCACAAAAGCTTCACGCATTGGAGAATCCTCTCTAAAAGACCCACATGAATTGCAAAAAACTATAAACAAAACTTACCTAACAATAGTTGGTGGCGCCAAGTAAAACTTGAGATGAGAAATGTGACGGATAAAGGCGTGCACTTTGCGGGATAAATCCGTATCCAATTCTTTGAGCCGAGTCTGAATCAAACATTAATAATAACTTAACAAACAAATAATTAAGTAATAATTTAAGCTTACATCATCAAGCTGGTGGTATGATGCACCAAATACCTCTTGCAAAAACACAGGATCAGCATCTTGAGGCACATAGATATACCTAGAACTGGTGTAAACTCAAGACATAAAATAGCATCCAACGTGTAAGTCCCAGCTTCAAGAAGATATACTCCATTTCGTGAAACATGTTCGAAGCTGAGCGGCAAAGATCTGGGATATTCTCCTTCGGGCAACTAAAAACCGGCCGACTGGAGATTTGCACAAAATCACAAAAACTAACCATTTTCAAATCTGTCAGTGAATAGAGTTGGGCGTAAATCTCAGATAAAATTTGTTCCAGTGGAGAAAATCTAAATATGTAAAAGGGTCAGAACATAAAAAGTAAATAGGAGAACCTTAACATCAACATAGCAGCTGCCCTATCATCAAGTCGCACACTTCGGCCGGAAGAAAACGAAGTCTAAAATGTGCCATAAACCTTAATCAAATAAAAAGGAATACATGTTTCAGCATTGCCAGTGCAAACAAAGGAAACAATCTTATATGGCCAGCACGAGGGCAAGCGATTCCGGGACGGCCCTAAAATATGTGCAATCTATTAAAAAGTTTGGGTAAAATTGGATTACCGTTCCTATTGACTTTCGATACGCCAACAAAGCATCAACAACAGCATTGATAGTCGCTTCCCGTGCATCAGTAAGTGGGTTGCCAGATAAGCAGCGATCCGCACCTGAAACAATCAAATTAGCTCAGCTCATGTATTTAACTGCCAAAGATTACCCATTTTTGAGATGAGAGAAGTAGCAGCTTTTACATCAAAATTTGCATAAACCGTTGTCAGATCCGAAACTACCGGTAAACACATGGTGTGTACACGAATACGTCGGTCTCCTAAAAACATTTTGATCACAACTCTGACCCGCGTTCTTACCTTTACTGGAAGTATAAAGGAGAGCAGCTTGAAAGGAAGCGAAAGTGCCTTGAAGTTTCTCTTCATAGTTGATCTAGAAAAGATATTAACACGACTAATTCGAGCCAAGGGTCTTACTTGTACGGCAATAGCTGAGTCCGGATTGACATTTGCCAAAGAAAGAAGGTCCGTTGATCGCACAAAGAAATTTCCATAAAAGGTTGAAATAGCTAAGCCTCGTGAGCAACGAATTCGTAGGACAGCTTCGAGCCCAAGTTTTCGTGTCAGATACCGGCTGATGATACGTTCGAAACGTTTTGTCTAAAGTAATAGTTGAATCGTTTAATGTTAAGGCAATGCTTTTTACCTGGAGTGTCTCGTTGTAATAATTGAAATTTGGGAAATGAAATACACTTCCGCTGCTGAACTTTCCGATTTCCGCTAAAATTATTTCAAATTTAGTGCGATGACTAAACACTTACAAAGAGTGGCAAGGTCAGCATACTGCGAATTTAAAAGGAAAAGATCCAGGCAGATCTGAAAATTAAAGAATACTTTATTTGGATTTCGAAATCTTCACCTGATGGCCAGTGCATTCAAGAGCCAGTCGCTTATAGAAGTCGGAAGCAGGTCCAAGATTTTGAACGTCCTGAATTTTCGGATTAAGCGAAAAAAAAAACTTTTTACACCTCTGCAGCTCTGTTGTTTGGATCCTCTCTGCTTTCCAACCGACCAGGCCCCAAAGATGGCAAAACGCATTGAAAAACACTTATTCGTCCACCAATATCCGCCTAAATTTTCGTAATAGTCGAGTGCAAACGCTCACGCTTACAATAATTTCATGAAGTATATTAAGCGCCGCTCCCAGACAATTGAAAACTCCAGTTTGAGTAGGAGCTTTCGGAACATCGAAGAGAGACGGCAACTGTTTGATGAAAGAGCGAACAGTCTAAAACGAAATCCCACCAAAGTTCCTTTCCTTAAAATACCTCCTTGTACTTATGCAGGTTAACCAGGAGCCCAACATTTGTAGGAACAAAGGCTTCTTAATTGACTTAAGTAAGATCAATATTCCACTCAAACCTTCAATGTCATCCATGATCAACTGTTTAGGTGGACGAGTAGGTGAATCAAATTGGAAGAAATGTATCGAACTGTCCACACCAATGAAGCATACCTAAATATAGTTTAACTTTCCATGTTTACTTTTTCATACCAATGTTCTTTCATCTCCTGGAAGCTGATCAAGGTTAATCAACAATTGTTCACACAACACATGTAGATAGCCTTAAATTAACTATTATCTTTCTAAACAACATTGACATACCGCTTTCTAAAGCAGGAACGCTGATATCAAGAACAAACGCATACAAACATTCTTGAGGTGGACGAAGCTGAAAGTTGAAAATGAAAAAGAATAGAAAAGAATTTCAGAGAGCACGGACATAATATTTCATCGTAATCAGTTTTTTCCAAAAGCAACTATTCAAACTCATCCCACCGCTTTTCTACAGTACAACTAATTGGAAACCACTCTGCCTTTGCATAGTTTGTTTTGTCTAAAACAACCAAACGCATAGCATTTAGACTTTCCATTACTAAACATTCAAGCAGCTTATAAGTAGCACAATGGGTTTATTACTTAAATTTTACACACTTCATTATGGCCATCTTTGTTTTTGCGTACCGGCTAAAAAGTTTCTCAATTTTATCAAAGACCACCACCAACCGTGTATTCTTGAGGAGCAATGAATTCAACGGTCGAATTACGAACTTCGGGGCGCATTCTCGGATCTCCAAAAGATTTTGTTACCGGATCCCAACAAAAATCATCGGGTACTAAATAAAAAATGTTTACAGTCGTTGGGTACTTAAAGTATTTGTATTGGGTTGGGGAGAATGAGTCGGCGCCAAACTTTAAAGGGACTTTTTGCACACATAAAGCCTTCTTTAAACATACGTTTGGTTTCATCAAAAGGATCCACTATTTCTCTACAAAATGACTTTTGAGCATTCCACAAAGCTTTTCTTTCGTGGAGTTTATGAACTTCCAAACGCAGCTGGTTAAAATGGCAAAGAGTCCGACTCATCATTTGAACAGTTTCTTTCACATAAACCTTCTTTGGTGTTTATATAAAAAAGATAGAGCACATTCAATTACTTAAGTTGCCAAATTTGCAGGAAGATCCCACCAATGGTTTTTTCTAGATGACAGTTTGTAGTTTTGTGAAAAAATGGCTTTTTCTTGAGCGGAGGCGCTGTTTGAATTTTCTTTTAAATGTCATTTTGTAGAGAATTAGTTAACCATTCTACTGATATCAAAAGCATATTATTTGACGAAGTCGAATAGAAGTTTTAGATATTTTTTTGATTTTCGGCGCCGACTCATTCTCCCCAACCCAATAGCTATTAAACTCACAATCATTAGACCGTCCGCATAAATTACATTTCCAATGGCGATTGTCTGGAATATTCACGTATGGGTTAATGTAGGTGCGACAATATCGACAACGAACAATCGACGACGTTTGAATCACGTTGAGGTTCTAAAAAAAAATCTTAATTAAGTTTAATACCCAATTTTAAATTAAAGTTTTAGTAATAACCTTCAAGTCCCTGAATGGATGCAAGGTCAGTCCAAAAGGCAAACGACTCTTCTTGAGCAGCTCCTCGTTTTGAGGAATAGCATTTAATGTGCTGCGGAAAACGCTAAAATATATTCGGTTTAGTTAAGTCACAAAACTACTTACCTTGAATCCATCCGAGCTTCATTGTTGGCCAGAGTAGAAGGTAAAGCATACTAAAAAAATATTTATAAAAAATATATTAAAAGTAAACCTCAATATCTTCACATCCACTTGCGATAATATGACGTTCAGCCATAACATCAACTACATCAAATGATTGACCGGAAACAACCTGTTAGCAAAAAATTGCACTAATTTTTATAACCAAGACAAACCATATTTTGAAAGCCTTGTTGTACATTGTTCATTTGAGTGGCTGGTTGGCCATAGCTTGAATATTGGGCAGCCGGCTTTAAATAATAAATACAGTCATTCATAATTATTCTTTCATTTCATAATCATCATCATTAATCAAGAAGGATCCTTTTTCTTTTGTGCTGATGCATTTTGTTTGCCCTTTTCTAAAATTTTTTATTTCTTTTCTTTGTACTAATATTTTTTAGGGTAATGGACAAGGTCCGAACGAGAACCGGGATTCCGTATGAGACGAAAACACGAGTGATCGAGAGGAAGCGAGGAGGAGCCACATTTGAGAAGCTCCGAGCGGAATTTTCTCTTCTAATTTCTTCGCTGGATTCGATCTGGAGAAGTCGACAAGCAATCGAGGCTCAACTTGATGATGGCGTTAGAAGGAAATCAAAGCGAGCAAAGGTAAAGCAAAACGAGGCTAAACCCCCGTGCTTCGCTCGATTGAAGGGGAAAAAACCTTCAGTGCTATATCAGGCCAATGAAAAGTCATGGATGACAAGTCTAATTTTTGAAGATTACTTACGCTGATTGGAAGCTGAAAAACGTAACATTCTCGTATACGTCGACAATTGTCCGTCCCATTTATGTAGATTTACGAGAGAAGCTAACCAATATTCGGCTCCAGTTCTTTTCTCTTTATACGACGGCTCGTAGTCAACCAATGGACATGGGTGTTATTTATAGCTTCAGACGGCATTGTCGAAAAGCTCTTGTGAGAAAAATAATCGACTATTCTGATGCCGGTATCCCGCTGAAGCTCGATCTACTAATGGCCCCGTGGATGATAAGCGAGAAGCTTGGACTTGAGCCTCCGGACTTCTATGATCGCGAATTTCAGAAACAATGGGAACAAGTCATTGGAAAGACTTTGCAAGATTTGGATTGTCCACTCTATGACGATTTTTTTAGAGGCGGACAATGAGCTTCGTACGACGGCTCCACTGCGAAATGAAGATTTCATGGCTACTTCTCGCAACGACTTCGACAAGGATTCAAGTGAAGACGAATCCGAAATGCCAGTCTCCTCAACTTTAAAAGCAAAAAAGTTTGCTTAAACTCGAATTGCAAGTGGCCCACAATGGAGACGAATTTGCAATAAAGACCTTTAAAAATCACGAAAGAATTTGATAAAATCACGAGTGAGGCGGCTACTCAAACAAAAATTAATAAATATTTTAAATTGATTTAATGTTGTTACACGTTTAATTTCAAGAAATTTCAAGAAGTTTAGTTTTTAAATTTTTACGAGACTGATTTAATGTTAAAAAGGTTTGCCTTACAACTTTCTTAAAAAAATAAAGGCTGTATCAATTTAAAGTTAGTTAAAGTTTATTTAATATAATCCCCCTTCTAAAGTAATGGGATGATTCCCAGCAAACAAAAAACCTTCCTATTAGGTTGTCCCATAAAAAATTGCGGTTTTTTTCATTTGATTCGTATTCAGCGAAAAATTAACACTTTCTCTTTCTGTTTTTTTTATTATACTTCTTTACAATTCTAGTTTTATGTGCTAAATTTTTTTTTTTAGAAACCAAAAACAGAAAAAGTTGTGATCGATCAAATGGCGCCGTCTCGTGAAGAAATCCATCAACATCTGTATCAACGATATTTGAGGAGGATTTCGGCGGCCAAAGCAGCGAGAGAAATCAATTCTTTTTATGGATCAACAATCGTCATGGAAAGGACTGCACAATGGTGGTTTCAGAAATTCCGAAAAGGTGACACCCGGCTCACACGAAAGCGAGGAAGTGGTCATCCAAGAAAAGTGAATCGACAGACGTTGAGGCGCCGACTTCGGCAAAATCTCGAAGGATCGACTCGGATTTTGGCACAAGACTATTGCGGAAGAATGACAGTATGGCGTTGGCTCAAAAAAACCGGAAGAAAGTGGTTGAAACAGCGGCAAATCCCTTATCAACTGAACAATTCGATTAAGGACCAAAGAGCGCGGTCATGCCGTCAACTACTGAACGAATATCGATGCGGTCGGCTTCCTCTTTCCAATATAGTGACTCATGATCAAACGTGGATATTCTATGATAGTCGAGTGTTGAAACGACAATGGTTGGGAAAAGGTCGTTTGGGAAAAGTGGTGCCAAGACGAAATATTCATGGAAATAAGCGACTTCTGTGTGTCTATTGGTGTTCCTCTGGCATACTTTTTTGGGAGCTACTCCAGAAGGGTCAAACTTTTAAAAGTAATGTTTATAGACGCCATATGCAACAAGTTGAGCAGAAAATGAAGACTGAAGACAACGCTTCTTCTCACAAATCGAGCAAATCGAAGAATTTTATGGAAAACAATTTGCACTGGAATGTACTTTCACATCCCCCTTATAGCCCGGATATTGCTCCTTCTGATTACTACTTATTTTTGTCGCTAAAACATTTCCTTCGAGGCAAGCAATTCAACAACCAAGGTGACCTCGAGAAAGAATTGGAGGACTACTTTCATTCACGCCAACCCGATTTTTACAAGCGAGGACTTGAAAAGTTACCAAAACGTTGATTAAATGTCTACAATAATCATGGAAAATATATCGTATGATCTACGTTGTTACTTTTTATTTTTTGTTGAAAAAAGAAATTTCTGAAAAACCGCAATTTTTTATGGGACAACCTAATATAAAGTAACCCCCTTATAAGTAACATTCTTCCCGATCCCTTGAATTACCTATAAGCGGGGATGACTGCACATACATCAGTCAACAAACGTTACCTGAGCTGTGTTTTGCGCTTGCATATGAAAATTCGCATTGTTATATCCGACAGTAGCAGCCGAAGTGACACCTAAATATGATGTTCTAAATAAGTTAAGACACGTTACTTGGAACCGAAGCATAGCCATTCGATTTATATGGAACGCTCGTAGGCGGCTGTTGCTAAAACAAGATTAGCTTACTTAGTTTTAGAGCTCAACGATGCTAAATTATCTAGTCGGTGACTTACCATCGGCGCATTTGGGAATGCAGAAGGATTGTTGGCAATCGACGTCTGAGGGAATCCGCTGGATGGCGGTATTGGCAATGGATTTGAAGCCGGTATCTAAAAAAACAAGTAAAAAAGACTCGTTTAAACGGTACCATTTGTCCGTGATTGGGTTGATCAAACGTGGGTGGAAGCGTTGTATTTATTGGAGGTTGAAAGGTGGGAAAGACGCTACCCGCATTTGCAATTGGATTTGGATTTGGCCTCGGATTATTGAACTGTTGAGGCTAAAAATTTGCATGAAAAAGATATCTATAAAATACAACCTGCGGATTATAAGCGTTTGCCGTCGGAAATTGGTTAGAAATCCCATTGAATTGAGGCTGTGATGAAGGAATTTGGCTCGGCGTAGGGCCCATGTAGCTGCTGCTTGCCACACCAAAAGATGATGGCGGTGGAATTTGCGCAACCGATGAAGTGCCCGAGTATTGCCTAAACATACTCGAAATAAGAAACGAAAATAAAAGCTCACTGAAAAGCAGACGGCATGTTGTAGTTTCCATTCATGGGCGCCTGCGGAAATCCCGTCCTAGATGCATTCGGATATATTGGCCCTGACATCAACCACAGATCTAAAAACAAAGTGATTCTGTATAGAATTAGGTGATGAAAAAAATGATTAGGTATTGGCTGTTAATTGTCCTTTAACTAAAAAGCTCCAAAGCACAAGATGAAGAAGGACAATGAGAAACAAAAAAAATGGACAACAATAAAATGACGACCACGCGTCATTCCTGTTGAATCACTACAAATCAACAAAATCTCAACAAAACAAAAACAACCTAATACCAAATAGAAAACAGCTTTGTGGGATTCTATCCCTAAGGACGGAAATTGATGACCGACTATTGTAGAACTAGCTGCAAATAGCTGAATATCTTTATGCTATCAGATAATTGAATATAAACCTCCGCGGAAACCAACCCACTTGCATAATTTTAAGTTTTAAAAAGTTAGAAAAAGTTTATTGGATCGTTTGTGCGCTTTTGATGATACGGCAAAATTGGGTCGTTCTTGTGTTCTTGCGTGCACAAATTACGATCTTTGCTGCATCGACTACACGAGCTACCATAGAAACGGCATTTGGGGGATCTGTGAAGCGACCCGCTCTGCTCCACTTAGCAACAACACTCCTCCCTTGATACCACTATGTACTTTTGCGAAAAGTTTTTAGTGAAATGCGGATGCATTCGACCATTTCATTAAACGTTATCAATCAAGGTTCAACGATCACTTTTTTTGTCGTCTGCTTTGCTCTGACGCCACATGATGTTGATAAGTAGAGCAAAAGATCACCCACTGCGCAAACGTTTGAATAATCCCGACTCTTAATGTTTTTGAATATTTCTGATCCCCTTTTGCCGAACCTATATACAAGTTTTTCCGAAACAAACGTCCATTTACTTTTTTAAATGCCTTTCAATACGTTTTCTCCTTTTATTAAAATGCTGATTTAGTTTTGCTTCTATGATCAAACGGACCGACCATCGTGACGGACATAAAGGTATTTTTTGCAGGACTTACCTGTGTATCATCTACTTGCAGGAAAACACAATGGAGAGATGACTAGAGAAGATTACAAGGAACGAGAAGTTTATGTAGGAGTTGGTCTACCCCTAACAAAGGTTTGCCAATTGATTTTCGGGCGGATATAATTTTTCTTTAGTCCGAGGGAAGTGATGGAAAGAAGCAACTTACAAATGGGATGCAGCGTGTTCATCGAATTCTAACCGATGAGGAGCTGGCGCAAGGGAAGACGACCCGTTGGCAAGAGATGGAGATTCACGGTTAGAATTTTATTCAAGATAAATTGATGCAAGCACCGGGCTTGTTAGAGAATGCTGGTCTCACTTTACGAACAAAGTATATGTAATCGTTTTAGGAAGAATTCGTAACATCTCGCCGAGTATGTTCATGAATTATCAGCACATCACGGCGCTTTTCATGAATGGGAATCAACTTACAAGAATACCAGCAGAAATTTGTCATGTAAGCTTTAGCTGCTATTGATTTACAATATTAAAAGTTTAGCTTTCAAATCTGACGATGCTCGATTTGTCACACAACAAACTTAAATCGTTGCCGGCTGAACTTGGTGATATGATTTCCCTTTGTTCACTTTATCTAAACAACAACCAACTTCGTGTACTGCCTTTTGAGCTGGGGAAACTTTTTCGCTTGCACACATTGGGTTTGTGACTTAAATATTTACTTATCGTTACTTTTTAAGGACTTACGGGCAATCCTCTTTCGCCAGAAATCAACAAGATATACCATGAAACGAATGGACAACAAAAATTGCTTCAATTTCTTCTGGATCACTTAGCGAGTAAGTTTCTTCTTAAAATACGTCTACGTTAAAAGCGATAAAAACCTTTATTCGCTAGCAAATTTATCCATCGAAGGGACTTTTGCTGCGAGCTAAAATTTTTCTTACAAAACTTAATCAGATTTGAGACTCTTGGCAACCTCTTTCGACGGTCCGATCATTATGTGTTTGCACACGATCTTTTCTTAGCGTTCATGCGATATTACCAACATTAGTTTAAGTTAAATACAATTTGTTTGTTTCTGTTCTTGCACTGAAACACTTTGTTAGAAAAATAATGTTGATGTTAAATAAAACAGTATCCTCAAAGGAGCGGAAACTTAATGTCTCTTCATCGATTTTTCAATAATTGCAAAAACTCTTTTCTTCTCTTCGATCTACATAGGTGGTGTTTCGCCGTGAGTTCCTATGAAAAACTGGAAGCTTTTTTGCACTTCACAGTTTGCGTAATGGGAGGGTGGGGGATATTTTGGTGGGCGGCGCTAGCGAGTTCTATCTTTGTCGTCGCAGGTGCGCGCGAGTCTCTCTGCTGTCTTAAAGTTTTCTCGCTTTTTGATGCGTTCGCCTCTCTCCGCTCTAGGAAGATTTGAAGTGGCAGCCTAAAAGGGAACTCACCTGCCACCACTACCACCGATTCGCTCTATTACCATTTTGACGGATTATTCTTACTTCTAATTTTATTTTTAAGACTGCCATTTATTTTGTTCCACTAGAAGCTATTTTTTATTGCTAGATATGCTCTTGTAATGTGGGAGGAATGTGGTCGGCAACCACCTAAAACTCGAATTGATCGTCAAAAATCATGTCCTGAGCAACTTTCATCAGATTTAAACGCCTCGCGTCGCTTGGAAGTTAAAGGCTCTGGCAAAAGGTTTGCTCGAAGAGCAAAACGATGGGCCGAACTTCAACAACGGCGTCAAGTGGCAAGAACTTGTATAAAAAGTGATCTCGGTTTCGATGTATATCGTCAACAATTGAATGACCCAATGGAGCTTACCCTCGGATTGCCTCTACAAGGCGATGAATCGAGACAAGTTGACGAAAACTTTCGGTTGCAAAATCATCATTTGAAAACTCAGCGCTCTTTTTCCTATACTCCCTTACAGCCATTAAAACGAGATCCTCATATTCAGTTTAATCGGGAAACCAACGATCTGTTTATTTCCTCATGTATTGTTGGCGAACTACACCAACCTCCTCCAATGTGTTTTTACCAGAGTTATAAAGCGTCTTTTCCGCTAAACTCGGCTATTGAACGTTCACAAAATGTTTCAACGACTTTGAAAGAAACTGCAGTCGACACGATAAATCTCTTGACTACCGACTTTTCATCTGTGGGACTGGCAAGCGACGAAGACCAAATTTCGTCCTTATCAACTAGTAATTCCAGTCGTAATTCTGAATCTGAAGAATTGTCTCAAGTGTTTTCCCATACTTTAATAGATGCCCAAAAATGTTCAATCTTTGATAAGCGACTCTCATTATCTCGGTCACTTGGAGCCACACAGACTCATCATCAAACCATCGGTAAAGCCTGTACTTGAAGTTTTTTTATTAATGGCGTGGTTTCATTCAAATTCTTATGAGGTTCTTCTCGTTCGGGGTATGATTAGGAAGGAAAAGAGAAAGGTGGCGGCCGTAGTCTGCTTGCTGCTTCTTTGCTTGTCTATTCCAATCCTGTTTATTTATTGGAACGGCGGTCTTGAAGCACAGCTGTCTTCCCGAAAGAATCGTATGTTCTTTACGGGCGCAAACAAATGTGTCTCAAGGGGAAAACGCGCAATCAAACACACTTTTTTCGAAACTGTCTTAAGTTTAAAAAGCGATTCAGGAAAGACATGGAAAATATCGGTAGTAGCGGAAGAGTTGTAAAAGAAAAATTTTTTAGCCTTTCATGCGAAATAATAAACAAGATGTTTTAGTAAACACTGTCCCGCCACCAGAAAGAAACTGGGTAATGATTAGACACGCCGATCCGGATCGTCCAATAGGTTAGTTGTTAAGCTATGCAAATGTTTCAGTTTTTAATTTTAGCCACGTTTACTGTGCTGTGCTACAATGTTCTCTGCGATAAATATGCTACGGCCACAGCGTACAGCTATTGTCCATCATGGGCCCTTAACTGGGAATATCGTAAGAATGTAAGTTTTTCATCAGCGTGAAAAATAACATTAGTTTTCAGGCTATCATGAAGGAAATTCGGAACTATGAAGCTGACATTGTTACTTTGCAAGAAGTCGAGACTGAGCAATTCAAACTGTTGTTCAATCCAGAATTGAAAGCACTGGGGTAATAAGAATTTTTATACATTGTCTTATGTTTGCTATAGATATGCTTCCGTATTCTCCCCAAAAAGTCGTGCGAAAACAATGAACGATGAAGAAAAGAAATATGTTGACGGATGTGCAATCTTTTGGAAATCTGACAAGTGAGCTTTTTTTAAGTTTTTCTAGGATAAGCCGTATAAGTTCAGATTTGAATTGGAGCGAGATTGGCTTATTGAGTTTACCCAAGTGGCAATGCGTGTCAGGTAAATGCCAATAATTTAATTTGTGTTGATTTTGATTGTCTGTGATTTTAGGATTTTTATCCGGTGTCTAGTAGTAGGATTTGTTTTTATAAGGAAATTTTTAGTGCTGAACGAGTGACGCAAGTGCCTGTTCAAAAAGCTCAAAGCTCTGAGCATATGCTAAATCGAGTGATGCCACGAGTTAGTCAGAAGTTTTAAGTTGAAATAATCTCTTGTTTAGGACAATATTGCCCTCTGTGCAGTTCTTCGTGTGAAAGACAATGTTTACAACAATCGTGGGTTTTTTGTGTGAAATTTAATGTTACACATTCAATCAGGTCGCCTTTCGATGTCTCCTGGAGAATCAGTTGTCGGATGTCCCCTTGTTGTTTGTACTGCTCATATTCATTGGGATCCGGAATTCTGCGACGTAAAATTGGTACAATCAATTATGCTTACGTCGGAATTGAATCGTCTCCTCCAAGAGGTAACTAGAAATTCGGTCATGATAATCATTTTGTGCCAGGTGTCCGAAAAATTCCGCATGCATGCGAACCAGATTCCTGTATTGATTTGTGGAGATCTTAACTCCCTGCCAGATTCAGGTAAAAATATGTTTTTTATCAAATATTCTTGTTTATTTAGGTGTTTTCGAGTTCCTTTCAAAAGGTCACATCTCTCGGAATCACTCAGATTTGAAACAATTCAAAGAGGATCCTATTCTCGAAAAGTAATAATTTGTTTTTGAAAGCTAATTAATCAAGCATCCAGGTTCTCAATTTCGGCTGACTCTACGGTTTATGGACATACATTGCGACTTGATTCATCGGTTGATACCTCTTCGGTGCCTTTCACGAACTACACGTAAACTATTTCTTTTATAATGTTATATATGATCATTGCAGGCTGGATTTCAAAGGAGTGATTGATTACATTTTCTCAACACCTCAATCTTTGGCACGTCTTGGTTAGGTTTTTTGTTTTTGACATAACTTTTTGGCATTTAGGAGTACTTGGACCGTTTGATATGCCATGGATACAGCAAAACAAGATCATTGGTATTTTTTGTTGTTTGTTGCTGTTTTAATCTATTTATTTAGGCTTCCCACATCCACATGTTCCTTCGGATCATATCCCAATAATGGCACAATATGCAATCATTCCCTCTTCACATCAGCAACAACATCCAAACAACTCAAAGGTGAAAGGATTATTATGCCATTAAATTTTTAATCTTATAGGTTAATACGGTCAATCATCTTGGATTAAATAACAACTCTGCTTCATATGGATCACATGGCTTTGGACAACTAAAGTAAATTGTTCAAAATAAATCCTAAAAGTAGCTATGATTTTAGTTTTGGACGATGAATCTTCAACCATCCTAATTCCAGAATTGTTAATGTGTTAACTGTGATTCTACTGTATTATTTTGAACTCCCAAAGCATTTGGATATCAGCTTTTGTCCATACGGCGGTGCCCAAATCATTCTCCCATTCTTTGTACTGTATTGCACATTGTTGAATGGCTTCCCTTCTAAGAAATCCACTCTCAAATCATCTTTGTGTTCCACTCGGTTACCTCAAAAATTTTTGTACAAAAATTCCACCGCTTATGTATCAAATTGCTTTCCGTTTTCCATTGAAACATCCGTAACTTTACTTTGATCGAGAGTCAAAAAATCATCAGTGGATTTTCTCCTGGAAAAAGCAACTCAATCGGCATCATATTTTAAGTTTGTTTGCAGTATTTCCTGTCGGTGTTCATTGTTCCATCATTGTTCTTTTACTCAAACTATTACCCGAAAATGTGTGGGATTTTTCATGGGTGATGCCTCGAGTTTTTGAATACTTGTAAGTTATTGTGAGTATTTCGAATTATTGTCTTTACAAATTCCAGAAGACCCGTTTCGAGTTCTCGACTTTTACGTTGTACTCTTGGACCCACAATTTTTGTATTCACCTTTGTTCGATATCTGTGTTTTATTATTATTCTATTGTACTTTAACGTATGATGTTTATCTTTTGATGTACTAACTCTTTGGAGGGTTTTATTTCTGTCTCATTGAATGTGTATTTTCATGCGTGTAGCGTCCTATTGGCTTTTACCTATCACACATGTTTTCCCGCGCACTTCTCTGATCGGTTAACATCTACGGCACACATTTGTGCAAATATTCTTTCAGTAAGTCATCCATTTTGTAGTGGTAATAGTATCATTAATTTTTCGTCGCTATATAAGGCTTCTGATTGCAATTTGCTATTTTTTGTAATTCGGCTCCAAAGGCCTTTTATACCATGTATGTACCGTCGAAAAATAAATAGTGGAAATTTCAATCATTTATCAGATTTAACATTTAAAAGCAAATTCGATTTAGCTAATGTTTTTTCAAAGCAGCCAGGGCAGATAAACGGCCTGGAGCTCCGGTGACCCCACCACCTAAAAAGGGAAGTGAAGAGAGAAATGTCGAAAAGGAAAGCGACCTGGATGTGTTCCACTACCACACAAAAAGAGTGACTTGATTGGGGTCGAGTAGTTGGCTCCTTTATTCACGGGCCGAGCAAAATAAAGTTGATCTAGAGTCATCGAGCCGTGGAAAATATTCTGAAATGTGTTTCGATTCGAGCAGTCGCTTCAATTTATTCAAAACTTACGCCTCCCGTTAAATTGAAAGTGGCTTCAAGAGTTGGCGGGGTGAGCACCTGAAAATTGCTTGTGCTCTTTGAGAATTCACTTTCGCCCAACCTCATAGCCGACGATCGACGACGAGAAATTCGGCGCATATGCGTCGATCTCCGAAAAGACTGTAAACACCCTTTGGTATTGATGTTTTCCTTTTTAAAATTTACCATGTCTTGCATATCTTTCTTTCATTTCATCCGTCCACGGTCCTTCAGCCGGTTTATAAGGAGTGTATTGAGTGAACAAAAGACAAACGTGTCCAGAACCTGAATCCAGAATCTTCTAGATTGAGGTACTCAAAAATTTTATCGTCCAACCTTTCACTAAAGTGTCATCAACCGACGAGGGAAGTGTCATCTCCATCACTGGGCTAAAAGGAGAGAATTTCAAGCGTGTTTTTAAGCGTGAATTTTGTATTTGGATTTCAAAAAGATAACAATAAATCTGTTGTTGTCCAAAATTGGAAAGCTAACGCTTAGAGATTTGCTTTAAAGTGCCACAATGAGACAGAATGGTTAAACAGAGTATTTTAAGATCAGTTCAATCCTTTGTCTACTTTAAATATCGACTTTAGATATCGACGAAAAATGATCATTGTACTCGATCTTCTCTGATCTTCCCGATTTTCCCTGATCTTCCCGATCTTCCTGATCTTCCCCCTTACTGTGTGCTCCATTTGCCTTGTCGATAATCGTTGCATCCCTCGTGAATAAGTTGCCTTAAATGAACTTTTTATTTTTTTTGATAATTGTAATGATAAGTTTAAGGTGAAATCCGGTTATGTTCAACTCTTTAATTGAAAGAAAATGGGCTACTATATTAGAATACAGTAATCCTGTGAGTGCTACTGTATTCGGTAATGAATGTACAATAAACTGTTTGATTGAAAAGAAGACAGCTCTCGAAAGCTATGAGAGTTCTTGAGTTCTTGATTTCAAAGGATTTAGAAAGATGTCACCAATTCCCAAATAATCTCAAGGCTCTTCTCTCCGACTTTCTCAACTCACATGCTCTCTCCATTCATATGGATGGTCGTTTGATGATGAGGAGCCGCTTGAGATCCGTGATGGGGACGAGCCACGAAGTTTGGAAGCTCTTTCAATGCCACTAAACACCATCTCTCTCTCTCTCACCCTTTCTTTTCCCCTTCCTCAATAGCCGTCTTGAGTCTTTTCTTCTCTTTTATCCCCATTCCCTTTTCTTTTTTTGTTCACTCGTAAAACATGTACCTCAATTGAGGAGAAAAGAAGACTGTCTTTTTTTTTCTCAAAAGCATAACATTTTCCTTCCCATAAAATTAGACAAACCGTTAATTTTTGTGACCGGCGACGTGTAGTCAATCTGTTTAATCGAGTGCAAATAATCGATCGGTAAATGAGACTAAAGTTGGGTAAAGGAAAATGAAGCTGAAATCGAACCTCTTCGAGGAGATCACAAAAGGTGACTTTCGGAGTGCAATTCGAGAAGACGAGATCCGCATGAATTTCCATTCCCGACGACAGTTTGACGCCTCGAGCTTGCCCTTTTTCGACGAGAATCGAGCTGACCTCCTGGAAAAGAATTTCAGTCTAGCTTCTCGAGGCTGAAGCTCTTGAAAGCTAATGTTAAAACAATAAATCAGAAGCCAGGAAATCACCGAACCTGTTCAGTGTACAGCTCAGCGCCGGCACTTCGAGCAGCCGAAGCGATCGCTTGACTCACGGCTCCCATTCCGCCAAACACATATCCCCAGGTGCCGGTTCGGCCATCCAATCCGCCCATCACGTGATGTAACAATACATAACTGTAAAAAGTGTCTCTTAACATTCACTAGCTTGCTCAGAGTAGTACCCAGTGCCTAAATCATAAGGCGACGCTGCGAATCCGATCACTCCATCAGTAGCGATTGTTGCCTGAAGAGCCGGATTCTCAAACCATTTCTCCATCACCTAAAAAAAAGAGCTTTTTTCGTTTAAAGGAAATTTTGCAACTTTCGCAATCGGTGCCGTCATCAGCTCGTAGAATTCGACGGCATTCTCGACTCCAATTCCTCTCACTGAAATTCGTTGAGCAATTCACCGGGATCATTTTTTTTTCACCTCTTTTGTAGAGATGATAAAACTCTTTGAGTGATTTGTTGAATGGTTTATGCATCGGCACCGGTTCATCATCCATTAGTCCCTCGACGGCTTGTGCAATTCGAGCAATCATGTGTTCATAACGAGGATAATTCTACGATTTTCTCTTCTCAATCAATTTTTCATTTCCAAAAACCTCAGCATCTTTTTTCGAGAATCTCGCCAATTCGACTTGATTCTCTTTCATATTGCTGCCCAATAGAAGGCTTTCTTTTGTGTTTCTGATCGGCGTGAATGAGTGCGGTTCACGAAGATGATAGCGCAGACCGTGTTCCTGAGATTTATGATATTGATTATTCTAGTTCATAAATGATTCAATTCAATTCAATTACGTCATCTCTTTTCTAAATATTGATCGGTTGAAGTGCCGGCACAAAAATGTCTATGTCTAGCAAACCTTTAACTTGAGCTCTTCGATCACCGTCGGTCTCAATAACGATAAAACGTATGAGGCTCGAGAAAATTTGAAGCCTAAACGTGATGCGCACGTTTTGAGCAACTGAGAACATGCACACAAAACCTGGTATAATCTCCTCTGTGACGGCTGCTCCACCCAAAATATGTCGCCGCTCAAGCACGCAGACTTTCTTCCCAGCTTTGGCCAAGTAGGCCGCCTAAATTGGTGCAAAAGATATTAAAAGCTTCTTTGCACTCAAACCGCTGTAAGACCATTGTGCCCTCCGCCAATGATCACCGCATCATATTTGCTGACGGGCTTTGCCGATGAAAAACTACGTACAAAACTTGTTGCCCTATTCATGCCTACAATAAATAATAATATACTAATTTTTAGATGGAATATGCAAGTACATAATTGGTAGAATTGATTAAAGAATAGATCAAAAACTAAGGGTGGTAGGTTTCTTTCGCAGAGAACAAGATAATGTTTTGCGATCTCTTTGCGATGCGATAAGACTCGGCCTGTCATTGATTGCGGTCAAGTTCCGTAAAAATTTTGATGTCTTACCGCCTGCCAAATTTTAATGACACGCATTTAAAAATTTTAACCTTTATCAAACCGTTAATATTTTGCAGGAATCATAATCAATCATAATTCGATTTTAAGCGGCTGCCCTTTCAACAAAAATGTATGAAACTACAATACATAATGTTTCAATAAAGTATACAAGGTACAAGGTAAGATTGAGGGCTTAACAGCAACTTGAAACACGAAAAATTATCGTTAAATCAAATATAATATTGTACAGGAGGATCAAAGTTAAATGATAAGCACGTTAATCTTCACACCAGGCATTCTCCTTTCGAATTTGTTCTTCCTCTTCAGGGGTGAAATCGTTTTTGATGTTGAAGGTTCTTCGGATGTCTTCTACGGTTTTTCCCCGAATCATGTTGGCCACTGTCTTGCAAGTCACCTCGAGAAGCCCTTTGATGTCAAGATAATTGGCTGCCTGAATCGCTTATGTTAAAATAACGCATAGTAATCTATCAATTGTAGATAGAAAGAAAAACAAACCAAAATCAATTCAAAGAGAGTCCCTTGATCAACTTTAAGAAATTCAACGTCCCAGGAAGGAATGTCGTCTGTGCGCTTTTCACGGCTATCTGAGTCTTCAGCTGGCACAGGATCGTCCTTGTGATATTGGCACCAGCCAATTACCTGAAGATGAATTTTAAAAATGACATAGATTCACAGCTACCTTCTTGAGGATTGCAGAGTTGACATTTTGCAAAGGAATTGGGTCAGCATTTTCGGTTTCCACGCCATCGCCATCCATTCCGAGATCCTAAATTTAACATGGCATCTAATATTCTATGTATAACCCGGTCATTTTATTTCAATCATAATTTGAACAAAGCTATCAACGTTTGTCTTAAAATAGCACAAACTTTGTGAAAGGGTAATTTCAGCAAAACCTCCAAATTGTGTTTTAAAAAGTTAAAATAGATAGTTTTACCTTTAAAAATGCTAAGTTTAATAGAAGCAAAAAAAACACCTGCAGCAGTGTATTGATGGTTGTTGAAAGGCGGATGACATCACGCTCAACCGAATACACTTCATTGTCAGAACTGCTAATTTTGATCATTCCTTTCTTTGCATCAGCCATTTTCGTACTCCTGAATGCACAAATGTAATTAGTTTCCAAGAAATAAGCATTAGTTAAGCAAAAAAAGTAAATGTTTGTAATTGAACGTATGCTATGCTATTAGGAGCAAAAGAATACACATGCTATCAGGAAAAGATAATTCAAAAAAGGATTCAATATAGATAAATGAAAGGTTTACACAACGTCTTAAAACAAATAAAAGACATGAGGTATTGATGGAAATCCTTTCATGAGAAAGAGAGAAAGAACTTTTCCAAAGAGCCCAATCAACGGAATCCGAGTATTTAAACGTAGTCAATAGGAAATTTTTTCGCGCTCTCTACATTTTCAAAGTGAAAATTGTGAAACAGAGTTAGCACAACAATAAAAATGCCGTAAATACTCTAATAGAACACCACCTCCATATTGACGGGCGTACAGTCGCGTAGTTAACTTTGAACGTTCTATTCTCCGCGCTGCTTTATGCTATGGTATAGACTTGGTTATCGATACAAACGGCAAGCTCATGTTTGCCGTTCAGATCTCGGTCTCTAGAACATCTATCAATCTGCAAATTGTTTCATTGGAAAGGCAAGAATATCAGTTTTTGATTGCTATCTCAAAAATGGCAAATTCTCAAAGCCTTAAAAGCTTATCAATACTTATCGATAAGGTTTATGAGGTGCTTACTCATTAAAAGTCGCTATTGTATAAAATGACATTCTTGACTTTGCAATGAAACAATTTGCAGATTGATAGATGTTCTAGAGACCGAGATCTGAACGGCCAAACATGAGCTTGCCGTTTGTATCGATAAGCAAGTCTCAAATTAGCCCTTGAAATCTAGTATTTTTGGCACCAAAAGTCTAGTTGGGAAAAATCTAGCGGCCGCGAAAAATATAAAATAAAAAAATGAAAATGATTTTCTAAAAAGAAGTTAGACTACACGACTGTACGAAAGGACGAGTATTTACGGTATTAATAAGAGTGCAAAAACCGTGAATGGGGGTGGGATAAATGCGACCTTTTTTCGCTGGAAAAGGTCTTAGGAAAGGCCGTAGAGCTTCAAAAATCTTTTCATGGAAGGGAATCGTATGCGTAGATTTCGACAAAGCAGCTGCGGAAAAGTGTCAAATCGCGTAGTTTTTGCCTTTTAGCCCGAATTTGACGTGTCAGCGAGGTCTGATTTATCGAAATCCACCCCTCCTCCCGTGAATAGATTCTTCATGCAAAGTAGGATAATGAAGAAACACAATTTAGGGTCTAATCTTGGACCAAACCCGTTCCACTGAACGGTCTAAAAGTTCTCGTACCCCAAAGCAAGCTGGGATGAAAACCTTGGCTTTTTTAGAACATATCAAAAGACCCTGGCCGTAAATAATCGAGCTTTCGAAATAAATACAGTCATGCACAAAAGTCTTGTAACATCCAGTTTAGCAAATTTCAAAGTGTGATAACTTTTTTTTGCAAAGAGGCGAATTCCCAAACAGTTTTTGGTTTTCAGTTGTCAAAAATTTCTATTTTTATATGCAAGAAAAACTTTATTGAAACGATTAACAAAAATTAAGAAAAACAAATAAAAACAAAAAACGGGCGTATTTTTGATGCTCAAAAGTCTTGTAACATTTGAAGTATTTTGCTTTTTTTTTGTTCTTGTTTTTATATAACAAAAAATTGGTTTTTTTAGATGTCTGGACAATATTTGTCAACTCGTCAACGGGACAAAGAAAAAATTGTGGAAGCGGAAGAAAGGAATTCAGAGGAAAGATGTGGCAGCTCTCTTCAAATGCAGTGAAAAAACGGTATCTGTAATTGTCGGGACGTTCAAAACGACTGGATCTGTTCACCGAGCTTCAAAATCAGGTCGTCCACCAATTACAACACCCAGAGAGGATAAAGCGCTCGTCAAAGCTCACAAAAATAACAAGGATCTCAATGCGAGCGATGGAGTCGTCATGATGAAGAGTCAATTCGGCAAGGATGTATCACGAATGACAGTGAGCCGACCCTTTGACATTTCGTGACATTCGTGGTGGGTTGGTGACAAGAAGAGCAGCCAAGAAGCCCTTGATGAGTGTCAAGCATCGGAAGATTCGTTTGGAGTTTGCAAAGAAGTATGTCAAAATGATTGGGCAAATGTGATTTTGACTGATGAGTCAAAAGTCAATCTTTTTCGCCCGGATGGCAACCACTTGATCAGAAGACCAATAGGAAAGCGATACAACATCAGATATGTGCGACCAATCGTGAAATTTGGCCAAGGATCAATCATGCTTTGGGGTAAGGGCTACTTTCGTGGTGCACACTCTCAACTCTGTCTTTCAGGTGCAATGTCGAGAAATTCACCAGGTCCGCTAGTGCTACTAAACTCAACACTCAACGCTGAAGGCTACAAATCAGTTCTCCAGAATCATCTTCTGCCATTTTCAATTGCAAAAATGGGCCTTGGATGGCTGCTTTATCAGGATAATGCGCCTTGCCACAAGAGTCAATTGCTAATGGGCCGGGTCGTCACTCTCGCAAATGGTGGAAAAGCTCGTCTTCCACGATGGTTCAAAGCAAATCGTGTTCAACTTATCTCAACTCCTCCATATAGCCCAGATTTGAGCATCTTTGGGCTTTTTTGAAGTCAAAGCTGGAGGGAAAGCGACTCAACTCGAAGATAGAGGTTTGGTTCTTCATTCGCCGTACCGGGTCATCCCTGGGAGCCCAAATTCTACGCGATTTAGTTTATTCAATGCCAAAGCGGATCCAGGAAGTCAACAAAGCTAAAGGTGGACCAACGAAGTATTAAAAATTTGATAATTTCTATGTTTGTTTTCAAATGTTACAAGACTTTTGAGCATCAAAAATACGCCAGTTTTTTGTTTTTATTTGTTTTTCTTAATTTTTGTTAATCGTTTCAATAAAGTTTTTCTTGCATATAAAAATAGAAATTTTTGACAACTGAAAACCAAAAACTGTTTGGGAATTCGCCTCTTTGCAAAAAAAGTTATCACACTTTGAAATTTGCTAAACTGGATGTTACAAGACTTTTGTGCATGACTGTACTTGAACAACAAAATTTATTGATAGTCAACAAAGTAACAAAAAACAACAACCAAACTTGCGTAATCAACAATTGATAATAAGAAACAAGCGTTAAAATATCGAAAAAATAGAAATTTAAAATTACAATACGCTTATGAAATGGGTTCGTTTTCTTTTCCTTCAAGCGTTGGGTCTATCCGACGCAGCTCAACAGTTTCTTCATGCTCTTTGTTGCGCTAAACAAAAAATTTTTTGCTTGAATTTCCAATTAATTATTTATTTATTTATTTAACGCAAAATCTTACCGCCTGTGGAGGTGACGAAGGCTCTTGACTTTCATGCACAGTTGGTAAAATATTCAACGATGAAAACGACGAGTTTAAGCGCCCACTGAACAATTTTATCAGCAATTTTAAAAATCTAGAACTTACTTTCTAGATGGCGATAATAATTTCATGTCCCTGGCCAAGGGTGATTCAACCGTTTCATCAACCGACTCCAACGATATATTCATATCTTTAACAAAATCAATATTAAGTTTCAAATGGTAAAAACAAACCTTTCAAGTTGCGGAATTTGCGAGCGTGCGCAGTGTCAAGACTGTTGTGAAGTTTGTGTGATGCTCGAGCAGGGCTTGTCGGTGAACGTTTTACAAATGCCGTAGAGGGTGGTGGAAAGTCTAAAAGTTAATGTAAACATTTACATCCCAATTCAAATTGACCTTGAATTGAGCAATTCATTGTCGGTTCTTCGTCGGCTCCTTGAACGTTGAATAAACTTTGAGAAAAAGTGACGGTCCTTGATGTCTGTCGCCAAACAAAAGTGTACGAGACAAATGTGTTGTAGATGATATAACATAAAAGAGTCCAAACAACAATTATCTAAAACAAAGAACTACTTGATGACAGTAGAATAAAGTACAACCGGTACGAGTGCAAATCGAATTGCATCTATAGCCGCCATGAAAGTGCTGTCAGAAGCCAGAAACTCTCGTAGTTGCATTCGAATTGTAAACGATGCCCACATCGCAAAAGGAGCCAGCAGAATTATCTAACAAAAAAATAAGAATAATAAGAATACAAACAAGCAACCTCGGAAAACAACAGCGGCAAAAGTAGCAAAGAGGGGACGCAAATTGGAAGCTTCATTCGACCCTCTTCAGTTCTCTCCCTTAGTTCGAATTTCTTCATCAAGTACAGACCACTTGCACAACTAACCACACTAAACCAATAATAAAAAATAGTTCATATCTAAAAACCCTACCTTATCACCAAATTCATTGAATATGTTGAAATGAGACTTCTATAAAGAGCTGGTTTAGCATAAGCCGTCCTATAAAAGTTATTTAAAGTTTGCTGAAAAACGCTAACCCATTTGATGCCGTGTGATTTGTCGCAAAAAGAATTGTATCGAAAGATGCCGATGTAAGCAAGAGGCCCGCGCACCCAACAGCAAGGAACAACACTTGAACTCCAATTAGAAAGATCTAAATAAAAACTAATTATTAACAAACAGAGAAAAGCAGTCACCTTGATATGAATTTGTCCGGCAAAGCATCGACAAGCGACTTTAGGAGAGCGTCTTCTCAGAATTGAGGCTGTCCGGGATCGTCTGCGAGAGTTGAGACGAAATGAGTCCCGGCTGGTGATGCTGTTGATTCTCTGGTTTCTTGGCATCCTAAAGCAGTTATTTCATGATTATACTCGGTAAAAAAACAAGTACAAACTAGTAAAAGAATTTAATTCAAGAATATTCGTCGCAGTAAATTTGCTAAATGCTCACGCAAATTTACTAAATGCTTTACTGATTTCGATGAAAAGTTAACGGTCGGTTCTATTGTCAACAGGGCGAAAGTAAAGAAATGTGGAGGAATTTGGAGAAACCAAAAACAGAACTTGAAATCAAATTATGAGAAATTCATTTCTTCGACGTAGCAAGTGCGCACATTTTAGGAAAGACTAAACAGTGGTTACGACAATTGGGTCAACAATTTGCTGCTTCAGTATTTATCACGTTGATTAACCAGCAGGCGGATTTTCCTTGAACGTGTCATGAGTTCTCCCGCTGGATTAACATTTACTAAATGGATCTTGTGAATCTAGAATTAGTGTATTATTTGGACTATGCAAAGCTTTTGACCTCTAAAAGCTTGGACCAATTTTTGGCTTTAATTTGGCTGCCTTTTGCTACAATGCTACATAATAACCAAAGTAACTTTCTCAAAATTCTTTATTTTAAAAAAAACTAAACCCAAATGTACAAAATTATTATAAGAGAAAGAGTACACTGTGGTGCAAAAGTCCTGTCCCACTTACTTTTCTGAAACATTTTTTCAAAATTCTAAAATTTTTCGAAAACAACTTTTTAAGTAAAGGGGTTTTTCTGAACCCTAAGTTGTAAGTTTTCATACAAACAAGTTTTTAGATTTAAAAAATTTATTACCTGAAAGAAAATAACAAATAAAGTTTAACATCAAAAAATGTATGGTGCAAAAGTCTTGTCCCACCATTAAAAAAGGAAAGCTAGATTAATATTTGGTCGGTCCTCCTTTAGCCAAAATCACTGCTTGAATGCGTTGAGGCATTGAATCGACCAAATCACGTAGAATTCCCGAAGAAATTTGTCGCCAAACGTTTCTGATAAAGAACCAAAGCTCGACCTTTGTGCTGAATATCTTGGCCCTGAGTTTAGTCTTTAAATGGGCCCAAAGATGCTCTATGACATTCAAATCCGGCGAATAAGAAGGCACTTTGATCAATTCTACACGATAAGCAGCAAAAACGCCGGGTAGGCGAGCTCTTCCTCCATTTGCAAGCCGGACAACTCGGCCCATCATTAGCTGACTTTTGTGGCATAGAGCGTTGTCTTGATATAAGGCCCATCCTTGTGGCATGTTCGTGTTTGCAAATGGAAGTAAGTTGTTCTCTATGATTGACTTGTACCTTTGAGCGTCGAGATTTCCATCGATAAACACTAGCGGTCCCGATACACTTCGATTCATCGAGCCTAAAAAAGACAAATCGTAAGTAAAAAATAGGGCGAACACTTACCCCACAACATAATGCTCCCACCACCGAATTTGACCGTTGGCTTAACGTATTTGAGCTTATAACGTTGTCCAATTGGCCTTCTGATTAAATGGTTACCGTCCGGGTAGTATAAATTAACTCTAGTCTCATCGGTAAAAATGACTCGAGCCCAGTCATCGGAAGTCCAACACTCGTAATTCTTTGCAAAATCATATCTCAGCTTCCGAGTTTTTGCAATGGTCAAGGGTCGTTTTGCTGGTCTTCTTGCATGCAATCCTGCTCGAATTAAGCGACGGTCGATGCTCCATCGGGAAATCTTTTTGTTAGACGTGGCCTTCAACTTCATGATTCCATAGCTCGAAGTCAGATTCGGGTCGATTTTATGGTCAACGATAAGTGCTCGATCTTCAGTTTTTGTTGTAATCGGTCGACGACCACTTTTCGAAGCTCTGTGAAGACTTTGGCCTTCTTTCGATTTTGCTGCTAGCCGATTCACCGTCCTTTTATTGCATTTGAAGAGCATCGCAATAGACGGTGATGAATATCCATATTTCTTTGCTTGCACGATCTTTTGCTTATCAGGAGTTCATAAATATTTGCGAGTCGACATCTAAAAATAAAAATATAGTACAAAAAAATTCATGAGAACAAACAAAGGCAAAGAGAAAATACAAATTTTCTTAGTGAGACAAGACTTTTGCACCACCTTTTTTTCTCAAGTTTTACGAAAAAAAGGTTTTAAAAAAACAACGAAATATTGGAGTACGGGCATTTTACATAGTAAAAGATGAAGGGATAAGCTATTAAAAAAAACCCGTTACTTAAAAAGTTGTTTTCGAAAAATTTTAGAATTTTGACAAAATGTTTCAGAAAAGTAAGTGGGACAGGACTTTTGCACCACAGTGTATGTCTGTGTGTGTGTGTATGTCTGTTATGCGATTTTAGAAAAAACGGCTGAGCCGATCGGTCTGAAAATTTGATTATTATATCCAAAATTTTTTGTAATTTCCAAAAATCTAATTAGTTTTGAGGGTTAATTGAACCGTTTTTTTGCAAAAAGCGGAATTTCAAAATCTTCTTTATACGCGTGGCCAAGTGGTTAGTGAGCTAGAGGGGTCTAAGCTACTTAAAAAGGCAAAGAGAAAATACATTGGGTTTATTGGGTTTATTATATAATTGGGTTTATTGTTAAAGTTGGGTTAAAATTGTGAAAAGATTAGGGTTTTCGGATAGCATGGACGTTGATTAAATTTGAAAAATGTTGATCAAGTTGATTTAAGTTGAAACAAGGTTTTTCTTTAACCAATTGCAAACCAATTGCGAACGGCGAAAAACCGCGAAGCTCGCAAACCCAGCGCTCCTTTCGAATTCAAAAGTTTAAACCAATTAAACCCGAGTTCTAATTGAATTTTAATTGAATTTCAATTTCAATTAAATGAATAACAGAATAATGAATAAAGCTTCGACGCCTCTAAGCTTCCGAGTGATTAGATTTGGTTTATTTTGTGATTAAATTGTATTCTGAAGCTATAACTAAAAACATTAGCGTTTAATTTCAAAAAAAGTTTCATTTTAAAAGGAAAAATGATGTTGAGGAAATGGTTATAGGAATTGAAGGGGAAAAAGAAGAGGGAATTGAACCAAAAGAGTCAAATTCATTGAAGATAATGCCAAAGAATAACATCTATCAATCAAAACTATTAAAATTTTTAAAACTCTGAAAAGGTAAGGTACAGTTGAGCTGGAAGGAAGGGGTTAAATGGTCGTAATTCGGTCGAACTGGTGTACAAAACAAGAAACGAACGGCCCAGTTCCACCAATTTTGCCAAATGTTAACATTTTCCTTATCTTTTCCTAACAACAAAAAAGAAAATCTCCATACCGTGGTAAAAGCCTTTGTTTACCACGTTAATAGCATTGTTGGGTGAACGGGGAAATGTTTATTATATGATTGAATCATCGATATGAAAATACCCGATACAAATTATTTGTCTTTACCGTCGAGGGCATGATCTGGATGGACGAATGCCTGAAAGATTTGATAGTTTACAATTCCTGAAGCAAAGAGATCCCGATCATTTTACTCACCTTGTCAACAAATTCAAGAGATTCTAATTTTGTTGTAAGAGGCTCAATGAGTTCATCGTGGATCTGGCGAAGGGTCATTTCCGGGTCAGTTACGACGTGGACTTCGACGCGAACCTGGATCTTGTATTTTGTTATTTGATATCAAAATAAGGTACTTATCGGTTATACGGACACAAAATTTGCATTTGAGCAAATTACTGGCCAAAAAGGCCAAATCAAGTCAGTTATGAGGACACACAATTTGAATTTTAGTAAAGTTGCATTTATAAGCCTGTATTTGCTTGGAGTGCGGAAAAGAATTAAAGCAAATTGATCAATAACCGATTCCCACAAAAATTCTACAGGTTTTGATATCAAAATAAGGTACTTATCGTACTTATTGAGAGGATCTCCTGCAGCGGTGCCCATTATCTAACCAGTTGGAGCTTACAAACTTTTCAAACAAGCTCTCAAAGTTGGGAGTCGCACTTAGCCTGGCGCGCGACCTAGTTTTCGAGTTTTTGAAGTGACATTGAAAGCCGATTGGGAAATTTTCGCATCAAATTTATCAGAAAGATGTTTTTCAATCTCCGATCATCGTTTACGGGAAAAATCTTACACAAAATGAACAAAAACCTGCTTATTTATGATTTTCGTCATTTAAATCCGGGTCGAGAGGTGTTTAAAAAGTTGAGAAAGAAAAGCGAGCTGAGAAAAGCGACTGAGCTGAGCGAGCGAGCAAAATTACCAAACGAGCTAATCGTTTGGTAATTTTTAGTTTTTAAAATTCACACTTGAACATTATTGATTGAAATCTAACAAAAACTTAGCTCCTCTCAGTAAGCAGCTCGTTTTTCAATAACCCGAAAACTAGGTCGTGCGCCAGGCTAAGTGCGACTCCCAACTTTGAGAGCTTGTTTGAAAAGTTGGTGAGCTCCAAACGGTTAGATAATGAGCACCACTACAGGAGACCCAGTCAACATTTACCTGTAGAATTTTTGTGGGAATCGCTTAGCTTTTGACTGAGCTACACCCTCCAGAGTGAGTATGAGTAATTATGACGCACCCTGTATAACTGTCTTCTTTTGCCCCTTGAATCTATTCTTTTTCAACTCACCTTATTTCCTGCATGATAAACGAGAAGTGCATCTAGACATCTCACGTGTTTTTCTGATATACACACTTTTGCGACTCTTGACAATTCTTCTGGCGAACAATTTCCACCTGTACAACACGATTTTTTTTTGGTTTTTAATTTTGAACTCGATCCTAAAAGCTGTTCAAAAGATACTCACCCAAAAGTTGATGCATTTGTTCTTTCACCAATTCCATCCAGTTCCAAGCAATGTACCCACTGAATTCGATTTTTCTTGGCTTTTCTCGATTTTTTTCATTTACCTGACAAATGCAGCTGTTATCGGATCGGCCACCGGGGCCACATATTCTAAAATTTCATATTGAATCTGATAGATTTGTTGTTTTTCGTTTTTCTTGCCTATTAGAGGTCCTGTTCCCTGTTTTTTTTTCTTTGTTCTCATTTTTTGTTTTCTTGTTTCTTGTTCTTGTCCTTTACATAGTTCCTTTATAGTTCCTTTATAGCTCCTATTTAGTTCCTTTATAGTTCCCTTATAGTTCCTATTTAGTTCCTTTAAAGTTCCTTTACAGTTCCTTTAAAGTTCCCTTATAGTTCCTATTTAGTTCCTTTAAAGTTCCTTTATAGTTCCTTTCTAGTCTGAATATATGCAACATTTCTTCTTTTCTTTGAGAGAGCTGACATTAATTTTTATTGTTTTATTTTAATTTCCCTTTTGTGATAATCTTTTTTGCACTTTCTCTGTTATGTTTGACAATGAATTTTGTTTCTATTAAAATAAATGGCCCAATAAACAATGATAACCTGAGAGAGCTGCTCCAATGATGACTACCGAGTTTGTTACAACATCGTTTCTGAATTTTACGTTTACGAAATAGTTCTCTTTCTTTTCATTACCTCTGATCGGTGGCCAACACTTGAGCACTTTTCGAGTTTCTTTTACTACACCAGAGATATAAAAATATTTTGATGATAATCGTTGAAAAGAGAATGAAAAGTGAGACTGGAGTGATGTCTGGAGGTGGTTTGCCGAATATGAGAGCTTTGATCGAATCCCAGACAACTTGCAAATTAGCGAGACCCATCACCTATAGAAATTATTGGAAAAAATTCAGAGAGATTGACGAACAGCTGAAAGAAAAAGAAGAGCCATATTTTCGAGATTTTCTCTTCCTCGTGGATAATGCCATAGATCAGTGTGGATAATGAGATGCGTCGCATACCAAACGGCGACACCACTGAAAAGAGTTTCATTAAAAGTTGAATCTATCGTATCTATAGTTTGTTGAGAGTCTATCGTAGTCCCTGTAATAAAGGTTCTCTTACAGTGTTAAAAATAGCTTCAAAGTTTTGCAAGTAAACCCTACCCAACTCTAGATTATTGTTTGCTTTTTAGCCTCTTATTACAGCCTCTTGTTTTTCTCATTTGTAGCTTCAAATCGATACCCTTTACCCAGTTTCAGAAGAAAAAAAAACAAACAAGCCATTTTCCACTTCACCTTGTGATATCAACTACAGAATCGAGGAGTGTCGAAATAATGGACAATGAGGAACCATGAGTTAACCACGTTGAGAAAGCCTATATTTTTGATGAGAACATCGGGGGAGATCATTGGAACAAACTTTGGCGAATAGAAGAGCAATGTTGATGAGCAGGACTACAGTCGATACCCATTGATCGGCTTTTGTCTAAATTTGAGATATTGATAGAGATATTCTTTTTTTCTCGTATGGTTACTGCTTCTTCTTTATCCTCAAGCGGTCCTCCATTCAGAATACACTCCTCATCCAATTTGTACGCCTCCAAAAGGGCTTCCTGACGTCTAAAAGTTAATTCTTTCATTCATCTTTCAAAATCTTTCGTTTTTTTCAAAAGAATATAAAATTTACGGGCTATTAAGAGGCTTATCTCTAGAGAAACGCGAGGGATTAGATTTGCGAGCTACTAGACGAATTCCGATTTTATACAAATTTTACACAAATTTTGACACTGTTAAAATCAAAATTAGAAATGAACTCACTCATAATATTTGAAACATTTTGGGTTTTCTTTTGTGGCATGCGAGTGTTTAGAGTGTTTTTCATGGGATTTCAATTGTGGGAATCCATTTTGTTTCTTCGGTACATCTTCATCTTTTGAGGGTTTACGACGAGCCGCCATTTAACCTGGGAATCTGTTTGATAAAACAAAAAGCTTTAATATGATAATAAATACAAAACAGAATATCCAAGCCCGTGTCGAGAATATCCAATGGACGGAACTCTCCTATCAGTCGGTAGCTCTCCAAATCACGGTCTCTACCTTCTTTTCTTTTTGTCAACGCCTCTTATCAATCCGTCTTCTTCAGTTTTCCACAAACGGAAACGGCGTGTGATTAGGCAATTCATTTAAACGATTTTTGAAGGTTCAAAGTTGAGATTTCATATGTGTGAAGCCTGAATTGGGGCACTACATAAGAAAAGCTGACCGACAAAGTGGTCTTTGATTCAATATCCATCAATGCAACACTTTCATCCGTATTATACGTCAAAAGGGAAATTTGATTGATTCAAGGTCGGAGAATCTAGTCAATGCTTGACTTTCAAAACATCCTCGAAAATTAAATGCGAATGAAAAAGAAAGCGTGTAAAACAAATGAGTGATGGCCGAAGAACGCATGCGGTGGTCAAAATTAGACAGATACAAATTACTCCATCACTGCTTGAATATCTTTTCTCCATTTTTCTGAAGTGGCCTAATTTTGAACTTGTTCTTTTTATACGAGTTTTGTCAATTGCGCGGGGGTGGGACAAATGCGACCTTTTTTGCGCACCTGGACATTTGCGCACCTTTTTTGCTGGAAAACGCCTTAGGAAAGGTCGTAGAGCTTCAAAAATGTATTCATAGAAGGGAATCGTATGCGTAGATTCCGAATTTCGACAAATCAGACCTCGCTGACACGTCAAATTTGGGCTAAAAGGCAAAAACTGCGGAAAAGCGTTAAGTTGCGTAGTTTTTGGCTTTTAACCCTGATTTGTCGAAATTCGGAATCTACGCATACGATTCCCTTATATGGAAATATTTTCGAAGCTCTACGGCCTTGCCTAAGGCCTTTTCCAGCAAAAAAAAGGTGCGCAAATGTCCAGGTGCGCAAAAAAAAGGTCGCATTTGTCCCACCCCCAATTACGCTTTAAAATTCTGCATGTCGTCCTTCCGTCGTCTATATTTCTTTTTCGAACACAGATTTTATAAACACAGGTGCCGAGTTTTGTACGTTTTCTAATTAGCAAAACCGTTGATTTTTTCATTTGCATAGGTATTTACATTCAATATTCAAATTTAGATGTCTGGAACTTAAGCAACTCGACTTTCTCGTCATTTCTACGCTTATTTGTCTTTAGGTTGGTCACTTTTCTTTTTCTTGGTCAAATTTTTCTTTTAGATTTGGTTTAATAGCGTCATTGTCCGATTCGTTGGTGCTGTGAGAATGGCCAAAAAGACCATCATGATTTCACATAAGAATACCATTTCGCCGAAACAATTGGAATCGAATTTCGTATGCGTATGCTATATTAGTGTTTTATTTTGCTTATTCGCAGCTGGAAGTATCCACTCGACATTTTGAGGAACTTATTCTGGGAACTCGCAAGAAAGCTAACTGTTCTCAACAAATGCACTGTGAAGAAACGGTACGATGTTTTAATTTGCAACAATTACCGTAAATACTGTAATAGTACCCCACCCCCTTCGTACAGTCGCGTAGTCGCAAAAGTTTTTTAGTCTTTCATTTTTTTCAAAGCGCCCGTACTTTCAAAAAATGCGCCTTTGGTATCAAGAAGTAGCCCTGAATTTCAGCTATTTTTTGACACATAAGCGCGCTTTGTAGCATAAACCAGTGTCGAGAAAAACGCGTGCAAAGCTAGACTACGCAACACTCCGCACCGTCATTATGGGGGTGGGGTACTATTACAGTATTTACGGTAGGTGTTTTTAACAAAAAATTACAAGGCTTTTCTAAATTGAACATCATTTTTTAAAGACGATCCACTTGCCGGCAGGGTTAGGGAAACGATTTCTGTGCAAATTGATGAATAGTATCGGCCCTCGTCTCGGAACCGCCAATTGTTTTACACAAACGCCACCAGGAGGTGCACACAATGCAGTTCATGTGAGTTTTTCGCGTTATTTCATAGTTGTTCATGTTCAGGCTTACGATGCACTAGGATTGGTTCCGCATACTGTCAACTACTTCATCTGTTGCAAGGTAATTTACGCTGTTGTCACGTATTACGCTTTGTTTAGAAATGCGAACAACGAATTGAAGGACCCGATGAGACTTTGGTACAACATGCAATCAACCACTCAAACAAGTATGTTCGGTATTTTTTTATATAACTTTTACCGATTCAGATCTGCCTAACTCATTTTGTTTAGGAAGCGTTTCTCGTGTTCTCGCTGTGGAATTGAGGAAAATGAGAGGGTTAGCTAATTATTCTATTCCTATTTATATACATAAAACGCTAAGATCATCCACTTGTTTGGTAGAGTTTATAAAAGAATCTTTAATAGAGATATTAATTCTTATTTATTTAGTGTCGTGTCGCCTCTCATAGACCAATTTGTCCATTTCGTGGAAAGAAAGCTCGGATACACGATAGAATGTTGGTTTTCTTTCAAGTTATCACTTGTGTGTATTTTTACTTCCTCAACTTTTCAAATTTAGTTCCGACGACGTGGTTCGCGAGTCGTGGTCTAAAGTCTTCATCGAATGTTTTACGGAGGCTCGCGAGGAGAATTTCATTAATGGTTTGCCGAAAGCAGTTGCTGATATGCTGTTATTTTTTCAGGGTTGTCCGCATTGATATGAAACGAGGTTTTACCAGCTTTTACCAGCTTTTATCAGCTTTTACCAAACGCAAGTATTTGAAACAATTTTTTTGAGTATTTATGAACCACTAACCCGATAATTTAGTACAAATTCCAGTCGCATGTAATATTCTCATGATTTGAATAAATTTTGAATCTATAATCTATACATTTTAATCAGTGAAAACACACAGAAAGTTCAGAAATTCAAATTAAAAATTCAAACGTATTTTGACATGATTGCATTGTTTTTAGTCGGCATCTGAATCGTAAATTTTTGAGCCAAAAGCAGTAAAATGCTAGTAGTTGGCTGTAGTTGAGGGAAAGATCTCAGAAAAACATTCAAAATACCACGCACACCTGGCCAATTTTGAGTACATGAATCAACGATTTGAACGCTTTATTTTGTTCTAACAATGAGTCATTTTGATTGTTAAACCTTGACATTAAATGATTTTTTGCTCAGATAACTTTCAAAAATGATTGCACTTCCTCTCAACCCCCGCCACTCATTATGACGCCAAACTTGGATAATTACTTGATTCAATATAAGAAATGAGTCTGAAGTGACATTTTTGAATTCCCTCAAAACTTTTCCAATCATCGTTTAGGCTCGTCATCAAAATTCTGGAGATGAAAAGTATATCAAGTCCTCTTATGTGGGTTATTCCACATGCAATTACCCCTTCCATCCCTCCATTTCTTCATCCATTCCCTTTTCATTTCATTATCTCATCGCTTGTCCCTTTTCAACAATTGTCGGATCAAATTTCTCGACTTTAGCCTTTCAGGTTTTAGTTTAGCGCTAAAGTTTTTGATATAGAAGCTTTTGATGGAAAGATTACTGTAGCTCTTTTTGAATGATAAACTGTATGATAAGCTATCTTATGTTTATTATGATATATAGGATAAACTATATTAGTCTTATTTTCAAGATCCAATCTGTTATCTTCTTCGGATCTTCGGATCTTCGGATCTTCTTCGGATTGTTACCTGTAAAACAATTGGCGGTTCCGAGACGAGGGCCGATACTATTCACCAATTTGCACAGCAATTGTTTCCCTAATGTTCCACTTCTCATCACTTCTTATCTCAATTCTTTGTTGCTTTCCTTAAGCGGTAACCCACAGTTGACGAATTCCGGATGTAATTCCATATCCACGAGTTCCATGTTCCAATCCATGCTAGAAAAAACCGATTACTCTTTGAATCCCAGCATTTCCTTGTTGTTGTCTTCTTGTGATTCACAACGAATTGATTCTTTTTCAGGTGCAATGGAGTCTTCATCTCGACTCTCAACCACCTCTCGGGGTTTTCTCGTTTATTTCTTCATTTTGCTTTCATTTCTCTCGATCGTCACCGCCCAATACGCCTATTTTGATGCCACTGATGGAGATACGTAAGTTGAAACAAAAGAAACAAAGCTGACAAATAAAGTGGACTATTCTATAACTCGTGTCTAGCAAGTTATCTCTCGCTTCTCTCACTACAATATTCTAACATATTCTTTTTCAATTGAATATCTTTAAGCTGAATAACTCTTTGAAATACTGAGATGAAATCAAAAAAAAAACATCAAATTTTTCAGGGCTCAATCGCAGCAACAACTCAAACGAAACAACAATCTGAATAACATGTTCCGTATCGGGAAACGAAAGTTGGGCAACATGATGAGACTTGGATAGATCGTGTGAAATGAGAGAAAATGGATGAATGGATGGATTACGGTAGCCATTGTTGTCTTTATCCAAAAAGAATATCAATTATATTCTCCTTTTCTCCCCTCTTTTGCTGTGTCTCCATCGAAAATCTCTCTTCCCTGTCATTATTTTTTTTTCTCCTTCCGCTCATTCCCGTTTTGAGAAAATTCCATGAGAAAATATCGGATTTAATTTTTGTGATTTATTCCGAAAACACACGCACATTTTTTTTCAGAGAAAATTTGATAAACGTGAAATGGTTGTTTGTTTTTGAAAAGGAAATGAGATACTATACAGATATGATGAGCACTTGGGAAAGTTTAGTTGTGTTTAAAAAGGTTTAAAAAGGTTTAGAGAAGGGTTTAGAGAAGGGTTTAGAGTTTAAGGGTACAAATTGCGATGTAAAAAAGTACAAAAGTACAAAAGTACAAAAGTAAAAAAGTGTGAATTGGTAAGTTCAAAAAAAAAGGGAAACTTTACGAAATTTGCTCAGAATTTCGAGCGAGATGGCGCACGCATGACAGCCACAGAAGCTGAGCCCTGGAAAAGAAAAACATCTCTAAGTTTTATGAGTATTCGTGGAATCTTTAGCATCCTGTAAGTACAATCTTGGGAATACAGTCAAACTTCGATATAACAAATCGCTCGGGATCGAAAACTTCGATATAACGAACCTAAAACGAGCCTCAAATTTTCTGCGTAGCTGCCCTGGACGGTCACTGATTGGCTGGGGCAGCTACGTAGAAATTTTGTACACGTTTTAGTCGAACTATAAAGTTATAAAGTTCGCCTGTATTTGGCACTGGCAGTATTTTTCTTCAATTGTATCCAGTAGATTGTTTATTTTGTGGTCCAATTCTCAATAAGTGTCAAAAAGAGATTTTACTTTTCAATGACCATTTTTTAAGAGGTTTTAGATCAAAAGCTAGATCTTAAAAAGATCTTTTTACATTCTAGAAGCTAGATCTTTCTACCTTTGTCTAAAAAGAAATACTGAAAAAGTAGCCGTTAAAGTAGTTATTGTAAAAACTCTAATAGAACGGCCCCTATAGGTGCGTCGCGTAGTCTAAGTTTACTCGCAAACAAACGTTCATATCTTGACACCAGTACGTTTGTTTCTGCGAGCTTGGGTATCAAATTAAATTAGAGAGGATGGGTGATTTTTTGAGATATAAAACAGAATTTTAGCGTTAACCAGCGCTTAGAAAAAAATGATTGAAAACTGATGAAAAATCAGCTTTTTTTGCCACTTTTCAATCATTTTTTTCTAAGCGCTGGTTAACGCTAAAATTCTGTTTTATATCTCAAAAAATCACCCATCCTCTCTAATTTAATTTGATACCCAAGCTCGCAGAAACAAACGTACTGGCGTCAAGATATGAACGTTTGTTTGAGAGTAAACTTAGACTACGCGACGCTCCTATAGGGGGCCGTTCTATTAGAGTTTTTTCGTTGTACATCTATTGACAATTGGACGTAAAATGAACAGATCTATTATCCAGTACGCGAGTGAATATAGACTTCAAAGCTGATAAAAGCTGATAACCTGTAGAGTCGATCCTCCTCTACTCTTGGCTCTCATCTTTGACAGATTATTCTCCGCTGAATCAGCTCTTTCTTCAGCGTCTTCCAATTGATGTTGAACTTGACGATACTTCGAGAGAGAGGTATTCGCTTGTTCTTCCTTGAAAACATTTAGATTTCAATTTCCTCAATTGCCACTCACCGCTTCCTCAATATTTCTCTTCTGTTGCCTTGTTTTGTTCTGCAATTTCTCCACCAAATCATTTAAACGATCGAAATTCTTTTTGTCCTCATCAATTTGAAATTGCAATTCTTTTCCTTTCCGATCGTGTTTATTGAGCTCTTTTGTGGCTAACTGAAAGTTGATTTCATTTTCATTCAAATATATTTTTGCCCTACTTGGAATCTCCTCTGTTCGCCCTCCATTTCTTGCTCCAAATCGTGCGCTCTTTTCTCGAGTTGTGCAATCAACTAAATTTGAGGATTTAAGTAAGCCGGAAAAACCGGCGAAACCGGCAAAACCTTTTTGCCTCCTTTAAGAGCTGCCGCTTCAGCCTCATCGAGACGAGTCTGCAAGTCGCGAAGCTGTTGTTCAAGCGATTTCTTGGCTCGATCCAAAGAGCCTAACACAATATCACAATATGATTTTGTTCACAATTTTGAATCTTTCAACAAACCACAATGTTCACTTTCATTTCTCAGTTGATCAGCCAATCGTTGTGCATCAGCGATCGCTCGATTCGCATTTTCGTCAGCTGCTTTAAACTCGCTCAGCGTTTCATCCAAATCACCGTGAAGAGCCTTAAAAGTATTGTACACTGGATCTAAGAATTTTCGGTCTAAACGTCAATAGGTGTCCAACGGAAAAGTGACATATCTCAGTCAATTTCTATCCAATCTTTTTCATTTTAATATCAATTAAAGCAGAATTTCATTTTCTATCGATTGAAATCAAAGACAAAAAGATTTAAATGAAATTGGCTAAGATATGAAAAGATATAGCATTTCCGTTGGACACCTAAAATTCTATTGATGTTTACACCGAAAATTCTATTGTATTAGGTTGGCAAGTTGTAAACGATCGCTTGCTTTGTTCAATGATTTCTTAGAATTCAAAAAGATTTTTTGCGGCGTTTTTTTTTCTCCAAAAAAACTACAATATTTTAGCGTAAACATCACACCCCTTTGAGCCTGAGCTGAGGCTGGGCCCCTATAAACCGCACACAGCAAAAGTCACTCACAAAAAACTCGACGAGCTTGGCGGCTGGAAACTTCTACCACATGCGCCTTATTCACCCGACCTAGCACCCTCAGATTATCATTTGTTTCGATCTTTAAAGCAATTCCTCTATGGAAAACTTTTCGATGATCAAGTAAAAAACGCTTTTGATTTCTACTTTGCTCAGAAGGACGCTCAGCTTTTTTGAGAATGGTATCAAGGAATTGCGCCAAAGATCATCGATAATAAGAGTGAAAGAAATCATCGATAATAATGGAGAATACCTTTTGGATTACTGTTCTTTTTTTTACGTTCTATGAAATAAACAAGTTATTGCCTAAAACGATCGTTTATAACTTGCCAACCTAATAAACTATCGTACGTATGCTGTAGACAGTGTCTTAGTCTATGGTAGAGGTTTTGTTACTCATTTCTTGTGCCTTACTTGTATTTCTCCCTCCAGTTTACGTTTAACATTTTGCAGCGAGTTGAGCTGAGCCGAGAATTCGTCGGCCTGAAAATCCCATTTCGAATTCTTGATCCCTTCCCTTCCCAAACCTGTTGCCTACATTCGTGCGCTTCATTCTCAGCTTGTCTTCTTGCTCTCACAGCTGCATCATGAGCCACGGTGAGCTCTTCTTTTTCAGCTTGCAACAGTGTCACTTTCTTCTCAACATTGAAATATTGCTCTCGTAGCTCATCTCGAGAACGTTGCTCTTCTTCCACCTGTAAATCTTACTTCAAAACTCCGCAATCTTTTCTCACCTGTCTTTGCAATTCAATTAGTTGATCTTGATGCTTTTTCAGATTTCTCAATGCTTCAGCGTTTGCTTGATTCGCGTGATCGAGCGCTAATTCCAATTCGGTCACATCAGACTCCAATTTCTTCTTCAATCTTCCCAATTCAGTCTTTGCTTTTTGTTCATTTTCCAACGATTGCTGCATACTTTCCATTGCTCTTTGATGATTTTTGCGTGTATTCTCAAACTCTTCATCCTTTTCTGTTAATCTTTTCTCAATCTCCGCACGAATTTGAGATACTTCGACCTGGGCACGGAGTACCTAAAAGAACAGAAACTTAAAAAAAACTTTAACTTAGAACCTGAACAAATCTACAATTTTTGAACTGGTTACTGTACTTGAAATTGGATACTAGAATTTGTTCTTAACTGAACTGAGACAAGCTTGAATCAAGCTCAGTACAAGCTTGAATCAAGCTCAGTACAAGCTTGAATCAAGCACAACCTTTCAGCCTTTTACCCAATGCTTACCTTGCTTTCCTCAGCCTCCAATGCCGCTTCAGCCTCATCGACGGCATGTTGTAGTTCCTCTTTTTCTAACTCGAGTGTCCTCATGATTCTCTGCATTTCTTGTACCGATCGTCCTCCATCAGCCAGTTGATGTTGAAGATCGCGAACCTCTACAGCTAATCCTCCATTTTCTCTTCTTAACTCATCAGCTGCCGCCTAAATTCTCCCCTTTTTTCAAAGCTTTCTTTTCTTTCTCACCTGTAACTCATCTTGTCCATTCTTTGCTTTCAATAGATCAGTCACAGCATTCCTTGCATCTCTTTGTGCCATCTCCAGCTCTCCATTCAACTCCTCGCTTTTCCGACGCCAATCGTCGATTTGTTTATCGAAACCTTTTTGTGTTTTCTCGAGTTGTCCTACATAATTGTTTGCTCTTTCAACATCGGATTGTGCTTCTTCGAGATCCGATGCTAAACGAGCTTTTGTCTTCTCGAGTGATGTCACTTTTGACATTGCTTGATCGTAAACTCCTTGCAAATCGTTAATCTTCTGTTGTTGTCGTCTCCGCACTTCTTCCAACTCATCCGATTTCAATAAACCCTCACTCTCAAGTTTCGATTTCCACCCTTGAATCTCACCATTCACTTTCGACAATTGCCGAAGCAATTCATTTTTATTCTCAGCCTCCTCTTCGATTTGTTCTCTCAGTTGATTTGCTTCCAATTCATGATTTCTTGCCTGTGCTGCATAATGTTGTTTCTCTCTAGCTTCTTCGTCGGCTGTTCTTCTCGCTTCTTCGAGTTGTCCCTGCAATTGCGCCTTTGATCGGGTGACTTGCGAGAGTTGCGATTCAGCGTCTTCAATCTGTTTCCCCAGATCTCCATTCGCTGCATTCAGTCGACTCTTCACCGACTGCAACTCAGCCAATTGTCGCATTTGTTCGTCGGCTTTCGATTGCATCTCGTGCACCTGAATCTCCAATTGTTTAGCCAACTTCTCATTGTGCATTCGAGCCGATGTCTCAGAGTCGATCTCCGCTTGAATCGTGTCAACATCGTGCAAAGCCGACACTCGATCTCGTTCAGCTTTCACTTTCGCTTTCTGATTCTCATCGAGTTGCTCGGTGAGTGTAGAAACAGAATCGGTGTGTTTCTTACGCAATGCAGCCAATTGATTCTCGTGATTTTGATTGAGTTCCTCCAATTGATGCCGCAATTTCGCCAATTCGGCTTCTCTTTTCCGATTGATCTCGATTTGTGCAGCCGTTGCCCCGCCAGCTTCATCAATTCGATCGTTTACTTGATCCAATTCTCTTTGCAAATCGGCTTTCGCTCGTTCTGATCTTGCTCTCGATTGTCGCTCATTCTCTACCTCATCTTCTAATTCGGAAATCTTTACCAAACCATCTTTGATTTGTCGTTGCAATTTCGCAACGATCGATTGCTCTTCTTCGAATTTCGATTGAACCGTTTGCTGTTCGGCTTCTTTTCTTTTCAAATGTGTCTCCAAATCGGCTCTCAGCCGGGCAACTTCTTCAATCTTTTCCATTGTCACTGACAGCTCACCTTCAATTTTCCTCTTCTGTTTCTCAATATCGGATCTTGCTCTTTTCTCTCTTTCCAACGCATCCTCGAGATCATCCAACGCTCTCTCGAGTTTCCCTTTTGACTTTGTCGTCATATTGTTCTTGTCTTCTTCTCCTTGCAAATCCTCAATCAATTTCCGATTTGCTTCCTCAAGCGCTTTCTTTTCTTTGTTCAATCGGGCGATACATTCATCTTGATTTCCCATCTCATCTTGCAATGATCGAACTGCTTGATCTTTTGCACTCTTCTCTTGCTCAATCGCTGTCAGCTTTCCCTCAATATCCGCGATTTGTCTCCTCAAATTCTCCAAATCGTTCTCCACCTTTTTCCTTGCTCTCTGCACATCACCATTTCTTTCTTCTTGATCCACGAGTTGATCCTCGAGCTCGGTCAATTGTTTCTTCGCGTCGTGATACAATGCCTGTAGCTTCGCCACCCTTTCTTCAACTCCATTCGCCGATCCTTTTATATTCTCAAGTTCAGCGAAGAGTTGATTCTTTTCCTCGATCAATTTCGCGTTTTCTACCTCTTTTTTCTTGCGATTCCCTTCTTCGACAACCACTTTTTCTTCCATTTCTTTCAGTTTCTCATTCAATTTCTCCACTTCTTCACCCTCTTTTCCGACTTTAAGCATCGGACGAATCTTTCCAAAAAGGAGATACCAGTTCCACGTTCTGACAACAGTCCAAGTGCGAATGTTTCTTTGGAGAACGAGAAGACCGGCACGTTGGGTCATGCGGCGGCGACGATCGGCCTGAAATTTGTTTTGAGTGATAAACACTTTAATTCTAAGTTCACCCAGCTACAGTATGCCAAAATAGAAAAGTTCATGAGTCAAGACTGTATATTTGCTTTTGGTGAAACGGTGATTCTTTCAGTAAACGGTAGTATAAAAGAAAATCGGGCTTTACAGCACTCTTTGAGGCTTTCATTTATTCTAACACTCACCAATCCGAGATACCATCGAATAGAGGCCTGAAAATTAGTGAGCACAATGCCGAGCTTCTCATCGCGGAGATCTTCAAGATGCGCAAGAACGCCAGCTTTGAAGAAAACTTTCGTTTTGCCGATCTTGAACTCTTCCTCTTTGACGGCTCGATCCTCAACCATTCGAGACATCATCGCTTCGGCGCATTTCTTTGGCTCATCGTGCGCCTTCGCCTCCTGGGCGGCAAGAACGGCGTAGCGTTGACGAAAATCCAGATGTTGACATCGATTTGGATAGCCCTGAATTTGCTTTTAGAATGAATTCAGTCAAAAAGTAGTATTGGTGGGGGATTTTAGCAAGCATTAAGCTCTAGACGTGCAATGTAGCTAAAATTCGATGCTTCGGCTTTAAAAGCTCAAATCCTTTCTCTAACTTGTGAAAACTGATTCCTCTTGTTCACCTTTCGGCAAATACGAATCCCTTCGAGTACTCCATTGCACGTCAACTGATTGAGCACCAAAGCCGCATCGATCAACCCTAAATTTCTCCATTTTTTCATTATTCCTTGATTTTTCTCCTTTACCCGATTGTTTCTTTTCATTCGGAATGATGCATCGAATGAAATGTGGATGCGTTTTGTTCAGCATGCTCATCAAATTGTTCAATGATTCTCTGTACAGCATCGAGACAGTCATGAATGAGCCTGATTTACCCTTTTTCTTCCCGCCTGTCCCATCTTTGGCCGCATTGGCTGCCTGCAATTGTTGATGCGTTTTTGTTTAGTGAACTTTTGTTTATAAACCTAATAAGGGAGTACCCCAAGTCGCCAGAAATGAAAAGAAACAAAATCTATTCGTATTAGTTTCGTTAAAATCAAAAAAGCAAAGAAATTTGCTAGGCGAGGGCTCGAACCCGAGCAAGGCAAAGCATCCCTCGACCTATAAACAAGCACCTTATCCACTAAGCCACTATCACACCAGGACCTCGCGCGAGAAAAGCCTTTTAACCTAGTATGAGCAGCTTTTTCGGCATTTTGATCAGCTTAGTCAATACTATAACTTGTCTTTGGGTGTCTAGCAATCGGCGGTGGCGAGCTGGGGCACTTACCTTGTAAGTATCATTCATTCCCACCTCTTCTTGCGTTGTGTAATCCTCCCAAAGCACTTGCAGCAACTCATTCCCATTTGAGTGCTTCAAAATGGACACAAATGAGTCATTCAGCGGATCTTTGTTCTTTTCCAACCAATTCGTCACATTGTACCTCACCGTTCCCGCATAATGTTTCATCGCGAAATGAGCCTCAGCCTAGGATTTCTCTCTCAAATTCTCTGCCTCTCAATTCCACTCACTTGTTTTCCCTTTGGCGGCTTTGGTTTCTCAAAGTTCGAATGTTTTCCAAGGTGTTGATCGCATAACTTTTGTGCTAAAGTCATATCGGTGGCCTTGGGAACGATGCATTCCTCATCCAACATTGAGATAATACCTAAAATCGAGACCTAGATCTGTTATTTATGTGTTCCGAATTTAATAGTTGTTTTAAATCATTTCCCAGGGGGTGGTTACTTTGCGCCAAATTCTTTTGTGCAACTCGTCATAACTTTCTTCTAAGTGGGCCAATCTTTATGTTTTTAGTTTTATTTTGTTGCACTTACTGAGATCTGGGGTAGGCTACTTTGCGCAACAGGGTCATTTTCGCAACTTGCCATAACTTTCTGGTAAGTCGGCCAATCTTTATGATTTTGGTTTCATTTTGTAGATCTCAGTAAGTGCAACAAAATAAAACCAAAAACATAAAGATTGGCCCACTTAGAAGAAAGTTATAGCGAGTTGAGCAAAAAATTTGGCGCAAAGTAGCCACCCCCATTTCTCAAAGATTATTTCTTTGTCAACTGAAGTGTTTTCTAAAGTGCGGACCTCCTACCGTACCCCGATTTGTCCGCCATTTCACAGCATTGTTTCTTTTTTCATTCATTTCAAATTCATTGTCAAACTTTTTTTTTGAACTCAATATTTCATTTGATTTAAATAAAAACTTAAATCAATTTCGTCAACTACTCAAATTGTATCATCAACATCAATAATATCAAAGAAACAAATACGCAAACAACATTATATAAGAGTTTTTTTGAATCTTAAACCCTCACTGACCAAGCGGCTTCTCGATAAGCTCAATGCAAGCCTGAAGATCTAAACCGAAATCGATGAAAGTCCAGGCGATTCCCTCTCTAAATTCGAATGTCCACCACAATTCTCCCCTCAAATCTCACCGTTGATATTCTTCTTGTTCAAGCACAAACATGTGATGGTTGAAAAATTGTTGCAGCTTCTCATTCACGAAATTAATCCACAATTGCTCGAAAGAGTTTAAATCGAAAATCTCAAAGCCGGCGATGTCAAGAACGCCTAAAAGAGAAATTGCGGGGGAAAGTGCCGTGAAATGAAATAATGAAATAATCCTATTGATTCCTCACCAATGAAATAATCTCTATTGATTCCTTTTTGATCGAGAGTTTTATTGCACATTTGAACAATCCAAGTGAAAAGTCGATTGTAGAGTCCTTTTGCCATTGCGCCCACCGCCCAATTCACTTGATCCACATTTTGACCCTTTGACACCCATTCGGCTCCAACCTGGGATAATTATGAAGTTTACAGGCTACTATACTCCCCAATGAACTTATCTACTTACCTTGACTCTTGGTTTACACAAAGCACTCAGCATTTGTTCCATATCCACGCCAAACATCTTCGCCACTTTTTCGGCTTCATCTGTTGCATCCGGCTCAGCTTGTTCTTCGCGGGGTCTTTGCTTGAACTTCATGTTTCCCATGTGCATCATTGCTATATAGAAATTTGTATAGAATGCCTATTTTTCTATACCTGAAACGATCCGGAAACAGTTCATCTTCTCAGCGGCTGAGAAATTAAGAATATCGAATGATTCATCGGTCATCTGAAATTATATGTTCGGGAAATTATTGGGAATCTTTCCGCACTTGGAATTCCTCTCGATCATCCACTCCATCAATCGTCAATTCAGCTTGAGCGACAAACCAATAATTTGAGACGGGTTTATCGAGGAGAAGCTCTTTCGTGAGTGACGGTTTATAGCCGGAGAAGATTTGGTAGAAAATGTGATAGCATCTGAAAATTGCCGTACTTTGACTTTTTGAAAATATAAGTCAGTAAATCTGTGTCTCATGATCTGCAAGTGAGATCTTGATCTGACAAGCCTTACCTTTCTCCTGGTGCCTGTCGAATCACTCGCGATTTCTCCAAGAGATAATGCTCGATATCACACGAGGCTACTCTTCCACTGCGCGAGAAATGAATGCGAATGAATTTCCCGAAACGAGACGAGTTATTGTTGCGTACAGTTTTCGCATTTCCGAAAGCTTCAAGGACGGGATTCGTGCGAACGATTTGATCCTCGAGCGTCACTTTTTGCGCATCAACCTTTACTCCCTCGGCCTCAGTTTGGCGTTGACCGACAGCCGCAAAGTAGGCGATTACCTATAGAATTTGAAAGGATATGATAAGATTTCTTTAGTAGATCTATTGACATTTCGTAGCAGCATTTCGTATTCGAATTTTATTATGGAAGCTTGGGATTAGGAGGAAAAATTCCTGTTTAATTGCTCACCTTTTTAGTGTTCTCTGTCTTGCCAGCTCCCGATTCTCCCGTGATCAGCATTGATTGATTTGCATGATCGAGTAACATATTACGATAAGCTTCATCTGAGACGGCAAAAAGATGAGGAGGCATCTCGTTTCTTGAAATACGTTTCTTGAAATTCTTTTCAAGAAAACTCTTCCACACCTTCTTTTTCCCATGTACATGTTGGCGACAGATTCTGTGTAGATCGGAAGACGTTTGTATGGATTGATGACCACACAGAAAAGACCGGAATAAGTCTGAGAATGAGAAATGTTGATATTTAGAGATAGGATTATAGGATTATATAATTGCTTACATAGATGAGCATGCTTGCATAACGAGCTCGCAGATTGTGAAGAACGGAAGCGTCGTTGAGAAACGAAAGATTCGACATGTCTTCGGTTTTCTCGAATTTCGGTGGATTCATCTCTTGAAGGGCATCTTTTTTAAAGGTTTGCTATAAAAAAAAATGTGATTTTCTCATATTACTATAGCTATTACTTGATTCCCTTTACAGGTGGTCACAGTAACCGAATCGCCTTTAGTGGCATTGATCTCAGCGGCGACGAAACCATCTTCCGCGTCGGGCACCCAAACGTTTTTCTTCGAATCATACGGGATTGATTGATCCTAAAAACTGATTGCAGAATTATAATTATAATTATAAAGAATTCTAAATAAGTATTGGAATGAAATGGATCATCGAGACAATAAGCTTTCTTTCATTGATCTTTCATTGATCTTTCATTGATCTTTCATTGATCTTTCATTGATCTTTCATTGATCTCCATAACTTCTCAAGTAGTACAATATTTGCAATTGATTGAAAATATTATAAAGTTGGAAAGCTGTTCAAGAATTTCTTTACCAACCTTTAGCATTTCTTCTCGAGATCGCCGCAAATATTGCCATCCCGGATCTTTCTCGTGATCGTAAAAAGCCATGACTACCTGGAAATTTGAATTCTTACTAAAGACGATTTAAGAAGACGATTCAAAAAGAAAATTCCAGAAAAATCAAGAAAATTCCAGAAAATTCTAAAAACAAAGCTTCAAGTGTCAATCTTAGAAGCTCAGGTGTGGTTGAATAGATGGAAGAGACACTTCTCGACTGGTCATAAGGTCGGTGTAATCTTTCGTTGTATCAAAGGGGTATTGAAGGGGAGAAAAAGTGGAGAATAGGCAAATGTGAGGGAACAGCCACTCCTTTCTTCTTCACAACATATTCGATTTGAGATTGGGGAAATACAAAAAGAAAGGATCACGCCAGCTCTTGATCTAGACAATAAAAGCTCAAGGCGTTTCTTTGGAGCTTCTTTGGTTGTCTGGGATCTCTGCTCCTCTTGGAGGACTTTTGAAGCAAGAGCTTGAACTTTCAAAGTTTTATGAATTCAGGAATCTAGGGTTTATCAGAGTTTTCAGATCAGAACTAGAAAACCGTCTAATTCTGATTATTCTAGCTACGAGAAGACTGTTCCCTCTTTTTGTTTTCAAATCTTCCAGCAACAATTTTGAGGCATAGCTCAAACGATGCCCCTCCCCGATGTCGATGCACATCTGGCCAATCATGAAATTTCACGAGCAGACCACCACAAGAGTTTTTGTGATGGTAAACGAGGTGGATTTTATTGTGCACTCCCCTCTTTTCGACTCGAGTTTCATTTCAATCTTTATGCGCACATATATACGGAGGAGATGTCCCAGAAAAGCACAAATGTGTAACAGCTGATGGAATGGCGAGGCCCGGCTGGCTTGAGGCCAAATGTTGTGGGCATTTTGTCGGAAATCGGGGGTGGATCTTGCATCAAATGAACAAAAAAAAAGAAGGATTTCGATAAGAGAATCAAATTTCGTTAAAACACGTGAGCTCGGCGGGAAATTTGGGTGATCAAAATAGATCTATTGCTCATGCTTTAGGTGAGCAAAAAACACGGCTGTTTGAAATCGGTGAAGATTTGAAATTGCATGATCATTCTTGGGTATTGAGAGGTGAGAATGAGTGCTTGGCGGGCTGAAGATCAAAAAAATTTGATATAAAATTTTCAGAAAAAGGATAGACATGGAAAACAAGGAAATATATATGCAAATATTCTGAGGTGCTAGCAAAAGCGCTGCGTTTTTTTGCTTTGTGACAAATCACTGTAAAAAAAAATCACTTTTTCCAACTTCTAACCAACGTTTTTTCCAGTTTTCATCTTCACAATTTTAATTAAAACTGTTTTCAATTAAAAAACACATTTAAATACCCATAGAAATCCCAAAAAAAAGTCATTTTTGTGTTCCCAATTGAGCTTTTTGCTTTTTATATCGATTCTTATGCCATTTTCAGATCCGGTAAAAGCATCAAAATAGCAAGCATTGAGGAGCGACGAGGAAAAACTAGTAAAAAAAATAAGAGTGATCAATCAGAGTTGATAGGAAAGTATTTTAAAAATTCGCAAATTTTGCGCAAATGATAAGTGACGTAAATTTAGCGTGACGTAATAAATAATTTAGCGCTTTTGCTAGCACCTCCGGATTTTTCAAAGGTTCAAAGGTTAATTTTACCCAAAAATGAGAGTTTCTTTCAGTCTTACAAATTATGTTAAACCTACAATTACCACAAGACCTACAATTACCACAAGGATTGACCGATGATGATCCTGTAAAAGATCTTGGTATACTGTTAGTCTGTACTGTAATATGTACTGTACTGTAATCTGTAAGAATTTTATTTTCAATTCCTGAATTTTTGTTCTAGACTTAGTTTTCAATAAATCGTTACAGCAAAAATGACAAGTTAAATAAATTGGCTTTTATGGTTCGATTAAGTATCTGTGAATGACGCTAAAAATGATTTTGCGGGTGAAAAATGACAATCGAGTGAGAGAGAGAGAGAGAAATGCATTTTGTATTGATAAACTGGTAATGTTAGAAATTTAGAAGGCTACTTTAGTAAAAAAATGACCCTCTTGCACAAAAAAAATTGCGGAAATTAGCCTACCGCAAATTTCTTTTGCATCAACCTAGTACCTCCCCCTTATCAGTAGAAACGACCTCGTCCCGGTTTCCAAAGTAAGAATTTTTCCAATTTTCACGTCTTTCATATCCACCATTAAATCAATATCAAAAACTGACTAAAAACTGTTTTTGGACAAAACTTAAATCATCCAAAATCATAAAGAAAAGCAGTTCGGTTCAAAAAGATTTCATTAAGTCGAAAATTTCTTTTCCCAATTTGAATGCAATGTATTTTCTCGTGAAAAGAATTCACAAAAGATCACAAAAATTTTATATTTAACGTCTTAGTGTCTTAGTATATCTATAACCGAAAAAAAAATTATCGAAATTAAATAAACGGATCATTTGGCTCGAATTCTTTTCGATATGCTTTGTTTTCTATTTCCAAATTGCATTGAGTTCCTCTCGATTCGGATTCAAATCGAAAGTCCTTCTTCTTTACATTATAGCCATTTGATGAATCCCTGGCGGATGTTAATTGACTCCAATTAAAGTATTGCAGAATTAAAAGTAAAAACTTTGAGAAATTAGTGATTCCGAAAGTTTGTGGGAGAAAATTTAAAAAAATTAAAATGAAAGAATAGATAAAAACTATAAAATAGAAAATTCTTTCGATTGACGAAGTCAGATTTATGGCAAGAGCTTTGACTCGACTGGCAAATATTCTTTGAGAAAATTGCCTTTGTTTTAGCAGCTGATCAAAGTGCATCATTCCAAGTAGCTTTTCATTTTTCTCCTTTTGAGTTGTAGAAGTCGATGTTGTGTTTCTCGAGATTTCTCGAGAAACAAAACCTCGTCTTTCTCTTTCAGGAGCTCGATCATTTTCCGTTTTATTCAGCTCCTCCCACTTACGGATTATATCAATCGAATGTTCTTGTGATCTCACAAACGTATCGAAGATATGAGGTGACAAGGCCATATCTCTCTGCCACTCAAATATTTTATCAATTGAATGTTTTGGTGCTCTCTCCAGCTCATCGAGGGCATCCAACAAGGCGTTTTCGAAATGATAAACTTTAGTGACAAATAGATTTGAAGCACAACACAGGCAAATGATTGCTATAAATACCAACAACATTGAAGTGATTGTTTCAACTTCAGTATAGTTTTTTTCTTGAAATATTTGCTTTACGGGCTTTCTGCACGTGTTTCCATGAAAATAGTCTGGTAGTAAACTAGAGAAAAACTTCGTCAGCTTTCCCAAAAACATTCGTTTTCCATGTTCTTGCTTTAGGATTTGGGACTCTGCTATGAGTGTCTGTAACAATGATATTGAATCATTGATTTCGTTTCGATTTCGAAACTCGTTTAAGATAACTTTTGCTAGTGATAAAGCTTCTCCAGCCGAGTATCGTGACAAGGGATTCGTTTTTGTGCATCTAAAAATGTATGAGTTGAATTTTTTTTTGAAATGAAAGTTACCCTTTGATTAATTTACGAAGGTCCAATAAATCCGATGCTTTAACACCAAAATTTTTCCAATTTGACATTGATGAGCATAAGTCTTCCGTAAAAATTGTTTCCTCAACGTTTCTTGGTCTCGATAACGTTTCAAAGATGATTCTGAATTTCTCTTATTATTTAACACTACGATAAGTAATAAATCAACAATTATTGGCCACATCTTAAATTATAAACATGTAATTAAAGAAAAAGTAACACTTACCGGCGTTCTACCAACTCCCAAAGGACTAAGCCCAATGAGTAGATATCGTTCTTTGCCCAATCCTGTTGAAATTGAAAAATAAATCTTTTTATTGCTTTAGACTTACCACCAAATTTGAGTTTAGAGCTTCTGGTGATTGATAACTTGGTGTTCCGACAGCATTAGTTACTTTTGGATCATCGCTTAAAACTTTGAGACTTCCAAAATCGCCCAACTTGATCTCGTAATTTCTTTTCACAAAAATACTAAAAGCATTTAGAAAAATAATGTTTATCAAATCAACTTTCCTGGTTTGATATCTCGATGAGCAAAATGGCGTTGATGAAGAAAATTCAGACCATCAAATAACGCCGTCGACCATTTTAAAACATTTGAGAAAGTGTATGGCAGCTCTTCAATTGCTAAAAAGTCGAAATGTAAGCTTTTTTTAAAACAACAAACCGTTTCTTAAAGAAATCCTCGAAACATATTCGTAGCAAATAACGAAAGTATCATGCGGATCGATTGCAAAATTAACCATTTGCACAATGCTTGGATGTTTCAATTCATTCAAAATTTTAAGCTCTTTGTCAATGATTTGTTTATTCACTTTCGAATTCTTCCAAAACTTGTCGATTCGAAATTTCCTGACAGCACTTTTTCTAAAAATTTTCGACAATATTGGCATAAGAAGAATAGCAAAAAAAAAGCCTACCGTAAATACTGTAATAGTACCCCACCCCCCTCGTACAGTCGCGTAGTCGCAAAAGTTTTTTAGTATTTCATTTTTTTCAAAGCGCTCGTACTTTCAAAAAATGTGTCTTTGGTATCAAAAAATAGCTGAAATTCAGGGCTATTTTTTGATACCTAAGCGCGCATTGTAGCATAAACCAGTGTCGAGAAAAACTTGTTCAAAGCTAGACTACGCAACACTCCGCACCGTCATTATGGGGGGTGGGGTACTATTACAGTATTTACGGTAGCTATAAGGGTTAAACATCAAACTTTCTGTGATCAATCTCGACCGATTGATCGTCCGATGATCCGTTAAACCAGAAATCATCGTTTTCTTGTTCAAAAATAATCATGGCATCGTTCGAGTCCTAAATTCTCTTTATAAATAATGGAAGTTGTCTACCTCATGCGTGTGAAGCTGGCGAAATAAGCAAGCGTCTGAACCCGTTTCATGATAAATCCATTCTGATTCATCTTGCTCCATATTTCCAAGCCTGTTAATTAATAATTTCGAAAATTACCGTGATAAACAAAGAAAAACTAATAGAACTAATAAAGTAGAAGAATAAAAATATGAAAATATGGATACAAACCATAATTCGAAATATATTGTAATTAAAAAAAAAAATTTACTGAACACATTGCAAATTACAACATTAAGAAGAGTTGATGAGATTTTGAAGCTAGAGGTTGAGGTAAAGTCCAGTACTGTATAGAAATCTACGATTTCTATACAGTACTGGACAATGAAATATCATATTTGAAAAACGATCGTCACTTTCGCGCGTCTGTAACTCCCTTGTCTAGCTTCAAAATCTTCAAAAATTCAAAATCAAAAGAGTTTAAACTATTAGTGTTATACATTTTTTGAAAGCTCTTTTCAAGGGCTACACAATAGTAATATTAATATTTAGAAATACGGTAAAGACAAGGGAGTTACAGACGCGCGAAAGTGACGACCTTTTTTCAAATATGATATTTCATTGTCCAGTAGTGTAGATGTTGAGGTAAATACGGCATCATTTTTTTGTCTGAGTAGCTATTTAGCATTAGACAGCAGTAAGCGACTTTTGAAGAGAAAGTTATTTCTACAACGAAATAGATTGGTGACTAGGTTTTGATCATACAAGACTTGTCTCTCTACTCGTGAATTCATTGATCGTTAATTGTTCCTAAAATTGATGGTAAAGTCGGATCAAGAGGATGCTCGTTTATGTTGGGAGTTTCTGGCTGATTGTCGCTTGGGATTTCGAACGAAAATCTAAAACAATGATTGCATGAAGAAAATTGTTTAATTACCTGATTGGAGATTGGGTTTCTTGGGGCATACTCGTGAACGTCATTCCATTTGGAAAATGAAACTCTTCTCTTCCTTTTACATATTGTGGTATCAACTCTTGTTCGCCGAAATCTGCATTCTGGAATTTCGGATTACTGCAACATTTTATGATGATTAGCTAGACAGACAGACACTTAAAGCTAGACATAACAAAAAAAAATTGTATTTAGTCGCAGCTGAGACAAAAAAAATGATTTTTACCCTCTTTCCAGGTATCAATATATCTCTAACTTGCCTTTTTGATGTCTATAATTTTTGTGATACTTTCCTCCACACTCCATCTATCATCAAGCTCGATAGTTAATAGTCTACAAATTTCTATAATCGGAAAAGTTTCTACAAGTTACTTTTCCATCAGTGTCCAAGCCTCAGCATCACATTTGATTTTCGGCAAGATGAAATCGCTTTTTGCTTGTGGTGAACCGTTTTCGAAAGGAAATGGAACCCTAAAATGACCAACTCTGTGCTGTTTTCGTTGATTTGGGGAAAAAACAAAGATCACTTACCTTCGTGCGCCCATTTCAAAAATTATCACTCCAACGGACCAGACATCGCTCTTTTTTGTGAACTAAAAGCTTTTATTTTGATAAATTAACAATCTAAAACCTGTCCTCTAGAATCGAGTACCCCGTTGAACGTTTCTGGTGCTCGATATTCAGTAGATCCTATTCCTTGTGAATGCTCGGTAGCTATGCGACCTTCTGGCAGCACTTTCCCAGTTTCAAAGTCGATCAACTTTGCTCTTCCGCAGAGAGTTAACATAACACTAAAAACAGAGATGTTGATAAATGAATGAAATCTATGCTCACTTTGCCGACTTGCAATCTCGATACAAATAGCCGTGCTCGTGCAAAAAGTGAAGACCATCAAGAATGTCACCCGTTAAATGTATAATCGTCTTATGAGAGTACTCGTATTGTGAGTTAAAGATCACTAAAATTTAGATACAAATGAGAGAAAAAAAAGGCTCACGTTTGTCCAAAGATATCCGGCTAACATATTCCAATTCTATTTGATACCATCCATTTTCCGCACTAGCCTTAATCAAAAGAACCAAGTTCGGATGTTTGAGTTTTAAAAGAGCCAGCTCGTTGTCAATTAGTCGTTTATTTTCCAAGGATCTCCACCATGTTTCCTCGATGCGATAGCGGCGTAAGACGGATTTACTAAAAGTGAATAATTTCATTTTGGTTTGATTCAATCATAAAATTTTTAATTGTAAGAATCATAACGACATTCACAGTCATGGACAAAAGTAGAGTGTGTTCCTCGCGAGTAAGTAATTACTCGAGTAACTTTCAAACGCAAATTTATGAACCTTTCCGAGAGGCTATAAAAAAGTTGTTACAAATATTTTTAAGCATTTCTACTCTACTTTTAGCTATGACCAAGGGGAGTGGGACAAATGCTACCTTTTTTTGCGCACCTGGACATTTGCGCACCTTTTTTTTGCTGGAAAAGGCCTTAGGCAAGGCCGTAGAGCTTCGAAAATATTTCCATATAAGGGAATCGTATGCGTAGATTCCGAATTTCGACAAATCAGACCTCGCTGGCACGTCAAATTTGGGCTAAAAGGCAAAAACTGCGGAAAAGCGTTAAGTTGCGTAGTTTTTGCCTTTTAGCCCAAATTTGACGTGTCAGCGAGGTCTGATTTGTCGAAATTCGGAATCTACGCATACGATTCCCTCATATGGAAATATTTTCGAAGCTCTACGGCCTTGCCTAAGGCCTTTTCCAGCAAAAAAAAGGTGCGCAAATGTCCAGGTGCGCAAAAAAAGGTCGCATTTGTCCCACCCCCATGACCAAGCATTAAACTCGAAAGTTTATTTTAAACAACAAAAATGAGCGTAAATGACAAAAAGGTCACAAAAACAATGGACAAAAGTCTTGGCGGCTTACTGAATACTCTTTTTTTTCTATTTTTTTGTATATCTTGCCTATATTTTTGTAAGCTTTTAACTTTTTTTCAGATGCCTGGAGAGTATTTATCAACGCCAGACAAAAAAAGCAATTGTAGAAGCAAAGAAATAGAGAAGAGAAAGTAAAGGACATCGCTGAAAAATTCAAATGCGGTACGAGGACAGTTAAACGCATCACACATAACGCAAATCCAGCTGGAAACCTTCATCGAAAACTCAAAACACGCCGCCCACCTATTACAACTCCAAGGGAGGATCGTAAACTCGTTTTGGATCATCGAGAAGAGCCGAAAAAGACAGAAACCGACGGCGTGGCTTTCATCAAGAATCTTTAAAATAAGGTTATCTCGCGAAAAACTATTAGCCGTCGTTTGATTTAAGCTGGATTGGTGACTAGAAGAGTTGCCAAGAAACCCTTAATGGTTGCCAGACACCAAAAACTCATATTGGAGTTCGGGAAAAAGTACGCAAGTTGGATCGCCAACGATTGGGCAAATGTTATTCACTTTTCATTTTCACTGATGAGTCAAAAGTCAATAGTTTCCAACCGAATGGGAACCATTTGATTCGGAGACCTGTGGGACAGTGATTCTTGCGTCTTGCGCCCGACGGTGAAATTTGGTGGTATGGGGTAAGAGACTTTCTCTTGTTATGTTATATTAATCTTGTTTTTTTAGTAGCTATGACAAGAAGTTCACCGGGTCCATTGGTCCTTCTCAACTCGACTCTTGATGCCCAGCGCTACAAGACGATTCTGAGAACAATCTTCTTCCTTTTGCGACCGCCAACATGGGACAATGATGGCTCCTCTACCAGGACAATGCTCCTTTCCACAAGAGTCAGTTGCTTATGGGTCGCGATGTCCGACTTGTCAATAGAGGAAGAGCTCGCCTACCCAAATGGTTCCGCGCAAGTCGTGTTCAACTCGTTTCAGCTCCTCCATACAGCCCCGGTTTGAATTTTATTGAACACCTATGGGCGTGTATCAAGATGAAACTCAAGGGAAGACGGTCAGCTCTAAGGCGAATCTTTGGTACTTCGTACGGCGAGTTTGAGCGACAATTGCGCCACAAATTTTACGCGATCTAGTTGACAGTATGCCCCGGAGGCTCCAAGCGGTCATTGAGGCTAAAGGCGGACCTACAAAATATTGAATTTTTCGCCTCTATGTCTGTGCCGCCAAGACTTTTGTCCATTTTTTTTGTGACCTTTTTGTCATTTACGCTCATTTTTGTTGTTTAAAATAAACTTTCGAGTTTAATGCTTGGTCATAGCTAAAAGTAGAGTAGAAATGCTTAAGAATACTTGTGAAAACTTTTTTATAGCCTCTCGGAAAGGTTCATAAATTTGCGTTTGAAAGTTGCCACCCAGGAGCCGCCAAGACTTTTGTCCATGACTGTATCGCATGATAGCGTTTATTCTGCTCAAACCTGTGCAGAATTTGTTTTATCTTTAGAATATATAATTGATCCCACTAAACTTTACCATGTAAAGTTCAAAGTTTTCTAATATTTTCTAAAGCTCAACGTTTCCCAATATTCAAAAATATCTCAAAAAAACAACATCTCAATTAAAGCTATCACCCTTAGAACAAAACGGTCAAACTCGTAGAAACACAAGCATATTTACACGTGTTAAAAAGTTTGACTTACTTTTCATGGTGGATTATAATGTACTTGGAGTCACTGACTCCTTTCCGGTAGATTTTCCCCGCAGACAGATCCTCGACCATTAACTTTCCATCGCTGGCTCCTTGCATCAGTTCATCGATCTAAATCGTAAACTTATAAAAAACTAAGAAGATCAAAAGAAAAAAACTGACTTATCATTTCGATAAATGCGAGTCCATTAAAGCTAAAACATTGTGCCAGAAAAATCGTCCATATCTGCAATCAATAGGTTTATCGCCAAACTTTACAGCGCCGAGCGAGAAAAGAAGAGAGTTTTGTTTTGGGTAAGAAAATGGTTACGTGGAAAAAAGTTGTGACTTTGCAAGAGGTTTGCCGAGGTTTTCAAATGCACTTTTTGCTTGACTTGCTTTTTTAGAAAGTTGTTCAATGGGCCAGGGCTCTAATGTTTATCACTGCCACCGAAAATAAAAACGACAAGGGATTCATCATCAAGCGAATCACCGAGAATAACTGTTGACGAGCTTGATGAAGTGGCTGACGGGATCGCGACGGTTCGTTGACTGTTTCAACTGCAACGTTGTTGTGTTTTTTTTTTGTTTTACTAGGGGTACTCGACTTCCGCATACAAGGAATTCGCATAGAAACATTAGCATAATCTGAATATGCACATATGCAAACATTCAACCTTCAAGTTACGTGTAAATGATTTAATATCATTCGTCAAAATCCGGCAACCTCATCGCTTTGTTTTTATCATAGAAAGAGGGGACAATATTGATGTCACTTTTTCGAAGAAACATTGGGAAATTTGGAACATTGTTTTAAGCAAAAAAAATCGTTTAAGTTACGACGAAATGTCAGTGATAAGTTTTCGAGGAGTTGTTCAGAGCTTGGCAGAATTTATTTCAGCAAGAAATCGGAAAAGTTGATCATCAGTTTATGTAAAACAATCTGAACTTTTTACTTATTTTACTTTTCGTATTTGGTATGCGTCCTTGTCGGGACGAGCTTTCATCGGTTTTTTGCAAACATAACGAACAACCCAATAGGAATCAATAGCAACGGGATACCATTGATGGATTTGACAAGTCGAATCGTTTCGGATCTAAAAGATCTTCAATAAATATTTCTACTAATAGCTATTCCATTGTAGCTATTCTAAAACTAAAGTGATCCGCTCAACAAAAGCTTTTCGGCATTTGTCGTAGCCGATTATGAATGAAATTTTTGGCAAACCTTTCAAGTAAAGCAACCCTTTAATGTATGAGGATAATATTATATCATTTTGTAGCGAATTAAATTCTGCGTCGATTTTTACCAAATTTGTGAGTTTAGGTTAAAAATTGCGGGCGCTACAACGTTTCAATTCAAAATCGGCGGGACCCCCGTAGCCGATTATGAATTTCAGTCGATTATGAATTTCAACCGATTACGAATTTCAGCCGATTATGAATGTAAAAATACCCAGAAACTACGCAAGAATCGGAATTTCTTTTGTACCCAGGGATTTTCCCAGGGGCTTTGATTTGGAAGCTCTTTGAAAGGACACATCTTCGAAGAAAATCCCCTCGTCTTTACACCGGTAAAAAGCTTGGATTGAATCGCAAAACCATAGGATACCGTAACACTGTAAGAGAGTATTTGTCTCTTAGAAATTTCAATAGATTATCCGAAAAGAAAGAAGAGTATTTGCTATCTGTCGCAGCAGTATGTTTCATTAAACTGTTGAGGCATCGTAAAAAGAAACGAACCAAAAGTTGGTCGCACATCACAAAAATGGTACTTCTTTAGCAAGTACCCTCATGAATGAATGCCCTTTTATTTCATTTAAAATGTAAACTAAATGCAAATTTCCGTAGTTTAACTTAATCTGCCCCTGGGAGCCGGAATTTGTACCAGCCAAAGAAGTACCAAAAGGCAACATCTAGCGTCAAACACTAAGCATATTTCGGATTCTTGCTTTGTTTTGTGTCGGATTGCCCTTAAGCTCGCACTCCCATGGTCGCCGGCTGAACAGCTTTTTTCTCGAAATTTCTAAGCATTAAAAAGAAACCAAATACTAAAGCATTTCAAAGTGCCAAACTAGAGTGGTCATTTTGAAAAACCTAAACCCAAACTTTAGCTGATGTCGCTTTGCTGAATCATTGTTTCCTGTAATCAATGCAATGTGATTGTGTTTTAAAAATACCCATATTTATTTTCATAAAAGAAATAAGAACACGCGATTAAAAATGGTCATGTACAAAAAAATAAATCAGTAATACGTAACTTCGATAGAACTCCAATAATGAACTTTTGAAACATGGATTTTCCATTTGATATTTGTGTACGTGTGTCCCATGTATTCCACCTCCTTCTTGAACTCCTCGAAATTGACATCGTCAGATCCTTCGAATTCGACTTGTTTTCCCTCGAGCATCAACTTCAAAGCGTCCAATTTGATTTCATCAAACTTTGGCAAAAAATTCTTCAGCTGCATGTCACAATCTTTTCCATTTCGTCCTTCTTTGAGGCTTTCGTTCCCTCGTAAAAGTCTCGATGGAAGCTAAAAATTTTTCTATTAAAAATACACAAGCGTTAAGCACGAAGAAATAATTTTAAAAATAACCTTTCGCCCTGTATGAAGAGAAGCATGCCACGTTCAGCAACCCCAGGCGGAAAAAGCGATGGCTCCTTCTCACACATCCATTCAGCCATTTGTCTGAGCGAGTTATGGCCGGCCAACTTGTGTCCCAAATCGAGACAGCGCTTCTTCAAAAGATATGACATTGTGGCCCATAACTAAACAAAAGTTATTTAAAAAGAACAAATCGTCTGACCTTTTCGCATGCCTGATCCAGCTCCGGCGGTGAGTCGTTCATTTATTTTTGAGCTGCTTCAAGGAATCCTGCCGCATTGTAGAGTTTCACTTCTTTCTGAAAATAATCTGGATACTCACACGATTGTACAAGTTTTTAATGGTCCCAAGATAAAACAAATACCTTTTGAGTTGCAGCAGGAACATTTTGATAGGTGGACGATCACCAATCTCGAAAGTTTCGCCATCCTCCGTGGCCTCTCTCAAAGCCTCCTAAATATTACTAAATTTCGAGACGCTTCCTAAACTTTACCAAATTTTCGCGATCCTCATCCGCGAGCGTAATGGGCACTTCAATTCCCCCAGAAGTAGACAAAATAACTTTCTTTTGGCTCATTCCTCCACGGAGACGAAGCACGAGATGAAGCGCTGATTCCTTTTGAATGTTGTAATCCGAAAGAGTACGACCGTCCTCCAGTTGCTTGCCTAAAACGAAAAACATTAAGTGTGGAAATCTTTTAAATATAATTAACGAAGCTTAAATAACTGGTGGGTCTAAGGGCGTCCAACCATCAAGTTTTTGGTATTATTCAACGCAGAATCATTGATAATTATGTTAAATTTTTTAAATTAGCAAGATTTGATAAAAAGAAAAAATTAGAGCAAAAAAACTGTTTGTTCGAGAGAAAACTTTGAAGCCCCGTAATTTTCTTTTCTTTTGTCCAATCTTTCTAATTTAAAAAATTTAACATAATTATCAATGATTCTGAGTTCAATGTTACCAAATAGAGTGTGCTCCTTGTTGACAGACAATTTGTCAGACAAATTTGCATTGACGACTTTTTTGTCAGACAATTGATCCGAAAAACTTCCGACAACGCGCTTTCTAAAAGGTGCGCTTTTTAAGCAAAGCTATAAAAGGCCGCACGAAAAAAATGAGCAAAATTTTCTTCAAATGTCGTTTTTATCGTTTTATTTAAGGTTTTTAGGTTTTTTAGGGAGTGGAATTTGTTTTTGAATCGTTCTAATGCAAATGTAGACCATGGGCCCAGTAAATTCGTAAATAATAATAAAAGTTTTTAATAGCGTTGCTTAACTTTTTCTGTTTTAAATGTTTTCTTTAATTTTACACAGCATTTTAAAATTTTAAAATTTAAAATTGTTTGCAATTGCGTTTCTGGGGCATAGATTGCACTGTGCTCGAGTCTCTTTGCTGCTCACATCTACATACTTTGACATAAAATCCCAGGCTAGTGAGGGCATTTTAGGTCGACGCGAGGGAGTTGCGGAACTCTAAACTCTAAACTGCGGATTTATAAGCGTAAAGGCAACTATTGCTAGAATTTACCCTATTACTGGGAGAAGCATCCATTTTTCTCTTACAATCACACGTTTTTCTACGCGCTACTATAAATAGTAGGAATTACCAATTTAACCTGTTTGAAAAAGAGAAAAAAACAAAAAGTAGTAGAAAAAAAAGCGCAAGATTTTAATGTACATTTGCATTTTAAAAAGTTTGCTTATGCAAAGCATACGTTAGCTTATTTTTGGGTTACGGTAGTCTATATTTGGCGCGCGCTTTTTAGAAAACGCGTTGTCGGCAAGGAACACACTCTAATACCAAATCTATTCGACTGATCCAGGAAAATGCCGTTCTCATCACAGGCAAAAATTGCTGCGTAATTATTCTTTTTGCGTAACTTCTCCATGTAGAGGATGTACTCAATTATTGCTTTCACGTACTCCTTTGGCTCCTTTTGACACACAGTTGTGGCCCGGCGAGTTGAAAATTTGTGTCTTGACATGAATAAATTTAGCCATCCCTCTGATGCCAAAAATTCCTCGTCACCTTTCCACATTAACTTGGCTTGGCATTGAATCATTTTTCGTGTCACTCGCATTTTCTTTGCCATTTCTTGAATCCAAGCAACAAGATCCTTGTCAAAATCGACATCCTTGAGCTTTCATCCACCGCCTTTAATTCGTTTTTTCCTTTTCCGTTATCTCTGTTTTGTTTCTCGAGTTCTTCCTTTTGCTGACACCATTTTTGAATATTTTGACGACTGACTCCAAATTTTCGCGCTGCAGCCAACTTATCCTTTATTTTTTCAGCAAAATCAATCGCTTTCAGCTTTGTTTGAATGTCGAAACATCGCTTTTTCGCGGATGGTGCATCCGATTCACACGAAGACTCCTCGGCAAAATCGTTGGTCATGTTGTAGCCGGCATTTTGCTTGGTCACTTGATTGTCAATCCTCTTGAAGAATTCCACATGTCCCTCGTGTTCACGACGAGCTCGAAAATTTTCGAATTCATCAAACGAGATCCATACCTAAAGAAAAAGATTATTTAGACAATAGTAAAGGTGACCAACAAAAATTATATAATATTAAAATCGAACATGATGGATTATTTTCTAGGATTGAGCTTTGATAACAATAAAGCTTAGCGCCGCAAAAGGTAAGTCAATTCTCAAACTTTATACAGGTATATAAGAGCAAAAAATGACTATAGCTTTGCGCGAACTTCGTAAGCAAATTTGAGTTAATGTGCCACTAAAACAACGTGGGGAAACAACAAAAAAATGTTTTTGCACTTTACACAACAATTTTAGATTTTTTGCTAACTTTTTCATGTGAAGAATAGTTAACAAATGAATAAAAAAAGGCTCACTTTTGCTTGCTCGAAAGCTTTAGAATGTCACATAAACATAAAGTCAAAAAGGTTTAGATGAAAAAGAAGCACTATGAATTCAAATTTTCAAGGGTGCACTACTATTTTTTCAACCCCCTCTCGGACCGCAATACTATTAGAGAGAATACGGTAGATACTATTTCAACAAGAATCTCAATCCGTGCGCTCAAGTTGTCTCCATTTGTTCATGGCGAAGTTCGCGTTGGGGATCTTGATCATCTCTTTCGGTTTCAGCAAATCCATCGGATCTCCCGAAACCCTTTGCTCCAACAGCGCCTAAAATTGATCATAAACGTTCGATTTTTTTATAAAATAGTTAGTGAAACTCGTTTTTTTATAAAATAAAAGCGTGAGTAAATGCCAGACACGCTCAGTATGGTTCAGGTTACATTCAAGGTTAAGAGCCTTCTATTTTTTTAAAAATGAGTAAAACTAACCCATTTAGTTTTCGACTACAGTTTATTATTAGCTTTCAGCATAGAGACTTTATATGAAGCTTGTACTTCACGATTGGCTATAAGTTTTAGTCGAAGATCGGAAAGTCGGGCAGTGGTGCGACTAGCGCGACTGCGCCATCCACCACTATTTATTTTATGAACTACGGCAGAGTTGGTATTAATATTTTGTTATTTTCATAATAAGTTTTTATAGGGCAGTAGCTATTGGGGTATTTTTTGTGAAGACGAGCCTCTTCTTTATGCTTTGCTTCTTTGTTTTCTTCATTTGTGCGACCATCCCATCAAACCGCAGAAGAAATTTAAGTAAAATGTAAAATTTTTTGCATTTTTGGTTTGTTTTTATTAGATTAATTGATGTTTGAGTTTATGCAACTTCCAATAAATCGTTCTCTTAAAAGTTTTGATGAAGGAAATAAGTCGCGTGGATCTTCTACCGTACTTTCATGCAATGCAATGCACTTTAGAGTCAGCTCTCTGTCAAATTTATCCCGATGATCTCATGTCTCTCAAAGCTTGAAAAGAAGAGATTATCTTTGAAAACGATTTTCATTTTCACATAATAAGAAATTTTTTTTTGCGGCGTTATATTTTTTCTTTACAAAGTTATGCTATTTTGCTCAGTCAATAATCACGATTCTTGGACCATTTGTCGGATTTCAACCAGTACTTTTCGTTGTTTCAACCATCAGAAATATCATAACATCATTTTTTTTACGTTGTTCCGCTTTCCAATCCCTTTCCTCAAATTTCCCATTCGTTGAGTAAATATTGTGAAAAAGCGTGATAGGGATTAGGCAAATGTATCAATGTTTACACATTTAAATGTCCGAGTCCGTTTTTTTGAGACGTATAAACTCTCAAAAAGTCCCGTGGACAGCTAAAAATATTCTGATTTTTCTAAATTTACTAAACTTTTTCATGTATTCCCCAACTAAGAAACATGGGGTGAATCTTCTTGGAATCCCAGTTTTCGAGAAAATTTTTCGGTTTGCTTTCCTGGTTTCTACTTTTAAACTAACTCTTTTCTTTAGAAGAGCTCGTCGTTCATCAGATGTCTCATCGGCCCCACCACCGATTTCAAGAAACCTAATGGGCCAGTTCGTGAGTTCCAGAAAGAAGACTCATTCCGAATCCGAACGTGAACGAGACAGCAGACAAACGAATACATCTTCAGCGGTGAGGTTTATAATGTTGAAAACCTATTTTTGTATTTAGATTTCAAGAAATTCCCCTTCTTCCACTTTGGCACGATACGCGGAATTGCTGACGGAGCAAGGATATCTACCAGAATTTCTCCTAATTCATGAGCATCTAAGGTTGGTAGAAAATTTGGCTTAAAATTTTGGTTTTGCCGTTAAAGCGCCAGATTTCTTTATTATTTGGCTCTAAATTTTATTGCTTTTAGCTCAATGTATGTTGACGAAGATGGTGATATCGCGCACGAGTTTTACGCCGAAGGTCAAGATGGAACAAGAAGAAGGTTATGCAGAATAATAAACAATCTCCGACCAAAGGTATTTTCTTTTTGCACTCTTTTATTTTATTAAACTATTTTAGGGAACAGAACGATTACCGATCCCGAGATTAAGCCCCGATCTTCCAATTGTAATGTGGGAGGTCAAATAGTAAAAATGATGTCCAATAACAAAAAATGTATGTGCTATTTTTTTTTACTTAACAACTTTTGATGCTTTGCAAACGTTCTTTCAAGTGTTGACCGACTGGTTGTGAAATTTTTCATTTGTATATTTGCATTGTTGACTTTTATGATGTTTTGTTGCTTATAGTCGCAAATTCTAGTATGTGTCTAGTCAATTTTTGCTTCATTGAGAAAGTTTTTGGTTTTCAGCATAAAAACATTTAATGATCAAAGCGATAACCACGTTTTTGCAGCGTTTGTTTGAGGTACTCAATTCTTTTGAAACCGTCAGCATTAGGGGAATGTCGCATAAACTGAAATTTGATAGCTCCATTAAACCTCATTATAACATTAACAAACCAAAGTGAACGTATTTCCAGCCTCATTATCCAACTCGTCTTCAGGTTCTTCGTCAATAATTGTGCATCTGAAATTTGTATTGATAAGTGACTGACTTTAACTTTTTGAATTAACCTTAAAGAAGGTTTCGATAAGACAAGAGCGGCGAAAAATTTTAGATGTGATTCCGGATCAACGAGCATGTATTGAGCAATTCCTTCATCGAAGATCTGAATTATTATTTTAGAAATGTTTCCTCGATTTTCCAACCCGAATACTGGCGTCATTTTCCCAAGCAGAATCCCAGTGTTCAACAACTGAAAGAACCTAAAAGTTCTCAAGTTTTGTTTTAGCTTTTTAGGTTACCTGATCAATATCAATTTGGGGGAGTGTTGGTCGTAAAAGCCTTGTAGAGACCTCTTTTTCTTTCGGCATTTTATACCTGTAATGAGATCTTTAGATGAAATTTTATATTTGGAAAATAGAACTCAAAAATGAAATAGAAAACAAGGGCAGTAAGTGATCAACGATGGCATTTAGTTTGTCTTACCCAGACTCGGCATTGCTTTCCGTTCTATATTTTCCCATAGAAATCGATGTTTGTGGTTATTGGAAAGATCCAGTCCTTGCCTTTATATGGGAAAAAGAAGATTGCGGCGAAAAAACATCTTGTCATTCGCGCGTTCGTTTCGGTAAACAATCTTTAGAAATAGAAATCGGTAAACAATCTTTAGAAATCTTTAGAAACAATCCGATCGGGGTAAAAGGAGCAGCTTAAAATTAATTGGATAAAAGGTATTTGATTTGATAGAGCTGCAGGTAAAGCAAGAAAGAAGGAAACTTTATGTTTGATTAGACCTGAAAGGCTCAATAAATAAAGGGATTTGTTTTTTGCAGACAGTGACAAGGGCGGACAGTCAAAAATTGAGGGCCAGCGACCCTCTCTCAATATTTGCTTTTTGCCAACGCGCGCATTTTCTTCACGGAGGTTCTTTTCCTTCGATGTTTAGAGTCAATGAAAAGAATCAACGTGAACTTCTTTTTGGGCCAACAAATAAACGAAAAAAAAAGGCTTATGAAATATTTTTTTGGGGGTTAATAAAAACTTTGACTTTCGGCTGTAAAGAATGACTCGTGAAGGTGTTATCTTTCACGGTTTTTGACATTTAGATAAGGCCCCGAAGAGTTATTCTGGAATAAGAGGTTTTCAAATAATCTAATGCATGTAATCAAATAATCTAATGCATTATATAGTATTATATAGTGAAATTGGGGTAATCGGTTTGACGGGTTGATGCCGATTTTATTCTCTCTGCTTTTCTTTTTCGTTGAAAAGAGAGAAAACGGACAATGACTCACGGTAAAATGACTTGGAAACAGAGCAGAGCGGTGGAGAGTAATGGCAAGGGGAAAGGGGTTGTTTAAGAGAAAAGAAAGTCAGCGAAAGAATGGAAAAGTTAGTTGAATTTAGTTGCAATTCAATGTGAATGAATATTCGATCATTTAGAGATGTTTAGTATTCACATTTGAGATAGATCATTGAGTTTTCAAGAATTTAAATCAAAACTAGACACAATGCCAACTGTCACACCACTTTTTTTTGCAAATTTGATTTCAATCTCTTTCTATTGCTTCAATGCAGATAAACTTCGGTACTGTAGTTAAATCAAACCATCAAATCAAAAGCAAACCATCTTTTTTCCTTTCACACAACTGTAAACTGATCCCTTAATGCAAAAAAAATGTGAATTGGTCTTTTTTTGCACCTGTTTTTCTCGAGATTTCTGGGAATTCGTGGTCCGACAAGATCTAAGAATAATTCTCAATTATTGAAGAAAGAATTCAACTGTTACTTGGAGTAATAGTTGAATTCAACTGTTACTTGTAACAGAAGAGAAAAGACATTCAACTGTTACTGTTACTGGTAATAATTAGACGAAAAGTTTCTTCTTTTTCTCTGAATACCGCATTTCTTCAAATAGAAGACCGGGTAAAGAGTATCATCGTGTACCCCCTTTTTAAAATTTCTTTTCTGCATAAAAGCTTTCAATCAAGTGCTATAGGGCTGGAAAATGGCTCAAAAATACCACATGAGCTAACAGATCTTTGAGCCATTTTCCAGCTCTATAGCACTTGATTGAAAGCTTTTATGCAGAAAAGAAATTTTAAAAAGGGTTGCTACGCAGGAGTACGCGATGATACTCTTTACTCGGTCTTCTATTCGAGGAAATACGGTAGATTCAATTTGTCGGGGATTTCTTCAATTTTTACCAATTTCAAGCTTCTCATTAAAGAAATGAATTTTTTTCTTTTTATTTAACATATTTTTCAATTCAATTCTTAGTCAGAAACTCTTTCAAATAACAAAAAGTTTTCATCAGACGACCGGGGAAACCTGTTAATCAAAAATTAATCTCGAAATTTGAAGCAAACATCGAAAAATATTCAACGATCGAAAATTGCTGATACTTGGTTTTCATTTCAAAATTTATTTCTTGCTTATATTCCAAAGTATTCATCAAAAATTTTTCCATTCCAGAATGACAAGCGGTTTATTGTTTCTTCATGGTTTTCCACAAAAGTCGACGAGTCTTACGACAAATCGGGCCAATTACTGGGCTCAATACAGGTGAGTAGAAATATTGAAAATAAAAATAAAACTTTTAACCCTTGCACAATTTAATATTTTAGTGTTTCCTTTTGAAAAAGTATCATTTTGAAAAGAAAAATTGTCACCCATGAGAAATTTCGAGAGTATTTTGGGGATTTCCCATAAAAATTAGAGTGTACTGTATGTTGATTTCTTGGAAATTGGATACTTCTTTAGTCTCGACTTTACCAGATTTGTGTCACAGATTGTGCCAGATTTAGTTATCTTAAACTTGTCCAATTTTGATTTTAAAGCATTATTAGATAGCTTAGACTTTGTAGATTCTAATAGTTTTTAAGTTTTTTTCAAAATCTATCACAAAAAAGTGAATACTACGCTGGTTTGGGGGATACGCCATAAATGTTGCCAACGCCAGTATATGCCAAAATGTTGCCAAAAGCCAAAATGTTGCCAACGCCAGTATATGCCAATGTTGATTGTTGATGTTGGAGCCGGGACGAATGAATATTTGAATGATTCCTTGGAGTGTTGTAGCATCTCGCCGAGGAACCAACTGCATGAAGCCGAGACCGAACCCACGTTCGATTCCTCCAAACAGCCACACTCTTCTTTGTCCGGGTATACGTCCATATGTCCAGGTTGTATTTGCGCTTTGAGATGCGAGCTTCATCCACCTCAACGTCAACGCCTGGACTGATGATTTGTCTTGGATGTTGAGTGAACCATGTGATGAAGACGTCTCTTGTCCATTTGCCCCATTGTTCGACTGCGCCATGAGCGATTGCGAGCAATGTCTTCATGGGTGCCATATTGATGGAGGTAGAGATAATGCCAGTAGATGCCAAGCGCTGTAGATGTTGGAGGGCTTTCTTTGGCGTGAGGTGAGTGGACTCGAAGAATGTGCTGACAAAGTAGCCGATGCGATATTTGCTTACACACAGGACACACGCTTCTTATAAAGAAGGCCCCGTAAGCCAGTGGTAGACGCCTTCATCTGGCAACATCAGCTTCTCGTGGCTCAACGTCCGATCGTGAAGCTCATCGATTGGTTTTGTCATTTCTTTTCTTTGCGATTTACTAGTTTGGGGAACTAGTTCAATTGTAGCTAGTTTATAAAGGCTTTAAACGTGTTTAAACATGTTTAAACGTGTTTAAACATGTTTAAACGTGCTTAATCTTGTTAAACTATCACAAACTATGTTGATATAAACCAAAAATTCCCATGAGAGAGAAAAATTTGCATTTAAAGCGAACGAAAATCGTTTAAAATAAACAATAAATCATTTACTATTAGAGATGAGATGGCTCGTGATTGGCTCACTTTCATCTCGATGTTGAGCCGAGTTTGAGATGATTGATATCCTAACGCTGAGAGAAGATAAGATGTTTATCTCAACTTGGAGACGAAACATTGCTTCATTTTCATCACAATGTTAATCTCTTCAATTTTACAGTAATCATAGAGCCTAGAGACGAGCTTTTTTTTGATCAATCTATCTAAACAAACAATTTTTGATCAATCTATCTTCCAAAACATTAAATATCATCAAACATTCACTCCGAAAAACTTTTTCCAAGAATAACTCCAAGCTTTAATGGTAATTATTTTCATTTTTTTAAAAATCTAATCCAATTCCGGGTAAATGAACCAATTGGGATGGGTTTTCTGTAAATTTTCAGAAAATCAGACGTGTCAATCTCGAATTCTGTCTCTTTCCTTTCGGTGTGAACAGTGATCATCAAGAATTCTCTATACTAAATTGGAATACCTTTTGTTTCAAATTAAAATAAAAACGAAATCAAATCCACCCTCTGTTTTTTCATGAATGAATTATGGAACGGATTAATGGCTTTTTTTTTTTTTTTTTCATCCTCCCCACCCGCACAGATAATTTTTTTTAGAGACATTTAGACATTTCAGCTTTTATTAGACCTCCTTTTTATTGATCCTTAAAGAGGATTTTATCTTAAATCCGATGAGAAAAAAAAAGAGAAAATTGGATTTATATATTTTGTGGTGAATGTACCTGGGTTTTCTTTTGTCTTTGAGGATTGCAAAGTAATTTTGAGATTTTTGATGACCTTTACTTTCAAAGGGATTGAACTTTGCGGATAGGATTTGGGGAAAGTTTAACTCGTCAAATTCCGTTTGTGCTTATGGGTTTAAAACAAAAAAGTTGAAGTTGAACTTTGAAACGTTGAAAACTTTGCGTGAACTTTAAAATCGAATGGGATAAGCGTATCGGTTTAACTAGAGTGTGTTCCTCGCGAGTAAGTAGTGTTTGGTTTAATCATAAAATTTTTAATTGTAAGAGTCATAACGACATTTACAGTCATGGACAAGAGTAGAGTGTTTTCCTCGCGAGTAAGTAATTACTCGAGTAACTTTTATTCAATTTGTTCACTTGAATCTTTCCTTACAATGTGTCCGTCACACAAGGCAATGTGCAATGTGACGGGCACATTATAAGGAAAGATTCCCAAACAGCCTCACGATTAGAGTGTGTTCCTCGCAAGTAAGTAATTACTCGAGTAAAATTTGCATGAGTAATTTTTACTCGATTAATCGACGCTTTTGGCCGAGTAACTACGGGTGATCCTCTTTACACGTCGAGTAAATTGAATATCTTTACACTTGAAGGGAATTTCCCACCAAATCAGTCCAACAGCTGAATATCTTTAAAAAGAGTCGTATATAATTCGTCGCTCGTCATTTTTTGCGCCAATTTTTTTACTATAATTTTGGGGTAGGCTAATTTTCGCAAATTTTTTTCAATAAAAAGTACGATAATTTTTTTCCCAAGTGTGCTTTTTAAAAAAACGCATTATTCGCGAGGAACACACTCTAGGTTTAACACTAGCTGATTTGGAGATCCTCTACAAAAAAGAAACACATGTAGATTTAAAGACTTAAATTCATATTTAACTACTAAAACTATTAAGGTAAAATGTCGAAAACCCATCCATTTTGCTCTTT